GGTGCACGACCTGGGGATTCACCCGTGCGTCCACTACCCGAAGGATGCGCACGGGCACGACCAGTTCTGTCTGGACAATGGGTATCGAGGCTCGAAGCTTCGACTTGCCGTCGAACTTGACGAGGGGACCGCCGTCGATGTCGAGTTCAATCTCGATGTCAGCGAGAGCAACATGAGGGACATGCACCGGGCGAAGAAGGAGAAGAAGAAGACTGCAACGAGCGGTGCGCAGCGAGCGAGCCGGGGAGCCTCGGAGACGGTGGAGGGAGCACTGGAAGACTCGGAGTCGAGCCAACGCCGCACGATCTACACCGAGTTTGGCATGATCGGACGAGGGACGACGGTCATTCCCGTGGTCGCGGCGCCCGGCACGAAGACGGAAGAGCTGTTCGGATCGGAGGCTCTTGTTGCCAAAGTGGCCTGGCCGCACGCTGTCCGGAAGGCGGAGGACGCGATGATCAAGGCCGTTCGCAGACGTCTGGCGGAGAGCAAGCCGAACTACTTGAAGCACATCGTGGACCTCAAGTGTTCGATGACAAAGAGCGGAGACTCGGAAGAGATGCACCTCCCTCGTTTCAAGTTGGGCGTTGTTCCCGGGGCAGATGAGCTACGAGTCTGCCGCATTCTGGTCCTCAAGGAGTACGAGCCCCTGGAGACCATCGGATCCGGAGATAACTTCCGCATCGTGTTCTTTGATGTCGTTCGTGGTACGTGCATAGTGCATTTCGAGGCATAGCTTGACTCTCGTCTAACTGTCATTACAGCTCATCACTGGGTGTACGAGACGTCGAAGATACTGCATCGTGATATAAGCCTCAACAACATCATGTGGTATCGCCTGCCAGACGGGCGGATCATCGGTGTTCTTTGCGACTGGGACCTTGCGGAAGACCAGAGTACGGGCGACAACAGACCCACTCGTCGTGCTGGTGACGCTGCTGCAGTGATTTGGCCACCAGAACCAGAACCAGCCGTGCAGTCGACGACGAAACCGAGTCTGCCATCCATCGCAGAGGGTGAAGCAACGGAACAGCCCCAAAATCTGGAGGGCGCGGGACCGTCGAACACGGCGACAGAGCCCCAGGCCGTAGTCAAGCCAAGGTACCGCACGGGCACGGGCCCGTTCATGGCATTGGACCTCTTGCGCGAGGGCGACCCACCTATCCACAAGTATCGGTACGACCTAGAGTCGTTCTTCTACGGCTATATCTACTTTGCTGCAACATACAACCCAGAAGAACAGGCCTTCGGCTACATCAAGGAATGGCAACGTGCTTCCCTCGTCGACATCGGACACAGCAAAGGGGACTTCCTCCGTGAGGAAAAAGTTCGCACCCGCGTCATGAAACAAGCCCACCATACGCTCAAGCCGCTGCTCGCCGAAAACACTCCACTAATCAACCTGTTGTATGAATTCAACGATATCGAGCATGACTGGTCCAGCCTTAAGAATCTTAGCAACAACCGCGCGACATTGGAGCGTAAGCGGGCCAAGATTGAGTCGCTGGAGATGGAGAGGGAGGAAAAGATGTCCTTCAGCATATTCATGAAGATACTGGGGGCTCCCGAGGAGGAGAGTGTCTAAGACGTTACACGTATCGTTAGCCTCCACTTGGCATGTACTTGTATGGTTTCTGTTCCTCCCATTTACTCTCCTGGACTCGACTTCCATATTTAAATGATCATATGTGTGTACTTGCATGGATGGGTGCGAACATGAACATTGTCATATGCACCAACGCGAACCAAGGTGAGCACGACAGCGACGACAAGAACTCAGCGAAGCCTATGCAGATGTACGTCACACACACAGTTGGAAATCCGAACCCATACTGTCCCACGTAATGTGCTATCCTACAGGCACAGTGCATAACGCTTCCAATACTCCTCCTAAACATCCCATCGCTACTAATGACATTCAGGCCTATTGAACAATCCGATAAACAGACACAGAGAACCCTAACGTGGAATGACCACTGAACCCCGTCAATGTCGTCAACACGTTTGAACGTCCACCGCCGCATGACACCACACCACACCCAGCCTCGCGCACGCAAACGACCTACTCACCGCGCCACCACGCCCCAAACACCCATCACCAAGCCGAGCAACGCACCGCTGACCGCGCCCCGACCGAGCACGCTTGTGGCGCTCGCGACCTGCGCCACGACAGGCGGCTCGACGTACTGGTCCGGGCTCTCGAACCCGCAAAACGCCCGACAAGTTGAGGAGCAGGTCTGGCATGAAGACCGCGTGCCGGCCGCCCTCGTTGTAGTCCATGAAGATGATGCCGTTGCTCTCGACGGCATATTCCTAGCACGAAATGATCCTGCGAGGGGGTGCGTCAGGTCGGCTCCGGCTGCGAAGGGATGAGACGAGCGGAGGCGTGCTTACTTGGTCGTCGACGTCGACGTAGCCCAAGGTTCGTAGGCAGTGATGGTGACGTTCTTCGGCTAGATCGGCCCAGCAGAGTTAGCTTAACAGAACGGTGACCGATATTCGTCAGAATAGTGACGACGTCGCCTTTGCGGAAGCTGAGGTCGACGCCCAGTTGCTCGTGCCAATAGACCGCGTGTCCTTTCCGGCGTCGCCACGGTTATCCGACCCGCGAACACAGAGCCTGTACCGCGCGGGATGCTTTACTAAGAGACAGTGAGTAGCAAAATCGAATTTGAAGACATGGAAAGTGTATGTATAGTCCCCATACCACATCGCCATGCAGAGCGTCGGGCAGAACACGTTGAACTGAGAGCGCGACGACCAGGCTCGCAAGCGCGAGCGCGAGGCTCCACACCATCCCGTCCGCGAACGCGAGCCAGATGCCCGGCCGCTGCCCGCCCACGCTGGCACCCGGGTCTGCGTTGGGCGAGCCGACATCCTTGTGTACGCGCGGCGCAGCCAGTCGCACCTCAGCCGAGTGAACCAGCGCGGCCGCGTGCTCGGGCTGGACGGGAAGTTGGGGAGGAAGAGTGCGTCGACCACAGAGGAGATCGTGAGCGTGCCTCCGATGAAGAAGATCCACCTGCCATCACAGGTCCGTCAGTACGCGCGAGACGGGACAGGACGGGATGTGCACCGCTAGGCTGTGTGCCCGAGCCCGCGCTGCATGCCGTCGAAGATGGGCCCGAGGTGAGAAGGGATTGCTGATGAGGAGTCTGCACGAGAGCACGGTGTGCACGCCAAGCTCCGCGCACGCATACCACTTGGAGATTCACCGGGGAAGGCTGGCTCGATGAAGCCGAAGCTGGTCCACAATCATAGGGACTCGGCGCATAACTCAGTACTCAGTGGTGGCGGCGGACTCGGTCGCGGGAGTGGGCGGTTGTGGCTCACGTGGGACGGACGGCTCTCGACGCCACCGAACTTGAGGCGGCGCTTGAAAGGGCGCGCGCGTCGCAGAGCAAGCCGGACATTGCAGCGTGCTCACCGTCCAGGACGGCTTCGGTGCATCGTGCACCTCGATTCTCTTCTCTGCTCCCACCCTCATCTTCAAAACGGCTTCCAGCGGTGGCGGCGTCGGGCGCCGCTCGACCGAGGCTTCGACTCGCGTCCGCACTCCAGCCATGGACAACTCTGCCAATCCTCCGAACATCCACACCATCGTCAAGGCTCAGATTGTGTTCCTGCTCTCGACATTGACTGAGGAGAACTTCGAGAGGAACCAGCAGGAGATACGCTCCGTAAGTGCTGCTTATGTTTGCCCCGTTTTTGGCACTGATGGGTTCTCGACTTCCCTGCGGTGCGTTACATTGTCCAGCTGTCCGAGCAACATGGTGTCGACACGTACTTGCATTTTATCCGCCGTCTCATCGTCCACTCTACCAGCCGACTCACCAACGCCCCCACTCCGACACCCTTCGACAACTCGACTGCCCTCACCTTCCGCCTCCTTGCACAAGAAACCCAACGTCTTTCACGCGACCCAACCCTTGCTGACCGATTCCGCGATGGAATAGATAAGGGCGAAGGGGATGTGTTCCGTACATTCGATCTGGCGAGGTTTGTAGACCGCATTGGTTTGCAGCCACTCGAGAAGCTCGTGCTCGCGTCCTCAATCGTCGCCGGACAGACGCGCAGGGACCTCGCAGTGCAGGCAGCCAATATCATTCGCACGGATTTCGAGGACGCCGTCATGGCGATATGCCAGCACCCGTCTTTTGACCACGCCGACCTCTCCCCCGGCCAGCTTGCGAGGCTGTTGACGAACTTGCTGTCGGAGCCACCAATAGACGCCCCAGTTTTGGACGCCGTGCAACGACAGGCTCTCATAACCGCTGCCATGGCCAAGTACGGCCAAGAGACCGTTTCCCCCATGTTGCAGCGTATTTTCCCCGAGCTCAGGTTCGTTCGTGTTCTTGTTCCATTTGTGATGGTTGGCTTACGTTGTCGCGTTCAGTTTGCCGGCCGGCATTCCTCTTGTGCAGGCGTTGGTGCAATTGGGTCACGAAATCACCGCGGATCCTGCTGTCGTCCGTGCGCTTTTGGTGCGGTTCAATATCACATCCACGAGCCCTCCGCAGAATGTACAAGTGGTGGAGTGGATGCAGAGCCTCGCTCGTCTCGCTTCGGAAGGCACAGTGCTTCCAGACGTCGGTTCACTTGTGAAGGCACTCGATAGCTTCGTAAGTTCGAGATGATCGGTCTGTTAACCTGGTTGCTGATTGTCCACCAGGATGTCACGCTTGACTGGGCCGGCGTCATCAAAGGATTTGACATGCTGGATCGCCAGGGCGTCGATACCGCGACGTTGAAGCTGCTGATCGCCATCCTCCAGAACTCACCACGTGAGGCCGACCCGCACGCAGTCACCGGATTCTGGCAGAACTGGTCGAATTCTTTATACCAACTGCGCCTGCTTGACGCGCTCCTGTCCCTGCCGGCAGACACATTCAACTTTGTCACATTGCCCGGGCACAGAATCGTCACAGTGGATGATGTCGCGAATGCCAGTCCTACTATCAAGTCGCTGGCTGCCAATGTGCAGGGACATACTTGGAACTCCCTCGATTTATTCGAAGTCCTCGTGAGACTGTCAGACTCCGACTCTGCGGATGTGCGGAACTTCGTCCGTGAGATGCTCGACAAAGCTGTCAAAATCAGCGCAGAGTTGGTGCATATGGGTCTCCTACAGGCTCCGGTATGTCTCCACAATCTCTCACCTTGGCGTGGCGGAGCTAACTTTGGACGTAGAACACCAACTGGGGCGAGATCCGGGTGGACTACACTCAGCGACTGTTGGCGCTCTTCCTTGCCGGGCATCCGAACCACCAGCTGGTGTTCATGAGGATCTGGCAAATCGAGCCGACGTACCTCACGAATGCATTCCGGGACTTCTATGAAGAGAGCCCACTCAATATCACGAGGATTCTTGACGTCGCCCAAGACCTCAAGGTACGTCGCTCTGTTGCCGTTGGACTGGACTAGGAGCGCTGACGTCACCTAGATTCTGGATGCACTTCTGGAGGTCCGACCTTTCACTTTTGCCCTCGATGTGGCTGCCCTCGCCTCCCGCCGAGAATACCTCAACCTGGACAAGTGGCTCGCCGACAATGTTACTGCGCATGGCGCCGACTTCCTCCACGCTGTCATCGCGTTCCTCGACATCAAGATGGAGAGCGAGAAGGCAACGCGCATCTCGGACCCTGCTGTCGATCACCGCACAATGCCCCTCAGCCCGCAAACCATCACAATCTTCCTCCGTGTTCTCCGAAACAGCTCCAATATCATGCGCGAAAGCGACGTCGACTACTGCCTCGACGTTCGCAACGCTTGTCTCCAAATTCACCCCCGCCTCATGAATCTTGTGCCAGGGTCCGACGCCGAGCCAGGCATCTCGGTAGTCAGCTACACCGCGGAGATCGAGGCCGAGGTCGATGGAATCTATAAGCAAATGTATGACGAGCAGATCAGCATCGACGATGTGATTGCGCTGCTGCAGCGGAACAAGGAGTCGACCAACCCGCGCGACCACGAGATCTTCTCGTGCATGCTCCACTTCCTCTTCGACGAGTACAAGTTCTTCCAATCGTTCTACCCGCCCCGCGAGCTCGCCATGACTGGCTACCTCTTCGGCTCCCTCATCCAGTATCAGCTCGTCGACTACATTCCACTCGGCATCGCAATCCGCTATGTCGTGGATGCTCTGAACTGCGCTCCCGAGACGAATCTGTTCAAGTTCGGTATCCAGGCACTGTCGAGGTTCGAGTCACGCTTGGCGGAGTGGCAGCCGCTCTGCCAGGCTCTTCTCAAGATCCCGCATCTACTCGAGGCGAGGCCAGACTTGGCTGCGGCCATTCACCGCGCTATTGCGAACGCCAGCGAGCACTCGAGTAGTATCGATCTGCGTCTTGGGACAGGGCCTGCTGTGGAACCTCCGCCTGTCTTCAACGCCATCCAGCCTGATCCCTTTGAAGGAGAGCTGGACAGCCCGACGGAAGAGGTATCCGACAAGATCCTCTTCATCGTCAACAACCTCGCGCCCTCGAACTTCGACTCCAAACTGGCAGAGATGCGGGAGTACTTCAAGGAGCAGTTCTCGTGGTGGTTCGCGAATTACCTCGTCGACCAACGTGTGAGCACGGAGCCGAACAACCACCAGCTGTACTTGCGCTTTTTGGATGCGTTGGATGCGCCGCTGCTCTTCCGCTTCGTTCTCAACGAGACGTTCGTCAAGTCAGCTGCGATGCTGAATTCGGAGAAGACGTTGAACTCGAGCTCCGAGAGGGCCATCTTGAAAAATGTGGGAAGCTGGCTTGGGAAGATCACGCTCGCTCGCGACCGCCCAATCAAGCACAAAAATCTGTCGTTCAAGGACTTGCTGATCGAGGGTTACGAGCACGGCAGGCTCGTCGTCGCTATTCCGTTCGTCTGCAAGACCTTGGAGCCGTGTGCAAACTCGAAAGTGTTCAAGCCGCCCAACCCGTGGTTGATGGCCGTCATCAGCCTGCTCGCTGAGCTTTACCACTTCGCCGAGCTAAAGTCAATCCTGAAGTTCGAGATCGAGATTTTGTGCAAGACCTTGGACATCGACCTCGACACGGTGCAGGCGACTACCATTCTGCGCAACCGCCCGTTGGCGGATACCCTCACAGGCAGTGGCTTGCCGAACTACGTCGCTATGGACTCGCTGCCGATGGGTGACTACGGTGCTTTACCAGGCAGCGAATCGCAGATGACTTTGCTTGGACCGACGAGTCCTTCGGAGTCGCAGCGCGCCCTGGGAGCGCATATCGAGAGTATCTTGTCGAGCCTCCTGCCGCTTGTGCAGATTAGTCCTCATCTGCAGCCTCTTAACACCAACCAATCGTTCAAGCGAGCTGTGCAGATGGCTGTTGATCGCTCGGTCCGAGAGGTAAGTCCGACTGTTTGTCCACTCCTCCGGGTTGTCCGGGTTGTCAGAAGTGATGCTAACACGCGGAACGCAGATCATTATGCCCGTCGTTGAGCGCTCTGTCACGATTGCTGGCATCTCTACCCGAGAGCTCGTGGCAAAGGACTTCGCAACTGAGCCCAATGAGGAAAGGATGCGCAAGGCTGGTCACTTGATGGCGCAGAAACTCGCGGGCAGCTTGGCATTGGTGACCTGCAAGGAGCCGCTGAAGACGAACCTTACGAGTCACATCCGCAACTACTTGAACGAATTCGGCTTCACCGAGCAAGTTGTCCCTGATCAAGCCATCAACCTGCTGGTTCAAGACAACCTCGAGTTGGCTTGTCAAGCCATCGAGAAGGCCGCCATGGACCGTGCCGTCATCGACGTCGACGATGGCTTCGCCGCTGCGTACGAGGCCCGCCGACGTCATCGCGAACAGCGCCCCGGACAGACCTTCTGGGACCCAACCGCTCCTCAATCTCAACTCGCCTCTACGCTGCCTGAGCCACTGCGGATCAAACCGACGGGCGTGCAACCTCTGCAGGCCGGAGTATACGAGGATTTCGGGAACATGGACGGAATCATGTCGCAGCTTTTCACCCACAGCTCCCCTGATTCCGACGTCAAGCGGCGTGGTTTCAGTCGACCGAGCTCGACTGTCTCGTACCTGCGTAATGACCACATGTCAGCGGTATACGCACCATCGCCTTTGCCAGAGATCGGGCAAGGCCAGATCACGCGCCACCAGGACGCGATGGACCGATTCAGCCTCCTCGTCAAAGACCTCGAAGCAGTTCTGATCCAACTGCCTATCCCGTCCCTCTCCGCTCTGCCGCCTAATCACGAAATCCGGGGGCTTGTTCGTCAGATCCCAGTCCTAGCTGCTGAGACCACCGATCGTCAGCGTACGCCTCTCTTGATGTCTCAGAAGATTGTTCAGTTCCTGTACAAGACGCCGACTCAGCTTGGTCGGGAGATCTATGTTGCTCTTCTGGAGCAGCTATGCACCTCCTTCGAGGAGGTCGCCAAGGAAGCCATCACCTGGCTCATCTACGCTGACGACGAACGCAAGTACAATGTACCCGTCATGGTTACCTTGCTGCGCAGCGGTCTCGTCCCGATTGGACAGCAAGATCAGCAATTGGCGAAGACTCTGTACACTGACCCTCGCTCGAGCCTGCTCAACTTTGCCGCGGAGCTCATACGGGAATGTTTGTCAAGTGATCCTCCGTTTGCGTCGCAGATCCAGTTCGCCTACACTCTTGAGGTCCTCAACCAGCTGTCGCAGTCGAACAAGGCCACTGATGAGTAAGATCATGTATCCTCTTTACCCTAGTACATGTCGCTGACGTATGGTGAAACGAATGCAGCGTTCATAGGCTTCTAGATGACATTCGTGGTGTGCGTAGGCCATCCGTCCAACCCATCGGGGAAGCTCCGGTTGCCCGACCGCCGTCCGTGAAGCCCGAGACCGAACAGCTCAGGGAGAAACTGTTTTCATGGTTCCAACAATGGGTGTCGATCTTCCAGCGGTCTCATTCGCCCGAGAAAGCCTTCGTACCGTACATCACGCAGTTGACGAAGCAGAACATCCTGAAGGCGGAAGACGTCTCGTCTTTCTTCTTCCGCGTCTGCGCCGAGTCGAGCGTGGACAGCTACATCAAATGCATCCATGCCAGGGAGTTCACCTACTCTTTCCAAGCTCTGGATGCCATGTCAAGGCTGATCGTGTACATCATCAAGTACCACGGTGACGCCTCGGGTGTCAACAATGACCAAGCGAAGGTGCATTACTTGACGAAGATTCTCTCAATCTTCGTGCTTGTGCTGGCCAATATGCATGAAGAACAGGGACCTCTGTTCGAGCAGAAGCCCTTCTTCCGTTTCTTCTGCAGCTTGTTGAACGACTTGCACACGATCGAGGCTAGCCTTGGGACAGCGTACTTCCAATTGCTGGTTGCCATCAGGTATGTTCGATGGTGCATCAAACTTCGTACGAATCATTGTGCTAATGACGCTCGCTAGTGACACGTTCAGCTCTCTGCAGCCGACGTACTTCCCGGGCTTCGCCTTCTCTTGGATGAGCTTGATCTCTCACCGACTTTTCATGCCCAAACTCTTGCTGTCAGAGAACCGCGCTGTAAGCTGATCCCAGTGAACCGTATTTGAAGCCACTGACATCATTGGAACATGTAGGGATGGTCGGCCTTCTACAAGCTCCTCGTCTCGCTATTCAAGTTTTTGTCGCCCTTCCTGAAGGCAGCTGAACTGCAGCCAGCCTCCAGGGACCTCTACCGCGGCTCTCTTCGTCTCCTCCTTGTGCTCCTTCACGACTTCCCGGAGTTCCTCAGCGAGTATTATTTCTCCCTCTGCGACGTGATACCCCCGCGATGCATTCAGCTACGCAACATCATCTTGAGTGCATTCCCGCCCACCGTCATGCTGCCCGACCCTCATCTTCGAAACATCGAGTTCGAGTCCATCCCAGAGATGGGCCCCATCCCGCCCATCTTATCCGACTTTGCTTCGAGTCTCAAGACTGGCGACCTTCGGTTGTACCTCGATCAGTACCTCCTCAACCGTGGCACATCATCCTTCTTGCCTTCCCTCAAGGACCGGCTGCGAATGCCTGGTGTACCGGAAGGATCGACAGACACGTACAACTTGTCTCTGATCAACTCCCTCGTGATGTACATCGGGGTGTCGTCGGTTGCTCAGGCTAAAGCGCGCAGTGGTAGTTCGCTCTTCGTGGCCAGTGACCCTGGTGTGGTCGCTTTGCAATACCTTGCCACTGACTTGGATGCCGAAGGTAAGCCACACGTCTCACTGGCATCTCGATGTGTTACTGACTTGATGAGTAGGCCAGCATCACCTTCTCAGTGCGATGGTGTTGCACTTGCGCTACCCTAATGCCCATACTCACTGGTTCAGTTCGTTGATGCTCCATCTCTTCGTGGAGGTCAAGAGCAACCAGTTCAGAGAAATCATGACGAAGGTCTTGTTGGAGCGCTTCTTGGTACATCGCCCGCACCCGTGGGGTGCCCTAGTCACCTTCATCGAGCTGCTTCGGAACTCGAGGTATGACTTCTGGAACCAAGAATTCATCCGTGTCGCTCCCGAGGTTACGCTACTTCTTGAGACTGTACGTGATCGACTACTCTTGCACTCATTCACGAGAATCGTCTAATTAGGGGGGCTCTCACAGGTCGCGCGATCCATTTTCACGTCGTAGATCGTCCTGCTATCGCCCTCGCTATCTGTGATATATATTACCTGTCCTCTCGTGTCCCCTCTCCTCTCCGGGCTTGTCATCATTGCGCACTGTATTGTACCAAGACTTTCCATCCCAGTGTTACAAAAGGCATTCGCGACGACTCGAACTTTGCTTAGGGTCGGGCTGGCCGCGTCACGGATTCACGCACTACTGATGATGATGATGATTACGATAAATGTGTTCTGTATATTCCATCTCGATGTATCACGTACACCTACGGCTTTATAATATAGAACGAGGACACTCCTTCATTCCAGCTCCAGGCGTTACCCCACACGCTAAAACAGGGCACTTCAGTTGAACTGCAGATGGAACAGTCCACAGGCGCACTTACCCTGCACCTTCAATCCCTCCCGCTCCCATCTCGTCCGCACGCTCCGTGATCACAATCAAATCGGGGACGGGCACACCTGTACGTACGGGGAAGAGTCGTAGTCCCCTCTCCAATGCAGACTCCTCCAGTGCGTGTATAAACAGAATCGATGCATCGGGCGCGCTCGGATGCGGGTGCAAGAACAGTGCAGCAGACTGTCCACTCAGAGGTTTGCCTTTGAGACGTAAGGAGTCGCCCTCAAGGCTGAATGCCGTGCGCCGCTTCGAAAGCAGCGAATGCGTGAACTCCCCTGTGCCGGTCGTGAGGACGACTACGTTCCTATCACCCAGAGAATTGGCGTGAAGCCTCCTGGTAGCCTCCTCGTCGCTGATGATTTCTGCATCGAGCTTGTGATAACCGTCGAGTGCGGCGGCCAAACGGAGGGCGGCCGATAGAAGGCTTGGAGAGTTGGGTTCGTAGACGATGGTTAACGGTGCTGTGGATGTAAGGATGGTAGCTAGTCTTCCGTACGGTTGAAGGGCTGGTGGCGAGTTGTCATCTGTGGGCTGCTTCGCAATTCAATAGTATTCTCCAGAGCAGTGGTAGCTCGGATACGTACCCTCCATATTCCATCCTGATACGAGAAATACACCAAGTCGTCTTGGAGATTCCCGGAGGGAAGTACCGTGCCGTCCACGATCAGAGTGCTCGCAGCGTACCGGACGACATGTCGAATTGAGAACGCAGCGATGTTGCCCGTACGAACGTCGATTGATGCGCCGGTTACTCGGACTGTAAGCCGCCCAAGGCTGCACATCATCAGCACCGACATCGTGTGTTTTGAGTGCATATATAATAGGACCTACCGACCGGGTACGAGCAGCTGATGGACTCGCCATCCGTGAAGCGATCCACTCTCAGCAGGTATTGACACTGTCAAGGTGAAGCTATCCGGGGTTTCCGTGAGAACGGAAGTGGTAGCCAACCCCGTGTCGCTCTCCAATATTGTGCGCATATATTCGCGCACGTCGGGGTTGTCGAACATGCCGGTGTACCAATGTAGCTCCCCGGGGTCTTCGCGCAGCCTGTAAAAACACGGCTCCGTGAGATCTACTGCAGGACAGTGCCGAGAATGCCATTGACTAACGCTACGCTCGCGTTGGGGTTCCATGTCTTGAGCGTGCTGATGTATGCACGGCTGTGCCACGTCGGTACGTTCTCGTCGTCACCACCATGGATGGCGAGTATCGGTGTATGCGCCAGGTTTGAGAGAAAGAGATCATTGTCATCGGGCGTCAGCGCAGTCTCGAGAATGGCGCGGAGAGACGGATCGACGTAATGCGCTGAACTAAAGATGGGGACGTCAACAATTGTATGTGAGGCGAGCGGGCCCGGAGGAGTCTCACTGGGATTGGATGAGGGGCACGTATGCCTGCGATTTGAGGTAGCCTGCCGCGGGGATGACTGCGCCGTCGGCGATGCTCAGCGATCGAGGTACCGTCAATCATGGTTTATAGGACGTACCCGCAGCGACTCGATCCGGATACCTCCCCGCGTTCCACCACGCTCCTTGCCCACCATTCGAGTGGCCGATGAGCAGGACCCGCGTGTCCTTGGGAAACTCGTAGTCGCGCCATGCATCCCTGCTCTTCAGGATCTCGCTCAAGGCATCGACACTACCCCATGCGTCCATAGCACTGGGCCCATGCCAGTCCAAGCCCTACCAGAGGCATTATGAATGGTAAGGCGACCGCAAAAACGCAAAGCGAGTCCACGCACCCATGCAGTCCGTCCGCTCGGAGTGACGATCCAGCTATGTTTCTGGCGTGGGATGGCTTGAATCCAGAAGGGCATAGAGAAGATGTCGACGCCTGCGCCGTCTGTGTAAATGACGTGATAGAAGTATTAACATCCCTCTGTCGACCTTGATCAGCAACGGTCCATGACGTACGAAGCGCAAGCACAGGAATCCTCGGCGGCCCCTCGTTCGGCTCCTCTGGAGGCTTCACCAGAAAAGCAGTCGGCGTCGAGCCGCTGTAGAAATACGTCGCTTGTATCCCAGCCTCCGGGATTTCTGACGGAGACCAATGTGGGTGTTGCCGGACGGTGATACTGGTATACAGAGTCCTCGTAACAGCGTCAGTACCCTTGGATTCCAGGTGCAATTCCACGGGTATCTCGTGCCCACCGAAGGGGAGAAGTTGGAATAGCTTGATGGGAACGATGCGTGCTTGCGTGGGGGCAAGCGTGGTATTCTGGAGGAGGGTAATGTTGAGTTGGTCCTGTCATGCGCTTTAACTCAGCACACCCATAGTATAGCGGAATGAGGATAATGTACATACGGCCAGATCAGGCGTGGCGAGTGAAACGCTGTTGACGGTCCACCAGCCCGACACACTCCGAACGCCGACGCCGAAAGCGTCTCCGAATGCCCATCCGTCGACGAAGTCGCAGGCTACGCCATGGCCCGGCACAATCTCGACGGTATCCTCCGCTGGGACTGGCTCGAGATCCACAGATAGCTTGATAGAGAGCGTAGGGACGCCAGTCTTGTCGCCACTGAAGCGTGGATCACCAAAGAGCCTGATCTACGGGTGCAATAGGTGAGTGGTGAACTATGACCTGCGAAGCTCGAGCTACCTCGTAATCGCCGCTAACAATTAACTCGTACGTCGTCGGTCCGTTCAGCGAAGGCGCAGAGGGGAGGGGGACCGTCTGCGGCAGGACGCGTTCCATGCCGTAGATGTTCCCCATGTACCAACGCGGAACGAAGTCGGTCACAGAATGAAGTGGGCTATCCTTGGGTGGGAGAACGGTGAAGAACGAGCCCCGCATCACGTCCACCAGTAGTCGAGGGAATTCGGCGAGCTGGTCTGCGGCGTCGTCCGAGAGTACCGACGGCGGAGTCACTGTGATTGTGGTACGCAGAACTGAGTGGTGCTGTAGACTTGCCCACCCCTCTGTTGCTCGAAGGGCCGCCCATCTAGAATAGCGAGCCTGCTGTGAGAAAATGCGATAATGATCTCTGAGACTTTCAGCGTCTTTGCATGTGCATAGCGTGAGCAACTGTGGAGCGCATGTATACGCAGAGACGCATACATTCATCGCGTTCCGTGACAACGCATGTAGAGGAGCATATATGCGCCACTCTACGCCAAGAGGCGCATATATGCACTACTCTGCAAGGGTATAATATGCACTACTCTGCAAGGGTATATACACAGAGGCACATGCCGACCGACGTATGGGAGACGACGTACCGAATCTCGGGGAAGGAAACGTCCAGTGTGCCATCAGTCTTGGAACGAGCTGTCGTCCATTCGATTTCTCCGCCGTCCGCATAAGCCGAGGGCCACTTGGCTTCCAGATCAAGAGGTTGAGAGACTGTAAAGATATGATATCAGACGTTGTGACAGTATGAGTGAAGGATATGACTGTACGGTTCAGCGGAAACGAAGGGGACAAGAAGTGCTGTTCCCTAGCATGGATCGGGAACGGCCCCAGGACCTAGAACAGCGATTCAGAGCAATGATTCTTGTCAATCGGAACAATTCAGGGTGAGTTTAGTGGCAGTCAGTACGTACATCCCATGCATCTGAGATAGAGACGCGCCAACCGGATTCGTGGCTGGTATGACCGAGTCCGAACGCGCGTTGAGGCTGTGCAGCCGCGTCCATCGCAAAGACAAGCGCGACACACAGCGATACAGTCAAAGACCATGCCCAGATATGCCCCATTCCCGCTTGTTATTCAGTGAACCACAGGCGTGGGTATACCTTGAGATAAACTTGGTACAACAACGCGGCCTGTGTAGTGAGTTGAATGTCTTCGAGTCGCCGCTCTTCCTGTGCGCGGCGATAGCGTCAAGCCACTGCAAGCAAGCGGAGAATCAGGACGGCTAGGCTGCTCCCTGGGCTTAGTGAAACGGCTCGAAACGGTCGTTGGACAATCGATGGCTAAGACATAAAGTGGGGATGCCGACAAGGATGCTATTCCGAGTCAAGGTGCGAAGCTTGAGTTCGAGGGGGCTTGGTAGCCTAGCGCCCGGCACCGCCGGTCCGAGATGCCGTGGTTTCGCCTGCTGCGTGCCACTGCCAGTCGCATCCACCGTAGCCTCGCATGCTCCTGAGACCCAAAACGGCCCTATCGTCTCAACACCGACACGAGCATTGAAAACCGGGCCTACGTTGCGCGGGCCTCGTACGCACTTGATGTCGAACACCCGCAAGGCACTCCTGTACACGCACAGAAATACAAGGACTACGTGAGTGTCGAAAGCCTGGCAGCCGAGAGGGAAGAACAGTAGGAGTAGTCGAAAGCCGGGCCTAATGCAGCCCAACGTCGACATAACCTGTAACGCATTTGCACGGTAATTATTCGAACCGCACGAAGATGGGAGATGCAAACGTAGATGTCCAGCCATCATAACACAGCCAGTCGAGCAAAGAAGGGCATCGCGAAGCAAGCCCAGCTCGATTCGCCGAAGCAGGTATAACATACACGGCGCTCATCGTCCTTCCTTCTCATCGACGTAGCCTTCGAGACTCTTTACCCTCAAAATCTCAGTGCACCTGCGCAGCCTGAATGGCGGTCTTCTCCTCGTGAACCTTCTTGATCGAGGGTAGCGCTATCAGCTTCTGGTGCCAGCTGCAAGTCGCGCGTCAGCCCGGTCACACTCGCAGACTCACAATTAACAGATGACACTCACTTCCAGAAGTGCGGGTAGTCCTTCTCGATGTTGGCCTCAGTGAAGTCTGCGAGCACATGAGAGAGCCCGACATTGGTCCACCTGCAACCGCGCACGCAGTCAACCTTCTGGCAGCAAAGAGCAAGACACGAAGGCGAGAGAGTACGCACGAGACGAAGGAAAAGTCGGCGACGCTAGGCTTCCCGCCGACGAGCCACTCCTGCTTCTTGAGCACGCCGTCGAGCACGCCGATCACGCGCACCGCCTCCCTCTGGTACCTCACGACAGCGCTAGGTACCGGCTCGGGGTGGTACACCTTGAACCAGATCCCCTGGCCGAAGTACGGGCTATCACAAAGTCGACGTCACGGGCTTGAGCGTGATGAATGGCATGAGTGAGACGTACCCCTGGCCGGAGGCCTGGAAGAAGAGCCACTGAAGCTGCTTGATCTTGTCTTCGGGCGTCGCCGCGGAGATGCGGTGGGCGGTGTCGTACTTCTCGACGAGGTAGGTGATGATCGCGTTCGACTCCCTGTTAGCCCCGTCCCATCAGGATCTTCACATTGTGACGTTGCGAATATACGCGAGAACACCCACCAAATGGTGAAGTCGTTGTTCTTGTGGTCAATGACCGTCGGGATACGCCCGTTCGGGTTGTACTGGGTATACTCGGGCGACTTCTGCTCGAGCTTGCCAAAGTCGAGGTAGACGCTCTCGTAGGTGAGGCCAAGCTCCGTCAAGACGTATGCGACCTTCCTGTTGAGCGGGCGGGATCAATGAGGCGAACATAGCTAAGTAAGACTGTGCTCACCAGCCATTTGGACCGCTGCCGTGGGTGTAGAGCGTGAACTGCTTGCCGTGCGACATCTTGTGTGGTTAGTCTAGGTGGCAGAAGGTGCTTGGGGGTGAAGGGGATCTGGATGGCTGTATACCCTCTAAGTAATTGCTCCTGGTCTTATATAGCTCAGCCTCTCCTTCCTAGTAGCAGGACTCCATGGCAATGCAAGTCCTTCGAGACAACCGTGGAAGCCATCCGCTGACAAACAACTGGCGATAGTCCGACGGTGCGGCTTACTTATCGCCAGCTGTTTGTCAGCAGCTGAAGCTGAAGAGCTGCCAATAGCGGACTCACTTAGAGGCTTTGATGCGACGTCAGGAAGCCCACTTAACCACTGGCTGGCCAATGAGGACCCTCTATCCCTGCCTGTTTTGGACTAGGAGAGCGTCGAGACGTGCGTTTGGCATTTGCAATCACCTGGCTTTGCAGATGGGTCGACTGCCACTGGCGCGAGGGAATGGAACGCGCTGCGCCGACGCACCAAAGTAGGCCAGAGGCCCAACGCTTCGCTCGCCAGCCCGGGTTAACTGCGTGCACGGAGAGACACCGCTTCTGTCGCTGATATGCTGAGAAAGGTTGCGACGAGACCGAGGAGGCGCTGTGGCACGTCGCAAATATCAGATAGAACGCCCCAGAGAACTTAAAGGAGGTTCGCATACGATATGTGCTCGGCCGCCGCTGCAGGCTGCCTAAGCTTGCGTTGCGGTGAATGATATTGAATGATATACCGCGACGGTCGGCATGGTACAGCAAACTTAGGGCAGTAGTCAGCAAGTAGTAAGCTGGACGTCTCCGTCTGACGGAGATGGCGAGACTAGATGAAAGGATTAATTGTGTGCGTGTCAGAGGCTGTTCTACTGCTGTTCTACTGTTGCAGGTGCAGATGAGGCGTGTATTGCGAGAGCGGCGCTCACACTGCAGCGAATGGGAGTACGTGGCCAGGTTGTAAGATACATCAACTGCTCAAGAACCGACACTAGCACCTTCCCATTGGGTCACTGCCGCCCAAGTCGCAATCGATCCGCCGCTTGTCCGCCGCTCAGTCGAGCTCGTCGAATTCGCCACCCGCGAGACAGCCTTCCACGATGTCTCTTCATATTCTCTTTGACAACGTCGCACATGGTACTTCAAAGAGTCTACCCCCAGGCCACACCACCAGAAGACACTCGGCATGGGACGGACAGCTCCCTACGACGTGCAACGAGCTGCGACCACCTCGGCCATCAACGCCCCGGGCCCGCGATGAAAAGTTCGGGAAGGGGTGCACTTACTACTGCGGCCGCAATCGTTGGCTCACAATCGTTCTGAGTTCAGGACGGGGTCACGGTGGTGGGCTTTTCGCCGGATTGGAGTGGACGTACGGGGTCAGGCAAACTGATCAGCTTCTGCACAGCGGCGAGACCGGTGGAAGGTAGAGATGAAGTCGGTCTGGTGGCGCCCCATGTAGACGGCTCCTTTCCCGGTGAGCGGGCGGACACGACGTTCGAGATGGACATGACGAGCTAAGAGCTTGAGTCGGATGAGGATGATCTTACTGCGTATGGACATACTCATTGTCTCGTCTTCTGTTTGTATAATATCGCCCCTGTGAATGTACCCATTCGAGTGTAGTGCGCGTTGTATAGAGACACGGCAAGCTTTCTGTGACTCTGTCTCTCCGTCAGAAAGCTGGCAAGTGTGGCCGGGAGTCTTGAGAGTGTTTCGCAGCCACAATCTGAATTGAGAAGCCACTTCGTTAGTAAACCAATGCTTACACCACCATACAAAGGGTGAGACATACTGACCGCCGACCGGTATCGGGGTAAATCTGCAACCCAACGACGTCCATGCTGCCTTCATCCACGCTTCATCCATCCCTTCACGTCGTCCATGCAGCGGCACCTTGTGCTCGTTCAGTCAGTCGATCCCAAGGAACCTTGCATCGTTCCCACCCGGCCTGCTGTCCACTGACGATCGAGTCCGTCTCGCCGTCGTCTGGCATCTGCAACCCCAGCCATGGGCAGTCATGCAACGATCCGAGCAGCAACATCTCATTGTGGCCCTTTATGAATACAGGTGAGAACACCAGACAGACGAAACTGAGAACCAGTCCTAAACAGCACCCCGCAGTCATCCGTCACGGCCGGCGGATGAGGCCCAGCATGATGGCAACCCCGAGAAACCCTTTCCTCCCCTCCTTGCGGCCTCCAGGCTTCGCCGCCGCCCGGTCTGCCGCGTTTGCAGACGATCCCTGACTGGCTGCTGCGCCTCGTCCCGCGGTCGACGCGGACTCGTTCGACTCGCAGATCGAGCAATCAATCCAATCGCACGGCCGCTGGGCGGTGGAGGCGTTCGTCGACGAGAGCGATGCTCTGCTGTCCCTCTCGTCCGACTCGTCGTATTGAGGGATAGGGGCGCTTGCTCCCTGCGTCTTGCTGGATCCGTGCGAGCCATTCTGACGTCGCGAGCGTGTTCGCCTACTCGAACGCGCCTTGCTCTCTTTGTGCGACGCGCTCAGGCCAGCGCCGTCCTTCGTGACAGGGCTCTCATATAGCGCCGGCAGCACCTCTGCGGATCGGTCGTCCACCGAAGCCGGACAGAAGGGGCAATCGATCCAGTCGCATTTGCGCAGGGGACCGTCACCCGTCTTCAGCCCGAGCGGATCGACTACGCTGACGTCGTGCTCCTGGTCGATGATTGAGGAATTGTAGGTGTTGGGTGGCGTGTCTAGCAAGCCAGCGTCGTGGCCAAGACTACAAGCCGTCTCAGATGATACGTCTGAGCCTTCGGACGCGGACTCATAGCTTGTCAATTGCGAGATCTGGATGTTCCGTGAGTATATCTGCTATATATAGCCGCATATACGAAGTGCTCACGATCGTGTCTTGGTCGATCCGAAGGTGTTCAGCGCCATATTGAGTGTTATACTCCATAACGCTGCCGACCCACATGGGCTCGGTGTCGCAAGAGTGTAGCAGTAGAGGTGCCTGGTTGGCGAACCTATCCATCTGTGGGTACACATGAAAGGTAAGTGCGAAGCGAAACACGGTTTTACACAGTCACTTACCTGGCGGCTGTCATGGACCGTGTTTTGTTTTGCATGTTTCAGAGACACCCGACCTTCCCGAAGCTCCCAGTCTTGATCGACAATCGCGGATATGTTGGCCCTGTCGACCTGTATGGGGCGCCTGGGTCGAGGTGCTGCGAAGACCAGCGGCTCGGCGATGGTAATGCTGGGGTTCCGCAGCTCCTCCACCATCTCGAATGCTGTCATAAAGCGCATCATGTCGTAGTCCGGGACGCGTCGCGTACGCGGACGCGTTTTGACTGCGTTGAGGGGAGTGGCGTTGCCAACGACAGCAATGCGTTCAGCCTTATTGGCTTCCGCGAATGTCTCCGAACTACTGTCGTATGCGTCGGAGTAGGCTGGGCTTTGTGTCACAGGCGGGACAACGACCGGTTGGATGGACGCCACATTCCCGAAGTCCACAACTGTGTTCCCCTTCGCGTCGCGTTTGGTGAGTGAAAGCAGGTACGACGCACGTATCATACGCTGATTCGTTGGATACAGGTGATGTGTAGTATCCGAAAGTGTTTCGTGCCGCGGGGCGGGAGCCGTCATGGGGGCCAAGAACAAGAGTGGATGGGTCGAGTTCGAGTTGAGTGGCGACCTCTTATGCTGGGCGCTTACACGAGTGTGGCTCCAGTCGCGCACGGGCCGGTAGCCAGTTCAGCGGAGGAGGACCACCGGACCTGTGCATGCAATTCGGTCCACCATGTTGCGATGGTAGGTTGACGCAGGCCAGAAGAGTATGACATACTGAGATGATTGTACAGGTGTATACAGACCAAATCAGCACGCGAAGCCACGACCGTAGACGATGGAGAATATACAAGGGAGATACCAATGTGTTCTATGGGCGGATCTGCTCATTTCAGCCATCGACAGCGAGGAGGAACGTCGAGCCGTCCAGTCAGGAAGGCTTCTGCGGCAGACATGAATGCCATCTCGGAACGTGGGTGATATGAACGAGCTGCTTTTGACTATGCTTGAAGAAGAGGAGGACTGGTGATATTACTCCGCTTCCCAGCTATAACGAACGTACTTAGATATAGCTCGGCAGCAACAGTTGCTTGTACGTGTCTTGTCCCTGATGAAAGCAGGAAGGATCGCTCACGTGAGTGAGCAGTGAGTATGCGGGACTCGCTGTCGTCTTGGACAACCCAGGTATGTCTGAGCACACAAATGCAGAGAATAGCGGGTTACACTAATTGGTTCGGGCACGTTACAGGCAATCACTACAAGTACAGCATCGTATCCAAAACAATCCAATCGCTGATGCGACACTTCACAAATCCTTCGTACACAATCCGCCCGCCCACTTCCCTCCCATCATCTCTATCTCCATCTCTACGACCTCGCGCCGCACGCCGCCTCAGCAAGTAACTGTGGCGTTGTCGACTAGCTCTGCCACCGTCGATTATTCCTTGGCTTGGTCGCCCATCCCAACCAGTCCGGGCATAATGTCGTCCAAGAGCGGCGACATCGGCGACATCGACAGATCATCGGAAGGCGAGCCCCCTTCTCCCTCCTCGTTGCGCTCCTCCGACACGAAGAGCAGGCTTGGCATCTCGTCCAGATGTTGCTCCTTGAGCAGCTCAGGCTCCCCCTCGAAGACACCTTCCGTTGCCCTCGCCTGCCGGCCCCACTCATCGTTCCACATCCCAAACAACTCCGATTCCTTCTGCCATTGGGAGAAGAAGTCCCGCGCATGCTTTCCCTCCTCAATGTTGAGGGAGTCGTACGTGCCGAGCGCCACGGCCCAATCGTAGTCATCCGACTGGCCGTAGTCGTACTTGGGCGACGTCGGGATGATGATGCGTGTGCCCATGGTAGGGCGGATATGCTTGCTGAGATCAGGCCATGCCTGGTCCGCGAGCTTGGTCCTGAAGGGCTCAAGGTCTGCGCGGCCGCCCGAGACCTGTCCCAGGCCGACGCGGGAGGTATCCACCCAGGTAGGGTTCAGGACGGCTCCCCTGGGGACCCGGAATGGCTCAAGGGCCTTTGTGTCGGTGCGCTCGACGTGTCCGAAGCCAACGCGGGGGGTGTTCACCCATATAGGGTTGAGAATGGCTCCTCCGGAGAAAGGCGGAGGAACCGCGCGATGATCGGTGGCCAGGGTCTCGCGGCCCTGTTGCTGTAGGGGAGCCGCCTGCTATTGTACAGACCTCGTGAGTACAGATCCATATACGATTGAGATCGACAACTTGACTTACCGACTGGGAATCCTTACTCTTGGTCGTATATTGTTCTGTACTCCAAGAGCTCGTCGAAGAGTTCCTGGAATGCTGGTAGGCGTTGCATTGGATCCGCGCAAGAGGGACCGGGATTCCAGGTGGATGATCAAGGTGCTTGTGTGCAGACCCTTGGACACGTGCAAGCGGGATTGGAATCCCTGGTGGATGGGCAAGATGCCGGTGAGCATTTCCCTGCTTGCATGCCAGAGGGATAGGAATCCCAGGCGGATGATCGAGTTGGCGGTGAGCGTTGCCATGTTTTCTTGCGAGAGGAATAGGAATCCCCGGTGGATGAGCAAGGTATCGAGCGTTGGACGCATGGTTCGACGATGGAACTGTGGAAAAGTGCGAGATGTCCGTACTCGCGACGGTAGTGGCGTTGCGAGTAAGTATAGATTCGGCGTGGACTGCGGTAATTTGGTGATCGGAATTCATGCTTGTCATTGTAGGATCGCAATACGAAGTCAAATGCGTAGTCGATTGCGCACACGGTGCTGAGGGTGGGGCAACGGGGAGGGACAGTGTCGAGTGCTGAGAGTGCGACGACGGAAGCAAACGCGCCTGTGGCTCTGTCCTTTGTGCTTGGGCGTCTAACTGATCGCGATATGCCGGGAGGCCTGTACTACGCCCTTATCGTCCTCGCTGATCCCACGATCGTCGTTCCGGTGAGTTGTCTGCCCAGATCCCATATACGCATGTCTTACAGCTTGATAATTGTAGCTTCCACAATACTTCCAAGCTGCGAGCAGCATTGTCTCTAGATTATCAACACCGTCCAAGTCTCCTGACGCCATGGTCAAGTGCGATGGCTTGTGGACGCAACTGTTTGAAATCAATGTCAGTGCGTCGGACGACGTACTGGTCGTTTCTCTAATTTGCTGTACAGCCTAGAGAATCTCGTACATCTGCACAGTACGTCATCCGTTCGCTGCACGCAAGAGCATGATCGTCCACAGCGATCTCAAGGGTACATACTATATTTCGGCGGGGATCGCATAACATTGCCTCCACGATCCATCGCGTGATCATTATCTTCGCCCTGCCAGGAATATTGCACGATTGGCAGCACTACGACGACGAGGTGCACATTGCTACCATCCATGAGCCCATATGATCATTTTCATAGCCAGATCGCATGACATTGCGAGTCGGTCGTGAGTGATGTCCTCCCTTCCATGCAATGCACGGTCAATGACGCGCACCGCTGTGTGCTGTTTATGATCAGGTTCGGAGAGCACGCTGTATAATCTAGTCTCCGTTGCCGACCATAAAAGAACGACAAGCGCGTTTATGAGGTATATATATAATCCTGGATACTGAGTTGCCGCCTCTTCGTATGCAACGCGCAGACGGCTCCGAGTCTGAGCGGCCCGGGTAATGTCCGCTTGCATAAAAGCGCCGGACGGACCAGCGGCGACGCCGACGTCGTTCACTGAGCTGTCTCAAGATCTCAAGTTCAGCCATTCCTATTCGTAAAATTCGTCTAATTCTATGCGCTGACCCACCTAACGGGTGATCGCTAGGTGACAGTCGTTCTGAACGCCAACGGCCCTACTGATAATGGTGCTGCCGACCACTGGGTCATGCTAAAATTGGTGAGGAGAATAATTGACTAGTTGCCGTCGAAGGAGAGACACAGGCCTCAGGATCGACTGGAGTGCCCCAGGGCAGAGATTCCTTCCCCGCCCCCAGGAATACGGTGAGCCCCACGCTGCGCGTGACCGTTACAAAGGCATAACTACATCACAACGTACTGCTGCGATGCGCTCGTGACATCGCGTCAACTGCAACGAGATATAGTCGGACACGGTGTACCTCCCGCCCTTTCTCGTTGCTGCTGCATTGCCACGGATTCGCCGCGCTATATCATCCCATACTGCCCGCCTTCGAAAACATATATGGCTTACAGTTCCGATTGTTCACGCAACAGAGGCCCCAGTGCAAGCTCCGAGTAGAGTGGTCACACATCGACACGCAGGAATTCGAGCGGAAGGCAAGATAGGACGTTGGGAGTGGCTGAGAGTGTTGCTGCATCTTGAGTCGGTGCTCATTATGCTCATTCCCCCGCTAGGAATGATGCACGAAAGCGGTGAGGCTTAAGCGCTAAGCGCTAAGCTCTCCGAGTCTAGGACGATCAACGGCAGCGCAGCGATTATTCCGCTCATCCGCCAGTGCACCTCGATCCTCGTGTCAGCTCTCCGCGCGTGCTTGAGAACGGCCCGACAGGCTCTACAACGTCCTCGACGGCCGTTCGAGATTCATCGAGATGAACCTATTCCAGATGCTAACCTTCGCCTTGTTCAGCCTCGCACGCCTCAGCACTAGACTCCGTGCTCCGGGGCCCCGGGTTCGACACGACCGGTACTGCGGCGAAGGGCCAGGCGTGGGATATAATGATGGAGGTCGCGCGAGCAGATCGAAGGGACCGACGCAGACTTTGTTTTCGTCGAGCGAATGCGGAGATTGGTTCAGGCGGCGGCAATGTCCAGTCGTGGCGGTGGTCGACGAGGGTCGACATGCAGTCGACTGCGAGCGCACGAATGTCAATCAGTTGTCTCACGAGATCGCTGACACCGATCGTGTCTGTCTGGCGTAGGACTGGCGTAGACCACGCCGCAAACCGTTTCATGGCATCAGCGGCGGCAGCCACTGGCTGTGGTCGACGCGCAGATCTGAGATCTTTGTAGACGCCCGGAGGTGAGTGGCGTCGCCCAACGCGGACGCACGCCACCGGGGCCAATTCCTCCTCCTAGCCTACACTCAATTACATCGCTCATCTCTAAGTGACATTCAACTCAAGCATCTCCGTCGGAAACTGCCCTCGCAGCAGTCTCTAACAAGGCGAGAGCACCGAGCGGGCTCTTCGACGGGGCGGGAACCCAGGTTTCATCTTCCCACGTTGCCATCACTGATCAGTGTGGCTGCTTGCATTGTCCTCCCGATTTGGCAGGCCCTGCTGAACTTGTACGACCACGTCCACGGCAGGCACCGCGGTGCGTTGTTCTTTCTGACTCACCGGCCACACCGCTGAGTTTGAAATCAGGTAGCCACGCTCTTCTCTGATCACGCGCAGGCGTGTATATAAACATGGACGCGCCCCAGGTGCAATGTTGTCGTCCGCTCCCATTCGCAGGCATCTGGCCACCGCTCTCTCTGTGCACAGAGCGACCGGATCATCCTCTAGCTTTCTTCATCGTCAACGTTCAATCAGCGGAGGCCTCACAAGACTCTCCCCGTCCCCGTCCTCGTCCCCGTCGCAAGATGTGGTTCCTGACATCTGCGCCGCCCGGCCCCCGGGAGCCTCGTACTCCTCCCAAGAAAGAGAAAGGGAAACGTAGGGAGGAGATTTTCTTTGTTTTGATCATCACGCTAACTCGGACTTTAAGGGCCCAAAGTTGTCCAATCTACACCCCACCAGATCAAGACCGTCGATAGCGTTCAGGATGCCAGCGGCTACATCTCGAAAGACAGGCACGAGAAGTTCATTCGCCGCGAGTACACCGACAAGATCCATTGGGACTTTGACGTCGAAACGCTCATACTTGCTGTTTTCCGCTTCGGCTGGCAGCACATACCCCCGACTCCGTACCGCAGTGCTGGCGCGAGCGCGAAGGACGCAGAGCACTATTCGCTCTTGGGAGGCGATATCAGGGCGTACCGTAAAAGCGAAGAGAGACCCAGCTATAAACCATTGAATCTCATATCAAATGGGTTATTGACGCAGCTCTACGGCCCGGACGATGAAGGACGTCGCTCCACTCGTCAAGCGGATAATGATATCGACCGCCATGGGCAACGGCTCGACGATATCAAAGCGCACTGGGCCCTCTCTGGTCGTGACTCCAGGCCGCGCACGTATGCGGGTCGTCTCATCACCCACGACTGCGAAGCTGTCAACTCTTACAAGTCAAAAGACAAGCCGGACGGTACCTACGGCATTGCGCGAGGCAAGCCCGTGTGGGAGTGGGAGGTGGTCCCCATAGAGGTCGGGAAGGACAAGGAAGATATCAAGAAGACGTTGCGAGATATATTTGTCCGCTGCGAGAATGGTATATTCACCATAACGGTTCGCCTCATTCTGCCCTACTCATGATCACCAACTGATATACCCAAAGCAGGCGACTCGTCGCAGCTCCCAAGCCGAGCGCGAAGCAGCTGGAAATGGTCCTGCTGACAAGACCGGGTCGGACCGTGAAGGCCAGTCCGTAGTGGAGACTGGGAACGAGGCGCCTGAGGACGAGGTGGCGTCGGAAGCTGAGGTCGAGGCCCTCCTCGAAGACGAGACCCAGAATGTACATACGTCGACCGGACACGTACCGCAGAAGACCAGCGTTGCCGTTTCCGTGAGCAAGCGGAAGCGCGCGGCCGAGGAGGAGATTCCGACACTCGGTTCCAAGCGTGCGCGTACCACATCCGAACCATCTGGCGGACACCGCCGCATGTCCTCCAAGGAGGTCCAAATCGTGCGATACGTGAACCATATCATGTCGTCCAATGTGCGCTCGTATGCTGTCGGACTCCTCATCGAGGGGAACAAGATGCGACTCGTCTATGGTGACCGCATGGGTCTTGTGTTCACAAAAGCATTCGAGTTCCTGGACAAGGAAGCCCCTCTGTTTCTCCTGGTTCTTGCCGCCATGGGAGGTGCAGGCGTACACGACTTGGGGGTCCATCCGTCCCTCATCTTCAACCAGACCATCGATCAACGAGATATCTTCCACTTTGCAAGTGGCTATACTTTGTCCGACGCGCTTGTTCGACTAGAGGTTCAAGATGCACAGGGCGCCTCACACCAGCTCGAGTTCGATATCGACAGCGATGAACCGGACGAGATCCGCCCAGTCGACACCGCGTTCGGTCTCATCGGTCGAGGGACGACCATCATCGCTGTCAAGGCCAGGCGTGGCCCTGCGCTGGAGATGTGCGGGTCGGAACCGCTCGTTGCGAAGGTGGCGTGGCCACACAAGGCGCGTCAGGCCGAAGACAGGATGATACGTACTGTACGTCAGCAGTTGGCCGCGAAGAAATCAAAATACCTGGAGCATGTCGTGGACTTGAAGTGCGCCGTCACGAAGAGCATCGAGGAGATGGGGCTGCCCCGTGTCGCGATGGGGATCATCCCCGAGGAGCAAGACCGGCGCGTCTGCCGCACTCTAATCCTCAAGCGCTACCAACGTTTGGAGGCCATTGGGTCTGCGGAGGGTTTCCACATCGTGTTTGTGGATGTCGTTCGTGGTGCGTCATATCTAGTGCGAAGCTAGAGTTCGGTCTGACGAGTCCTTTAGCTCATTACTGGGTGTACGAGACGTCGAAGATACTTCACCGCGATATCAGCATCAACAACGTCATGTGGTTTATCAAGGACGGGCAAGTCATCGGCGTACTTTGCGACTGGGATCTCGCGGAAGATCATAGCAACGGCGATGTTCGGTCTGCTCGACCTGCAAAAGCGATGAGCGCTTCGTGGTTACCATGGAGGAGCACGGATGCGACGACGCCCAATTCGTCGAACGAACCGCAGAGTCAAAGCAACGCGGAGCAAGTTACGGGGTCGACGACTGTGCCACCGGAGGGCGACCATATGAAAAAACCGAGGTACCGCACCGGTACTGGCCCGTTCATGGCGCTGGACCTTCTGCGCGAAGGGAATCCTCCATTGCACAAGTATCGCCACGACCTTGAATCGTTCTTCTATCTCTACGCCTACGCCGCAGCTGCGTACGACCCGACGAACAAAGCATTCGAGCATATCGAGCAATGGCAACACGTTTCGCTCATTGACATCGGGCACAGCAAGTACAGGTTCCTCACAGATCTCCGGGAATTCAACAACGTCTTCGGGAAGGCACACGAGGCGTTCAAGCCCTTGCTCGAACCAGGCAGCTTCTTGAAGCAGCTTCGCTTGGAGTTCGCGGACATCGAGTACGAGATGGACACGATCAAGCGCTTGGTGAACCGAGAAGCTTCAACTGATTTGACCGAACAGATTGAGAAGGTACAGCAGAAGAGGGACAAGATGATGACGTACAAGAAGTTCATGGAGATATTGGGAGCACCGGAGGACGTCTAAGTAGTATGCTCGCTGGTCATGTAATCTCAGTTTGTAGTATTCAGCATACAGGTGGAGGCAGAATCAGCAGTGGACTGTTCGTAATCCCTCATGTCACGAATATCGTATTATCAAGTACTTTGATTCAGACAGATGTCTGCCAACCCGGACACTGCTTTGCATACTGGTCGCCGTCCTGCGCGAAGAAGGGTCAACCGGTCACACGTCGCAGCACGTCGCATTGAAGGGCATGCCTTTCGCTGCGGGTACTGCCATGCTACTATTACATACAGCGGCTTGTCATTTGACGACGGACAGCAGGGGCAGAGATGAACGGGCCAGGAGTCAGCTTTCCGGACATGCGGAGACCGATGGGGGCGTCGCAGATGTTGGGGAACAGCCTAGAAACGGGGACACGCGCGAGGATGCAGGTAGTGAGGAAGTTGGCCATATCGAATCGTGGCTAACATGTTCCATGACCGCACGGTATGCCCGTTCCACAGCGGCCCATGACGAGGTTCGTGATACCCAGGCTTCCCAGGAGCCCACCAATGGTATAGAAAAGGTCACCACGGACTCGGAGAAGGTCGCGTCAGCCTTGGCCATGGACTCGATGCGCCACTGCTGGCAGTGGCAGGCGGGCATGCCCAAGGCGCGGCAGGTGAGGGACTCGGATCGAGCTCGGAGATGCCAGTGATTCCTGATTCCTGAGGCCTGAGGCCTTGAGGGAACATACGGCCCACAGAGTACTTGTCGGAGTACGTTGCTCACGATCCGCCGTCCGGACTCGACGATTGAGCTGAGGCGCAGATCTGATATCCCCACTCATGCCAGCGGAGGTGAGGCCTGAGGCCTGAGGCCTGAGGAGGCCTGAGGCCTGAGCGCTGGCACCGTCAAGAAGTCGAGACGCGCGTGCGCTATCGGCCGGTGGCTAAATGGACCCCCCCCCCCGGCTGTGATGACAGGTGGGTCTTAGCTTCATCGGGGGGCACGCTCACGATCTCCTCTGTGGTCGGCGCACTCTTCCTCCCTAACCTGCTGTCCTGCCCGAGTACACTGCCGCACTGGTTCACCTCGGCCGGGGTGCGACCTCGGACGCGCCGCGCCGCGCATATGCAACGATGCCGGCTCGCCCGATGCAGACCCGAGTGCGGACGCGGGCATCTGGCTCGCGCTCGCGGACGCGAAGGTATGGAGTCTCGCGCTCGCGCTCGCGAGCCTGGTCGTCGCGCGTTCGGTTTAATACGTTCTGCCCGACCCTCTGTCTGACGATGTGGTATGGGGATTATACGTACATTTATCACGTCTTAATATTCGATCCTGCTACTCACTCTCTCTTAGTAAAGCATCCCGCGCGGTACAGGCTCTGTGTTCGCGGGTCGGATGACCGTGGCGACGCCGGAAAGGACACGCGGGCTATTGGCACGAGCTTGGCCGTCTCCCGAATTCGTGGCGCATGTTCTGCATCATATTCGCGAACGCTGACCCCCTGACAATAACAGTGCTGCAATATCCTCGTAAATGGGGCGTCGACGCAGATGGAGATGGCCACGCAGAGCGACTGTGTGCTCAGCTTCCGCAAGGGCGACGTCGTCACCATTCTGACGAATATCGGTCGCCGCACAGTTCTGTTGAGCTAACTCTGCCCCGCCGATCTAGCCGAAGAACGTCACCTTCACCGCCTACAAACCTTGGGCTACGTCGACGTCCACGACCAAGTAAGCACGCCTCCGCTCGTCTCTGATGCTGTATATGTCGATGTTCATGTTCGCACCCACCAATGCAAGTACACACGTATGATCATTCAAATACGAAAGTCGAGTCCAGGGGAGTGAATGTGAGGAACAGGAACCATAAATACATGCCAAGCGGAAGCCAACGCTACACGTAACGTTTCAGACACCCTCTTCTTCGGGAACCCCCAGCAGCTCCATGAATATGCTAAACGACATCTTTGCCTCCCTCTCCTTCTCTATCTCCTCGATCTTGGCCCGGTTGCGCGCCGACAACTTGCGACTAAGTCCGAGAGTCGTGATGTTGTGCCAATCAGTCTCGATCTCGCAGAATCGATACAAGAGTTCCATCAGGGGAGCCTCGTCGCCGGCCAGCAGCGGCTTCAGAGTATCGTGGGCGGCTTTCATGACGCCGATACGAACTTTCTCGTCGAGGAGGAAGTCATGTTTGTTATGTCCGATTTCGACGAGAGAAGCGCACTGCCATTCCTTGATGTAGCCGAAGGCCTGTTCTTCTGGGTTGTATGTCGCAGCAAAGTAAACATAGCCGTAAAGGAACGACTCTAGGTCGTGCCGATACTTGTGGACGGGTGGATCGCCCCTGCGCAAGAGGTCCAGTGCCATAAACGGACCCGTGCCCGTGCGGTACCTTGGCTTGACCACGGGTTGGGATTCTGTCTGCGTGTTCGACGGTCCCGCGCCCTCCAGATTTTGGGGCTGTTCCGTTGCTTCACCCTCGGCGATGGATGGCAGACTCGGTTTCGTCGTCGACTGCGCCGCTGGTTCTGGTTCTGGTGGCCAAATCACTGCAGCAGCGTCACCAGCACGACGAGTGGGTCTGTTGTCGCCCGTACTCTGGTCTTCCGCAAGGTCCCAGTCGCAAAGGACACCGATGATCCGCCCGTCTGGCAGTCGATACCACATGATGTTGTTGAGGCTTATATCACGATGCAGGATCTTCGACGTCTCGTACACCCAGTGATGAGCTGCCACAATGACAGTTAGACGAAGATAGGCCTCGAAATTCACTATGCACGTACCACGAACGACATCAATGAACACGATGCGGAAGTTCTCTCCGGATCCGATGGTCTCCAGGGGCTCGTACTCCTTGAGGACCAGAATGCGGCAGACTCGTAGCTCATCTGCCCCGGGAACGATGCCCAACTTGAAACGAGGGAGGTGCATCTCTTCCGAGTCTCCGCTCTTCGTCATCGAACACTTGAGGTCCACGATGTGCTTCAAGTAGTTCGGCTTGCTGTCCGCCAGACGTCTGCGAACGGCCTTGATCATCGCGTCCTCCGCCTTCCGGACAGCGTGCGGCCAGGCCACTTTGGCAACAAGAGCCTCCGATCCGAACAGCTCTTCCGTCTTCGTGCCGGGCGCCGCAACCACGGGAATGACCGTCGTCCCTCGTCCGATCATGCCAAACTCGGTGTAGATCGTGCGGCGTTGGCTCGACTCCGAGTCTTCCAGTGCTCCCTCCACCGTCTCCGAGGCTCCCCGGCTCGCTCGCTGCGCACCGCTCGTTGCAGTCTTCTTCTTCTCCTTCTTCGCCCGGTGCATGTCCCTCATGTTGCTCTCGCTGACATCGAAATTGAACTCGACATCGACGGCGGTCCCCTCGTCAAGTTCGACGGCAAGTCGAAGCTTCGAGCCTCGATACCCATTGTCCAGACAGAACTGGTCGTGCCCGTGCGCATCCTTCGGGTAGTGGACGCACGGGTGAATCCCCAGGTCGTGCACATCGGCGGTCCCCATGGCGGCGAGAATCAGCAAGAGCAAGCTCGCGTCCTTGTCCAGAAAATCGATCGGCTTCGTGAAGATGATTCCCATTCGGTCGCCATAGACAAGCCTCAGCGTGCCGGAGTCGACCAGCCATGCGATCGTATACGACCGTACGTTGTGGGACATCACCTGATTCATGTACCTCAACACCTGTGCCTGTTTGCCGATTATCTTTGATCCTTCAGAGGCAGCAGAAGGCGACTCTGAGTCGGGCTGATTCTTGCTGCGCTTGCTCTTGGTATTCAGAGCCTCTTCGGCTTCTCGCTTTCGCTTGCTGCTCGACGATGTCGACGACTGGCCTTTCTTCTTTGTCTGCGTGGGCTGCTTCCCAGGAACGTAATCTGCATCATCGTCGCGAGCGGCTTTGGACGATTTCCCCTTTGCCTGGCCACGACGATCAGGCATCTGGGGAGGGGGTCAATGAGATCCCAGTCGCGCGACTCGCACGCAAGAGCACAAAAAGAGAACACACCTCCACAACAAACGTCTTCTGTTTCTCGTCCCAGCGAAGCAGTATATCGCTCAGAGAATCTATGATTTCCTTGCGTTTCGCACCCGTCTTCCCTTCCATTTTGAACTCCATCGGAACCAGCTCCCACTCCCAGAAGGGTCTGCCGGCCGTCGTGCTGTACGCAAGGTCCGGCTTTTCATCAATACCGAAGTTGCCCACTGCCTTGACATCCCGGATCTCGAACCTTGCTGGCCAGGGGCGCATAACTTGACCGTTGCGCGAAGAGTTGTTGGCCCATCGCCGCTGGAGGGCTTGACGTCTAGCCACAAGGCTCTCGTCGGGAGCTTTGCCGGTCGAATGCGGGCCATATAGCTCCTCCAGAAGCGCGTCCCCTGCGCGAGCGAACGGCTCATAACCATTCCTCTCGTTACCCTCCCAGTATTTCTTGAGTTCGACCTTGGATATAAAGTACTTCTCGGGGGGGATATCCTTCGTGTTCGATGGGTCACGATAGGGCTCCCGCAAGGCCTCAATGTCGGTCCACTGGCAGCCGAATACCGCACGAACAAAGTCCTCGACATCAACGTCCCAGTGAGTGTAGTCTTTGTATGCGCCCTGAATGTAATGCTGGTGATCGTCCGAGAGTATCTTGTTACCAGGGCGAGTGGCCGTCTGAAGTACATGGTAAGGACTGCCTCTAGCCGGCGTGGCGGTGATCTGCGTTTCTGCTGCAATGAACACAGTGAGTGCAAGGATCAGTACGGTCAAGATATCTCACTTACGCTCTGTTTGTTTCTCCTTCCCTTTCGACGGTGTCCTGGGCAATGCAGACTCGGACTGTTTACTACCCATCGTTGAGCGGGCGAAGAGCCGAAGTGAAGAAAGCTCTAGTGATCTATCCTGGACGATGACGAACGCCCGAGGGTGGTGTGGCGGCTCTGCGCGGAGGGAGAGTTGTGGCCAGATGCCTGCGAGTGGGAACGGACCACATTGTACCTGGGGCGCGTCCATGTTTATATACACGCGTACGCGTGGTGAGTGAAGAGTGTGCTAGAGTGTGGCTGCCCGAATTCAGACTCAGCGGTGTGGCCGGTGAGTCACAGAGAACAACGCACCGCGGCGCCCGTCGTGGACGTGGACGTACAAGTTCAGCAGCGCTTGCCAAATCGGGGAGACAATGCAAGCAGCCACACTGATCAGTGATGGCATCGTGGGAAGGTGCAACCTGGGTCCCCGCCCCGCCGAAGAGCCTGCTCGATGCCTTCTGTCAGAGACCTGGCGCAGCCAGTCTCTGCATGTGTTGCTGCTTGAGTGATTTGTTCGCAGCAAGCGGTGCTGAGTGCAGGCCAGGGCGGTTGGACCAGGGTTGGCCACTCACCTCGGGCGTCTAACGGCTCAGCCATAGATCTCAGATCTGCGCCTCGACATGTCCGGACATAGGCAATGTCCAAATCTGTGAGGCTGCAGTGCCATGGCAGCGCTGCATTGTCTCAATGTGAGTGTCCGACTGCCTCATTGAGGACGCTTGCGTCAGTATGCCATATTCAAGGCATCTCATAGGCTGGGAAGTGCACATGCGGCTACAACCTTGAGACAGTTTCAAAGTAGCGTGTCGTACGCAAGACGGCCACGGTTGGAGTCAGCAGTCTCCGGGTCAATTGGTGCCGTGCGTCGAGGAAATACAACGGCATTCGTGCTCTCGCATTAGCTTGAACTATACGTCGACTACTGTAACGACGGCATATCGAACTGGGCCTCCTCCGAGTCCTCCTCCACCCTCTGCGCAGAGCCGCCAGATCATCATCAAGGCCCCTCTTCCTCTTCATCTTCAAATCTCAATTTATCCGCCTCTCGCCATCAGGTCGTGCAGTTCTCGAAGTCTGCAACGCCTGATCCTTACCAGCTACACAAGCCGCGTCAGCCCGAGGATAAGACGATACGCACTATTCGTCAGACATTGGCCGGAAAGAAAGGGAAAAATCCGAAGCATACTATGGACCTGAAGTGCTCTGTCACGAAGAGCACTGAGGAGATGGGACTACCCCGGGTTGCAATGGGGGTCATCCCGGAGGAGCAAGACCTGCGCGTCTGCCGATCTATCATCCTCAAACGTTACCAACACTTGGAGGCCATCGGGTCCGCGGAGAGTTTTCACACAGTGTTTGTGCATGTCGTTCGTGGTACGTCATAACTGGTCTGATAGTATGTATAGCGCGTTCTGACGAACTTTGTAGCTCATCACTGGGTGTACGAGACGTCGAAGATACTTCACGGCGATATCAGCATCAACAATGTCATGTGGTTCATCAAGTACGGGCAAGTCATCGGCGTGCTTTGCGACTGGGACCTCGCGGAAGATCATAGCAACGGCGACGTTCGGTCTATTCTACCCGCAGAAGCGGTGGGCGCTTCGTTGCCACCAGGAACGAGCACGGGCGAGAAGATGGCCAAGCCGTCGAACGAACAGCAGAGTCAAACCAACGCGGAGCAAGTTCCGGGGCCGACGACTGTGCCATCGGAGGGCGACTATATGCAAAAACCGAGATACCGCACTGGGACTGGCCCGTTCATGGCGCTGGACCTTCTGCGCAAAGGAAACCCCCCAGTGCACAAGTATCGCCACGACCTCGAATCGTTCTTATACGTCTACGTTTACACCGCCGCCGGGTACGATCCGACAAATAAAATATTCCGACCGATCAAGCAATGGCAGCTCGACTCGCTCGTCGCCATCGGCCAGGCGAAATTCTGGTTTCTGGCAGATGATGAGGAGAACGCGGCCGTCTTTTCCTCCGCGCACGAAGAGTTCAAGCCATTGTTGAAGCCGGGGACTTTCCTGATGCGGCTCGTGTCCCTCTTCAGAGCCCTTGAGCGCAAGATGGACAAGATCAAGGATGTCAAGAGCAATGCGAGGTACCTCGGTTCCGCAGAAGATGTCGAGGCCAAGATTTGTAAGGCTGAGAGGAAGAGGGACGAGATGGTTACATACAGTAAGTTCATGAGCATACTCGGAGCGTCAGAGGATATATAGACTCGATTGTCTGTCCCCTCTACGGCACTTGTATTGGTTTTCGCATCTGTTCAAAGTATACACAACGCGAGCGTAATCGTCATCTCTCCTTTCCTTGACTAGATTTGTTACTAAATGACGTGTTCCATCCACCGGATTGATACGTAATGTCTTCTATAGTAACACACCATGTCGTTCACCACCATATGCTCTCAGCTCACGGCCTTCGTGTCATATTGTGTATACTAGTGTGCCATCACAACGACGAACATGCTATTGATTCATATTTCCGCGCCCTCTCTTCTGTACAAACCACTGCGCCAACTGCGGCGCCGGCCGCCGAAGTTGACGTACCAACCAAACATCAAATAATCCCATGACCCGAGCCCTATAATACACGTATGATCCAGCTTTGGAGAACCAGCCCCGATACACCCTGAACAGCACGAACGTGCAGAACGCGAGCAGAGCGGCGGACACGTAGAACACGCGGCCCTCCTTGTCCTCGGGAGTCGGCGCCCCCCGAGAGCGGCGCAGCGGGAGGACTCATAATCACGGTTGCCCGATATACCCCCCCCCCCCTCCTCCTCCTCCTCGGTTGAGCGCCACCTCCGAATAGCGGGCAGTCAGTCACACCGTAGGCGCGAGACCTTCATCCACGGACTACATACTTAGTGGGTAACGGTAGGCGTCTCATTCCCCGGGCCGAATCCCGATCTAGATGCTGTGATGATATTGTTTGATACTACGCACGCGATTGCATGTGCCACATCGTGTGTGTCTTTCGTACTAAGCCGCGGACGAGGTGGCAAGACTGGCGGGAGCGTGAATGCATGCGGGATGAACTTCGTATTTTAGAGATAATGCGTTCACCGAAACGCCGTAGACCCGCAGCAAACATAAGCAGCTAATGGCAGACAGCTTCTATTCGTCCCTGTTGGATGACACAGCACAAACACAGCAAACAAACCGGAACTTCACACGCAGCACACAGTGTTTGTATACGTCTCACTTCCATCATAACGCGTGGATAGATAATACAATTCGTAAGGCTACACCGTAGTAGGCCTCGGAGGATCCTGACACGTACAGCTGCTAGGCAAGTTACAGTTCTGCTGATGCGGTGGGTTCGGTGATCATGTCGCTTGTTACATAGCTCAGTTCCGACGTCAGCCCCCTTTGCATGAGCCAGGCTCCCCGTGCCCTTGTCTTGTACAAGCCCAGGCACGTTCCTCGCCCGGAGCGAGGAATATCGAACGGCCTCACTGCGGCACAGAGCAGACGACACCGAGCTTGACCGAGCCCACGCCCAACGCCTCCATGACCGAGACGCCAGAATCCATGCTCCACCTGAAGCCGTTTTGGGCACCCGTTGGCACGGCGCTGCGCGTCAGCTGGATCGGGGGCTGACGAGGCGCAACGCAGCGAGGTGGTTCTGGCCGACTGTGGACCTGAGCGACAGTGCACACACGAGCGTGTGGGACGACGGCGAACAGCACGTCTGAAACGGCCGCGGGCGCGGCGGGAGCAGGGATGAACGGGTGGGGAGGCAGCTCTCGGGGCGGACGAAGACCGACGTGCGCGTCAGAGATGCTGGGGAACAGCCCGGAGACGGGGACGGTGCGCGCGGAGACGCAGGCAATGTTGAGGTCGTCCATGTCGATCGGCCCACAGATAGGCTGCTCGGCCTCTGTCGTACGTCCGTTCCACCAGAACTCGAGGTCTTCCTTTGGGAGCACAGGGAGTGCCTGGCCGCGGAAGAGTGCACTGACATCGAATGCAAGGATGCGAGAACCAGGCACAGGCTTTGCGGTAAGACACGGGGGAGCGAGCTTGAGGTGTCCCTCGCCGAGTGCGCGGCTGACATTCGAGTTAGAGACCAGGTCCAGGTACTGCTTCTGGGTGAGCCCGAGGGAAAGACCGCGTGTCAGGTATAGTGACGGAACTCTGTAGAGCGGAGGCATGAAGGTAGCCATGCAATGAGCATGAGTGGGAACGAGGGATCCCTGACGCGAGACGAGGCTGACAACGATGTCGAGGTACTGGACAACCGCGACCGGGCCGGAGGCAGGAGCAATGACCTTGGTCTCCGAGCTGTCCTGCTGGGAACCTATGACGGTGCTTACCAGGGACATGATGCTGAGGAAATCGAGCAGGTCCTGAAGATCAGAATGTCAATGGCGGTCTCTTTTCATGCATCCCAATTTGACTCACCTTGGTTGAATCAGAAGGGTCTGGGAAACGGGGAGGTCCTTCGTAGACGGCGACGGCGGGTATGTCTTCTATAACCATCGGAGGGAGGGTCGCGGAACGAACCGCGAAGACTTGAAGATCGACGATGGAGATGAGAGACAGAACGTCGGCGAAGGTGAAGGAGGCCAGGTAGGTGAAGATGACGATCAGCGTAGCGCGTAAGATATAGACGACCTCTCCGCCGATGTCAATGAGAGCACCGAGGAGGAGGAAGCCGATGAGGAGGTGCAGAATGGACGCGAAGGCTTCCATGGTTAAGACTGTACACGAGGGCGGGTTGCTGTGGAACGAGACAAGATTGAGGTGAGTGTCGACGCACGTTGGGCGGGCCTTAAATAGCGTCGAACCGAGGCTGACAGAGAGGCTCGCATTGCGGCTACCAGGAGCGGTAGGCAGCCTTCGCGGTCAGCCATGGTTGACGGCGGCTGGCCGGGGCTGACCATTGGGTACACCTGCCAAATTGGGAACGTGCACTTCGAGGGACAGTTGTGGAGGATGTCTTGATTCGGCAAGGGGCTAACGAGGGTACGAATGGTCACGCAGCTTAAGAGGAGAGCAGATGACTGCATTTCAAGTTGACGATAAATCATGATGTAAGATAGTACCTTTCGATCATTCGTAGTGGTCTTCGTCGGTTTGAAATTTGAAGGCGCCGCGACACCGTGTACCAGTAGTAGAGCAAGCTTGTTTTCTGCACCAGACACGGACGGGTAACCGAGTTCAAGTTCCGCAATGGGACGCATAGCAAGTGAAACGCCTCGAGAGAGACAGCCAATGAAAGTACCGTTGTGCGAAACGATTGGGATCCTCAGTTCGATGGGCTTGAGGGGCCTCGGAGAACACAGCGCTAGGGCTTCCACTGAGGTCCCTCTGATGGAACCTACACGCGCTGCAATGAGAGCTAGAGTGCAGCTGGGCCAGGCTATAGTGAGCAGTGAGACTGCAGTGAGAACTCGGAAGCGACACTACGACGACCGCTCCGAGTCGTACTAGTCCACAAAAGGCAATTCCCGCCGATCCCTTTGCTTCGATCGCTTTTCTCGCGCAAGCGCTCGTATCATCCTTGCCGTTCGTACGCGACTTGGAGTTGATATTCACCTTCCCTTGCTGTCCCCACTATGCCTCGCGAGAATCGCAAAAGAGGAAAGAAACATAAAAAGTCCAAAGAAGAAGAGTACCATGCCTCGAATCACCAGGCAGAGGAGCTTGAGCCTCAAGTCGCCGAGGAGCAGCAACCTGCAGGTCCGTCATGGATTGTGCGCAGGCAAGCGGAGGAGGAGAACAAAGAGGCGCCATTTGGATACGTCGACGCGGAGGTGAAGGCGTACTTCCGCACGGTGGACTTGCAGATCCGCGACTGGCAGGAGCAGGGCCGTCCCGATTTGGGCGGGGACGAGGAGTCGGATCCAAACGAAGGTGCGTCCCATGGTTTACGACTATGGTAAAACAGGTGTCCGACAACCTTTATAGACAGGCGACTGTTCTTTGTTGCTGCACTGACAGAGATGGAGGGGAAGGAAAAGCAGCTCGCGACAGATCCGGACTGCTCGACTGTCCTGGAGAGGATGATCCATTCGATGGACGACTTCGTGCGCAGAGTGTTCATGGACCGTCTGAGCGGATCGTAAGTACTCATGAGTTATCCTGCTACGCTTCAATGCAAGCGCGGACTCTGCGTGTAGCTGACTGACGTACGAAGGTAGGTTCGAGCAGCTCGTAACGCACCGGTTCGCATCACACGTATCCCAAACCTTGTTCTCGGTCGCCGCAGATACGATATACAGAGAGGTACGCCCCATGCTCATTTATCTCTTCCTTCCAAGTCCTCATCTACACTGGCTGTAGTCCCGAGGTATCCTCCCCTCCTCGCCGGAAGACGCCAATGACAAGGGCGAGCTTCGTACCCTCACTCAGCTCGTCCTCGACGTCTGCGACGAACTTCTCCCCACACTATCCTCCCTTGTCCTCGACCCCTTCGCCTCGCACGTCATCCGCGCCCTCCTGCTGACCCTCGCCCCCGCGTGCTTCCTACCCGACGCGCGCGAGCACGCCGTACGCTCGAAGAAGAGCGCGGCGTGGAAAGCCAGGCAGGGCTCGATGAAGTCTGTGTTTGTGGAACAGCAGGAGGGCGTGAGCGCGGACCCCAAGAAGGCCCGGGTACCCGGAGAGTTCAGGAAAACGGCTGAGCGGTTTGTGAGGGCGCTGAGGGAGCAACTGGGCGAGAATGAAGTACGTGCATTGGCGGCGGACAAAGTCGCCAGTCCGGTCTTGCAGGTGCGTTCAACTGTGATATGTAGTTGTAGACATGATTTTGACGTGCGCTTCAACGCGCGAAGATGCTCCTGGAGATCGAAGCCGAATATGATATGGCGGAAGAAGCGGGCTCGCTCATGGATAGCGCTCTCGTCGGAATGATTTCCTCCTTGAGTACGTAGCGAGTTGCTCCACTCACCGACTATCCGCTGCCCCTTCGCCCTGTACTCATCACTCCACTTCAGAGCAGAATCCCGACGCGGAACATGAACCCTCCGACTATCTCAATACCCTTCTACGGGATCCGACCGCCTCTCACCTCCTCGAAACGCTCGCGCGGCGCGCACCCACACCCGTTTTCGCTGTCCTCTGGGCGACATACTTCGCGGGCAAGCTCGCGCGCCTCGCCGTGCACCCCGTCGCGAACTTCGTCGTTCAGAAAGCGGTGGCGCGTCTGAGCGGGGGCGAGCTTGGCCGGGCCTCCGCGGAGCTGAGCGGGGAGGTCGCAAGGAAAGTCGTGAAGGCTGGACGGGTGGGGGTGCTGCAAGCGCTCGTGGATAGGGCAGCGGTGGTGCGTGAGTATGAAGAGGAGGTTGTGGATGTACGTGGGCTTATCCATGTATGGGTCTGTGAGCGCTCATGGGTGATTTAGGTTGTTCGTTCGGCATTTGGACTGGTCGACCCTGGCGACTCTAACCTCGTCGTGCCTTGCATCCTCCGTGCGCTCGATGTCGAGGTAAGTAACGCAATTCTCCACTACGTGACGTCTGACCGACCAATTTCAACAGGACTACAAAGCTGCTCTTGTTGTACGGGCAGAGCAAGATGCGAGGCACGAAGACAAGGATGGTGAACGGCCACGAAAGCGGGCTCGTCGTGATACAGGCAAAGAGGAGGGCGCCATGGAGCCAAGGGTCCAAGGGGCACTCCTGCTGCAATCACTCCTGCGTCTCTCTTCTCCGCATAACGAATTCGTCCTGAACAGGCAAGTGTCATCCTCGCTCTTCTTCACCCGTCGCTCATTGACTTTGCAACCCAGTTTACAATCTCTGACTATGGACGAACAGATCGAGATAGCACATCACCCTACATCATCGCGCGTTCTGGACGTCCTCCTGTCTTCGCCCACTGTCCCCGCGAAGCTCAAGCGCAAGTTCGTGCTCAGCTTCATGGGCCGGTTTCACGAGCTCGTGGATGATCGGATCGGCAGCCGCGTCGGCGAGCGGTGCTGGGCTGCCGCTGATGGTTACATGAAGGTTCGCTACCCCCTCAGTGCCTCCAGATAGGGCGGTATGCTGACTCGAGTGACTTGTGCAGGAGAAGATCGCGCGCTCGCTGATGCCCCATGAACACTTCCTCGCGGGCTCGTTCTACGGGAAGTTCTTCGCGCGGGTGCTCAACCTTCAGCTGCTGAAGCGCGATCCGGATCGGTGGAAGGACGCTCAGACGAGTGCGGGCGCGAGCACATCCGCTACTGCACCTCCAGCCGTACAGCCGGCGAAGGGGATGCTCAAGGCAGACGTGGACACTCAGTCGAAGCAGGAGCCTGTAGCGGATGCCGGCAATGGTGACGAAAAGCCGAAGAAGCGCAAACGCAAGGCGCAGAAGGAGGACGAGATTGATGTCTTGTTCGAGTCTACGCTGGGCCGGAAGGTCAAGAAGAGCGAGCTTAAGCCTGTGGGAGGTGGTGATGTGGATGGGAAGACCCGTGTGGAGGTTGACAAGGATGAGGAACCGGCTCGGGCGGGGAAGAAGGGGAAGAAGAGGAAAGGAGAGATGAAAAACGAAGATAAGGATTTGAGGGATGTGCTTGGTGCGATTAAGGCTGCGCCGAAGGATGATGGAGGCAAGGGGAAGAAGGGTAGATGATATCGAACATTGTATAGCTGCTTCGCGCGCAAAAGTATCTCAACGTCTGTGTAATTTGGGTCGTCGTATGCATTGCTTTTACCACCCAGTATACGATTCTGGCCTTGGCCTCGTTTGTGAACCGTCTGTAACTTATTCGTCGTTGATGCCGAGAGTATGTCCACCCGTGACATAACAAGGCAAGTCTCAAACAAATCAACAGTACCACTGTGGCTACGCTATGTTTAACCTCTTTCTTGCGTTTCCGTCAGTGCTTGAGCATACGTTTACGCATGAGCTCTACAATAATCCACGCTGATACGCATTACTACGACCGATCACCGTACGTCCTACGTTAAAACGCTGGATGGGTCATGAATTATAGTGTAGAATTCTGGTACACCGCAAATCCGAACGGGTTGCGGACGAACTCCCAATGCTCGTCCCGCGGGCGGCAGTCTACGACTCTGACTCGCTAACTGTCACAAAAGTGACGAGATATCATTGCACTGAACACCAAGACACAACAGCTCCAATAGAGGATCCGGGAGTAGTATAAGACTTGGATAGCCATTCGGTAATGATAAACCATCACGAGCCAGGCCAAGATTTATCCTTCCTATCTGGTAAGAAAGTTCTGGGAACATCCTTCGTTCGGGCTGCGCGATGTCGTCGGTAATCAAAATGTGCAAGTGCCTGTACCACTCACCATCCATCCTTGTGCTCAGAGCGAACCCCACTCGGAAGTGGACTACACGGTAATGGCATCGGACTTCGCTATGGCCCGGCGACTGGGAGGCTTGCGTCCGCCGCGCGACTCGAGCTCGGTGTCTGTGTCTGTGATCATCAACGTCTCTATGGGCCGTAGATGATGCGACTGGGGAACATTACTCACTCAACCAGGATTCGCCGCCGCCTCGGCGCTCGACAGCCGTTTCCAATCCGGGATCTACTAGTACAAAAGAGAATAACGTCAATACAACCATATCATGGTCACGAAGTTGATTGCAGTCACCATTCTCGACGTTGCCGACATTGCAGCCGAGTCCGTGGCTCCCGATGCATCCTCCTTTTTCAGCTACTACGACGATGAACAACAACGTCAATATGACCTGATAATAACCCAGGAATCGACTGCAATTACCGTTCTCGACGTTTTCGACATAGCAGCCGAGCCCTTCTCTCCCCCTGCAGCCACGTCCTTCCACGAGAACCATCGACAGGTAATGACATATGGTCAGCAAGTTGAGACGCGCCGCCGTGACACTTGACCCATACACCCCAGTAGTGGGAGCCGTGATGTTCCCGATCACTGCGCAACTGGCAAAGGGGACCAGGAAAGCGGCCAAAAGAACGACTTGCCTGAACTGCATCGCTGCTGGAGTTGCGGGGCGGGCTAAAGAGCGAATCACACTGAGGAGTCAGCTTGTCGTCAGACACCGCTCCTAGCCCTTTATATACCTCCCTCCGCAAACGTCCCCTCGCAGTTTCTATGCCAGCGAGGACACCGTAGCCCTCTTTGATTATGCGGGCTTCTACCTGCCATCCGGCGATTGAGACCACAATCACTATGTCTGACATCAAGATCGAAGTAAGTTGGTGTGTGTAACCGAGTCTGATTATAAGTCGTATGATACTTACTGTAGTAGCTCGCAAGGTCAGCGACCCACAGAGGTAAGCATGCCGTTTCTGACGTACAGCTGTTTCGTCGAGGAGGGGCCTATCGATATGGGAAGTAGTGCGAATTGCCCATACCAGCTGTTGGCCTTTGCTGTACCGACGAATTCTCTCGTTCTGCCCTGGGCCCGGGAAACGACCAGAGACAGCCATGTATGCGATCCCCATGCGGTACAACTGGAGAGCGTAGACTAACGCGACTTTCATCGTCAGTGGACCTGTGACCGCATCGTGACTTCAAGTTGGCCAACGCGCCTATAGGGCGAGTATGTTAGCATCCGGCCATGGGGTATGCGCCGCTATCAAGTCTCGGTCTGATCAATGTTGGCCCGCTGCTACAGTAGGGGCGGTCCATGAGGCTACCAAGCGTCCAAGTGTGCCCATTGATTGCATTGCGTTCCTGAATCTCCTCCTATCACGGCGGCCAGCGTAAGTCAGGGTGACCGGTCGTACTCAGCGCAACGTAGAGAAATGCATTTTCAACAAGTCGCCGGTAGTACCGCTTGGTAATAGCGCATGGGCCAAAATGCAGCACAAGCCTTGTTGGATCCACGCGCCCCACAATCTTACATTGGGGACGTATGACTAGGGAAATTACGACGTCGGCGCGGTATCACAAGTCCACGACAGACTCACCTGCGTATAGCATGTGGCAGGTTCGTCACCGCATGAAATGCTCAGCTAGGATGGCAGCTCTGATGAACAAGAGACTGAGATTCATTGAGACAGTCATCCGCTAGTGGTGGGTAGCCAGGTAGGAAGCTGAGGGTTGGCTGAGTACGTGGCATACCCCGCGATCTAAGTCTGATGTCCCTTCGGCACCGGAGCAGCAGGATCCAAGGCTTTGCAATTGTTTCAGTATAGCATCGTGACACGACGCCGCAATGTAGCAATGATACTTTGCAGCTCGTGCGTACCACCAACTCACTCAAGAACGTCTCATGATGCCTTCGTCAGGACCATCACGTACCAAAGGTGTTCCTTTCTTCGCATGCCCTCTTCAAACTGTGTACGGGTAAGGCGGAAAGTGGATTCCGATCAAACCCTGAGTGCGACAATATTGCGGGCTTCCTGTTCGCCGAGCTGCCACGCGATCCCTGATCCGTTGTAGAACTCATCCGCATCTTCCTCCTACACATGTATTTCAATTCAGCGTCCAGAGTCCCCGCCCGCTGCAAATACGATGTGTAAGGACAGCTTACCGAGTCGAGATTGAGCAACTGCGAGATTTGTTGAAGGCGCACGAACTTCTCGCGGACGTCACCGAACGCGGTTTGCGAGGAGAGGTATGAGGTGATCGCGCGGAGGTCCTGATCGAATCGAATTGCGCCAAGCTGATCGCAGGCCTTTCAGTACGAAGTAGCTCGTAGGACACCGGACGCATGTCTGACCTCGCTATATCTGAGCGTGCTGATGAATCGCTCCCATGGGCGGACAAGCACGTCGAGAGCCAACCCAAACAGGAGGCGATAGTTGTTCTCGGTGAAGGTATCCTTGTACCCGTCCACCAACGTTTCCCACGACTTGACGAAGCGTTTCCGCACGACGTCGTTATAACCCGCCTGAGCATAGCTGTCCTCGTCGATGACGTACGATACGTCCTTATAGACGTCCGAAATGAACGTGCGTAGTCGTGGACGCATCAGTTGGTTGAAGAGCTGTTCGATGCCGGCCTACGCAGAGAAGTAGCGGTCAGAGGAGACTAAAGGTACCAGTGACTGCCAACGGACTCACCCTGAGAGCAGAACGGAACTTCGTAACAACGCCGTTGAACGAAGCCACGGTGGCTCTGACTCCCTCGACTTCGCTGTCGAGATAGAACTGTGTGATCAGCGACGACGCAGACAACTCCTTCACTAGGCGCTCCATGTGTCCTGAAGAAATGTCGAGGTCATTCAGCAGCACCTACGCAGCATCTTGTGAGCTAGTGACTTATGGAATGAACTGTGTAAGACTCACGATGAAGGCCAGCCTATTCTCCCTCTCAGCTTTATCCCCTCTTGTCCCAGCAGGTCCTGCCGTTCGGTACACGTCGTCCAGCTTCCGCTTGATCACACCCGTGTACTCCTTGTCCACGACGTCCCGCAGCAACTCCGCCGTACGCTGCACCGCAGCAAGCGAGCCGCAGGAGAGCAGCCTGTTCAGTATCGCCTTGAGGATGTAGAACGCGTCGTCGGGCGTCGTCGTCACGGCCGGTAAAGCGAGGAGGTCCGCAGAGGAGAGTCGGTGCACCTTGTCGAGGGCGCTGCGTGCGTACCAGGATTCGAGAGGGACGTAGTAGGCTGTAAGCATGTCCTCAAAGTGCTGCTTTGATGCGGACGCTTCGATGGCGCGAAGGCCGTCTGGAAGGGGTTTGTCTTCACCATTGTCCGATTGATCTGAGGCCTTCTCCTCCCCGTCAACATCTGTATCCGAGTAGTCGTCCTATGCGATCCCTGTCAATGATTACTGCAGGGACACAACAGATGTCCGAACCTTCAGGCGGTCGTACATGAACTTGCGGAACAGACTCCAGCGTCCGCTCATACCCGCTGCCTCAGTCAGAACCTTGTCGATCTCCCGCGGGTCAACCTCCTCGTCAGCGTCATATTGGGACGGTTGCTTCCGAGACGTGTTGCTCGTATCTGAAAGCTGGCAGAGCTGTTGTCGACATACGGCGATCGCAAAAGCGATCTAGTTGCGTACCTTCCGCTCCATGGCCCGCTCCTCTACCCATCCCTCGATCATGTCATTGACCACGCGGTCCGACTCCTGTAAGAGACGCTCTATGACCGGAGTCATTTTACCCGGACCGTAGTACTTCTCAACTATGGGCTGGTGTTGATCCACGATCATGGCAATGCTCTCGAAGAGAGCCGTCAGCGCGGTGATGTAGAATAATGGGGATGATGCTGCACGGCCTGTCAGCGAGCCATCACCAATGATATAGACTTCTACACGTACTCTTCGCTGAAGCGGGCGCCCGAACGCGTACAAGGTCTACGACGAACGCAGCATACGCTTGCAGTCCCTCCAACTCCCACCCAATCGCCGGGAACAGCTTGAAGAACCGACTCGTCGCGGCCGCATCACGCGACTGGCTCGCCTTGTCGAATTCGCGGCGGAAGATCGCCAGCAGCTCCTCGCGCGCAGCATGGAGGGTCTGCGCCGGAGGCAAGTGGCTTTCTGGTGTGGGCTAGACTCAGTCTATGAGAGGCTCATAGCCGACGCCGACTGAGGGATACGTACGACGGCCGTTTCTGCGAACAAGCCCGAGATGACTTCGGTGGGGAGCGACATCGCGCGCGAGCAATGTCGCGTTGCGGATTCCCAGTCCTTAGCTTCCATCGCTGACTGGAGTGCGTTGAGAGATGTCTATTGGAGGGACTCAACGTTGTGCATGTGCGGCAATGCGACGAAAGTGACCTTAAGCTCCATAACCTGTCCGACACGCTCAGCGGCCTCTCGCACCCTCCGCATCTCCTCATCCAAGGTTCGTACGAACCCACCGACTTCGTCGGCAGTTTTCGCTGTGCGCGAGACCGTCTGGTCAAATACAGAGGCTTCCGCATGCAGCTCATCCAGTGTCGGGCCTAGCGACTGCAGGCGCGCCAGAGAGTTAATGACCGGCTCTTGAGATGCGAGTAGTTCGGCGAGTGACGAGGAAAGCTCAGCTTCTTCAGACTGCAAAGAAGAGAGACATGACAGGATCTCTGATAGCTTCGTGAACTTGTGAGGGTCTGGACGTTGTGAGTTCCCGTACGACTCCGCCGACAGAGCGTCGACCGCCATGATGGTGAGCAGGTATGTGCGTGCCCAACGAGTGATCTACGAACACAAAATCACAAGCCCACGGTGACGATGAAAGCTTTGAGGTTGTTGCAGTGAAGTGGATGGTCCGCGGTAGAGTGTGCAAGTCTCGGAGTGGCGCGGAATTGGGAGTCGTTATGCCGTACAGGAAAAAATAAATATTGAGACCCGTAGGTCTACCACTCCGGGAAAGCGTGTCATCCTTGTGCAGGGGCCATGCTAATCTTCTCTGTATCGTTCCAATTTTTTCGTATGTCACCCCGAAGGGGACATCAGTTGAGGTTTGAGAAGAAGGAGATGTTACGGACTCGTGCGTTTCGTGCAGCTCGCGGTGCATCATGTGATCAGTGATACGCGCTACGCGTCGGTCGGGCAGCAGCGCGTCTCACGCCGCAGCGCACTCGCTGCGCAAGGCTCCCTCCACTTACTTACATATGGCCATAGCCTGGAGATAGTCTCAGACAGTTCGCATTGCCGGTTCGAAGTATCTTCTCATCTTGAGCACAGGTCTACTTGAGACGTATCATCCTCGGGTTTATAATGGCTCTCGACTTCGCGCACGAGCCCCAAGCGTTCACGACGTATGGGTGGATAGCATGCGTGTGGGTCCTCGTAGTCTCCTTTCAGGTGAGTCCTCGGTCAACTGCCAGTCTTACGGTGCATATCAATTGCACCCGTTAGGTGAGGATTAGAAATGAGTAGCGTTGGCGCGACAGCTAAATGTTCCCCACAGTATGGCTTCCACATATCCTCCCTCAACCAAATCCAAGCGGTCCTCACCTGCCGCGCCCTCGACGAGACTAGCCCTCCGACGCACTTAGGCATGCCCACCTGTATTCCCATGTCCGACGCCACCTTCTCCGTGGTGACCTCCGTCTACACCGTTGGTGGGCTCATGGGAAGCCTGGGTGCGAACCTCGTCATGGACCGCTGGGGCCGCAGAGGCGCTGTCCGCATAAGTGCGATTGCAACTGGGGCGGGTGCTGCATTGATGGGTGTCTCTGCCGGTCTGGCGCCATTGATTGTCGGAAGGTGTGTGGGGATATTGCGTACCGGAACAGACCTGTTTAGTGGCCGCCAGGACATTGACCGGTGTCGGTGCCGGGATTGGTCTCTGCGTCGGTCCGATTTATCTCTCTGAGTTGGCTCCTCCCAAGAAGCGAGGTGCAGTGGGTATGTTCAACCTTTCGTATCTGCCTTCCCGCGCTCATGCGACATCTATGCAGGCGTCCTGACCCAATTCGCAATCGTCGTAGGTATCATGATCACCCAGATCATGGGTCTCCAACTCGCGACCGCCACCCGCTGGCGCATAGTCCTATTCTTCTCTGCCGCCCTCGGAGCGATGCAATTCGTGTTGAGCGGTGGCATGATTGAGTCTCCGACGTGGCTCGACCGCAACGGGTTACTCGTGGAGAAAGACAAAGTCACGCAGAGGATATGGAAGAGTGGGCGAAGCCCCGATTGTCTGTCTTCTCGTACTGCAGTATGCGCGCAGAGTAGCTGACAATGGGCTCTTAGCGTCGAACTACGATAGCCAAGACCCCCTGCTTGGCGCAGATCTCGAGGCAACTGAAGAAGATATTCGGACGCCAGTCCCTGTCGTCGAGGTGCCCGAACGCAATGATCAAGAGGAAGCCATCAAGGTGCCGGAACTACTGGTGACGCCCAGCCTCCGCCGCCCGCTGACGATCGTCTGCTTCTCCATGCTAGTACAACAATTGTCTGGTACGACGCACTGTCTAAATTGTTACCATTGTCGCTGACGGCCCTTCAGGTGTCAACGCAGGTACAACACTGTCTATTCTAAGGGGATGTGACTAGCTAACTCTTAGTATGAACCAGTGTTGTACTACAGCAATGACATCCTCTCGAAAGCCCTGCCCGACTGGGGGCCGTGGATCTCTGTTGGCATCACCGTCGTCAACTTCCTGATGACCTTTGCGCCTATAGCCCTCATTGATGCACGTGCTCCGCCTTCATCGTTTGGCTGGTCCGCTAATTGTGGTAATAGCGCGTTGGGAGGAAACAACTCCTGTCGGTCTCGGCCGGCGGCGCGATCCTCTCCCTGCTGGGCGTCGGCTTCGGGCTCAATTCGGGCCTCGTCGCGCTCGCCAGCGTTACGATCATCTCCTTCGTCGCGTACGTTCATCATTTTATATGTGTCGGGATTATCGGGGGGTTGTTAACATTTCGCGCAGCTCGTTCGCCGTAGGTATTGGCCCAGTGCCATTCGTCATGATCCCAGAAGTATCGCCCCAGCATGTAAGCAGCTCCACAGCGCTCAACAATCCTACAACTAACCACACTTCACTGTACACAGGCCGTCTCCGCGCTCTCCTCCGTCGCGCTCTCGCTCAACTGTAAGTCCGCCCCCACCCCCTCGATCGCCGTGCTCATTGCCACACGCAGGGATCGCGAACTTCCTCGTCGGGCTCGTCTTCCTCCCGCTGCGGAACGCGCTCTCGGGGGGCGCCGAGGACAAGGAGGGCCGCGTATTCTACGTGTTCGCCACTCTGCTCGCGTTTTGCACGTTCGTGCTGTTCAGGGTGTATCGAGGCTGATTCTCCAAAGCTGCACCACACGTGTATTATAGGGCTCGAGTCATGGGATTGTTTGATGTTGGGTTGGTACGTCAAGCCGCCGCAGCCGCCGCCGCAGTTGGCGTGGTGGTTTGTACAGGAGAGGGCGCAGAGATATGGATCAATAGCATATTCGTCGTTGTGATGGTACGCTATACACAATATGGCACGAGGGCCGTGAGTTGAGAGCATATGGTGGTGAACGACATCGTGTGTTACTACAGAAGACAGGACGTGTGACGTGGATGGATGAAGCACGTCATAACAGACCGATCTAGCTATAGTCAAGGAAAGGAGAAGCGACGACCGCGCTCGTCTTGTGTATACTTGGGACAGATGTGAAGACCAATACAAGTGCCGTAGAAAAGACAGAAAAATCGAGTCTACATATCCTCCGACGCTCCGAGTATGCTCATGAACTCACTGTATGTAACCCCCTCGTCCCTCTTCTTCTCAACTTCACGAACCTCGGCCTCGACATCTTCCGGGGAACGAAGCCTGCGGTACATCGCACTGTTCCTGATGTCCTGGATCGTGTCCATGTCGCGCTCCACGATCCTGAACATCCATCGCAGCTGCATCAGGAAACCTTCTGGTGTCAGCAATGGCTTGAACTCTTCGTGAGCGGAGGAAAAGACGTCCTCATTCTCCCGAGCATCTATCAAAAAGCAGTGTTTCGCCTGGCCGATGGCGAGGAGCGACTCGAGTTGCCATTGCTTGATCGGTCGGAATATTTTATTTGTCGGATCGTATCCGGCGGCGGCGTAGGCATAGAGATAGAAGAACGATTCAAGGTCATGGCGATACTTGTGCATTGGAGGACCCTCTTTGCGTAGAAGGTCCAGCGCCATGAACGGGCCAGTCCCAGTGCGGTATCTCGGTTTTTGCATATGGTCGCCCTCCAGCGGCGCACTCGTCGACCCCGGAACTTGCTCCGCGTCGGGTTGGCTCTGCGGTTCGTTCGACGGATTGACCGTCTTCGCACCCCCAGTTATCCATGATAACCATGAAGCGCTCGCTGCCGCTTTTAGAACAGACTGAACGTCGCCGTTGCTATGATCTTCCGCGAGGTCCCAGTCGCAAAGCACGCCGATGACTTGCCCGTCCTTGATGAACCACATGATGTTGTTGATGCTGATATCGCGGTGAAGTATCTTCGACGTCTCGTACACCCAGTGATGAGCTAAAGGACTCGTCAGACCGAACTCTAGCTTCGCGCTAGATATGACGCACCACGAACGACATCCACAAACACGATGTGGAAACCCTGCGCAGATCCGATGGCCTCCAAACGTTGGTAGCGCTTGAGGATCAAAGTGCGGCAGACGCGCAGGTCTTGCTCCTCGGGGATAATCCCCATCGCGACACGGGGCAGCCCCATCTCCTCGATGCTCTTCGTGACGGCGCACTTCAGGTCTACGATATAGTCCAGGTATTTCGGTTTCTTCGCGGCCAACTGCTGACGAACAGTACGGATCATCCTGTCTTCGGCCTGACGCGCCTTGTGTGGCCACGCCACCTTCGCAACGAGCGGTTCCGACCCGCACATCTCCAGCGCAGGGCCACGCCTGGCCTTGACAGCGATGATGGTCGTCCCTCGACCGATGAGACCGAACGCGGTGTCGACTGGGCGGATCTCTTCGGAATTGTCGGTGTCGATGTCGAACTCGAGCTGGCGTGAGGCGCCCTGTGCATCCGGAACCTCCAATCGAACAAGCATGTTGGGCAGCGTATAGCCAAACTCATGATGGAAGACATCTCGGCGCTCGATGGTCTCGTTGAAGATCAGGAACGGGTGGATTCCCAAGTCGTGCACGCCTGCACCTCCCATAGCGGCAAGAACCAGGAGAAACAGAGGGGCTTCCTTGCCCAAGAACTCGAATGCTCTCGTGAACACGAGACCCATGCGGTCACCGTAGACGAGTCGCATGTTGTTTCCCTCGATGAGGAGTCCGATAGCATATGAGCGGACGTTGGACGACATGATATGATTCACGTATCGCACGATTTGGACCTCCTTGCCGGTCATGCGGCGGTGTCCGCTAGATGGTTCGGATGTGGCACGCGTGTGCTTGGAACCGAGTGCCGGGATCGCCTCCTCGGCCGTGCGCTTGCTCACGGAAACGGCATCGCCGGTCTCCTGTGGTACGTCTTCAGTTGACGTATCTGCGTCCTGAGTATCGTCTTCGAGGAGGGCCTCAACCTCAGCTTCTGATGCAATCTCGTCCTCAGGAGCCTCGTCTCCAGCCTGCGATACAGGCTGGTCTTGGTCCGCCCCGGTCTGGTCAATAGGACCCTCCCCAGCTGCATCGCGCTCGCCTTGTGAGCGGGGATGAGTCGCCTGCTTTAGGCAAATCAGTTGGCGATAGCAAGTAGGGCAGGATGGGACGAACCGATATAATGAATGTACCATTCTCGCAGCGGACGAATATGTCTCGCAACCTGTTTTTGACATTTTCCTCCGACTTCCCGACCTCTATGGGGACCAACTCCCACTCCCACACAAGCGTATCCTTCGCAACACCGTAGGTGCCATCCGGCTTATCCCTTGACTTGCGGTTGCCGATAGCTTCGCGGTCTTGGGTAATAAAGCGGCCCGCGTACATGCGCGGCGTACAGTTACGGTCGGACCGCGTCCAGTGCTGTTTGACAGTTTCGAGCCGTTGCTGACGCTCCTTGACATCGGCGGTCGCTTGACGCGTGTCGTGCGCCGAGTCGTTCGGGCCGTAGAGCTGCGCCAAAAACCCGTTGGCCATAAGGTTGAACGGTGCATAGCCGGCCCGCTCTTTGCTCTTGCGGTATAATTTAAGATCCGGTCCCAAGAGCGAGTAGTGTTTTGCCTCCTTCCCCTTCACGCCCGCCCTGCGATACGGAGTCGGGGGTATGTGTTCCCAGCCGAAGCCAAAAACAGTGCGTATGAGCATCTCGACATCACAGTCCCAATGGATCTTATCGGTGTACTCCCGGCGAATGAAACCCTCGTGTCTGTCTTTCGAGATATAGCCGCTGGCATCCTGAACGCTATCGACGGTCTTGATCTGGTGGGGCGTAGACTGAACAACTTCGGGCCCTTAGGTATTCAAGTTAGTGCGATGGTCAAGACCAGGGGAACCTGCTCCTTACGTTTCCCTTTCTTGTTCTTGGAAGTCTTGGAGGGAGTACGAGGCTCCCGGGGGCCGGGCGGTGCAGATTGTAGGTACGGCCACATATTGTGGCGGGGATGGGGTTCTCGTGGGGGCTCAACTGATTGGATGTTGACGATGAAGAAAGCTAGAGGATGATCCGGTGACTCTGTGCACAGAGAGAGCGGTGGCCAGATGCCTGCGAGTGGGAGCGGACGACAACATTGCACCTGGGGCGCGTCCATGTTTATATACACGCCTGCGCGTGATCAGAGAAGAGCGTGGCTACCTGATTTCAAACTCAGCGGTGTGGCCGGTGAGTCAGAAAGAACAACGCACCGCGGTGCCTGTCGTGGACGTGGACGTACAAGTTCAGCAGGGCCTGCCAAATCGGGGGGACAATGCAAGCAGCCACACTGATCAGTGATGGCAACGTGGGAAGATGAAACCTGGGTTCCCGCCCCGCCGAAGAGCCCGCTCGGTGCCCTTGCCTTGTTAGAAACTGCTGCAAGGGCAGTTTCCGACGGAGATGCTTGAGTCGAATGTCACTTGGAGATGAGCGATGTAGTTGAGTGCAGGCCCGGGCCAGGAGGTCCAGGAGGAGTTGGCCCCGGACCCCGGTGGCGTTGGGCGACGCCACACACCTCCGGGCGTCTACGAAGATCTCAGATCAACGCGTCGACCACTGCCAGTGCCAGTGGCCGCAGTGGCTGCCGCCGCTGATGCCATGTCCGGACAGGGCCAGATCTGAGCATTGTCTCAGACCGCGAGGCTGCAGGTACCATGGCAGCGCTGCATTGTATTAGAGCAACTGTCCGACTGCCTCGTTGAGGATGCTTGCGTCAGTGCGCCCATTCCAGACTACAACACATCCCCTCAGTGGCAAGTCGGTGACCCGCGCACTCTGTGGCCTTGAGACTCCGGTTTGCGGCGTGGCCTACGCCGCCAGATAGCCAGGGTTAGGTATCAGCGATCTCTTGTTAAATCGATCAATGAATTGAGACAACAGAACGACATTCGTGCGCTCGCAGTCAAATGCACGTCGACCACCGCCGCGGCCACGACGGGCGTCACGGTCGGGACATCATTGAATACTTAGTAACCTCGGCTTATGTTCACTCGACGAGAACAAAATCTGCGTCGGGTCCTCTTCCCCCATCGCCTACCACACCCGCGCCCTCCCGCGTCCCAGCACGCGCACCGCCTGCCACTCACCCGTATGCTGCACTAGGTCGCATAGTCCACCCAAGACCAATGCAAGTGGCGTAGAGGGGACAGAAAATCGAGTTTACATATCCTCCGATGCTCCGAGTATGCGCATAAATTTACTGTAGGTGACCATCTTGTCCCTCTTCTCCTCAACTTCGCTGATCTCGGCCTCGACATCTTCTGCGGAACCAAACCACCGCGCATCCTCTAAATCTTTAATCTCGTCCATCTTGCGCTCCACGGCCCTGAACAGACGAATGAGTTCAGTCAAGAAACTTCCTGGCTGCAGCAATGGCTTGAAGTCTTCGTGCGTGAAGGCAAAGACCTGCTCCTTCTCCTTCGTATCAGTCAGAAACCAGTGCTTCGCTTTGCCGATGGCGACGAGCGAGTCGAGCTGCCATTGCTTGATCGGTCGGAATGTTCTATCTGTCGGAGTGTACCCGGCGACGGTGTAAACGTAGACATACAAGAATGACTCGAGGTCGTGGCGATATTTGTGCATTGGAGGAATGCCTTCGCGTAGAAGGTCCAGCGCCATGAATGGACCAGTACCAGTGCGGTATCTCGGTTTTTGCAGATGTTCGCTCTCCGGTGGCACAGTCATCGAACCTGGAACCTGCTCCGCGTTGGTTTGACTCTGCTGTTCGTTCGACGGTTTCGCCATCTTCTCGCTCGTGCTCGTCTCTTGTAACAACGAAGCGTTCACCACTTTCGCGGGTCGAATAGACTGAACGTCGCCATTGCTATGATCTTCCGCGAGATCCAAGTCACACAGTACGCCGATAACTTGCCCGTCCTCGATGAACCACATGATGTTGTTGATGCTGATATCGCCGTGAAGTATCTTCGACGTCTCGTACACCCAGTGATGAGCTATAAAATTGATCAGATCGAACTCTGGCTTCGAATCAGATACGACGCACCACGAATGACATCCACAAACACGGTGTGGAAACCCCCCGCAGACCCGATGGCCTCCAAGCGTTCGTAACGTTTGAGAATCAAAGTGCGACAGACGCGCAGGTCTTGCTCCTCCGAGTCGGGGATGGTCCCCATCGCAGCACGGGGTAGCTCCATCTCCTCGATGCTCTTCGTGACGGCGCACTTCAGATCAACAATATGCTTCAGATTTTTCCCTTTCCTTGTGGCCAGTGTCTGACGAATAGTGCCTATCCGTGTCGTCTTATCCTCAGGCTCACGCGACTTGTGTGGCTGGTAAGAACCGGGCTTTGTGGACTTCGGAAACTGCATTCCCTGCCGGAAAGGTGGGGTAAATGGAATTTTGACGATGACGAAGCCTTCAGGATGATCTGTGCAGAGGGAGAGTTGTGGCTGGGCGAGGTGACTGGGAACCGACGACAACACTGTTGCACCTTGGGCGCGTCCGTGTTCACATGCATGTCTGCGCGTGACCTAGCAAACAGTGTGGCTACCAGAGTTCAAAGTCAGCGGCATGTCAAGAAGGTTAACGCACCGTTCCGCCCGCCGTGGACGTGGTTATACAAGTTCAGCAGCACCTGCCAAATTGGGACAAAAATGCAAGCAGCCACACTCATACGGCACGTGGGAAGGTAAAATCTGGCTCAGTTCCGCCCAAGTTCCGCCCCGCCGAAGAGCCTCTGAGCCACAGATTCAGTATGCGTGCAGAGTGGCTGACATTAGGCTCTTCAAAAGTAGCCAGGATCCCCTGCTTGGCGCAGATCTCGAGGCAACTGAGGAAGATACTCAGACGCCAATACCTATCATCGAGGTGCCCGAACGCGATGACCAAGAGGAAGCCACCGACACTCAGAGGAAGGGGCATACCGTGCGGCCAAGGAACATATTAGCCACGGTTCGATCGAACCCCACCACCTACATCCTCGCGCGTGTCCCCGTTCCTAGACTGTTCCCCAACATCTGCGATGCACCCATTGGTCTTAGCATGTCCGGAAAATTGCTCCCCTAGTAGCCCGTGCATCTCTAGCTTTGCCGCACCACAGGGAGCGTCGCTCTGCTTTGTAGCAAGCCATGTAATGTGTATCCCATAATTGATTACTATGTCCATGTCCGGATTACAGTGTCACGTCTACGTGCTAAGTGAGAGTCAGGATAGGTGCTTCATACATCCTCCGGTGCCCCTAGAATTTCCATGAACTTGCTGTAAGAGATCATCTCCTCCCTCTCCTTCTTCCGTCCCTCGATCTCGGGATCGTTAGACTCTCCCATTAGGCCTCCGTATACAAGCATGTCGATCTCGATCATCTTGTATTCGAGTCTCGCAAATTGTAGCAGGAGTCGACGCAGGAAGCCCCGAGGGCTTAGTAGCGGTTGTAGGTCCGCATGGGCTCGTTTGATGACATCGTCTCGAGGCTGAGGCTGGGTGAGGAACTTGCGCTTACTGTCCCCGATTGCAACGAGCGAATCCCGCTGCCACTCCTGGATGTAGGTGAACGCTTGCGTAGCCGGATCGTACGTCACTGCAAAGCAGATGTAGATGTAGAAGAACGATTCTAGGTCGTGACGATACTTGTGGATGGGCGGGTCGCCCTCACGCAAGAGGTCCATAGCCATGAACGGGCCCGTGCCCGTACGGTACCTCGGCTTGACTTCAGCCTGTGGCTCTGTGGTTACGCCTGACGGCTTGTCGCCTTCCTGAGGCGGAGGCGGTTCCGTTGCTTGGCCCTCGGGAACGGAGGGCAGAGTCGTCGTTGTCGGCTTCGCGGCTTCAGCTTCTTGTACTATTGGCCAGATCACCGCGGTAACGTCACCAGCACGACGAATAGGCCTGTACTTGCCGGCACTCTGGTCTTCGGCAAGGTCCCAGTCGCATAGGACACCGACAATCCTCCCGTCAAGCCGATACCACATGATGTTATTGAGGCTGATATCGCGATGCAGGATCATTGACGTCTCGTACACCCAATGATGAGCTGCAGGCAAGGTGAGATGACGATGACACTCAGTGTTTAGCGTGCACGTACCGCGAACGACATCTAAGAACACGACGTGGAAGTTCTCCGCGGATCCGATGGTCTCCAAGGGCTCGTACTTTTTGAGGATCAGAATGCGGCAGGCTCGGAGGTTTTCTGCCCCGGGATCGACACCCAATGCACAACGAGGGAGGTGCATGTCTTCTGCGCTCTTCGTCATAGAACACTTGAGGTCCACAATATGCTTCAAGTAGTTCGGCTTCCTCTCAGCCAGACGTCTGCGAACCACCTTGATCATCTCATCCTCCGGCTTCCGGACAGCGTGCAGCCAGGCGACTTTTGCAACGAGGGCCTCCGTGCCAAACAGCTCTTCCGCCTCAGTGCCGGGCGCTGCAACCACGGGAATGACCGTCGTCCCTCGTCCAATCATGCCGAACTCGGTGTAGAGCGTACGGCCTCGGCTCGACTCGTCGTCCAGCGTCCCTGTCATCACCTCCGAGTCTTCCCAGCTCGCCTCCTGCACCCTGCCGCTCAGGGTCTTCCCCTTTTGCTCCCCTTCTATGGTGCCGCTATCACTGACGTCGAAATCGAACTCGACTTCGACAACCGTCTCCTCATGTTCGATGTTGAGTCGAAGCTTTGCGCCTCGGTCCCCGCTCGTCAGGCAGAACATGTCACACCCGCCTTTCGAACAGCGTGGAGAGACCCCATCTTGGCCGGAATTGAGTGCTGTTGCACTAGGTCAAACACGGCCAGTGACATGATATGTACGACCAGACTAGCTCACTTACACACCGGTTGTATGCGCTTCGCGTCACGGTCAGTGGATGTACCAGGCGGTGCAGACGTGACCTTTGTACCAGCCATCCTGTAGCGGGCAAACAAGCGATTTAAAGGGAGATTTGGTGGTTGATGCTGAATGATGCCGAACGCCCGAGGATGACCTGGCTGCGCAGAGGTAGAGTCAATGGGGCCGCGGAAGCCTGCAAGGTGGGAACGGACCATTGCGCTTGCGGCGCGTCCATGTTTATATACACGCCTGCGCGTGATCAGAGAAGAGTGTGGCTACCAAATTTCAGACTCAGCAGTGTGGCCGGTGAGTCAATGGCAACGACGCACCGCGGCGCCCGCCGTGGACGTGGACGTACAAGTTCAGCAGGGCCTGCCAAATCGGGGAGACAATGCAAGCAGCCACACTGATGCGGCATCATGTGGGGTGCGGCCCAACCCGCCGGTCCATATCTCCAGTCAGGTCGACTGCAGCATTTGGTACTGCACGGCTGCCCGGATACGGAGGCACTCTCACTGCCGCAATATGTGCATGTTCGTCGTTGCGATACACGTTGTATCCAGTATGGTACAAAGGCTGTGGTTGTGAACGATATCTGTGTTACTACTACAGAAGACAGTACATATAAGTACTTGGAGCATAGGCGAAGACTAACCGTAGAGGGGGGACAATGTCTACATAGGGTTACGCCCTCAGTGACAATAAAGGGAGCAAACAAACGAAACAAGGGGGGGAACAGAAAATCGAGTCTATATATCCTCCGACGCTCCGAGTGTGCTCATGAACTCACTGTATGTAGCCATCTCGTCCCTCTTCCTCTCAGCCTTACAAATCTTGGCCTCAACATCCTCTGCGGAACCGAGGTATCTTGCAATGCTCTTGAGATCCTTGATCTTGTCCATCTTGCGCTCCACGATCCTGAACATCCATCGGAGCTGCATCAGGAAACCCTCCGGTGCCAGCAATGGCTTGAACTCTTCGTGCGCGGCGGAAAAGACGGCCTCGTTCTCCACATCATTCGTCAGAAACTTGTACTTCTGGTCTCCAATAGCGACGAGCGACTCGAGTTGCCATTGCTTGATCGGTCGGAATATGTTGTTTGTCGGGTCGTATCCGGCGGCGGCGTAGGCATAGAGATAGAAGAACGACTCGAGGTCGTGGCGATACTTGCGCAGTGGAGGATAACCTTCGCGTAGAAGGTCCAGCGCCATGAACGGGCCAGTACCCGTGCGGTATCTCGGTTTTCGCATATGGTCGCCCTCCGATGGGACAGTCGTCGACTCCGGGACTTGCTCCGCATCGGTTTGGCTCTGCGGTTCGTTCGACGGTTTGGCCATCTTCTCGCCCGTGCTCGTTCCTGGTGGCAACGAAGCGCCCACCGCTTCTGTGGGTCCAATAGACAGAAGGTCGCCGTTGCTATGATCTTCTGCGAGATCCCAGTCGCACAGTACACCGATGACTTGCCCGTCCTTGATGAACCACATGATGTTGTTGATGCTGATATCGCCGTGAAGTATCTTCGACGTCTCGTACACCCAGTGATGAGCTACAAAATTGATCAGCTCGAACTCTGGCTTCAAAGTGGGATCGACGCACCACGAACGACATCCACAAACACGACGTGGAAACACTCCGCAGACCCGATGGCCTCCAAGCGTTGGTAACGCTTCAGGATAAGAGTGCGGCAGACGCGCAGGTCTTGCTCCTCGGGGATGATCCCCATCGCAACACGAGGCAGCCCCATCTCCTCGATGCTCTTCGTGACGGCGCACTTCAGGTCAACGATATGGTCTAAGTACCTCCCTTTCTTCTTGTCCGCCAGACTTTGGCGAACGGCGCGGATTACTTGGTCTTCGGCCTTCCAACCCTTGTGTGGCCACGCCACTTTCGCGACGAGCGTCTCGGAGCCGCATTTCCTCTCCGCCTCACTGCCGGATGGCGCGGTCATCGAGGCGACGATTGTGCCCCGACCAAGAAGACCAGACGGGATACATAACAACTCATCCTTGTCGACGTCAAACTCGAGCTTCGTAGCTGCACCATCCTCGCCCAGCACATCCAGCCGGAACTTCGTGTATGCGGGACCTTCGCTTCCGAAAGAATCTTCCAGTTGGATGGTCCCGTTCAGGCCTTCGTCGAACCCGAGGCTCCCTACACGAACAACCCCTATGCCGGGAACCATCGATGCGCGGCTTTCGCCCACGTCCTTCGGGTGGGGGAAGGGCTGCGTAAAGACAAGACCCATGCGATCGCCGTAGACGAGTCGGACTTCGTCTTCCTCGACCAGCCAACCCAGGACAAAGGTCCACACGCTGGAAGAGAGGGCGTCGTTTACGTAGACGATCGCTTGCATCTCCGCGTCAGTCATGACATGTGGCAATAGTGTATCGCTTGTCTCCGAGTCGATAGCTTGCTGTTGTGAGGGAATGGGAGTGGGACGCAGGCGCCGCTTGAGCGGAGGTACGTCGTCCGTGCCGTCCGCGTTGACTCGCTTCCGTTTGCCGTTTGCCATAAGCGGCCAACTTTCAGCCATGAGATTTGGATGGGGAGTCGGGGTGGTTGCCTTCGGCGAGAAGGAACCTCGGTTGGGAGAGGGGCAAACTCGGGCATGCAAGGGCCCTGATCTGTCTATATGTGCCAGAAAGGAAGCTGCTAGTCGAACCAGAGGCGCAACTTTGTTTGTAATAGCCCCCTTCTGTGCCACGTCAGTGTCTGCGCCCTGATACGAGGCAGACCGTAATAGGATATCCTCGAAGTCTCCTGCGATTTTCAGCTCCTCGAGAGAGACGGCGCGTATAAATTCCCCGACAGGCACGTCCCAGCGGGTGTTGTCTTGATATTCGCTCCGGATATACGCCTTCTGTCTTGCTGTTAAGGCAACACTGGTGTAAGCAGAAGCTAAGAAAGCCAGCAGAATGAGTCGCTCGGCTATGTGGTCGTTTTGATGACACTTACGGTCACTGGTAGTTCGACTGGAGGACGAATCCGAGGTGGCGCATGAAGTGCGAGGTGATGTTGATTGTAGCCACTTCATCTTGCAAGGTGGATCGGTTTGAATATGTATGACAGGTACGCAGCGATGTCCTACTTATGAAGATGAGCGCAGTACCTGCCCACGATCCTGGACCGCGGATGGAGTAGGCAGGCTAAGTCTGTACGATGTGGCTTCCATTTTCAAAGTCAGCGAGACAGCTAAATTTGAACAAAGGTTGATTTACCGCGAAAGGCAATGTAGTTGCCGTGTTTGTGACTACGCAATCATCAGTATTACATCAGTATATCAACTCTCCGGTCGTCTCGAGGTATGCCGCGGTGCATACCAAAAAGCAGATGCGCTCACTTTTTCATCGCGCATTGAGACATCCCCGCGCCTTGGCCCGCATTCGGTGCATTATGCCATTCGTAATGTCGTTTGCACCTGCTAAACCTGTGAATGAACTCGAGAGTCACGGTCCTCTTTGAGTATCCAAGTCACAAAGACTGAACACAGAGATTGTCTCCTGCATGGCGGTCGCGCGTCGGATGCGCGGGGCCGACCGACGCGAGCGGGAATGAGTGGCGGGGCACGTGGCAGAGCAGTGTGCAGACGCCTGTGCCGCTGCGTCCCACGACGGCCGTGCCACCGCTGCCGCTCATCACCCCAGTCTCCTGCCTCCACCCGCTGTACATTAGCCATGGGCCTCTTCCGCCGCAATAAACCCAACGACGACGGCTCGCCCAGCGACGCCCCCAAGAAGGAGAAGGGCAGCTGGCGCCGGCCTGCCAGTGAGTGGTCTGGTCGCAAACCTGGGAACGGCCAGAGAGACTGACGGGGGCTCTGCAGACACTGCGTTCAAGCAGCAGCGGCTCAAGGCCTGGCAGCCCATCCTCACACCGAAGACCGTTCTGCCTACGCTCTTTCTTATCGGTATCATATTTGCGCCTATAGGAGGGTTGCTGGTATGGGGTAGTGGTTTGGTACGCACGCACTACGATCGCCTATGACCACCGTCTGACTGCGACCCCTGCGCCGGCAACAGGTCAGTGAAATGACCTTTGACTACACGCCGTGCGACGCATTACCGGCATCAACATCGGCAGACGACCTCACCTGGCATAACCTCACCACTTTCTCCTACCGCCTCAAGTCGTCCGCATCGAATGCCCCTTACAACGCCCCCCAGTTCGCCTTCCTCAATCGCACGGACGACTCTACAGCCAACGACTCCGAGAAACTGCAGTGCTACGTCCAGTTCGACGTCCCCGTCGACCTCCAGGCGCCCGTCTTCCTCTACTACAAGCTCACGAACTTCTACCAGAACCACCGGCGATACGTGAACAGCTATGACTCCACCCAGCTCAAGGGGCAGTACGTGAAGCCAGGCACGCTCAACAACGGCGACTGCAGCCCGCTCGCGCAAGTGTGCCAGGGGGGCGACTGCAAGGCGGTCTACCCGTGCGGCCTGATCGCGAACTCGCTATACAACGACAGCTACTCCGGCCTAAACCTCACGACGGACGAGTCGACGACGTACGCCTTCTCCGAGTCGAACATCGCGTGGCCGGGCGAGGCGAAGCGGTACGCGGATACGCCGGGCTACAGCCTTGACCAGATCGTCCCACCGCCGAACTGGGCGAAGCGCTTCCCGAACAACTACACGGAGGACAACCCGCCGCCGAACCTCAAGACGGACGAGCACTTCCAGAACTGGATGCGCACCGCGGGCCTGCCGACGTTCACGAAGCTCTACGGCCGGAACGACAACACGGACCTCAAGAAGGGCCGCTACCAGATCATCGTCAACATGAGTACGTCATCTGTCCGAGCTACCCGGCGTGCATTGTGGCTAATGTGATGTCCGCGTAGATTACCCCGTCAAGGGGTTCGGAGGGACGAAGTCGATTGTGATCTCGACCGTATCTTGGATCGGAGGCAAGAACCCGTTCCTCGGATGGGCGTACGTCGCGTCCGCAGGGCTGCTCGTCTTGCTCGCGATCCTGGGTACGATCCGGCATTTGGCCCGACCAAGGTGTGTCAGCTCCCGCATCCTAGCGTTACCCGCTTCTCACACGCCGTCGCGACCTCAGGAAACTAGGCGACATGTCGCTGCTGTCATGGAACCGGTGAGAAACGGCATCGCTACAGCTACAGTCGCGGGGCAGCTAGACAGGGGAGACGGGACAGGACATTTACTACGTGTACTATCATTTCGGGCATTGCGCTTGTTATTAATCCATCTCTATGCTGTATTTCTTTCCTTTTGCTCACCACACCTCGCGTGCCAGTCATGGTTTGCTTTGTGATGCACAATGATCCCGTGGAACGAGTAGTAGTCCTGGATAAGCTAACGATACGGAAGAGAACAACCAAGCGCTACTTAGGTGGCGAGCGTACAGATATGGTACCGATGTGTGTGGTATGTGAAGGTGCATGTAGGTTTCCATCCGGGAGGGGCAGAGAAGGTGGTAGTGTATCCAGGGATCCGATGAAGGACGTGCTCTCTAAGGTCGGTTATCGACGTAATGTTTGACCAAGCTGCGGGGAGTACCATGAACATCTGCGCGCCTTACACGGGAGACATATTACTCACATTTTTCCGTTGCTGACCCAGCCAACTCGTCGGCCCGCGTGCTTGCTGTTGCTTGCTCCCGAGCGCGTCCCGGGCCAGCCGTATGCCATAATCGTGGATGATACTGAGCATAAGCGTCTGCTCCCGTGCGTACCGCTTTGTCTGCTCGGCGATGAGGCGCTGCGGGGAGGTAAGTAAGTGGGGTGCACGGTATGAAGCAGTGTGGCAATGTCGTCTACCTTAAGGCGCGCCATCTCCTCTTCGAGAATCTTGATCTGCGAGCGGTAGCTACCCTCGGCTTCGTCGAATGCGCCCTACACAACACCTCAGACAAGACGATGTTGGGGTAAACAAATGCACGTACCGAAGGTACGGTGATGCCTTTCTTGGCGTGTTCTTCTTTGAAGAGCTTGTCTTGCTCCTTGATGAACTGCGCAGGCACTGTCAGGGCGAGTTGGACAATCATATAACGGACACCTTACGTTGCGGGCTTTGAGGAGCTTGTCTTGGGTAGTCCTGAGTTGCTCCTTGGACTGGATGTTCTCCTCGTGCAGGGCCAGGAGACGCGCCTTGATGTCCTCGGGCACATCTTTGCCGGACAACGAAGCGCGGAGATCCCTGCAAATGCTGCCTCAATACACCCGCTAGAGGGCTCATCCGCATGAATACGCACCCAATAGCACGCTCGCGCTGGAGCATCCGGTCCCGCTGATCGATGCCCTCGCTCTGGAGACTGACCTTCTCGAGGAGCAAGCCGTTGACCTGCTCGAGCTGCATCCGGTTCTTGTCCGAGAGCTCCTTGATCTGGTCCTTGAGCCGTTGTATCTCGCTCTCCATCTCCGCCTTGTCTTCGTTGACGGACTCACGGAGAGTGGCGAGGATATCGAGCTGGTCCTTGTTGACCAAAGTGACTGTACGCGCTGTTAGGGACTGGGTGGAAGAGGGGAAGAACTGGACCTACGATCCGACTTGGCGATGGTCAGTTCTTTGTTTATGGCCTCGAACTTGACCTCGATTTCGGTGTGCTCTTTGCGCAGCGCGTCTAGTTGCTCTACGGTCTCGTTCAAGCGCTGGCGAAGAGCGATCGCGGCTTCGGCTCTGCAGACAACGTTCAGCACATCTTCTGACGAAAGTGCAAGCTTGAAGCCTCACCCGTCGCCCATGGACTTGCCGCTTCTGATCTCCTCCAGCTTCTGCTGCAGAACGAGCTGTTCTCTATGCGCGCCCAAGTAGTCAGCCTCATATCGAGCCTTCATGCGGTTCGCGTCGTCTAGCAGGTTTTCAAGCACGAGAACGCGGCTTGCATCCGCCTCGTTCTTCCTGACCGCCTCCAGCTCTCTCTGCAGTTTCCGCACCTGCAGCTTGAGGTCCGTCATCGTCGTGCCCGAGATCGCCGAGTCCAGCTCGTCACCCAGGCCCTGGACATCGTCGTCTTCGCCTTCCTGCCCTCCTGCCGCCCCGCGGGCTATGAGCTCGTCTTCAGTCATATCCGCCATGTTGCCGCCCTCCTCGCCCTCTGCACGGGCGCTCTTCGCGGCTGGTGGGCGCGCCTGCGAGGAGAGCTCTAGCTCGCGCACGCGCTCCTGGTAGAGTTCGAGCGTCTCCGAGTCCTTCGCGCGCTCCTCCTCGGTGACCTTGAGCTTTGTTTTCGTCTGGTCGAGATCAAACTTGACCGCGTCAAGCTCTTTAGTGCGCGCGGACATCTTCGTCTCGAGCTCGGCGATCTGAGTCTTGTAGGAGTCCATAAGCGGCTTGAAGGCAGCAACCTTGCGGTACTCCTCCTCAAGGGAGGCATTCTTGTCGACGAGGTCGGCGTTCTGCTTCTCGAGTGCCTGCGATAGTGTGAGGTAGGGTCGGATGTGTAACACAGAGGAAGACTTGCCTTGACGTGCTGCCGGAGATCTGCGCCCTCTTGGAGCTTCTTCTTGTACTTCTCCATTACGTTTTCCGTCTTCTGCAGCTTGTCCGCAGCATGTCGGTACCTGACGGGCGCATGAGATCATGCCATCGACGGAGGCGGAACAGACTTACTCGTCAACTTGGTCCTTCAGGCGAGCTGCCTCGTCTGCCTTGCCCTGCAGTTCGTCGCATCTGCGCGTAAGGTCCGTGACGAGGTGCGTCTGCTTATCCAGCTCCGCTTCTGCCATGGCCAAGTTATCCTCACTCTTCTGGCTGCCATGCTCCTCGCACGTCAGTCAACGGCACGGAGGGAAGGACGTGCGACTCACAGCTCAGTCCGAAGGCGGTCGATCTCTGCCCGCATGATGGCGTCTCCACGGCTGTCGCCCCGCTTGTTATCCGCCTCGCGTTGTGCTTGCCGCAGCTGAGCGACCGCTTCGTCCTTCTCTGAGACAGCATCGTCATAAGTCGTCTGCAGCGTCCGATGCTCTTCCAGGAGAGTCTGGTACACTTTCTCCAAAGTCTCCTTCTCTGAGAGTATCTTGCTCCGCTCGGACTGCAAGACATAGTAGCGGTCGTCCCTGGGTTTAGTACGTTAGTAACCAGGGAACGTCCGGATCGCATGCACACGCACTCGGTCATGCTGACATCGCCTGTGCTCGTCTCCCCTGAGGCCTTCACTTTCGCCATGGTTTGCTCGATCACACGCATGAGCGAGTGCTGCTCCGACTCCGTCAGGCTCTGTATCTTCTCGATGATGGGCATGTTATTCTCGCATTGCACGGCGATGGCGATGGTGAGCCGGCACATGCTGAGGGTCGCCGGGACGTTATAGTCCTGCGCAACACCCTGCAGGTCAGGCACTGCGAGCGCGGTGGTGGGTTGGTGTAGGACATCGGAGAAGTACTGGGTCATGAGCCGGTAGAGGCGTTTCAACGAGCTGAACCGAAGGACCCAGTTGTCCGACGGCTGCGCAGACGGCCGCGATGGTTGGCGGAAGTAGTCCCCATCTCTATACGCGTCTCAGTACAAATAATGGTCTGTAATTGAACAGGGAGCACGTACACGACGGACAGGACTTCGAAGAGGGCAGCGCCGTCCGAGAGGTCAGCGACGGTTGTCACCGGGCGCGTGAGGTCGAAAGAGGCGAAGAACGAGAAGAATGCGCTCAGCTCCTTGCGCTGAGCATCCCCCATGGCTGGTGTCGGGATGTGCGGATACCTGATCTCGCGGCGGTCGTCGTCGTCGTCCGCCTCGACGTCGAGGCGAGTAGTAGCACTAGCGAATAGGCGCTGGGACGCGTCGCACGCGTGCGCGCGCTTCGCCACGACGTACAGGCGCTACTGTAGTACTCGATCTCTACTACACCTCGCCCTCAACCAACCCTCAACGTTGTCCGTCCCTTTCAATATCAAGTCTCAGGCATATCTCGCACACTCTGACAGCACTCCCTCATACTATTTCCAGCCTTTTCTGCGCGCATGACCTCTACCGAGATTATACTGGACGGCAGCGTCCTCGAAGGAGGTGGCCAACTGCTCCGCAACGCCGTGGCCTTATCCACACTGCTCTCTCAGCGCATTTCTATCCAAAATATACGCGCAAATAGGAGACAACCGGGCCTGAGGCCACAGCACGCAGCAGGTGATAGAGTGTTCCCAAGGACTTAGCCACCTACTGTTAGGTCTCATCAACCTGCGGCATAGGACTGCGCCTAGTCGCTGAACTCTGCGGGGGAAGTCTGTCAGGAAGTGAACCGGGTACGACAGAAATTGACTACCGGCCCGGGCTTGGTGTTCTGCTGTCGAGGACGTACAGCGCCGATCCGGGGACAGCAGGAGCAACGACTCTTCTCCTGCAAGTTTCGCTGCCATGTCTCCTCTTCTCGCCTGCACCGTCTGCCTCGGATGGACCTCCAACGACAGAACTGATCCTGTGCGGCGGAACGAACGCGATTCAAGCACCTCAGATTGACTACACGGCCCATGTCTTTCTGCCCTTCATACAGCGTCACTTCGGGCTCGCACCGAGCTTGCAAGTCAAAATGCGCGGCTACTATCCCAAGGGAGGCGGGCGAGTGCGCGTCGTAGTACCAGCTGTGCCCGGGCCCTTGCCATCCGTGAACCTGACGCACCGGGGCTCGGTCGAAGCCGTACGTGGTCGAGCATACGTCGCCGGCCTCCCCGCACACCTAGCAGCCTCCATGCGTAATAGCGCGGCCGCGGCACTCCAAAACGGAGGTATAGACCCTGACATTATCCACATCGAGGCAATTAGGGAAGAATCGCATGACGCTGTGGGAAGCGGGTCCGGCATCGTGCTCTGGGCTGAAACCGATGGCGGGTGCGTTCTGGGCGGAAGCGCGATTGGTGTGAAGGGGAAGAAACCCGCGAAGGTCGGTGAAGAGGCCGCGAACGAGCTGCTTCGAAACCTAGCGCATGGAGGATGCGTGGATGAGTATATGCAGGTGCGTTTCATGATTGTGTGCGTCTTCCCAGCTTCTGAAGGCCACGTAGGACCAGATGATCATCTTTCTGGCCCTGGCCAAGGGTCGGTCGTCCGTGAAGACGGGCCCTCTAACTCTGCACACAAAGTGAGCTGTGTTCATCTTCAAGTTGGTCGGTAGCTTAACTTACCCGATCCCTCCTCTATTAGAACCGCGATCTGGGTCGTGGAACAGCTGACGAAAGTAAGGTTCGTAGTGCACGAGGAGTCTGAGAGTTCGTTTGTCATTCAGTGCGATGGTATTGGATACACGAGATTAATGCCAACAATGACATCATGAAGCTAGCTCAGAGCGAGATGTTCGACGACAAGTAGTAGCACCTTCGACGCAGGGAACTATCGATAGGCATTCGATTCCAGTCATACAATGGCAATGAAGATACAGGTCGATGATCACGACGCGGAGGCTATCTTGCCCTTCAGCTTCAGATGCGACGCCCCAATCACGCTCAGGCCTGTGTGCCTGCTGGGACGCAGCCTTCATCTGTTCATTTCGCTCGGCGTTCGCGACTTTGTTTCGTTTGTCCTTCTCCGCCTCGCGCGGCTACTCCTACATAGTCACGATTCTTAACAAGACATTCACGCGGCGCTGGTGAGTTTGTGTTGAATCTATCACTCATTCAGCGTTCTAATCCCCTGCTTTCGCGACTTGGAAAGACCCGCTCGGGCGTCAGCTCTTCGCACCCTTGACTACCGAGCGAACACCCTTGAGATTGTCCTAGAAGTTATCGAAGACACGCCTTGCGGAGACCAGACGCATCCGGGTCTATGGTTTGGCTGCTTGTCGGCCCCAAGTCGGTCCTCTAGTCTGGGAGTTGGTCCGTCCAGTACCAAAGATCTCGACCTTCGTGGTAGGTCGTCAGCCAGGCTCGAACGGATTTGCTTGCCTGACTGACGTGTACCACGCGAGCAAGGCCGAAGTTGCGCAGCTTGCCGTGCAGCGTATCTGGGTTAGCGACCAAGTTGGACAAGCTGATGTCGGTGTGTTCAACTCTGTATTCGTCGCTGCCGATCCACAGTAGATAGTGCCTATCAGGACGATGATTACATCGCGCGAAGAGATCACGCGAAGACACTCACAGTAAAGGCATTCGATGATGCACTGGACTGCTGCGCCGGGGGAAGTCTTTCGGGCACTGATCCCTGTACGACAAAGTTTCACCCACACCATTGGCCCAGGCCTACTGTCAAGGCATACATCGCCGACCCCGGGGCCGCGGAAGCAACGACTCTTCTCCTGCAAGTTTCGCTCCCATGTCTCTTTCTCGCCGTCGCCGACGTCTTCCTCATGGACCAACCTCCGCCGACATGATTGATCCTGTGCGGTGGAACGAACGCGATCCGAGCACCACAGATCGACTACATCGCCCATGTGTCCATGTCCTTCATCCAGCGCTGCTTTTTTGGGCTCGCCCCGACTTGCAAGTGGAGATGCGCGGCTTCTATCACGAGGGAGGCGGGCGAGTGTGCGCCTTGGTGCCAGCTACACCTGGGCCCTTACCACTCGTAAGTCTGACGCACCTGGGCTCTGTCAAAGCCATGCCGTCGGCCTCCTTGTACACGTAGCAGCCTCCACGCGCAACGCTGCGATCTAGGCCTCCAAACTGGAGTAGTATAGACCCTGACATTATTCACATCGAGGCAAGCAGGGAACGTGAAGTACTTTGTGTGAAGTGTGTCTGGCATCGTGCTCTGGGCTGAGACCGATGACAGGTGCATGCTGCCAGTGGCCCGCGGACGCGCGACTGATGTGAAGGAGAAGACACTCGCGAGGGCCGGTGAAGAAGCCGCGAGCGAGCTGCTGCGACATCTGGCGCGTGGGGGATGTGTGGATGAGCCTGAGTATATGCAGGTGCGTTTCATTGATTGTGTGCGTCTTCTCAGCTTCTGACGCACCCGCAGGACCAGACGATCATCTTCTTTGCCTCTGCGCGGGGCCGGTCCGTCGTAAGGCCGGGCCCTCCAGCTCTACACATGAAGTGAGCTGTGCTCATCTTGCTCTCCGGTAACCTTCCTCGCCTAATTTCTCACCTAGAACTGCGACCTAGGTCGCCGGAACGCTGAAGGCAAGGTTTGTAGTACACGAGGAGTCTGAGGATTCATTTATCATTCGATGCGATGGTATTGGCTACACGAGGTTAGGAAACGCTCTAACGACGGCATCATAACGCTTGGTCGTTCTCGCTGGTGGGTGACACGGTGCAGAGACGCTGCGCGATCAAAACGGTGCAATGTTGTCTTCAGGATCTTGGTTGCCTCTTTAGTAGGCCTCCGATCCTTGTTCTCTGACAGTCATCCAGACCTTCGCCACCGGTGTCAGAGGCGATTTCTCCGAGATACCCATGATTGCAGGTTTCAGCACCCTCCCGCGAATATTGTGCAGCCGCTGCACTCAACCACCGGTGTAAGATTCGAACCTACAGGCATGATAAATGTGGGTTGCTAACATTTTGATCTAGACGGTATGAAATCTTCGACGGTGAGTATCGAGAGCAGTCCCTCTCTGTGGGTTGTATTGATACTTGAACGCATGCCTCGAAGCAAGAGCATATTCTCGTTATGATGTGAGTGCGTATGCAAGGCCCGGAGAAGTTTTGATGCCGATCTTCTAGTCCACCTAAGCCCGGTGGATCTAGGTCTTGTGCTACACGTTCCTGATGCAGACTTCACCGATTATCAACCAGCGAAACTCTGAAGGAAGTAGGACGCACATTGGCCGCAATGGGCACGACAAATGGCACCATACCTGCGGCGCAGTCCGCCACTGACGTTGAAGGTGAGTAGGTATCAGAAGTGGTGATGAGCTGACTGTGACTCTTGGGCGTTGTCCTGGGAAGCAGTAGCAGCGGGAGCTGACCGGCACTGCCGACTGTGCCAGTGTGGCAAGTACTGGCAGGTAGACTGTAACGCCAAATTGGGAGGGCGCATTGCAACATCAAATCAATCTGGCCTATGGCCTATCATCCCGAATTGGAGAGCAATGGAAAACGTACAAGGGTAGTATCCTAGCATTACCCGTATCACCAAGATACCGTCTGACGCCATTGACATCGAAGGGCAACGAGGGAGTATAGAACACCGATGGGGTGCGCCGCAGTCTAGATTCAGATGCAAAGCAAACAATGTGAATATCTCCTGGCTCTGGAACTTCGTATACCGGATAGGATGTACTCTGTGTCTTCTCCCGTGTGCCAAAGGCGGGTGTCGTGCGGCTGTACAGTGTCTACGTCGATGAATTGCAGTCATCGCCGTGTCAATTTCGGAAATGCTCAGTCGTTCTTTTGCAGTCACGAGACAACATCTCATTCAACGTAGTAGTACTGTTGCCCTACCGTGCAGCCACCTTCCCGGGTAACGGCTAGCGTGCAGGAGTAAATATGTTATATAACGCGCGCTGGGCTGACGTCGCTGAGTTCTACCGCCGATATCCGATACATTTTCGTCCCATAGACTACATAGAGTCCAGCGGGCTGCGATCGGACGTCGACGTCGTTGTTTGAGGCATCTGATCCCCGTTCCCGTGGGCGAACAGCCGAGTGCTTATCTGGCTGGCTCTCGAGTCGAGCAAGGGTTGTCGGTCTGTGTGTGCATGTGCAGAAGGGCCGAATTCAGTCACAATAAGTATGCGAAGACTCGGATGTATCATTGTATGTTCGAATTTATGTCATGATCATATGTACCCCACGTGATTACCAGAAGTACCCTCCGTATCCCCAACTACCGACAGGACTACACACTTTGTGCACCAAAACGGTCCTCGCGCTGCAGGGCATGTCGGTTTAGGTTTGCGCCGGTAGCGAGGTACGTGGATTCTTTGCGGACCCTGAAGGAACGTGGGACAAACCACTATTTCACCGTATCTGGCGACGGCGACTTGCAAGCGCAGTGCAATGTTCGGACGCAGGTGATCAGACAAACGGCACAAGGCAGCCGCGGACCAGGACCTACTTTGACTGGCTACAACACTGCTCCGCTTCTTCATCCAATAAGCTTGGTTTACATAAGGAACCCGTCCCACACAGACTGTACATAAGAACTCGACAGCGCTTGCGATTTGTCTCCCGGACTTTGGCCCCCAATCATAGGGCACACACCTGGTGTCTGTCAGTGCGCACGGGCCAGCCTTGGTGTGTCAACATACCAGAATGCCTCCAAGCCATCTCGTAAGTGATGTTACTTTCGCGATCGGGGTGGCGTACTAACCTGTGTTTCCTGAACATCGCAGGACGTCGTGCCTCAGAGCCCGCTGCCTATCGGCAGACTTGTCCATTTCGTCTCAGGCCCGTTTGCTAATCGAACGGTCCGAGCCGAGCTGGATGAGCTACAGAAAGCAGACCTGGGTCGCAAGTGAGTGCACTGTGTCGCATTCGCGGATCGCCCTCATGATATTGGCGGATCAAGGTGCGGTAATAGGGATAGAAGACCATTGGATCCTCCACCCGTCGTGCGTCTCAAGCTGTTCGAGATCATCGACGAAGGCACTCCTCAGGAGACAGAACGAGAGATCTCCGAAGTCAAGTGAGTGCTTCTGTCTAGTCGCTGTGTTCTTCTGCTCACATATGGACATTCTCCCTGGAGCGGTGAAGCGATCGCCTATGGGTTCATATGTTTTGTGGACCTGTTCCCGTGGCCCCCTTACCAAGACAGTGCTGCCTCGGGATCACTCCCAAAGCAGTTGCTGCCCCCACGACCCCTGGCGCATCCCTCAGGTTCTGGTGGAGAAGCACTGCCGTCTCTAGCTTCGATCATGACCCAGTTGGCGCCGAATCCTATGGCGAGATCCGTCCCAGGCGGGACAGCGCACTCTTCTAGTAGTGTGGCCAGTCCTTATCGCTCTGCTATGCAACTCGTTCACACGCCCGCTCCTGGGCCCGTCCCGGACTCGTTTCGTGGAAACGACCCAGCATTGGACATCACCAACATGCGTTCGCATGTGCCGGGGCCGAGGATGGAGTTACGTACGCCTAAACTCGTAGAAAATGGACAGCAGGTCGCTGCTGTCGTCGATGGCGTTGCGATCCCAGAGTGTGCGAATTGCACACAAGCTTTCGTCGGGGCGACCTTTGTTTCCGCGTCGTGTCTCACTCACGACGGAAAACCGTCTCTACTCTTCGTCTTTTCGGTTGGTGATTTTGACCTCAAGTTGTATTGCTGTACCTGAAGTCTGTCCGCGCTTGTGTAGGACCTTGCTTGCAACATGGACGGGAATTTCCTGCTCCGATATCGAGCGTTGAACCTTTTCGGCTATGCACTCGAGACTGAAGCACTCCCTGTCCTCGCCGAGTGTTGGGGCGGTCCTGTCATCGTCTATCCCACGAAAGACTTTCCAGGATTAGCGGAGTCGACAGAGCTGACGAAGGTACGCCTCTTCTACTAGGCCTCGACCGTGCACTGATGTCCGCGTCAGTATCTGTCGCGCTTTGGCGTACCTGTGAACATCCGACAAGGTGAGCGCAAGAAAAGGGGCAGGCCAGAGAAGGACAAGGGCGGTGCGTCTGTTCCAACATAAAAACTTGCTCTTCATTGTTGGCTATCTAGCGGGGCACACTCCAGCCCGATTCCGGGACGGTGGCCATGCTGACTGACCGACGCACTGCCAGGTATGCGCGCCGTCCGGCCCTCTCCTGGTTGAGAGTCTCTCCGTGTTTCACGACAGGCTATGATCAGGTACGATGCATACGCACTCTCTGACATGTACTGCTACTACTCAGCTGCCTCCGGTACCGTAGCGTCGTCCTCCGTATCGGCCCAGCTTTAGAACTTACAGAATTGGATAACATCTTTTTCGAAATGCTATATCACATTTCCAGACAGATATGCATCCTGGTACACTGGCAGTTGTAGCCGAACCTGAGCCGAACCGTAAGTATGAACGTTTTGAACGATGATGTCAGGATAATCGGCCACGTGACCACGACGATAAGTACATCGTCGCCGGTACGTGATAGTATGTACTTCCAAGTTCCAACGTACTTCTGAGTCCTTATTCTCTCCAGTACTACGTGTTGTACTCTCTACTGAACTATACTCGGACTACGCGTACCTTCGAGCATTGCAGTGATGGACCTGACGACACACGTCACACTACCGGTCGAAGTACTGGAGCGCGTTATCGACTACGTGGCTTCAGACGATCACCCAGGATTCCCCACCCTCTGCAACTGTGCGCTGCTTTGCCGTGCACTATACAACCGGAGCCGATATCTCCTGCTCAGCACTGTCCGGCTTCGCAGCGTCCAGCACACCTTCTCACTTGCAAGGTTACTGCGTGGGCACGGGCGCCTCCAGGACGCGATACGAGCTGTTGCGATTGAAGGATGCGTCGAACTCTCTACGGCGGATATGTCACTTGCGGTGCCGTCGCTCAGACACCTCAGTACCTTTACAGTTGCATTGGCAGGGATACTTCCCTGCGTCGATGTGCTGGAGCTCCGCGATGCGGATTGGGCGAAGGGCACTGTCCATCCAAACGCTTTCATGCACCTGTCCTCCTTCCCGTCCATATCCGTCCTCTCGCTCAGCCGCGTCCAGTTCTCCGATGCCTCCACCTTCGGGAAGCTCATCTCTGCCTTGCCTTGCCTCGACCATTTACAATGCTCCCACGTGGTTTTCCTACTCGTTTACCGCGTGCAGGAGCCCGTGATCGCGACTCTGAAGTCCCCTCTTCGTATGAGAAGCATACAGATGGATGCAGAGTCTGCGGCCGAGATGTCCAGCATCTTCAGGAACCCGAAGTTCGCTGGACAGCTTGAAAGGATCCACCTGGGTACCTCGCTATCACCGCTTCCTCTGAAATCGCAGGACTTGCGACACACGGGCTACCAACAGCTTCTCAACGCCGCTGGGCCGACGCTTTTGGATCTAGATCTTATCGTCGGTGACTGGGACTGTGACCCGTACACGGCGGTAGAGAAGATTGGTGTGCAAGGTCTCTTATGTGTTGACAGTGCGGTATCACTGATCATGTTGCTTGTCACCCCCGCGCAGCACAACACTTCAGTCTCGCGCAAGTCAAGCGCTTAGGATCCCTTAATGTGACGATCAATGTTGGTGCCCGCGACTACGACATCCCGCCCTGGGCGGACGTGCCGGAATACATGTGGATCGCCACTTGGCTCGGCTCTCTACCCTCTTTCTCAGATTCCCCAGGAAAGATCCATATCACCTTCAGCTGCAGCTTGCATGTCCGTCCGGAAATATGCGAACGGCTGATCAGGAATCTGCGCTTGGGTGGCGATCCCAAGGCAATCGACAACGTCCTCGCTCGTGACCCGTTCCTGCATCTGCAGGAATTCACCATCGAAGTGCGTGACCATTGCAACTCTTCGGTCCCGGAGGACCTTGAGTTGTCCATCCGGAAACAAATGGCCCAAACGGACCGTCGAGGGATACTACGGTGCGTAATGGAAAGTGCTGCCCGCATGCAGCGGAGTCTCAATGACCTCTATGATGTCGCAGAGTCGTGGTCTAGACGGGTTGTCAGGATTGGCTAGTGAATATGGCTGCTTGCGTGCACCGCCTGAACACTGCACAATTGCTGCACGCAACTCACACGATATCGCAAATCCTGCACTGTTTCCGCACCCCTTCCACCGCTCAGCAGCCCTTGTTCTGTCACAGCGTATCGAGGTCCCAGGGTCCATGCCTGCGGCGTTCGCCGCGATTCCAGCATGATAGCAAACTCTCGTCTTGTCTGCGGTCGCAGTCGCAATATCATCCCTCGCACGAAATTCGAGTCTTGACTGCACCTGCCGCGAGGGTATATAGACGTCACAGTATGACCCGTCTCAATTCAATCCCCACCTTTGCACAACGACTCGATCTCCAAGTAGACGCGATCACTCAACATTCCTAGGTGGCGCAACTATGTACTTCATCAAGAAGTTTCTATTTCGAAGTACTTCGACAGGGACCGCAGCGAACCAAACGGACACGGAGGTGATATGCTCACGTCGCATACGATTGGTCAGAGGCTGACATCCATCTGTCCATCTGTGGCCTTGGTTGTTACACCTAGATACCCTCGAACTCTCACAGCTCGACAGCATGCGCTACCGCAAGCGATGGAACGTTCTCCACGGTATGCACCTCGCTGACTACGGCGTTAGTATTCCTGACTCTCCACATCTCGTCTCGAGGCCCCGTCTACCAGCTCAATCAGCACGGTTGCCTCCGTCGACATCCGACGCATCGAAGACATCTTCGCGGCGCACGAAGCGGCGCTAGCGACCGGCCAAGACATCCACGTCCGAGTCACATTCGACGAGAATGGCGAGATGGTGAGGGGAATCTATCTGTTCACAACCCGGTGGTGCTGACGCCTCGACGATGTCTGTCCGAAGGTCGTGGCCAACATGGAGCCGCTCCACGATTTCAACCCATGTCAAGAACTCTCACCGCCCCTCAAGCAAGAAGGCTTTCTGCCAACCGACTGGGAGGAACGACCGACTACGGACAAGCCTAGAAAGAAAGAGAAGGGAAAGCACGATTACGACAGACGTCTGAGGAATGCAGTCAAGTTTGTTCGTCGTGCCGCTCTTGTGGGCGTCGAGCGTCCGGAAAGCGCAGCGTCGGCTGAGACAGTGCTTTCCGTCGGAGGGAGGACTCTCGCATGGGCTGTGAGTGCCTTCAGTCTGTCGTGGCGTTCGACCACGATGATAACACGAATATCTAGGTGCCCGCTGGACAGGATGCGCGGCAGTACAGCGCGAAGCTGGTACGTGGATGATCTGGCGTAGCGATCCCGTTCTGAATCGTGATGGATACCCTGTAGATGCATGCATTGAAGCTATTGCACAAACACCGCACCTTGCAGCGAGACATCAAGCCCAACAGAATCGCTGTCAGCCGCGAGGGAAGGATAAGTTCCGCTGACTTCACTGTGTAGGATATGTTATATGATACCAGACCATGTTTCTGCTCCCTGGTTTCTGTAGATTGTGTCGTCATGTTTGTTCTCGCTTTCGTTGGCAGGATAGGCTACGAGTGGCGGCTGTCCTTTGTGGGTGTCGTGTTACAGCATTAAACGAGATCCAGACTGTGAGTCACACTCTGAGGTCAGTTCAGAGCCTCTCTGTCGTGTGATCACGAGAACATACAACCAGCAAGAATTATGCTACATCATACGACACGTACAACAGATAGAATCACAGAGACAAGATGGGTGGTAGTGTGGCCGGAAAGAGCTCGGCAGACGCGCCGAACTATCGCCCTTTCTTCTTTTTGCCCATCTGCTCAGCACAATCCCGACAATACCACTTCGCTTTTGGTGGGGGCGGCTCTTTGAGGCCAACACAACCGAGATGGAACTGTAGCACAGGTATTGAGCGTCATGCGACTCTGCCAGCAAAGAACCACTTACCCATTCACGTTTGCAGCTATCATTGTCGCATGCAACCATCTTTTAGGCTCGCGTTAGTCAAATTATGCGACCCAGTAAGACAGCGAACTCACAACTCCGAATGAAACTTGATTGCAGTAACAATAGCATGGCTCGTTGGGGTCGATTGGCATGTCACCCAGCGCCCCCAACTCCGACGCGTCGCCTGCCACACCTGGTTTATTGCCTACTTGCGCGGTGATAAATGATAGGGGTGGTACCGTCAGCTTCAAGCTCGCGGTGCCCTCAGGTGTAGATGTCTCGGCCTGGTCGGTGTCAGCCGGGGTGACGGCCTTCTTCTTTCGAGACCACTTCGCGGTACGCCGCCTACGCGGTCGCACAAGGATCGAGCGCGATCCGTTGCGCTCTGGCGACTCAGTGGACTCAATACCAAGCGTAGGCTCATCCTCCTCCTCGTCATCTTCTTCGGCTTGTATGTTTACAGATGTGGCTTCCGATACTGCCCGAGGTACCGGAGGCACTTCAGGAGCCACGATCGGCTCAGGCGGAGGCGGAGGGGGCTGCTGTGCGATGCGAGTGCGGGTAGTTGTGGGCGGAATGACCTCGGGGAGGATGATGGAGGCAGGGTGCGTCCCTGGCCTGAGGCCAAGCGAGAGAGAAGTTTCCTGCTCTTTGATGGCGCGGTCCAGGTCACGGATGTACCTATCCACCTGGACGAAGATATGCTCAAGTTAGTCTCGACCCAGAAGCGATTCGGGATCAGGAATGTCACGGACCAGATCATATGCAAACCTCGCAACGTTTACTTTCTCGTTGGAGGCACGGACAATCTCCTCTGATAGGTTGGCAACCTTTGTAAGTAGGTGTCTGGACGAGGGGCCGGATGAGCTGTCTTGTGGGCGTGTAGTCGGTGCTGTGTCTGGTTGCTGTGCGTTCTCAGGGAGGGCTTCCTGCGCACTCGTCTGATCCTCCTGCATGGGTTCTGGCTCGTCACTTGCATGAGCCGCGGCGGTGTCCTGGTCCTGAGCTGCACTCTGGCTCGCCAGTTTCTTCCTGACGGCGATGTATTCGCGGAGAGTGGGCACGAGCTTCTTCTCATTATCTATCATATTGTATATTTGAGCTTCGCATATAGCATGACGAATGGCATATACGCACCTTGCACCTGCTGGTCTAGCTCCAACATCAGCGCGAACGAACGATGCAGGGAGAGCGGCAGCTGCTCGAGCACTGTGAGCAGCGGACTTGAGTGTCGTCGCGAACAGCAGACTCATCTGAACTTACGTACCTTCATACTGCTCCTCTCTGAACGCGTCCCATACCTCCCGCTCCTTCTTCGCCCTCTCGTCCGGCGCGTCTCCTTTCTCCGCTACCGACCCTGCATCGTCGTCCTGTGCCTCCGCCTCTGACTGGTCTTCGGCTTCTACTTGCTCTTCATGCTGCTGTTCTTCATCATCTTGGAATGCCTCCGAGCGTCGTCGTTTACGAGTGAGGACAGACATCTCTTATAGACTGTAGTAGTAGCAGCACTAGCAGTTCGATGGCTTCACGCGACTCGGATGCGAAGAGCGCAGTATACTGTAGACATCAGTCAATGATTCGACTCCGAAACGCTCTCTGATCAACTCAGCTATTGAACAATAACATCGCTTTGTGAATTAGTAAGCAGACGCGTCGCGTCTGTGGCGCACAAATTAACGCGTAACCTTCTGCTCGCGTCTTGTTCTCTGCGCTCGCGTCTACACTCATCTCGCTGCGATGGTCTCCGCCTACCGCATCGACAGTCTCAAGAATCCAACTCTTGCTCTGCAAGACTTCTTCAATGAATGCGCACTTGAGCAACGCGAGAACTTTGCTCGTCGGGTCTCTAAGCATTACTCGCAAGTCTTCAACGCGCCCGAAGCCTTCAACGAAGTGCGACCATCGCCACTTCCTCGAAATCAATGCCGCTCTGACGTGTATTGCTCAGATACCAACTCTGGATACTCAAAATCCTCCCGACACATTCCCAGATCGTGCGCTCGTCCGTTTCCGAGCGATGGTTCAGGACACATCTACCTCGTCGGAGATGTACCTGTCGAAGTCGAAAAACGGCGCATGCGGTGGATGGGGTATTGATTTTGCTGAAGAGGAGGATACTCGTGTCGACTTCGGTGATTTACGAGAGTGCACGGTCCTGTGGGCTGTTAGCGTCCCCGCAGAGTCGGCATGGTGCGCGAAGGAACTGGATGGACCGGTGGAGCGTATGTTTGCACTTTCCGCCAGATGATGTACTGTCTCTGAACATTGATGCTCAAGATCAAGAACGAGTCGTCCCATCTGATACCCGTCTACCCTACAAGCCGCAGCACGCACACAAATACCCGCATTCCTCGGTCTCCCACCTTGGAGTCCAAGTGAAGGTCAGAAGCCTCAGGATACATTGCTATTTGCAGCTCACACCTTGTCGTAGATATATGACACAGAAAGCTCTGAGAAGCTCAAGTCAACCGACATCGTCACATTCGTCGGCATTTTGTCTACTGACTCGTCAGTTCATCGGTTCTATGTCCGCCAACCTCGACTTACGGTCAAACCACGTTACCCAGACTAAGCTCCAGCCTTGATGAAGCGGTAGATGTCCCAACTCTCCATGTGCTTTTCATGCAGCAGCACCCCTACAATCTGCTATCGCGCCCTTACCCATCTTTCGGACAAGACCCTCCATTCCCCAGTACAACCGTAGACAAAGGAAAGGAACGCGCAACCTCCGATCTGGGCCCTTCCGATGTCAGGTCGCAGCTGATCGCTTGGATAGCTGAAGAGGCTCTGGGCGGGGACCATGACGCAGCTGAATGGGTATTACTGGCATGTATAGCTCGAGTGTGAGTGTTACTCTGTCTCGATCCGACTAACTCAATACTGATGTTATGCTCAGACAATCCCGCAACCCGCCACTCCTGCCTCCTTCAGTGACACTCACACACTTTCCTTCACCTCCGCTTATTCCATCCACGACCGCCGAGTGTCCTGTGCCCATCCTGACACTCTCAGTGATTCTTGCGGAGCTTCTGCCGCTCACCCATACATTGCCGCTCTCACTGCCTCTGCTCAACAAAGATACATTCGTGCCTGAGAGTAAAGATGAAGATCTGCATTCGGGAGCACTGCAGCTGCCGCAGGGTACGGTCCTTCTTGTGACGGAAGGCGGCGTCCAAGAGGGAAAGCTTGTCGACAGAGGTTCGTTGTGTGGCGTAAGCAGGCTCATCGCGTTGGTACTGACGATCATGGGACAATAGGCGTGTTGAATATACGAGCGCTGCAGGAAGTGATGACTGCGCAGACGTTGTCATACACGTTCCCGTTCTCGTCGTTCTCCTTCCCAACGGACATAAGCTGCATCGTTCTCAGTGAGGGAAGTAAGAGCGCATTCTTCAAGGCAAGTTTGCATCCACTTGTCTGTTATCCTCTCGTGCTTACGTCGCCGGCAGACCGACATCAGCGTCCCATTACAAGCGACTAGGACTCCTGAAGCTGTGGCTCAGCTGTACAAGCCTGCAGAGAGTCTCAAAATGCCAGACTCTGAACGACTCGCGGCGTTCCGCGACCTTGTCGTAGGCGCGCGCTCAGGGAAGGTGCAGGTTAGCGAAGAGACATCAACAGTGAGTAGACATTGGAATCCGGTTGCATCGCGTTCTGAACTTTTCGATACTAGCACATTCAACGAGACTTCGTACGCGAACGGCAACAAAATCAATCGGTCACGTCTGACGACCTCATTCGTCGCATGACGGTCGCTAAGTGAGTCACGGTTCTCGGTGCGGATCGAGGCTATCTAACGACGTTGGTCTCACATGTAGGTTGTATGCGCTGTCGATGCATGAGCCTACGTTGTCTATTGACGTGTGGGAACGCGCGAAGACATTCGACGAACGTCGCCTTGCGGCATGTGCCGCAGAAGCACCATGAAACTGAAGCCGCAGCATATCATGCCCGACGCGGAGTAGTCGCTGTTTATCTCATAGTTTATGCTATGTTTAGCAACACGTATCGAAGCTACGCTCTGTCGACGTGCGGGCACTAGGGACCTGTCTTCCGCAATGACTCCCCTTGAGTCGCGTACTTCTTCCTCGGGCTCGCTGCATCTGATCACACATGTAGTCCACCTATGGGCCGAACGTCAGGTTGTGGGAGATCGCCATTTTGTATACGAGTAGACTCACATTGAGCAACAGATGCAGCCCCATCATCCTCCACCGCGAGTGGACAAATCTCATCTTCGCCGGATCGGTGTAACCCCATGTCCGTCATGGCATCGGAGTCGAGCATATCACGCTCGACAGTTGACAGTGAGAATAAGACGGTGGTCTGGGCGTAAACGTCCATGGAAGTGCCGTCCGTCTGTGATTTGTGTAGGTCCAGCAGCAGCCGGGAGAGAAGCACTGATGTTAGTCTGTGAGGTCGCGGGAATGTCAGTGATCGTTGATACGCAGAAATAATACTAAAGGAATTCACAGCGCAATGAATGTTGACAGGCATGGTACGAGCTATAGCACAGGCTGCGATAAGTTGAAGTTCTTTGTATGCATGCATGCACAAAGGAGACCTGCCTGGAAAATATGGCCTGTGCCTATGCCGACGATGTTGACGATACACAGGAGCCTACCCCGACAACTTCAATAAAGGACTTCACGCCTGAATCTCAAGAGAACCCACAGGAAATAGATCCCGGCTAGGACAAGGGCAAAGTTACATCAGTTGACTTCCTTCAGCTTACCGGGGAAGAAGGGCTTACTATCCGTAACGAGGGTGGAAGTAAGGGACGTTGCACTCGCACTATCTGTCTTACTCCTTGCACGGAAAAGTTTCCACCAAGTCAAGGCAAGAACGAGTCCGTCTGCGAGTAGCGAAGACGCCCGAGCTCCGATGATCCCTGAGCAACAGTGTCAGTAGAAGGAGGACTATGCGAAGCTCCGGACGCACAGCTTGAAACAACGCTGTCAATGCCTATATTCATTCAAGACCAGAGATGTGCTTACTTCATGTAGACCAACCTGTCATTATTACCCTTCGTGAAGCTGGCACAGAACATCAGAGGCCCGTGGGCGTATAGCCCTGGTGTCAACGCGACAAATGAGTACTGCAGAAAGTAATAGCTCGGTCATACGGCTGATCCTGCGAATAATGGTTTCAAAGACGCACGATGATGTAGATTGCGGGATTGATGACTCCAAGGAAGAGTACGATTGACAGTATCCAGCAGCGCATGCCATATATAGCGTATACCCGCAAGGCCGTGAATACTTCATAACCAATCTGAGAACGTGCTGTGTGTACGATCAATAAACACCGTGACTGACCTGCTGCACTTGTCAGCAACACAACAGTGAGGACCATCTGTGTTCGAACGAGAATCTGACAGCTGCTCCGTGTTCAGATAAGCACAAAGTCTTCAGAGCCTTCGTGGTCTGACCTCTGAAGCGGAGCGAGAGTTATGGACGATGTCGGGAATAGGCGGCGTACGTACTTACGTATTCTGATTGCCAGCTTGGGAAGGCATTTGCACCGAGGACGACGAATATGGTGTTGAAGACTGCAGGATATCTGAAGCCACAGAATAAGAGGACGGACAATGTCCGTTTGCTTGCCCAGATGTATTGTATTTCGTCGCCCAGAGTGAGACAGTAGTCGTAGCAACAAAGGGCTCGAGGGTAAGATTTCTTAGCTTGGTGCACAGGTCATTCAATGCTTGCAAGGACTTACCTGTGACAGAGTAGTACAGCGCAGATCCTAGATTTCTAACATATCCATCACCCGTCAGCGTACTACTTGGCGGTATGCCGAGTCGATGCACAACTTACACAGTCTGAATGTACGACTCAGAGTCGTCGATCGCTCCCATCACAGCGATGAGCCAGCAGGGGAATGTCCAACGTTCCGTGGCAGCTGTGTCGCTCTCTTATCAGACAACGAAGAATCATCCATCACGTCTGTCAAAGAGAACTGCACTGCCCGGCTCAATACCACTGCGCATCATGCTTCTACGGTCCTCTTGCACATGATCGCACCGCGAATAGTGAGAGCGACACCAATTCAAATGCTGTCACCCTTTGACTGGCGTGGTAACAAGTTCCCCACGTACCCTGTTCCAGCCAAGTCCATATCGTTGGGCCCCGGGTCGAGAAGCTTCCAGCGTAGTATCAATCGTTATAATCCCTGGTTTGTGTATGCTGGTTTGCGAACACCCGCTGGTAACAATACGCCGATATGGTTGGTACGACAGGATTGCCCTCACCGCAAGTATTTGCTGCGTACACTTGCTAAGCATGTTCAAAATGTATATACCATTGATCTGACCTACTGGTCGGATATAGCCAACTGCACGTTGTGAGGAGCACGCGGAGATCGAGACCAGGGTTCCTGTACAATCTCCGAGCTACTGGACGACGGAAGGAGCGACCACATTATCCTGAGCGGTCCGATGTGTGCAGTGTCTTTGCTGTCATTGGGTTGCAGGACACCCGGCAACGAGCGCTTCTCGCTGGGTCCAATTGAGGACATCTGAGGACGTGTGGCCACCGCGCTAAAGCTGGAGAGAATTCAGAACTCGGTGTCCTATAACCGACCAGGGCGACGCCAAAGCCACAGCAAATGATCAGCATAAGTTACGACTCGATCCAAACCTCTCCGACCACGTCCCACTCCTTCAGCACCCTAAGCTGTGGGTGATCCTGTGCGACGTCCGCGACAACCTCCTCGCCTTCATCCACGATCCTGTCCTCGATCAACAACACCCGCAAACCACCGAACGCAGCGAACCCGGCCCGCAACGGCAGATAAGACAGCTCGAAGTCCTGAGACCGGACGACCCTCACCGACGTGCTCCTCGAGAAATCTTGCAGCTCGCTGTCCGCGCTGCCCGCCGTGCTCGTGCTGACGTTCCTCTCATGACCGGGCGCAGCAGACGCGCCCCCTTCGCCAGTGCCCGAAATGCCCGCCGGCGCCGTTAGCTTGAGCTGGGGCAAGAAGAGCGCCGACGAGCCCTGATACACGATGTGCGAGGTGCGGGCAGAGGCCTTCCCGTCCGCAGCGCCGTCCGCGAACGGCGGCGGCAGGATGACCTTCGTGATGTGCGAAGGCACCCCCGGTAGTGCAGGCGTCCCAGCGACGCCCGTCTCGGTCTGCGCATCGTCGTCCGTGTTCGTCCCGCGCGGCGATGCCACCAGGAGCCTCTGCGCCAAGAAGTCCTGGAAGTCCGCTCTCTGCGGCGTCCCGAAGGGCGACGGCGTCGACATGCCGGACACCATACGAGGGCTCAGGGGCTCCGCCTTGTTCGGCGCCGCGAACGTGGTGGAGACGAGCGGGACGGTGACGGGTCGTAGAGGCTGTGTGTGCTGTACCGCGAATGACAGTACGCGTGCCTGTCGGGGCTCTCCTGGACGAGGGAGAGGCACTGGGCTGGCAACGTTCACGGTGAAGGCGACTGTGAATGGCTTGTCTACCCTGACGGACTCGCGCGGTATGGTGCGGACGACGAGGTCTAGCTGTACGTCTTCCGGGCGACGCGCCGGTGCAGAGACCGATGTGCTTGGAGGTGCGGACGCAGGTGGGGCTGGTGAAGGCACCGTGCGGCTGCGAAACGGAGAGCTCGATCGATATGGGACGTTGCTAGGAGGGCTGGTGGGTCTCTGACTAGGCTGAGGTGATCGAGGACGTGAAGGAGCGGGTTGAGCGACGGATGTGGAACGCTGCAGGTGGAGGGGAATGGCAGATGCGGGTTGTTTGGGCGGTGGGATTGGAGCTGGCTGCGCTGGGGCTTGTATGAGAGGTATTCGGCGAGACAGCATCTGTTGATATGTCATCAGTATACTGGAGTCACACCTCACAAAGCACGAACCGATGTCAGGAGCCGCCCTGGTTCCCCAAATGATGATCTCCAAGAGATATCCAGTCGTCCGAGGGGTACGATGGTCCCTGGCTGGTGCGGTACAGGGAATACGGCGCGTTGAGACGGGGAGAGGATGTATATGTACTGCCGCATATCTTGGGGCTGCATCAATGCCATCGAGCCGGAGAACATACTCTCGTTCCCAAGGCCATCACCGCTATCCATCATGTTTGCGTCTTGGTATTGCCAGCCTTCGGCGCACTCCAGATGCATACGGTCCAGCCACATTGCGTCTTGCGTAAGATTCTGGATGTGGATCTCGAGGAAGACCTTCTCCCGCTCCTCGCGAGAGAGCAGGGCAGACGGTCCCCGTGGTACATGCACCTTGGTCTTTACAGACAAGGGATTCGTCACCTATCCCATATCCCTAGCCTCAGCGATAGCGCGGAATAGCGGTGAACGATGCACGCACAGCGAATTTGTAGAACTTTCGGAAGACGAGCATGTCCGAGTTGATCCCATCCGTGCTTGTAGAGGCACGTGTGCTGGAGGGGATACGATACGATACCGTGCATGCCAATGCGTGCTGGCCTAACTCCTTGATCTCATGGCTCACGACCCTCTCTAGCGATTCGCCCGGGCCCAACTGCTGTCCCTCGCCGCCAAACTCCGCCAACACGGTCTTTGTCGACGCTGTCTGCACTTCCACAGTCAGGGTGACAGCTTCAACCGGGACATTTGCTTCGTTGTTGACTGATACGCAGCTCGTGAATGTCTCTCCAAGCTGGATGGCTCCGAACGAGGACGGTAGCATAAGCATTTCGGTAACATGGCTGAGGTCGCGGAGCGTCTTCGGGTGACCTATTAGAGCTGTCTTCCCTTGAAGTGATACTATGGAGGTGGTAGAGTGTGCAGAGAACGACGGAGAGCTCGAGTAGAAGGGTTCCCATGCGCTCGCTACAGAAGGTCGCTGCGAGTTACTCAATGACAGCTATCACATTCGCAGGTCAAAGTTGACATACCGAGACCCTCATCACCTTCAGGGAAAGCAGGTGCGCTCCCGTGCTCGACATGGCCAGCAGTGATCCGGTAAGTTAGGCTTCAGCTGAGAGGTGTGAGGTGACAGTGCGAGCGACGGCCGAGCAGCTGACTCAAGCAAGGCGTTATTGAATGATCAATACTGATATTAAGACGTAGATCGCAGGTTCTAGTACATGCAGTCGTTGAGGTCGATCGCAAAGTGGGTACAGTATGTACGCCAAGGCCCAAGGGCCAAGATGGGCCGCCCAAGGGGCACGACGCGACACCGCGGCGTGATACACGTGACAGAAACTGCTTGTCTCTATTTGGATATGTAGGTCCTCCGTAACTCGGTCGTCTTGAACCTGTTACCCATTGCATGTATAGTCCTACTTCGCTCTTGTTGAGAGGTTATCGGGCCTACACACTCCTGTGAGGCTGTGACACAGGAAAATACTCGCCTGCGCCGTGTGGCCCCTGATAAACGCCGCTCGCGGCTCGACATCGATCTCATCAATTCATCAGCACGGTACTTTACTTTAGGCCTCTTGTGAGTATGATCCCTATTCACGCTATCATAGTGGTCCTCCTTACCAGCCCATTGTTATCCAGGTAGTAGTAGGGCATGTTAGCTTTAGCACCGCTGTGTCGGGAACCCTCCTGACTATATAAGAACCAATTACTGTAAAGTAAGAACTTGACCAGATATTTTTGGATTCGAACGGCGAATAATGGACAGCCTGGGATTGCCCTGGTACCGGCGTTCAGCTGCAGGGCGATTATCGTTCTTCAGGCTTGGATTGACATGGGTATTATGCACAGTCTCCAATTAAATTGGTGAGTACTTGCGCCTTCGAATTATGCATGACTGGAAGGAACTCGAGTTCGCGGTCGGACTCCTCGGAGCAGTTAAGTATAGGTAGTAGTAAGTAATAGTTTCTGTCTTTTGAGACAAGTGTATTTCACTTAGCCGCTACACGGGCGCCTCCTTACTTGCTCCTCGACGTCCTCCGAGTCGACCTACGCGACAGATGGTCTAGCGCCCCTTCACTCGTCTCAGCCGGAATGATATCGAATTGACAATCTCCTGGACATGAGGCAGCGTACTTATAACCTGCCTCGAACGTTCACGACCCGCCATCGCATCAACAACTTCTCGGAACGCCAGACATGTTGCCATGCCTCAAATCCGCTCGCTCGAACTTCGCCTACGTCGCCAGCCAGTATCTCGAGCGACGCCCCCTTGCTCGTCTTCTTTCGACGTTCCTTTGCTGCCTGACGATCGTCATACGACCTGTCTCCCGACTCGGTGGTAGCTATGCCTTTCTCGTGCTCCCCTTCCAAGCACTCGTCTTCGGCGTGCAGGAGAGTTTGGCGCAGCAGCTCGAACTTACCGCGTTGAACATCGCCGGAGCACTCTGCGGGATCGGGTTCTCGACACTCGGAAAGTATGTCGCGTCCCTCGCCGGAGAGGGTTCCGCTCGCGCAAGGGTCATTTGCTCCGTCTTTCTCGTGACGATCAGCTTCTGTGGTAAGCATTTGTATTCCCCCTGTGCTTAGTGGTGATATGCGGCGTATCGGAAGAGGAAGGACGCACCATCGCGCGTCCTACATTACCCTCGTGCTGTGCGCTCATGCGCAGTGGGTGCTATTATTATCTACGCCTGCGAGTGCTTCAGCTATTTCCACATCGGTTTCGCCCGGCGTCTCAAACTCTACAGAAGGCGTTGGTCGTGACGCTGGGATCGGTATGATATCGAGCAGTCCCGACGCGCCAGTTCGAGGGTAAGCATGGCCGCGATTGAACGGCAGGGCATACAGATCACCCGTGGTCGTCCTTGTGTCGACAGTCACTGACAACTCATCCCACAGCGGGGCTCGTCAAGAGCCGGTTGGTTCGTCTGACGCTTTCCATGCGGATCTCTCTCTTCGCTTCAGTCTGGCTACTCACTCTCGACATTGGAGATAGATCGGTGAGCTCTCTCACAGCTTGCGGCACCTAGGCTGATACTCAAGTCTCTGTAGAAGGTCCTTGAGGACTCTGGTCATTTCCTCTACGCGGCCATCACTCCTGCGTGTCTGAGCCTTGTTTCACTGCTCGTTGTTATGACATTACTGCGCTGGTCGTCCTCTAGCTTCGAGAAGGAAATGGTGGCGACTTTCGTTCTGTTGCAGAAGTACATGGCGGCCAGCCTCGAGCAGATCGGGAAAGACTTGACTGATGAACCTGAAGAATACGTCAAGCTGCGGAACCAGTTATTTCAGCGCTCGGTACATCTCAACGAGACGTATTCGCAAGCCGCGTTCGAGATGCGGGTTGGACGGCTCAGCTGTGAGCTAGATGCGGCCCCTTGTGGTTCGTACGTACTCTGACACCCACTGCAGTGAAATCCATCCGCCCGTTGATTGGGATCGTAGAACACCTTCGGCGCGAACTCGCGTGGGGCATGTCCACGGGCCAGAAACCGAAGGCGACCCCGAAGTCGACTCCCACCATGACAATGACACGCGCGTCTTCTCGTCTTCCCTCGCCCATGGCGTCGCGGCGCAATTCCTTCCGGCACAGTCCCAAGCTGGCCTTCCAGTCGCTCGCGTCGCACGAGCGGATCACGGCCGCGATCGAGACGCCCGCATTTGAGCTCGGACACGCGATCGTCGGCGCGATGCGCGCGGTCGAGTTCGTGATCATCGTCGCGTTCGATCTGGATACGAGCACGTACAGTGCACCCGCGGGCCGACCAACTTCAACCTCGGTGAAGTACTCGTTGCGAACGGCTGACAAGGAGCTCGTCAGGGCGCGCGATGAGGCGCGCGAGAAGCTCGGACATGTCTTCGACGAAATGGACTTGGAGGCGCGAGAAATGGGCAAGGACGTGCGGTACCCGAAGCGGGTCCTCGACGGGAGTCTCATTATGATCGCCCTGCTGCAGGTAAGACGTGACTCAAAATTGTGCGGTATACCCGGGTTACTTACTCATGACCCACTAGATGGCACAGGAGATGCGTACAGCGCTGCAAATTGCTGACCGCATGTACACGCAGTACGAAGAGTCCCATGTGCGCCTCTGGTACCCGCGTATCTCCCTGGCCTGGCTCGGGGTAGCGCAAGGTCACCTGATATCCGACTCTGGCGACGCCACCGTGCAGATTCAAGCCTCGGCCCCCAAGGGAACAGGCTGGGAGACACCGAATGACGCAGAAGCGAGCATGACGCTGGCGGAGACTGCGGAGGGCCTGCTCGAAAAGGGATACAGCCTGAACACTCCCCTCATGGGCAACAGTCGCTTGCCCGGAGGGTTGTCGTTCTCAATCTTGGGTACGAAGGAGCGGGCAGCACGGTCGAGGAAGAGGATGTTTTTCGGCTCGATTCCGGACCTCGTGACGTGGCTCTGGTCCCAGTCGTGGATGATCCGGCTGAGATTGCGGATGGCAAGAAGCTACAGGAGCGTGACGCATTCGCCCCATCTTCGGCATGCGATTAAGAACGCGATCGGGGTGGCCGTTCTCAGTTTGCCTGCCTTCCTCCCTGTCAACAACTCAGGTAGGCTAGGTTTGAATGCTGGCGTTTGCAGTTTCATGATATGTGTACACAGCTCGTGTTTGGTTCTCCTCGTGGCATGGCGAGTGGATGGTCATCAGGTATGTCGTCTGCCGGCTGATGTGACCTGCGGCTCATGAGATATGCAGCTACGTGTGGGTATTGGAGACGAGCACCGGAGCAACATGGCGAGTGGGCTACCTGCGGTCGGTCAGTACAGTTCTGTCGACCAGTGTACTCCGCACTCAGTCCCGACGCTGTCATCATAGGTCGGCACAGCAACAGCAGCTCTCTATGGGTACATAGTGAGTCTTCCTGGCAAACCATGTTGCAGTCGCTAAGCTGGTTCTAGGTATGGCGCATCTGCCGCACCAACCCGTATGGATTGACCATCATGGTTACTGTAAGTCACTGCTCATTGGTAGTGGATGTACGAGTACTCAGTCTTGATAGGCTGCGGAAATCCCATTCACGTGGCTTAGCATGAAAGCTAACCTTGGACCATTGGCGGTTCCTGCGTATGCTGCATCCACCATCTTTCTCTGACGATGAGCCTGATGGTGTTCCCGCAGAGCTGTTACCTTACCCATCATTGCATTCGCAGAATACGTGAATCCGACAACACAGTCGATCATCGGTCAGTCTGTAGTCAACGTCTTAGTCTTCAGCTTTCTCACGTGTTGTCGGTAGCGCTTGCCGGAATACGTGCACTCATGATTGCCATTGGTATCGTTGCAGCGCTCCTTATGAATGGCCTCGTCTTCCCCAGACATTGCAGAGTGCGTAGTCCCGCCATGACTATACTGGTCTGTAACTGATCGCAGATCATGTAGGTCCTCTTCCTTTCAGACACAGCTCGGACACTTGGACTGTTGAGCCAGCTCTACATGACGCTGAGCCAGTGCGTATTTGAGTGGCGCTTCCACGTACGATGTGCTGACAGTCAGCGACAGCCACATGTTCCGCGCGCAGCCTGCCCTCGCTTATGACGACAAACGCAAAACACTGAAGATGGAGCTGCAGATTCGGTACAATCTGTACCTTCTTAACGCCTTGATTACGACTATGCATGATGAGATTAGTCTCGTACCAGTCAGTAGTTCCCGTTCTCACAGGGTGCAAAGGCAGCGTCTGACACGACATAGAAACCACTGGCTCACTATCGTAGGACAGTCACGATCGTGCAGAAGTTGCTCGATGCGATGACCGGACTGCGCAAAATCAGAGAGAACATCCCTCGTAAAGAGGCGGTGTCTAATGTATTCAATGAGCGACGCGAATTCGTGAGTGTCTCTCGGGTACCCCAGTAACATCGATGCTCACGTCGATGTATAGATGTCCTGCGTGTGCATCACGTTGTACGCGTGTCAGCATGCATTCCGCGCTCGAGAACCATTACCTCAATTCCTGCCGTCACCAAAACATGCCCTTGAGACCCTGGAATCGCACGTCCAAGACAGCATCAGGCATGCACGAGAGGAAGACCCTCACGCGATGGGCCTGTCCCTTATTTATGCATTCGCTGAGCTAGAGGTGCTGAAGCACATGGTTTGCACGCTAGAAGAGCTGCTCGAACTCACGGGCCGACTCTTTGGGACGACAGCGTGGCTGACGCATCCCCAACATATGTCAATGGCGAGCTTGCACGAAGAAGTAGGAGATCACGGATGGTACAGTCCGTTCAAGTGGGAGGAGACGTGACGACATTGTGGGTATTTATCAGGCCTGAATGGTCAGTATGGAGTGTTCATATTCTTAACTTATCGTATGCAATGTAGCTACTAAAAGATTCTAATCGGTTCACTGTTGCGGTCGAGTTGCCAACGAGTTGCAGTGGGGACAGAACGTCCAGCAGATGCATCGCAAAACCGCTACAGCCTCAGGCCTCACGGGCTACTCTCGTCCCCGTTTCTGACGAAGTCCCTCCTAGTATAGCTTTGGCAGCGACTCATCGGAAGGGTTGCACCACCGCTGCACAAGCCTAGCCTCAGCGCTCAGCCTGGAACCTGCCCAGCTCCCGCGAGATCAGTGTGTTGGTCCTTGGACTTGGAGACACGAGGAGCACAGGTAGGCATAGGTCTCATCGCTTCCAGCACGGCACGGGGCTAAGCTTGAACGCTGAGAATCCCAGGTCGCGCCAAGTCTTCCTGAGTACGCGTAGTACCTGAAATCGGGCCTGCAGCGTCGGCGTGCTGCTGGGAACTGGAAACCATTTCGACAGACGTCGAACGACACGTGTACGCCTGTGCATACGCCATCACACAGCGACGGAGACTCCGAGTCGGATGTCTTGTGTAACTGCGGAAGAGAGTGTGCGGAGTGGGCGTCTGGCGTTTCACCGATTTCAAGTGGCCTGCCAAAATCAGTGGGCGGAGCGGTTTGGGAGCGGTTCACTGAAAATACCGATCCCAAGGACTGCTCCGTGCGTTTCGGAAACACTCTAGTTTCAGATCTCTGATGACATAACATGGAGATTGATACCAAGCCGACATGTATGATCGAATGGCTGTGCCCCGCGCCGACATACCGCGTGGAGTAACCCTGGGGTAACCTGAACGGCGACTGCTCTAGTCGAATGCCGCGAGACTGATACTTATACGACATGCGTAGGACCGAACTATGCATATATCCCCACTATCCCGAGGTACCCGCGATTCGAACCGTTGAGGAGCATACCTCTCCGCACTGTTACGTGCACCGCGTGTCTTCAGATGATTTTCCTCCAGCTGGGCTGCTTCTTCTTCGCCTTCGTCGTATACAAGCTTGCATATGATCGGCGCGGTGCGCCGCTACCTCCTGGCCCTCGCGGACTACCTGTTCTAGGGAACGCACTGCAGGTTCCTACCGCGTTCAGCTGGCTAAAATTCACCGAATGGGCAAAGACTTACGGTGTGTGGCTACCTCAATCGACGGTCAACGGCCGGAATCAAAGGTACTTACGATATCCCTAGGCGATGTTATACACGTTTCCGCGCTTCAATGCTCGTTTATTATCCTGAGTTCTCGGGAGGCTATCACCGATCTGCTCGAGAAGAGAGGCGCGATATACTCTGATCGCCCAATCATCCCGATGGCTGGAGAACTGTACGTGTTTGACTGACGATTCAACACTGTGTTTACCCATCGAGAGAACAGAGCAGGATCCGCTAAACACACTCCACTGATGCAGTACGGAGATCGCCACAAAGAAGGGCGAAAGCTTATATTGGGCATGATCAATGTTCGTAATGCGCCTATGCTACATGCGATTCAAGAAGCGAAGGCCGCGCAACTCGTCTCTCGGCTGGCGCAAGATCCCAGCAACTTCTCGCGCCATATTCGCTGGTGCGCCATACCTCTGACTGGATTGACGCTGTCTAGCTGACAGTGACCCAGGCTCGTAGCGAGTGTCGTACTGCAGATCACACACGGATTAATCATCGACAGCTGTGATGATCCTCACCTGCGCACTGTCCAGGAAGGCATGGACGAGTTCTCGAGGATGACCGCTCCTGGCGCCTACCTGGTCGACAGCTTGCCTTTCTGTGAGTCCAGACTATTACCAGGTGTTCAACCGGCACAAAATGACGACATCAAATAGTGATGCATATCCCGGAATGGATTCCGGGTGCGGGCTTTAAGAAGGAAGCAAGAGAGCATGAAGAGCGTGACACGAAGATCATGGAGGAGTTGTGGAATCTCGTGAAGGAACAGGTGGTAAGGTCTTTTTAGGCTTGTTCTGTGGACGCGTTGTTGACTTCTATCGCGTAGGCCCAAGGAACCGCTCTACCTTCGTTCGCCGCGGAGCTCATTCAGAAAAATCCTGACCCATCATCTGACGAGGAAGATATGTATTCGAGAAACGCCATAGCGTTCTTTTCCGGTACGCCCTCACAATACCTCAAGGCAGTCTCTGTATTGACATCAAGCACTCCACCGGTACATAGCCGGGTCAGATACGGTACGAACCTCAAGAAGGGCTGCTCGATGTTCACTCACCTGCGCACAGACAGTATCCGTCATCAATTCCTTCCTTATCATCGTGGCTCAACATCCAGAGATCCAACGAAGAGCTCAATCCGAGATTGACCAGGTCGTCGGCCACGCGAGGCTTCCGAAGCTTAGCGACCGCAAGGATTTGCCTTACCTCAACGCTGTCTTGAAGGAAGCGCATCGTATCAACCCAGTTGGGCCGTTGTGTATGTAGTCTGGCCCTCCGCGCGACGATCGCTGAACAAACATATATCCACAGCGCTACCACACAAGGTGAGGCAAGACGATAACTACCGAGGGTATCGGATTCCGGCAGGTGCAACAGTTTTGGGGAATACATGGCGAGTCATATCATCGCCGGGTCGTGTAGAGACAGATCTTTGACCGAACTGTCCAACGTTTAGGGCAATCATGCATGACCCTGCCTTGTACCCGGATCCACACAAGGTCCACCCAGAGCGCTACCTCACCCCGAATGAAGGCGGGGAGAAGATCAATCCTGATCCTCGCGACTTCGCATTTGGTTACGGCCGACGGTAAGAAGCTTGATATCCGTGAAGTATGCTTGTATTGATGGAAGTGACGTGTCAGAGTATGCCCTGGTCAGATGCTTGCCGAAGGCACGTTCTTCATTGCCGCCGCGGCCATCCTGTCTGTGTTCAGCGTCAGCGATGCAGTTTCTCTGGATGGTGCGGAGATCAATTATGAGGGCGGAGGTATCATCAGGTCCGTCTAGATGCAAGGATACGAGCGTCACACATCAGAACTAACAATGGATGCTTCACAGCCATCCGTGTCCTTTCAGATGCAATATCACCCCCTCGAGACGTCGCAGGGGCACAAGCAACTGTATCAGTCTGACCTGTACGCAGTGGCTGATATTGTCAATATTGCGCTGTATCTAGTATTACCGAAATTGATATATTGACAAGGGACTGCTTCGCTTCGCTCCGCTTAGCTGTTAGTGCTTGCTCAGAGGTTGCTTGTACAAGTATGAGTAAACCGTACGTGACGGAGGTCACGATGGTCGGTATTTGCGCACACATAGTAGGGGCGACAAACAGCTGCCCGGGCCCCTAATGCGGAAAGGAGGAGTAGGTTCCTAGCAAGCTGCTAAAGCGAACCATGAGGCTACCATGTACATATCATAATTCAATCAGCTTTCCCAAGGCATCCTTGTTGTGTTGCATCAAGTGCAGGGATATAATGGATGCCTGAGCAAAGGAGGTGCACAAAGGGAGAGGCCCCCTGTGTGCTGCTCTCAGACCAGTCTTGTGGCTTGAGGTGTTGCCAACACATGACAGTCTTGCTATGAAGCTGTGGTGGAGTACTGTAGGTTACTGCATCATGGTCAGGCACATCATAAGTACACCAATTGAGCTTGTGCAATCACATCAGTCTGGGTACTATGTTCATGACATCATGACATAGATGAGAACTATTAGGACCATGGTATGATATCACAAGAACTATGACACATACAAAGAACCCTGCTGTATTCTACAAAAGCTGAGTCATAGGAGAACACAATTATGACAGTAGTATGTACATCCAAATGATACAAAGATTTAGCAATCAAACAGTTCCCACTATGTTCTTCCCTGATAAGTATATTTGCGGAGGTTTGCTGCAGACATGGCACTTGATGAGGTACTCGAACTACAGTTTGCCATGAGTATATCAAGAGAGATACTGAGTATATACCTCACTTAGCCTTGAATCCCACTCCATTACAACACAAGAGAAACTCCTGAGCACATGCCCAGAAGGTCTCAGAGACATCTGCATCAATAAGTGCCTCATCAAGACTTGGCTTGTCTGGAAGACCCGATTAGACTCATACACTAACATTGGGAAGGGAACAACAGGGACGAACCAGTTGGCTGCAAGGTGGCTAGCATGAACAAGTCATCGTCGCCAATGATATGTACTGGGTCAATGATATTACGTTCCTCGGCAACCTACACAAACATAAGCTAAGTGATGTCCGCAACGTGATTCTCATCATCACTTACTCGTGCTCGAACATCCTTCAGCGTGTCCAACAGCTTGTAGGGTCGTTCCGGATCGTCGTCGTCGTCATCTGCGTCCTCGATTTCGTCGACAGGTGCAGCGGCTGCTGCTCGAGTCTGCGCTCTTGTCGTATGTTTCTTCGGGCTTCCAAAGTCGAACACGTCATCGTCTTGATAGAGGTCCATGGTCGTGTCCTCGGGCGCAGACCTTGTCGTCCTGGATTGTTGACCGGCGGGAGGCGGCTCGTCTCCTGTTGTTGAGGGCCGCTTGCGACGTCGTGAAGTCCCGGCGGCGGCCTTGCTGGCCGGTTTCGGCGGAGCCGCTCGAAACTTCATGACCAGCCTCTGATCCCTCTTGATGAAATCACGGGCCTTCGGGGTCATCTGCGAATTGCTCAATGAATATGCGCTGGATAGATCCTGTAGACAACATACCTCTAAGTAGGCTGCACTCCACTCGCCATTTTGTTTTGAGACGCTCCGGAAGATGCCCATATTCTCAAGGCGATCTGCTACCCGCTCAGTCCGATCACGGGGCAAGCTCCTACCGCATCCAAAGAGTTCATGGGACTGGAAACTCGAACCCCTGGCTGAGGCGTTTGCCTTCCCCCATAAGACGTCAAGCAATTGGTTCCTCGTAACATTGAACCTGCCATCGTCGATGAGAGCCTCGGCGAGATTAATGATCTTGACGGCCATCTCCGTGACGTCTTCCTCCTCGATCCCGGACGGATTCCGGCAGTTGTCACAACCATCATCACATAGAGCGGGGTCGAAAGTCTCATTGTAGTATGCGAGGACCTGAGTACGACGACAGTCGACATTGTTCTGGCAGAATTGCGCCACACGTAGTATCTCTTGTTCTTGATGCTCCCTTTCGCTAGGATTGCACTCCCTGTTGTCACGGATCTGGCGCCGTCGCTGATTCACGTCGCCGAAGGAGTAGTCTTTCAGGACATGTTAACGTCAAGGAGAGTCACAAAATCCCAAACTGCGTCACGTACACATGATGCAGTCTGCGGGCTTGCCATCGCGGCCTGCCCTACCGGTTTCCTGATAGTACCTAGACAGCCAATGAGACAGCCATTCAGCACACCTCGAATGACTTACCCGTCTAGATCGTTGGGGAGATCGTGATGGATCACGTATCTCACTGCGCTCATTCATCAGCCTTGCAGCACACAACAATTGTCTACAACGCCCACCGTCTGGTTTGTCAATACCCATCCCGAACGCAATCTATGTGCCACTCATTCATCAGGACACTATACGGTGCCGTTGTACCACCATCCTGCTCACCGTAGCGACGATGATCTTACATCGCCCGTTCTGCCATTGTGCGAGGGCGTCCTTCTTGTCTGCGGGCTGCAACCCCGCGTGAAAATGACGGGCTTTGAAACCATGGTCTTCGCGCAACTTCTTGGCAAGGTTCTCGCACGTCTGCCGACTCCGCCCGTAGATGATGCCCGTCGCGTCCGGGTGGTATGTACGAATGAAGTTCACGATCTCTCGTTCGACTGTCTTCTTCGGTCGCACCTCGTAGTTGAGGTTAGGGCGATTCATTGATTGCCAATACACCTTGCACCCGCGAATACCAAGGATACGGATGAGGTCCTCCTTCACTTGCTGCGTCGCCGTTGCTGTAAGCGCCATGATGGGTATCCCAGGGAAGTTCTGTCGCAAGCATTGGAGATACTTGTACTGTATAGTGGACTGTATGAGCGAGCAAACATGAGACGTGCACAAGAGGTCTTACCGCCTCACGGAAGTCCCGGCCCCACTTGATGACGAGATGGCCCTCGTCGATCACAAAGCGCGCGAGCTCCCCGTCGTTATTCATCTGACTCAACAGCTGGTTGACGTGTGAGCTACCCTTAAACTTCTCGGGGGTTATGTAGAAGATGCGCGGGCGTTTCCCTTTCTCGCGGAGGCGACGGGTCGCTTCGTTGCTTTCATCCGCAGCTTGGTCCGAATTGAAATAGACGACGTCGATGCCCTTCTCCTTGAGCGCTTCGACTTGATTGAGCATAAGCGCAAGCAGTGGACAGATCACGACCGTAACGCCGCGAGTCTTGCCGGTGTCGCAAACGGCGGGAAGCTGGTAGCAGAGACTCTTCCCACCACCCGTGGGCATTAGCACAACGGCGTCCTCGCCGGATAACGTCGTGCTTATAGCCTGCAGCTGATTTGGCCGGAAGGTGGTCAAGCCGAAGATTTGTCGCAGTTTGCGCTTGACCTCGGGGTAAAACGGCGTATTCGCGAGTTCGACGGGCACCTTGCTAGTCATGGAATGCGATGCGGCAACTTCTACTATGTGTCGGGATATTGCAGCAGACGAGCTTTCCGCGGTAGAGGATGAAGCAATAGCGTTGTCGAAAGGCGAGGAGGAGGACGGTTCGACAGCCCGACGTAAGGAAGAAGAGGACTGCTCGACAGCCCGGTTTGAAGTGGTCGAGACAACGATTACGTCCTCCTCCGCGTTCTCGTCCTTGCGTTCGATGGGAAGCTCTGGGACGCAGTCCCAGATATCGTCACTATCAGGAATTTCCATAGGCGCGTCCTTCGTGGGGGCACTTGAGCGAGTCTTTTCGACTACGGAATAGTTCCCGCCGACGGTACGCATGTCGTAAGCGAATGCGTTTCGTGGCAATGCATGCGAGATGGAAAGGTCCACGGGCGGCGAGACTGCAGCTGATAGTGACCGTGAATGAGCTCCAGGAGGATTGATTCGACTTTCGAGCGCGGTCTTCGCAGTCATGATGGCTTTGTTCCGCCTCGCAATGAGTTTCCTGCGAGAAATCCATGAAACTCACATCTGCCCATTCAAGCATGTCTACGTACGATATCTCCAGTAAACATACCACATCGCAATCCTGATCTTCGCCAGAACTGGACCGCATCATTTGTTCGGTAATAGCGTTGTTGAGCTCGAAGTTACTGTTTATCATTCTTCCCAGTTTATCCCCGGATTTCTGAAATTCAATGTTGTCAGGATTATAGCCATATGAGCATAGGAGCCACCGTGTTATCCATCGCGCACTGTCGAGTGAGGCCAAGCACAGCCAACATGTGCGCCTCAGTAGCATAGGATACGACTGCTCATGCAACAGAACGGGAGCCTCTGTAGCGCGGTCTCTTGAGTCAAAAAGGCAATTCCTTGCCGTCTGTGTCATGGGATGACACCTACGACATTGACCCATCCCATGTCCTCCATCTCATGTCGTTATTACGTACGTCCAATGCATCAGATTACACGCCGCATTCACCAGAGCCGCCAGTCAGAGTACGACAGTATCTCGGATACTCACCATTGTGGCAAGGTCCGGCCACTCAGCCTCGCTTGCGTCTGAGCGCGGTACAGACTTCGAGGAGGTAGCAAGGCCAGGTAGTGGTGGCGTGCGCTCCGCGACGTTCACCACCCGTCTGCGCGGTGACAGTGGGGGATCGCGCACCGGTGGGTCCAGTAGACTGTCTAGATGAGCCCTCGCCTTGCCCTTGCCACTCGCACTGAGCAGCCCGTTCTCTTTCTCCGTGCGCGGGTCGACCTTGGGACGCTTCGATGGTGACGACGACTCGGGGTCGTAGGCCGAATCGGACGACATGCGCTTGACGGGCACCCTGGACAGCATCATTGGACCTGCATCGTCGTCGGACGAAATCTCGACTACAGGCAGAGTGAAATTGGCAGCAGACACTGGCTTGCTGGCTGACGACGGCGGCTTCTCTTTACGGAACCCCGACGTACGAAAAGCTGGCAGCGAGTTTGGTGGTTTCCGGACTGTGACCCGCGACTCAACCTCCGAGCGAGCAAGCTTCACAAAACGATAGCTTACCAGTCACACTGTCTGGTGTCTGAAGTGACTTGGACGGCTTGAACCTCGTGGACTAAAATCGGTTCATCAGTGAGAGGCGCGACGACCGTTGTGGAATCGGCTACCTTCCCATTCAGTGCAGAAGGGTCGGGGCTTTGAGCAGGGCTGCCGAACCCCTGCTTGCGGCGGAGCTCGTCCAAGTTATTCTTAGGAGCAGACATAAGAAACTAGCATGTAAACATAGAGCATAGACGGATCTTGAGATGAGTCGGGATTAAGATGTGGGAAGAATGGAGACAGGCCTCTGAGGCTGCAGGGGGCGCGACGCGTCGGTCACCTGACCGACGCGTCCTAAGTTATCGACTGAGCAGTAACCAAACGCTAACTCATGAAGTGAAGCATCACTCTCCTCCCATAGCTGCCCCCCTCTCGACGTGGTCCTACTATCCTGCGATGACAGGGCAGTTCTGGTTTCCCTCCATGTCCGTCCCTGAGATCGTCGACGCGTTCAACGGCTGGGGGTTCTCGGTCAGCAACGAGCAAGTCGCGCACCCGACCACTGAGTTCGTCATGGGTATCTATAGTGCGTGTCTCGAGCAGGTCACAGGGATTACGGCTGCGGCACTGCAGCCGCCGCTTGACATGGTCCTGGAGGAGGTAGAGAACAAGGTACAACTGTTCGACTACGGTCAAACCTGCTGTTCACGGTCTAGCAGGAGCTATATACCCAGGCTCTGTCACAGAACATGCTCCTTCATCACTTGTGAGTGTTTCCCACTTCACTATGATTTGTATGAAGTGACATAGCCCAGGCAGCGCTTCGCCGACGCGGCTCGGTTCCACGACTTCACCGCGAAGGACATCTATACTCCCGACGCCGAACGGACGCGTTCCATTTTCTCCGCGTTCATCAATTTCGTCAAGTTCTCTGAACAATGCGAAGCGTTTGTATCTGGACTGAGGGAACGCTCGGCGGCCGTCATCGAGGAGCGCGATAGGGTCGCGCAGCAGTTAGCAGAGGCGAGGCAGAAGATCGAGGTTATCAAGTGCGTTCGCATTGCGAGATGTGTTGAGAGTATAAACGAAATTGAGATTCCTCAGAGCGAGGCGTGCAGAAGACGGGCCAAAATGCGAAGCACTGCGCCAGGAGAACACGTCCATGACGGAGCAGCTCATCAAGTACAAAGAGACACAGCTCACGCTCCTCAAAGACCTGGAGACGCTCAAGCAAGAGATCGAGACTCTGCTACAGCGCAAGGTAGGTTGGCTTCGCCTGTCTCTGTTGGAGTGGCTCAAACGGTCACTGCGTACTGTGTAGGAGGGCGTCAACAACGAGACAGCAATAGTGACAGAGAAGATCAACCGTACTAAAGGCCGTATCGTCCAAGACCCAGAGCGTATCAAGCGCAACATCGCCACGATGAGCGTGACAACGACAGAGGACAAGAAGACTGTCGCAACACACGAAGGCAAGATTCGCGACCTACAGACGAAGATCACGGCACTCCTTAATATCGAGAAGGTATGGCTTACGTTGTGGTGAGTGAGAAGATGTTCACACGAGTTGCTACAGGAAGTACGCTCCTGCATCGAGCAACTTCAAACAATTGAGAAAGAGACAAACGCGCTCGACGCATCTCAAAAGGCACTCATCGACCTGCGAGACCAGCTCGACCAGAAGAAAGGCGAGCGCCTAGAGCTGGAAATGCGACGCGAGGTCCGAGCGCAGGCCATACTCTTCATAAACCTCCCACTCACGTCTACTCCAGCGCGTACACAAGCAGCTCTCCAATGCACAAGTGAAGCTCGAGCGCGCCCAGCAGAACGCGGAGGAGAGACGCGCGCAGAGCCAGCAGACGCTCGAGCGCTTGCAGGAGGAGTACGAGAAGATGGTCGTCGACCGACAGCTTAATGACAAGAAGGTCGAGGAGCTCAGGGCTGAGGCGGACGAGATCGAGCGGCAGGTAAGTAGTATCCGATGTTGTTGACCGGGCGATATTGAGAAGTTCACCAGATGGCGGAACATTTGAAGAAGAGCCAAGCTGAGTTGACAGAACTACTGACCGAGTATTGGCGGCTGAGGCATGAGACCGGTGAGTAGGAACAATGCTCGGCTTGGGTTCGTACTGACGGCACTACAGAGGTGTACATGGAAACCCTTGCCAACAAATTAGGAATGCAAGTCAGGAGTACGTAGCCATGTTGAATGAGTGGTACATAATTGGTTTCTTCACACTATTCTTCTGATTGCAAGTTGTATTGTTATCCGTTGTATCCTAGTGCTATTGTAGGATTACTGTACTTTGATCCTTCTGGACGTAGACACGACAAAGTCGACGCTGCTATCGCCACGGCATGAAGACTGGCGCAGCTCTCGACAGCCCTCGGAGTGCATCGAGTAACTCCGCATCCTCTGCCGACAACATATTGACCTCCTTGTCATTCACGCGTCCGATGAAAGGCAACTCGTCCACCTCGCACTCCGTCCCTTCCTGCGGCAGAGTACCGTTCTCGAAGTATGCACGAATATGAAGAGCAGTGCACAGCGACGGCGCCGACGTGGAGCAATGTCCGTACGAGTTCTGGACGAGAAGTCCCGCCCCGCCGTACCGCTTGTGCACCTTGCGTGCGTCCGAGAGCGGACAAACCGCGTCGTATCGCGGCTCGACAATCAGGATCGGATGCGATGTGTTGTCCGCGGCGAATGGGCCCGTATACCGCCACTTCGGTCGGACGCGCCACTGGCTGCAACGTACGTGGTACATCGCCCAGAAGGGGCCGCCGAATCGCGCCTGCGCGGTCATGTTCGCGAGGTATGCGTCGTAGTAGTCCGGATCGAACGTGAGCTCGTCGCCGTCGCCGCATCCGATCGCCATGAGCGCCTCGTTGGACTCGAGCCAGGGCTGCTTCCGCTCGCAGGCGCACTCGTAGTCTGGGAGGAACTTGTTCACGACCGCGGAAATCGCGCTGCCGTTGTTCCGCTCCGCGCCGATGAGCATGGTAGCGAGGTCGGGGAAGAATAGGATCGGCTTGTAGGTCATGATGAAGATGAGCTCGTAGAGGAGCTTCTTGGAGAAGACCATTGGGCCGTGTTCGGCGAAGGGAACCGGTACGGGTGTGGATTCAACCTTATTGATGATGGCGTCGACGCGCGCCTTGATGGCTTCGGGTGACGGCTCGTACAGCGGACACTTCTCCGGGCCTGCCTGGTGGCAGAAGGTGAAGAACGCCTCAACAATGACATCGTTGTCCACCAGGTTCGTCGTATACGATGCCTTCACATATTCTTGTGCGTCATAGACACCGTCTATGATCATTCGCTCGATCTTGTCCGGATACATCGCAGCGAAATACTGGCCTAGAATGGAACCGTAACTCTACGCCGTGTCAGATACTGGACGCATGTACAAGGACATCATGATACTCACAAAGCCCCAGTACTTCAACTTCTCCTGGCCGAGTTTCTCGGTGATTTTCAGCATGTCAGTGGCGACACTGGCACTGCTAACGAATCTGCCAGCGCCCCATTCTTCGGCGGTGCCGTTGACGTCTTCCCTTCCACTACCACCAATCTTGTTCTCGCATAGCTGGCCCACGGCATCCTCGCGCGCAACCATCAGCGGAGTAGCTCCCTCAGTGAGGTTGACCCACGTGTTCCTGATTGACTGCGTCCAGATCTGGTACTGGGCTTCCGATTCGTAGCAATGCAGCCCGGGAAGAGTCGCCCCCGTCCCTCGCGGATCGAAGCCTAGGATATCGTACGAACCACCGACTATGCGAGATATGTTCTTGCCGGTTTCCATTACAGCGTACGTCCCCGAACCACCAGGACCACCAGGGTTGATCAGGATGGTTCCTCTGTAGCTCTGTTTGTCGGTCGCGGGAAGCATTTGCAGAGCGATCGTTGCATTTGGACCGTAACCAGGAGGGGAAAGATAGTCCAAGGGAAGGAGCAAGCGGGCGCATTTGTATTCTGAGTAGCACGGATGCCATTCAATGCTCTCTGACGCGGGTAGCTTGGACAGGTTGAATGACCAAACCGTGAAAATATGTACATGGGACGTACAGAGAACCAATCAAATTCAATTTTTTGAACAGCAGTTTCACCAGGCTGATTGGCTACATGCTTTGCCTTGCAGATGTAGCGAATGGCCAGAAGCGAGAGTGCACCGAAAATCATCATGGATCTGACTGTATGGAGCCATGACGGGCGTCGCCCCTGCAAAACTATCGGCAGCTCAGCCTTCTCCATTTGCTATGGGCCATTACTCAACATTCACGTCATAACACAGGATTTGCGACTTACGGTGCTATGTGATCAGTTCTATGTCTCCGAGTCCGAGCTTCAAAGTAGTAGCCCGGCCGGCTTGAGCGTTGAACGTTGAACGGCTGCACAAGGTCAATGCTGTCCGGGATATATGGACTTCAGAGTTGCTCTGTGCTTATTGAAGGGGAGAATTCAGAGCATCTACCAAGCATTTACTGCGACGTTCCATCGCAGCTGCTGCACGCAGCATGAGAACGGTGTATGTTTGGCGGTGTTTGGCAAAGGCTTCGTTCCTGACGGGCGCTCTTTCGAACCTACGCTCATCGGCCCGGATAATGGGGGACCAGCGCTTATATGTGTCCAGCAATGAATTCATTCAATGAACGCGGTGCGTGTTTCAAATTGTTGCCAAGTTCTCCACTCTGCCGCTTACAATACAGACGCAACAGGTGATGCTTGAAACCATACAAACACTCTTACAATGGTCTGCGGACAACCAACTGCAATTACAGCCTTCACTGCGAATACAGTTCAGCACGGCCTCGGGCATTGCTGTGTTCTCCGAGACTTTCATTGGCAAAAACGACATAAGTAGGTAGAGATGAATTCCTTGGTGTTAATCAAATACCAATTACCAACCACTGAAGCATGGCTTGACAGTCGCTTCAATACCCAAAGCCGGCATCCTCTCGACGAAATCTACTTCTCTGGCTGAGAAGATCCCACCGGCACCGTACGGCCTCGGTGCACAGCTTGCATTGTCTCTTGCGGTGTGCCATGAACTGTGAGTGTATGTACGTTGGCGCCGATTCTCGATTAGAGATGTGGCTGAATGCGTCGAAGTGCGCAGGGAACCGCGTCACGCTGGCACGGGTACCTGCAATCCCTACCGCCAAGCACCGTTCCCATAGCACTTCTTTGGGGAAACAGCGATGCGCTCGACTCACCCTCGGACGGTGAAGAAGCAAAAGGTTGGATTGCTGGCACCGAGGTCGAACGGATGGTACGCGGGGAACAGGGCCAAGATCCCCTGGTGAGCCGTCTCAGCCAGTATCGCTCGCGAGGTATCTCATGTTTGATAGGACGAGATATACCAATATTACTATTCAGTCGCCCGACCTCTGTTGCCCGAGTCATGCATGATCTCACATTTCCTCCACGCATACTCTCTCGTAAGTTCGCGCGCTTTTATGGTCGATGCCTATCATGGGCTATCCATGGTCCCAATCGCTGATGCGTGAGTATTTCTGATCTCTTGACACTTCTCAACGTCTTGAGCTTATGACTCAGGTTCAATCATACTACGGAGAACCACGTCCATCTAGAGGTAGGTGGGAACAGAGACCCCTGGTCTTGCTTCACTCAAACAATCGAGCTCACGTCGTTTCAGTGCGACTACGATGTGTGCCCCCTCTGTGGCTCCTTCGCAGAATGTCCACACGATCGCGAAGACGCTCCGTCATCATCCAGCGAACCCATGGACTGGCAGTCGCCTTCCGTTGCCTCCGTCCCCGATACGTGCGATATGGTTGCCAACAGACCCATCCCAGCCTTCAGCGAAGTCTTCAACACGTATGGCTCTCGCAAGAGCAACGCGTCGCTGCTCGCATGGTATGGCTTCGCCCTCGACGAGAACGAGAACGACTCTGTCGGTTGGGATTTCGCGGAGGTCGCTCAAGCATTCGGGAGTGACGAGTCGTCATCGGTGCAGCTATCAGAACAACTGTACAAAAGGATCCTACACGCTTGGTTGTCCACTCTTGGATCTATGGTCGCAGAAGACAGCAGGCTGGTGTATAGGTCCGATCTAGACGACGCTGAACAGAGGGAGTTCGCTGGGCCGTCGACGGTGCTGTGCATCAACAGTGACGCTCAGATAAGCGTTTATTTGTGGGTATATCTGGCTATATGCGCTGCATTCGAGGCAACGGGAAGCTTTCAATCGGAGGAAAAGGAGGTTCTGGGATTTGAATACATCGAGAGGCTCGTTGCGCTCCTTGGAGCGATTATAGGCCAACAAGTTTTCCTGGAGAAGGCGTTGGGAGCGGAAGGTGTTGAACTTAACATGGCCGGCAATCCGGCTGACGAGACCCAGAGCTTGGTACGCCCGCCCGCTCCGATCTCCACGTCACATTGACAATTTTGCGCTGATGTCGAATTTGACAGGCTGGCCGTGTTTTGTCAAGGATAGCGGAGTTAGCGGTCACACTCTGCCGACGCAGAATATCTAGCATGGGGAAACATCAGGACCTCAGTACAGCACAACTGGGAGAGATGCTAGACGTGCGTAGCTGGGCTTCGACACGGATTCCGCTAACCGCGCCAAATACAGAACGTTCCTGAGAGTAGACCGAAGACACGCCTGGCGCTCGCACAAGTTCTCGCGGAGAGGGCTATGCTTGAGGGTTGTCAGGCGGACTGGCAAGAGTTGCGCGATGCCCTAGAGGAGGATTCTAGTTGAACCGTGCATCCAGCCTTGTCAGTCAACTGGTGTCCACGAAGGGATTTCGCCTTGATATTTTCGTTTGATAACGGTGGCACACGTTGTGCAACGGTGCGAGCGTACTTGTTGTACTGACGTGATTATGATCAGACGCCAATGCTAACCTTAATTGTTCCCAGGTTACGACGATGCACTCTCCAAGTGCATATCGGCTCTACGCACCTCGATCCTCAGACACAATTGCGTAATCACTCAAAGAACTGCTTAGTGCTCTGGTTGTGGGCACTCAGGCCACCGCCAGCCAATGTTTCATTACGCCTACATTATCGACGGTGGCGTGGATGCCTGTCAATTGACTGTCAGGGATTTACCAGTGTGAGGGTGCGGTGTTGCGGAGGCTATGCGGCCCTGTCCATCTGATAGCGCTATCGAAGGCATGGTCATCAGTTGAAGTCTCCAACGTACCTGCATGAGCTGTTCCCTCCACGTTCCATACGTGTACTAGGTGGTTCACTTTTGAAGGATCCAGACCTAATGTCAGACCTCAGGTGCGTAAATAGTTATTCCATGCTATTGAGGTTGAAGGACTTATCGGTTCGTAGTTCAGCCAAGGTATCATCAGACCGCGATACTCGGTCACTCACCGCGGAACCATGCCTACCGTTGGAGGTACAGGAGCGCATCCTGGACTTCGTCGCTGGATCCATGGACAGCCGCGAGACGATGAAGGCCTGTATGCAGACATGCAAAGGTTGGACTCCTCGCTGCCGATTTCACCTCCTGCACGAGATCCATCTACGAGGCCAGCAAGAGGTGTTCTCGTTCGGGAGGCTGCTAGACTCCAATCCGCGTTACCGCAATGAAGTCGTCTATGCCCACATTGGATCGCGGGACGGATCGCTGCAGCCAATTGCATACGTGGAGTCTTTCGCGGCTCGATTCGCCGGGAAGCTGCCTTCCGTCCATCATCTCATGATACGCAATGCGGAGATGAAGTCGACCAACCTTCGCCAGGACGCCTACCTCCACTTCTCCAGCTTCGCATCGCTGAGCGAGCTGTCGCTAGTGCGAGTTACATTTCGAACACGCTCGATGTTCGTTCGCATTGCATGCTCTTTCCCTGGATTGACCCTATTGCAGTGCACGGATGTAGAGATACCGGGACCTAACCACCAGAGTACCGTGATCACGCCGGTCCTCCGTCCTAACATTCGGCACCTAGGTGTCGACGGAGATCCTTCCTCCATCGAGAGGGTCTCACATGCCTTTGTCAATGCCATTCTTGCTGTCGCGCTTCGGACCCTCGTCGTGGGCTACCAGACAGCGGTTCCCCTTCGAGACCTCACAGCTTCCGTTCAGTGGTTGCTCGACGCTGCCGGTCCTTCGCTCCGTACGTTCACTTGCCTCATAGACGAGGGCGGCTTCAAGCGTGACGATCGCGCCGGTAATTCATTACACTCAGCGAGTTGTTGACGGACTGACGATCATTGGTCCTACAGTGCAGTATATCAATTTTACACCGAATACGTGTTTGGAACGCATCGTACTCCGGATTCCCATTCACAAAGACCCGTCCCTCTCGTGGATTCCTGCCCTTCTCTCCTCCGCCACCTTCCACGAGGGCGGGGAAGTGTGTCTGATCTTCAGCGTCGATGCGCGAGACGATACGCCCCACGTCTTGAGGATGCTGTTCACGCGGCTTCGGCAGTCGGTCGGCTTTGAGCTCGAAGCCATCCTGTCTCGTCCCGGATTTACGAAGCTCAAGAAGTTCTCTGTCGAGCTCTATATCGTGCCTTGGAATATAGGGCTCTCGCAGCTCGCATGGACAGAAGTCGTCACAGCCGCAATGCCTCGATTGCAGGCGCGGGGAGTATTGGAGTAAGTGAATACTTGATAGATGCAAGCGTATGTTCATAATGCCGTTCGTCGCTACAGCCCATGTATGCGGGTGATGAGCGATTATTCGCCCACGGATGTGGGTTCGTTGCTTCGAGGTGGTGTTTCGTTGATACCAGGCTCCAGTGTGGCTGAGACCCTTGCCCGAATCCCCTCCGATGATCTGCACGCGGAACGTTAGACTTGCTGAATGGGCTCCCGGATCAAGATAAGCGTTATTGAACGTTGAGGTGGTGGACTGGGCATGGCGCGGGGACATTCGTCCGCTCGGATCAGGCAGTGTAATACGTGTATCGCATTGGACATAGAGCTACTCCGAATAAAATTCCTAAGACCGACAGGTCAGCACCGCGACACATCGGCATTGGATATGCGGAATGGCATACTGCATGCCATGCCTTGCCGCGCATGCATATTCGCAAGAGGGATAAGACGTAGATGAAGAGGAGTGCCACGAATTCGACCGGATAGACTGGATCGTCCGCGTCAACATTGTTCATGACTTTCAAGACTGGTAACGATGAACAGTTCTGCCGTTGCTGAGCGTGGTGTTATTGTACAGGTAAATGGTGGCGGATGGCTGCGTCGGCAACTCAGTCAGTTCTATCATGGTCCGAGAGTCTGCTGTCATTTACTCACGTAATCGTCCCTCCAACATAGTCGATGTCTTCATCTTTGCGGATAACATGACCATCGAGCGTCTGGGCATTTGCTACGTTGAACATGGTGAGAACGGTAGCCGTGACGAGAAATATCGTGTCTTCTGCGAGAATCTGTCCAGGACATATCCTAGCAATTTGGATGCGCGTAACTGTAAGAGTAGCACATACGAAAGAGACGATGGCAACTCACCGCCTACCGTATCCGAAAGAGAATGTCTCGGGATCGGGGTTTGCATCCTCTCCCTTTCTCTCGAGATATCGTTCTGGCTTTACCTCGAAAGGATCCGGATAAATAGATGGATCGTGAAGAATTGCCCTATTCGAACAAATTCTGAGCATCCGAAGATCTTGTGTTGCTTGTAGAACGTACCATGAATTGGCAATGACGGTAGCGCCCTTGGGAATATGGTAGCCGTTGTACGTGTCATCACGCATGGCCAAGTGAGGAAGGGCTACGTATGTAGGCGTTGGGTAAATCAGGAGAAGTAGCTTCGTGAGTATTGATGCATACCCAGGGGTGCTACAGGCTTCCACCGATGAATCTCCTTCACAAGAGCAGCAACGTACGGAAGGCTATCGCGGTCGCTGAACTTCGGCAACTGGTGAGACCCTAACGCCGCATCCACTTCGGCTTGTCCTTTCCGCTGAATGTCGGGATACAGCGCTAAGATGAGGAACATGGTTTCGAGCGCGGATACGCTCTATCAGAAAGTTACGGCGCAGTACGTTGGTTGCGATGGAGCCTGCGCACCGTGTCAGCTCCCGCTATGTCGTCCCCGAGGTTAGCACACATCGTAGATAAACCAGCTGATATAGTGACGAACCGAGGTAGAATTGTGTAGATGCCATTTTGTGAACGAACAGGTCCTCCGGTTTTGGATTTGGGTTGTTCTCAATGATCTGTGAGGTAAAGGACGGGATAGCTTTTCCGAGCAGCTGGTAATGTTTGCGTTTTCAGATACCATCAGAATATAACCTACGGCGCATTGAGATCTCATGCTTACCATCTGCTCCTTGACTTCCTGATAAGGCTCATCGAGTATCCTGTCTATAGTATCACGAGCCTCTCTAGCGAAAGCTTTGAACCCAGCACCAGGAAACCATTCTGGAACATGCCGCACTATATACCAATGAGATCGAGTACAAGGACACATAAAGATGGATGACTGACAGAAAGGGAAGAGATCCACGAGGAATTTACCGGGTGTTGCAGTAGCGGAGAACTGCTCATTGACCAGTTCTGCTAGTTGAACTAGGGGATCGCTTGAGTCGCTAATATCGCGACCGTGTGTGATCTGCAATACAATACTGGCGACTAGCCTGAATGCATTGGGCCATGAGATCGGTGTTAATATGTCGCAGCAGTAGAGTACTTACCAGCGTAGATGTGGTCGAAACTCGTTCGGAGAGGCGAGAAGTCTGGGAAGGAGATGTAGAACTTTCCCTTCGATGACGCGCTGTAATTGTGGGGCATTCCGCGCATTGATGGTACCGGTAATGAGCTTTCTGCTTTCCTTGAGGATGAAACCGTATGGAGCCAACACGGTGAAGCGCGAGTAACCGATCCTGATTTCTCCTAGTATCAGTCACCATTGCGTGTAGGCTAGGCGTAGAAACTTACAATCCAGATGCCATAGGAAGAACTGGACGGTCGGAGTATATATGGCCTCTCTTCTCCAGCAGGTCCGAAATGGCTTGCCGCGATGTGAGAAGTATGATTGAGCTCCCAAGAGCGGATAGATGCATAACATCCCCTATGTCAATGATCAGCGGCAGTAGACACAGTACGATAGTCTACAGCAGCGAGTGAAACTCACCATATTTTTCTGCTAACTGAGCGAACACAGCCCATTCGTTTTTCTTCGGCATTTGCAACGCATTTCCGATAACAGGAAACCCGGACGGGCCTGGAGGAAGATGACCATTGCGCGAAGTCGCTCTGGAAATGAGATACACCACAAGTATAGCTAGGAGAAGAACAACCGGGAGAGACATCATGGTACCGCAAGAATGGTGCAGTCGGAGCGTACACCGACTGCGGCTACGGAGAACGACTGCGTGTGCTTATGTAGTAGGAACCTCAAGCAGGGGTACCGGCCAGAGACAGTGCCGGTTGGGTCGCTTGCAACATCTGGACTCGGATACATTTCGGACCGCCGTCAGTATGGGAAGTCGACCCTGTTCATGTCATGGCGTGGCGCTTGAATAGAAGATCGTTGGTAGCGAGTCATGACAAAGACGGCTTGGAGTCGATGGTCTGGGCGGAGCAAGTTGGGAGCAAGCACGAAGTTCCCACTGAACACCGTATGTGGCGTGAAGCCTTGTTTAATCTGGACGCACCAACCGACTCAACCTGGCGGCACTTTATAGACGGGAAACCTCGTGGCAATATGAACGCACACTGACCGTGCGCAGGTTCGAGCTCGCGAACAATCCGACAGAGCGAAGATGACCGCAGGGACAAGGAGCCGCGGTGGCATCATGACCGGAGTAGGCCACGCCTTCGTCGACTACTGAGCGATGTCCTGTATCGGGGATATCTGGCAGATTACTCAGCGGAGCGTTCCCTCGAATGTGGGAACGGCCTCACTTGAACCTCTTCACTGGAGTAAGTTCCTCCAGGATGTTTGACAACTGGAATGTACGATTTGATTGAGATCACCTGTCCGGACTGTTATCACAACTTATGAATGGGCGAAGTCCAGGAGTACGTACTGCGGATTATATTGCGAGTCGATGTTCCAGAAACACCACCATATGATGCTACTCGTAGGCTGTTGCGCTTCTTTGTCAGGCACATGCCAACACCTTCATATCCGAGGGCGCTTTCGGGTTTGGGACCGCGGGCCTCTACTCAGAAGCAGCCGTCCTCGGCCGGACGACAGGACATACATATGCTTTGGCGAATCGCCGCCGCACAAGAGCATGCCATAGCTCGATAAAATGGACTGCCAATAGGGAGACTATCGCTAATGTTCTGAGCACGAGGACTGCTGCATGAGATATATGACTCACATTGAAGCACAGCTTTACGCAATTCGAGTTCGCCGTCACAGCATCGGCAGTTAGTGCAGACATACAGGTGCGATATCAAGACAATGGTGACAGGCCAGTCGAGTATCGGAGACGAGCTCTACCCCAAATAGCCATTTCCGGGGGCCGAAACATTCGTGGATGAAGTCGTTGTTGATGACTTTAATGGGGGCAAGTATAGCTTGTCACAAGCACCTTAGTGAAGCGAGGCACGAGGATCGTCCACGGTCCAGAGCAGAAAGGATGCTGTTAATACACCGATACAACCCACACAACACAAACAACATGCAACAAACGACAGTCTAATATCCACCTCTGTCGTCCGACATCCGGTGCGAGGCCATCTGGCGCCTCTGTGTGTCCTCGAGCTTCGGACAGTTGGAGATGCCGTGGCCCAGACCTGTACGCAAGTCACATTGAGCAGGAGCAGCCAAGACACCACGGACTAACTTACCACCACACACTGGACAGCCCTTGAGCGAGCCACCCTGGACGGCACGCGGGTCTTCTATGCTTTGCAGGAATGGAGGCACTCTGTCAGGGCCGCATGAGCATTGTTCGTGCCTGGAATGTTTACACGGAGAACTCACTTCTGTCCTGCCTCCATGAGCAAGTACTTCAGATCGAGCAACGTCTGCTCTGCGGTGTTCATGTTCACGAAGGTCGTAGCGATGCCGGTCTTGCCGCTGCGGCCCGTACGCCCGATCTGGTGCACATAGTCCTCGATCTCCTTTGGCATGGAGAAGATGATGACGTGCTGGATGTCGTTGAAGTCGAGCCCCTTCGAGGCGACGCTCGACGCGACCATCACATCCTTTTGGCCGGACTTGAACGACTTGATCGCGTATTGGCGCTCTTCTTGCGCTGCAAGGCTTCGTGATCAGACGCCAACGCATCAGTCAAAATGATATACGCACACTTGGAGCCGTGAATGGCGACCGCCTCGATACCCTTCAGTAGCAAGTACTCCTGGATGTCTGCAGAATTCCGTCAGTCATGGCAGGGACTACATAACGTGGGAGACCTACCATCAACCTCATTTTTGTTCTCGCTGAAGACGATAACGGGCGGGGGCGTCTTCTGCAAGCACTCTAGCAGGTAGACCATCTTCGCCTCCTGCTTCACGTACTCCACGACCTGGAGCACGTCAAGGTTCGCCGCACCAGCTCGCCCGACGTTGACGAGGATGGGCTTGACGAGTGATAGCTGTGCAAAGTCTTGGATCTTCCGGGGCATCGTGGCCGAGAACAGGAGGGTCTGCCGTTGTCGCTACAAACGCCAAGTCAGCACGTCGAGCCAAACTTTGACCTTGCCAGTATGCCAACCTTGAAGAAGCTCATGATGTTCCGCACATCATCCTCGAAGCCCAAGTCGATCATCCGATCAGCCTCGTCCATACAGAGATACCGGCAATTATCGAATGTAAACCGTTTCTTCTCCAGCATGTCAATCAAGCGCCCCGGTGTCGCCACGACGATGTGCAAGCCCTTGTTCAGGACATGGCTCTGCTCGCTCATCGAGATACCACCGATGCACAACAGCGTGTTCAATTGCGGGTACTTCCCGCCACCGTCGGGTGCCAACGCAGCCGTCCATGTAAGGACGTTCTCGTATGTTTGGGTGGCAAGTTCGCGGGACGGGCAGAGGATGATACCGACGGGGCCTTCGCCGCGTACAAAGGGCAGCTTAGCTTCCTCTTCGAGCGCGAACATGATCAGTGGCAGACAAAAGGCTAGCGTCTTGCCGGAACCGGTGAATGCGATGCCGATCATGTCCCGGCCTGCGAATCTATGGGTCCAATCAGTCAACTGATGAATACTGACGGGGTCATGGACGTACGCTGTCGGAATGCCTTGCAGCTGAATTGGTGTGGGCGTGGTGATGCGCTTGGACTTCAAAAACTTCACGAGCACCTCCGGTACCTTCATGTCCTGTGAAAACGGAGTCGTCAGCAGCCGAGGAGTGAGCTATGACAGAAGTCTTACAGTGAAGTTATCGATTGGAGGTGGAATGTCCTCGCCGTCAACCAGGATGTGGTGCTTTTCCCTGAGTCTCTGGTGCTCCTCCGGGCTCCGCTCGCGAACAAACTTTGGTGGGCGCCATCTGAAGTCTTGAGTCAACAGATTCGTAGACACGAATGCATATGAACGTACGATGTCTTGAACGGCTCCGTGTACTGGACGCCCTGGGCCAGCTCGAGGTCGGACGCGAGCTTCTTCCGACTCGCGATGGCAGCGAGAATCTCAGCATCCGCCTCTTCCGTCTTCTCAGCATCGGTCTTCTTCGAGTCTGCATGAGCGAGACAAATAAGACCTTACTTACAACGTTGACAGCAACAAATAAGCGCACCTTCTGCGGCCTTTCTCTCATGCACCTCCTGCGCTTCCATCAACAGCGTCCTCTCTTTCCGCGCCTTCTCTCGCCGTCTCTCCTCCTCCCGCTCTTCATCTTCACGCTCGTCCTGCTCTTCTTGCCCCGCAGTTGCTTTGGCCTTTTCCGTTCCCCGTGACGTGAGCTTCGCGAACTTGGCTTGTCTTCGCTGGGCTACTGGCACGTAAGGCTCGTAGCTGGCTTCGTCGTCTAGTTTGTATTCCGGCGATGGCGAGCGTTGGATGCGACGACGCTTGGGGGCAGACTGTTCCGGCATAGTTATGAGATGTGAGTAGACCGAAGGGATTGTAGCAAGACGCAAGGAGAGATGGTGGTCGTGAGCAGAGTGCCGCGCCTATGGCATCCACTCCATTAGGCAAGTCCGAGAAACTCGGAGCCTGGGTCGTGTTGGGCCGCCGGTCCGGACGCGCCGAGGCTGGACGATATTCCCGGACCCGGTTTCCGGCCCCTGCACCGTATGCACATCCCCCAAGCTCGACATGGTCCGCGATTTTTGCTTGTCTGTCGATAACCATCATCTCCTCGCTGCTGTACACAGCGACGACGACTAGTTCCCAGCGCTGAACATGGCCGAGTTCGACCCGACCACCCACCCGCACCGTCGACGTACGTCCAGTACTCACTGTCTACATCGCGCTAGCTGAAGCAGGTCGAACGTTCGTCAGTGAACCCTCTCACGGGCGAGCGCGTCCTGGTCTCCCCTCATCGCACCAAGCGACCCTGGCTGGGCCAGACAGAGCCCCCGCAGCCGTCGGACCTCCCGCAATACGACCCGAAATGCTACCTCTGTCCCGGCAACACGCGCGCGGGCGGGGCGAAGAACGACGAGTACAAGCAGACCATGATCTTTGAGAACGACTATGCTGCCGTTCTACCGCCGCCTGGACCGGCTGCACCCGCTGCTCCTCACCCACTGCTCACGACGGAACCCGTCCAGGGTGGCTGCGACGTCCTGTGCTTCCACCCGCGGCACGACCTGACCCTTGCACGCCTGGCTGTGCCGGACATCGAGCGCATCATCGAGGAGTGGTCTGCGATCTACAACAAGCGCGGTAACCAGGAGGGCATTGAGTATGTCCAGATATTCGAGGTGCGCAGTCTATACATTGCGTGACCGATCACATCAGCTCACAACTAGGATGTATCACAGAACAAGGGTGCCATGATGGGCTGCTCGAACCCACACCCGCACGGACAGGTCTGGTCGCTTTCAGACGTGCCCTCGCTCCCCGCAACCGAGCTCGCCAACCTCAAGCGGTACGCTCTCCAGAATGCCCCCTCGGCCTCGGCACCCAAGGGCCCGGAAGGGAAGGCCTGCCTGCTTTGCGAGTACGCGCATTTTGAAGTGGGCGTGGCGGAGAGCGAGGGCCGCGTCGTCGTGAAGAACGAGCACTTCGTCGCGCTCGTCCCCTGGTGGGCCATCTGGCCGTTCGAGATCATGCGTGCGTCCCCCGTCCCTGCTTCATTGACCTATTCGATATCTGATCTTCGGTATCTGTCACCGCAGTGCTGCCATACGCTCGTCATATCCCGTCGATTGCGGACCTCACTTCCGAGGAGCGGTCCGCATTCGCCTCGATCCTCTCGCAGATCACTAAGCGCTACGACAACCTCTTCTCATGCTCGTTCGCCTACTCCATGGGCATCCACCAGCGGCCCGTTCCCCGCAAAGCCGCCGACGCTGCGGACGCGGACGCCGCGCATCTGCACCTGCACTTCGACCCGCCGCTTCTGCGGAATGCGAGCGTGCGCAAGTTCCTCGTTGGGTATGTTTATTTCTGTCAAGTCCTGCCGTGTTTCAGTACTTATGGTGCGTTGTCTAGGTTTGAACTGATGGCGGAGCCTCAGCGTGATCTCACGCCAGAGCAGGCGGCAAGCCGTCTGCGTGCTTGCTCGGAGGTGCACTACCTGGATACTACGGAGGAAGCCCCGAAGACTGCGGAGAACCCGACGTCCAAGGATGTCGACCCGACCAACAGCTGAGGTGCCCAAGGAGGAACGTCAATGATCCAAAATGAAGATAGACGACGGACGATGATCGATAGAGTGGAAGTAATCTGGCAATTGTACAATGAACCCGGTTCAGCAACGCGTGTCTTATGTGCAAGACCTGCAAGTAAGCTCTACAGACTGCAGGGGCTAGACTCGGGTGTACGAGCCCCATTAGATGTTACGCGACACTTCGATTGGTTTCCTTTCCTTTGACCGCTTACACAGCTCCACGCGGAGAGATACTACACATGAAGTCCGTTGGGTGACTGAGTATGTATGTCTATGAGCAGCGACAGCGTGGTGACCAGCTCAGTGGACGGACCTGATTACACCACCGTGGTATTCGATCGTCCTTCCCGCATGAGGTACGGCGTCGCCAATGTCAAATGCTGCAAGCACTGATGCAGCGATTATGAACAGAATGTCTTCAGCTAGAACCTGTCCAGGACAGACTCTGTAGCGGTACGCGATCCGTTCAGCTGATGACACTTGCAGGCTGTGCGTTGATCGTACCGTCTTCCATAGCCAAATGCGAAGTCTCGAGGATCCGGGTTGAGGTCTTCGTTGGACTCGCCAAGGTAGCGTTCCGGGATGACCTTGTCCGGTTCGGGATACAAGATCGGGTCGTGAAGAACAGCCCTTTCTCGGACCGTTAATGACCAGACCGTTGCCGCTGCCTGACGTTATGCCTTACCAGCTGTTTGCAAACACAGTAGAACCCGCAGGTATGCGATATCCCGCATAGACGTCCTCTCGGCGGACCTTATGCGGCAAAGCTACGAGACCGAGACCACTCAGATGTCGCCACCGTCAGACAATCATAACGAGAGCGCACCCAGGGGCAAGACCGGGTTCCAGCGATGCGCCTCCTTCAGTACGGCTTCGAGGTAGGGCATGTCTTTGCGGTCGCTACACTTGGGCAGCCTGTTGCCAACGACGGCGTCAACTTCGATTTGGGCCTTCCGTTGAATCTCTGGGTGTTGCGCCATCATGAGGAAGAACGACAGTAAGGCGGAGACCGTCTGACAGGCTATCAGTTGTTTGCAACAATGAGGAACTGTATAAAGTATACCGTGTCTGATCCAGCTGTTGAGATTCAAGCGCAAGTAGATTGGTATGGAGACCTAATGAAGCGAAGGAGTACTTACCTGCATAGAACTGAGTCGACACCTGTTTGTATAGCTCTTCGTCTTCAGGTGTGCGATCGCGATTGCTTGTCAGATAGTCGACGATGAACGAAGGGTTGGCTGTTCCCTGTTGCTGTCGGCGCTGTAAGTGTGATGCATCCCCCTAGTGAGTCGAGATGACATACCACTTGCTCTCGGGCCAAGTCATATAGCTTGTTTTGTAATCCAAGCGTAGTTTGGCGGACGTCCTCTGCGATGCGTTTGAACGTCGCCCCCGGAAACCACCCTGGTATGTACTTCACTGTTCGATGTGAGTCTCGCGCTCTTTGCTCATGATGTATGACACCCATGGTGAGATGAGAGACGTACTGACGGAAGGGCAAGCCATCGACCAGATATGCGCCGGGCACCGTTATGTCACTGAACCCTCTCAATGCCTCGTGAACCCATTTTACGAGGGGACCATCACAGCTGTCCACATTCAGCCCATGAGTCATTTGAAGTACTAGGCTGGCCATGAGCCTGTTTGAGAGACACTCGTCACTCAGCCTATTGGCATGGTCATCCACGATCTTCGGTGTTGCGTACCATTGGATGTGGGTCTGAAACTCGGACGGAGTGCGGGAAAGCCTTGAAACGAACTCAACGGCCTTGGCCTCTTGGACCGCATGCAGGTCTTGAGTCTTCCGAGTATTCAGGGTCCCCAATATGAGCTTGCGACCTTCTCGATGTCGAGGGCCATACGGCAACAACGCAGTGTATTGATCAAAGCCTGCCCTATGTCACAGTAAGCCACGCTTTCGAAGAGATAGGGACCATGTGCACACACAATTCCCCGGCCATTGGTATCACTGGGCGGTCGGAATAGATGAGGTTCTTATCTAGGAGATCGGAAATCGCCTGACGGGAACTCAGGACAATGAACGAGCTCCCGATGACGGATAGGTGCATCACAGGGCCTGAAATCATTCACGACGTTGTAAGTGCTGCTCAGCTTCTGTATCTGGACACATACCATACGTTCTGGCCCACTCTGCGAAGACAAGCCAACTACGGTCCGTGGGTATCTGTAAGGCGTTACCCAAGAGCGGCAAGCCCCTAGGTCCCGGCGGAAGCGGGAGTCGTCCGGCGCGTCGAATAAACCTACATGCGACAAGGGCGGCGAGGCAGAGGACCAGGGACAAGAACATCGCAGTGGGTCCAAGGCGAATGGCTCTGTCTACAAGGCCTGAAGGCGGGTGTCGTATCTGCGGCGGTCTATCAAAGGCACCATGATCAGGAAGCCTCGGAACATATCACGTACGTACTCACCACTGCCATACAGCTAGCCGCCGAACCATCTGTCAATCGAATCTCTGGGCCTTCCCTGCACTGCATCCAGCGGGCCCCGGGACATCGAAGTGATACCTACTGTTGATGTGAGTACGAGAAACCCAGTGGTTCGTACTGGCCTCCGATACGATGGTTTCTGACATGGATTCCAGAGACCCTATTGCACAGTTACTGCTAGGACATTCATCCGGGCAACTTCCCCGCAAGGAGATGCCACTCAAGGATCGCAAATACCGACCACCAAAACAGTAGCCGCGTAGCGATATAGCAGGTACAGTGCCGATGAGTGCCCTTCAGCGTTTGTGAGGAGCGAGCAACCGCGTGCACGCTATCTCAAGTGAATACCGATGGATGGGCCATAAGTTGGGCCTCAGTAGCCTCATGCTCCATGAGCGCCGCTGCCAATACAGTAATATCGTTCTGCACCGAGTAAGTCATAACCCGTTCATTATCCGAGCGATACGCACCAGACGAAGTTATGATTAGATCATTACATCGGTACAAGGTTGACAGGCCAAGAATGGGATTAGTCGTCTCGGACCCCGTGATAGCATCCTCGTAAGATAACAGCGGTTTATACACACAGTTTTGTGGCTGAGAGAGTTGGTAGCGACGGTCTCGTTGCTCCACCACCATTCGTGCGCTCGACTTCGTCGAAGTGCTAACGGGATGTAATCAGGGATGGGTACAAGACCACACTGCTTGAATATGTAGGGTACGTGATGGAAATCTCGCTGTGAAGGACTCACATGAGCCGGCAGTTAAGTATCAACTAAACCCTTCAAATTGTATACTCACTGAGGTCGAGTGCGCTCGTGTATATCATAACCCAGCAGAGGAAACAATACAGACTGCGCGAAATCACCATACGGGGTGTCATGTCTCCACAAATCTTCCACGAGTGGAACATCAATATGAGCCACCACGTCAATCCCAGCGCCGGGCGGAATGGAGACAAGGAGTAGAACAATCACGTCGACCGCCGTGGCAGAATACCGCACGCAAAGTCATCCGGGTGACTGAGATTGCAACACATCAGAAACTGGTATGCAGATTGCTTGAAAGACGAACCTGATCGCACCGCCACGATACTCGATCGTCTCGCCCTTCAAAGGAACAACACTGGTGATGTTGAACGATGCGAGCACGGACGCCGCAACTATGAAGAGGGTGTCCTCGGCGAGCGTCCGTCCAGGGCAGACACTGCGGCAAACAAGGGTTTCAGCACTGTACATTGGACTGATCACGGGGCTGCGCACCGTCGTCCGTAGCCAAAGGCAAAGTCTTGTGGGTCTGGATTGAGATCTCCGTTAGAACAGTCGTAGTAGCGCTCCGGGATTACTTCGTCTGGGTGAGGATACAGCTCCGGGTCGTGCAGAATGGCCCTTGATCGGGACGTCACTCACTGGCATCTTGGACATAAAGAATGATGACATACCAAGTATTGGGTAAGATCGTGGAACCGGCCGGAATACGATATCCTGCGTAGACGTCTTCCTCCCGTACGTAATGCGGCAGGGCTTCAGGACTGTGAGCACGGACGTCTCGCTGCTAAGACGATGCCAGGACACACCCAGGGGTAGCACTGGGTTGCAGCGATGGACCTCCTTGAGAACCGCCCCGAGGTAGGGCATATCCTCGCGGTCGCTGCAGATGGGCAGTCTGCCGCTGGTGACGGAGTCCACTTCGGCTTGGGCTTTCCGTTGGATGTCTGGATGCGTGGCCATGATGAGGAAGAAAGAGAGAATCGAGGAGACTGTCTGTGGAGAGATTTGATGGCCCACCAAGCGCGAACAATTCGTAGGCTACTCACCGTATCCGCGCCGGCTGCCAAGGAAGTAACGCATGTAGCTAGCGTACAACTTATAGAAACCCGAACACATACCACCGTAGAACATAACTGCGACCTCTGCGTACAGGGTGTGATCATCCTGGGTGGGGTCGTAATTGTGCTTGAGTAGATCCGCTACAAACGACGGCGTGGCTGATCCGCGGTCCTGGGTATCAGGGCATGATGAGCACTGCGCATCCACTTGACCACAATAATTCACCAATTGTCTCCTTGCTGCTTGGTATAACTTGTCTTCCAACGCGTATGAGCGTTCACGGGTCTCTCTCGCTATCCTCTTGAACGACGCTGCCGGGAACCATTCTGGAACGTACTTCACTACTGGGCGTGAGTTTGGACTATACGGTCTTGTGCGACATACAGTACTTACGAGACGGAATCGCATCAACGAGGTATGCGCCGGGCGCCGATACGTCGCTGATCTCAGCGAGTGACTTCTCGACTTCAAGAAGGAAGGGGTCGTCGTAGCTATCTATTGTGATCCCGTAGGTGGCCTCAAGCACGATGCTTGCGACCAGCCTTTCGATCTACAATGAGATCGGCGTCGCTCTCAGGACTCACTTTGACGTACCAGCGGATGTGAGTCCGGAATTCCGCGGGACTTTCTGTCAGCCTTGAAATGAACACCAGTGTCTTCGCCTCTTGGATTGCATGCAGCTCTGGCGCCTTGCGGGGACCGAGAGCCCCGGTGATGAGCTTGCGGCCTTCGCGATGCCGCTGCCCGTAGGGTGCGAATGCAACCAGTCTCTTCAGACCGGCCCTGTATGGTATACTCTACGTGAGCTCAGCCTGTTTACATGGTGATTCTGCATGGTCATACAGTTCTCCGGCCATAGTCATGATCGGGCGATCCGAATACACGGCGTTCTTCTTCTCCAAAAGGTCAATTATCGCTTCGCGCGAGCTCAAGACAATAATTGAGCTAGTCATGCAGGAGACGTGCATGATAGGGCCTAGTGACGCCTGTTCAACACGATGCGACGGACCATGATAATGATCACTCACCGTAGGTCTTGGCCCACTGCGCGAATGTGAGCCAACTGCATTCTTTCGGGATTTCCAGAGCGCTGCCAAAGACAGGAAGGCCCCTTGGACCCGGAGGAACTGGAAGTCGTCTGAGGACTTTACTGATTCTGTACGCAAGAAGGGCTATGAGGCATAAAATAGCGAGGCGGAACATTGCGATGTGCACTGGCAGAGATGGTGACGCTCGGTTCGCAGACCCTTAAGGTTCTCCGTCTGTTCCCATGGTGGAGAGGACATACTATAAGGCATTCAATCTACACGCACGTGCAGTTCCCCCGCTTCGTCTCAACCCCAGAAGTCCTAGAGCATATCCGTTTCGGGCTACTCGGAGGTCGGATAGGATGCGAACGTATGGGATGCATTGACAGGCAACGTCAAGAGAAGTTCGATGGCCTCAGCCTAGGGTTCAATCGGTGGCATTCCCCACAAGGGCAGCGGCCAGCGGCGTAATCCTGCGTAGCATATGAGCTACTAGTAGTAGCTTGTTCCTCTGTCCGAGCGATACGCACCAGACATGGTTTGGATATTGCCTTCAATGATGGAATTGGTCGACGTGCGCCACCCCGTGGAGAGCCTGCCGCCTGTCAGAGTAACTCAAACCTCTTCGTCCAGGGTCACGGACCGGTGCCAAACCGGTGCCTTCAATGAGTCGTACCCGGGTCAGGAACGTACTTGTCCGGTTCGGGGGAAGTCACGGTCCACGGTAGTCTGACTACCAAACTCGGTTCAGGAACGAGGCTCTTGCGAAACAGATGCAAACAACAGCCACAAGCGCGTGCGGACGTCATACCAGGACCTTCCCGGGGCCTCGGACTGGCATGTTCCGCCAGCTGCTCTCAGCCACCCGCCTCAGCTTACCGAAGCGACCACCATACTCGTCGTTCAGCACCGCCAAATCACTGTATTCTACTCTTCTATACTCATCTCATCCCGATATGCCTCAGAGTCCTAAAATCCTGTCGAAGGAGGACTTGCCGACGAACGAGGCAAAGTGAGCTGCGACCTACATACACTGCCAGCGTTATGCCGAACCGACTTGTTTTGCGCCTACCTTTAGATGGGTAGCACTGAAGAAATTGTACTGGAGCGATCAAGAAGGCAAACAGGTGAGCAGAGTCCATACCTAAACGACGGTGTTGGCCTGTGCGAATCTGGTTGCGTAGCGAACATGGGAATGTGCTGAGCGGACAACAAGAGGCTCGTCCGGTATTGACGGTAAGGATGCAACGTGCTTATCTTGCCTAGCTTGTCTGAGACCATGCGTCCGCAGCGGTTGCCATCCTTGCCGTCTTGCGTTCGGAGACGAATGCGTTTCAGCCATCAACTGTGATCATTGAGCAGTATCGTCCTCCGGTAGACAAATATGTCATTGGCAAGCATACATACACCCTTTCTGCTGCTAGATCTCACCGGACACTCGTCATAGTGCAGAATTGCCTGCAGGTAGCTCGCGATGGTGACATCGAGTGAAGACATCCTCACTGCTCTTATAGGTCTGATCGATGAAGGAGAGACAGCGGAGCAGGCAGCCATACGTGAGCTCCAGGAAGAAACCGGATTCAAAGCCACCAAGGTGCTCGACTCGTCGCCTTTACAAGTTTGTGACCCTGGTATGTCTCGCCGTGCGGTCCATCTCGGACACATGCGTGAACTCACGCTCTACATACACGACAGGCATGACGACCGCCAACATGAAGCTCGTTGCAGTCGACGTTCCTTTCCCAGACAAGCTCGAGCAATCGGCGCAGAAGCTTGAGCCGGGCGAGTATATCACAGCGAGGATCGTCGAGCTCGCGAAGCTGTCGGACGAGCTGAAAGGTACGTCTGACCTGCTCATTCAGAGTCTTAGCACATGTGTGACCGGTCACTTCGCAGAGTATGAGAAGAAGGTTGGCATGCAATTTAAGCTCATGAATGTTGCCGCTCACACCCTTTCTAGGGCTTCGTCGTCGACGCGCGGTTGTCCCACTTTGCAATCGGCATCGAGATGGCTGAACGGCTGAGGCAGTCAAAGCTTTGATACCAGGCGTTGCCACCATGGAAAGCAGGTTGGGAACACGATTATCATTTTAATGTACAACGAGCCACATTCGTACAAGCAGCAGAGCTCCGCATGCTAGCATGAGAGCTCACTAGGAAACATAAGCATGCATACCCACACGGCACTTCGCGTTATGATAGCCATATCTGTCATCACAACAACGTGACGGCCTCGTCCACCAGCTGGTCGAGGGACACCGTAGTGCCTTGCAGCGCCTGCACGACATACTCATACGCCTTCTCCCATAGCCCCGCCCATATGTCCATCTGGTCCGCAGCCTTCGTCTTCAGGTACGCGATTGCGATAGCCGTCGCCCACACCTGTCCGCCCAGCGGGTGCGAGCGGATTGACGCAGGCGCCGTAGCACCGAGAGCGTCCAGTGTGAGTCTGTCGCCGAAGGCCAGTGTGCGAAGCGCGTCGTTCAGTTGGAAGGATCCGTCGAAGGACTGCAGGCGGGCGATGGCGGTGACGGGGTCGTCTGGGACAACCCGCTGTGTGGAGTGTGCGGTGGAAACCGCGCTGCGGTCCCGCCTCACCACTGGGGGTCGGAAGGCGCCGCGAGGAGTCCACACGTCCTCGTCCGGCTCCTTGAATGACTCTATGCTCATCAGGGAATTCTGCTGAAGCGAACCTCCGGTCGTGGGCGCAGATGGTGCACCAAACGAGAAAGCCTGCTATGCACTGCCGGTATCAGCACTGCACAGCGGTACATATACGGTACGGGGACTCACCTGCGCTGAACCATATACAGCGCTCGTGGGTGCGGCTTGTGACAGCACTGACCTCTCTCGCGGCGCGAAGCTACGTGTCGAACCTCCCCTCGTAACATCGTAGTCACGCTCGCGCTCGCGATCACGACTATGATCAAATGTTAATACTGAAGCAGGGGACCCCATGGGATGTGCTGCCGAGACAGTCGCCGGCGGCGGGGGAGCTGCTGGCGGAGGACCTCGAGCTAACATCTACATTCTGCTGTTTAACGCGAATGAACACATAGCTGATACGGCAAGGCTGTCTCACCGGCATTGAAGCTCCCGCCGCAGGCTTAGTGAAAGTTAGATCGAGTTGCACTAATGGGCAGGAGGGCACCGTCTCACCCTTGTCACAAGCTTCCGTGATACCCCGCGGGACCTAGGCTTCCAATCGTCCAGCTCTTCGTCCAGCTCTTCGTACATACTTTTCTGTTTTTCTTGCTCAGCGACGTGCTGAGCTCGAGAGTAGCCTGTTTGGCTGGATCTATATGCGCTTGCGGGGTCTGGTAGGCTCGCATGAGCATTAAATAACTCGAGCACTCATCAACATACCTTGCTCGTCCGAGGTTTGAAGCGTGTCAGACGTGTCTGTGCCGAAGTCCTCGACCCAATCGTCAGGATCAATGTCCGATTCACCGAGAATCTCGAAGTCGCTCTCGTCAATACTAGTGTCCTCTGTTTCCTTTTCGACGGCGATGAACGACGCGTACTTGCTCGCGAGTTGGAACTCCGTGGAGTACCGCACAATTGCCGCCTTGGCGATCTCTTCACTGCGATAGGAGTCAGCGTTTCCTGCGATACCCAGGCAGTCCAGGAAGCCGTCTTCGAGCTCTTGAATTATCCGGCGCGCCGCGAGCGTGTGCACGAGCGGCGGCCATGGTTTCTGGAAGTTCGCGAGGTGAACAGGGATGTTAAACTCTGTCGCCTGACCATCTGGGGTCTCCCCGCGGAGCACGACAGACTTCGGGACCTGTATAGTCTTGGAGAGTATCGCAGAAACAATGAAACGATTTCCAGGATAAAAATCAGGGACGGTAGAGGGTGCTTGCTGGATGTCTGTAGTGGCTGGAAGCTCGATCGGAAAGCCAGTATCTCCCGTTGGTGCCAGCGGATCGTGGTCTTCATCGAACAGATTTAAAGCAGCCGCTGGTTGAGGTGCCTTGGCAGTATGCTGAGATGCTTTCGCGATGTCGGTACTGAGAAGAGGGTTTGGCCCAGCGTATCCCCAGTCAATACGAACCTTCTGCAGGTTTCCCGAAGGGGGGACGCGACTCGCGCGCAGAAGCCTGGCGCATTTGCCGGCCAGCTCCTCGCTTTGCGTAGTCATAAGGCAGAGTCCATTGCCCGCACGGGCGAGGCCATTGCATAGTGCAGTGGATGCGCCGTGGCCAATACCGAGGGTGAAGAATCGCAAGTACGTGCCGGATGAACTGTCTCCTGTAGATTTGACACTGGTCCTCAGGCTTTCAAGCAACGGGTCGACATCCCAAACCTGATCCAGTGTTAGCGGATGACAAGGGGATCTCTGGGCCATCGTACCTCGCCGTCGGTAAGGACAAACACAGAGGTGGGCTTTGCAGTGGTACGGGTTTTGAGGACAGAGTTGAGCACAGACCCGATCTCCGTTCCTCCCATGTTAGCACCCATCGAATCGGCATGGATTACCTAGTAATCAATCAATTCTACATCAGTTTGCGTGTAGAACACACTCTGAGCGCTGATAACCAACCGCAGTATTCAGCGTGGTCGGCGAGTACGGTTGGCTGGCTTGCCAGAGCGCAGAATGCGAAGTGCCAAAACTGAAGATGTTGAACGTCGTCCCAGTGGCGGGGAGCGACTTGAGCATTACGAGCAGAGCCTTCCTGGCGTAATCGATCTTGCTTCCCTGCATGCTACCACTTCTATCAATCACGAAGATGTACTCCTGGCTGTCGATAGGCTTCACTCCGAAGCGAGGGACCAGCGTCAACGAAAGTGCGACAGAATGCTTGTTTTCCAGCACTTCGGCGACGCAACGCGGGGCATCGACCTTGCTAGCTTTGACGGAGAGAACGAAGTCCTTGTCTAGATATGCACTGGTTGAGGAATCAAGAATCACGCTGCAGCGTGACATCGAATCGTTGCTAGAGTGCGTAGTGACCTTCACTGCGTGAGACGGTGAAACCACTTTCTCAATAGCGGAGGTCATCTGGATTTCTGCCGATAAGGTGAATTGCGCATACTTCGTCGATGAGTCTGTTTTGCGCGTCACCGAAGGGGATGCTCCGTATCTTTCGCCGATGTAGGTTGGCAACGAGAATCGAACTTGCTTCAAGAGCTCGTCGTCAGACAGCTCAGTGACATACTAACAGGGACGTGTCAGATAGACAAGAGAGCCAAGCGACTATCCGTACCGTAAGAGTAGTCTTGATCGCCTGTCTAGGTGGGATAGCACCCATTGACATTTCGAAGACTGTAACAAAGTATTGGCATAATCTGCGACGCTTCTTGTTGCACGCTTACCATCTGAAGTAGCTTGTGCAAGCAGCCCGGCGAACTTGTTATGCGCCACCGCTTCTTTGTACTCAATCTCAGCTCGATGGGCTTCCTTGACTTCGCCCACAACTACTCGGCCGTCTGCAGTGCGCATTTCAAAAGCACACACCGCGCCGCCAGCCGGCACAGGAAAAACATAGCGAGCTGTAGCTGAGGCGCCACTGCGGTTGGTGTTGGCGAAGTGCTGCGTCAAGGTGACACGAGCCAAGACTGGATGACTCTGATCAGGATGAGGGAGACTTGTCCATCTCGGCGAGACTCACCATCAGTTATATGGACTTGCGCAGACACCGATAGCAAAGGGAGATACGCTTCACGCCCGGAGGGCAACAATAAGCAACATCCGGATCGAGGTGGGGACGCCATGGCTGGAGGGTGGTCCGAGTCGAGGAGGAAAGATGGAGGCACGCTGCGTTAGGCACATATATATGCTGCGTAATACCGTGGCATGCATCATCACAGCACAAGGCTTGTTGTTACTGTATGTGGATTCTAGTGGACTACGCAAGCACCGGACTTGAGAGATTGACGCTTCGGATAACGCAGATATGAAGTGGAACCGTCTCTGCATTACGGCAGAACTAAGCACAGCCCTAGCACTGGCCGTGAGCTGATACTTCTGGAAGCCATGTCACAGTACTGTTCAAGCGTCTCAGAGACAGAAACCTGACTGAATACCTGGGCTGTGAGTTGGAGCCAGAAGACCAGAGAACCTACTATGAGGGCGACAAATTGGACATGAGTGGGAACATAACCTGGAATCGACAGCCCTTGTACTATCAGCATGTACGACGCATGCACACACAACGCACAACACGTACCTACATGGTACCCAGGAGCTATCACGATGGTAACTTAGCTTTACACTAAAGTCGAATCGATGAAAGAGCAGAGACACATTCGACTGTGATCAGGCCAGGATCAGACTCAGCTGAATGGATGCTGTGCGACATCATAAGTTACTACACATCCACCGCAGGCCCCTAACCCACTCGGTCCTCCTCCTTGATAATTTCAACAGCCGGCTCGATGCACGTTGTTCGTGTACGTGTACATCGAGATGCTTATACCGACACACAGGGTTATAAACAGCCTCACCTTCACCACACATTCGCACACGTCGAGCTAGCAACGCGAATGACCAATGACGCCGGACTCAATACATAACCAGCAAGTCACGATGGGGAGAAGCGAATTAGGAGCTTCATACAGAGGCATACCACATAAGATCAACCCGTTTGCCCCACGCGATGGACGCCACAATGAATGTGAAAGACAAGAGGTGGCGCTCAGTGGTGACCTTTCTTGGCTCGGTCGATATGTGCTCTGAGTTTTCGTTGTTTGTCCCTGAGCGACGCCTTCTTCTTGCTTCGTACCGCACCGCTGGAAAGGATCATCATGATTGGCTTGTTCCTTGCCTTCTCTCTGTTCGTGGAACTGCTCGGCGCGGCTTTATTTTTCTTGCCCTTGAGCGAGCCGAACTTCTCGCGTCCCTCTCGGCCCTTCTCGATGGATGCTATGCGCTCGGCGTAGTCGGACTTGGCCTTCTTGCGGGGCCCGAGAATGTCGTCCTCGGAGATGAAGGTTTCCGCGTTGTTACCTGTTTGCATAATCCTCTTACTTGCCTCTAATGTGGCGAGCTTCCGTTTAGCAGAAGAGCCACCGCCTCGCTCTACAGCATCGGACGCCGCTTGGAGGCGGAGATCATTGAGCAGCGCGAAGTCGGCGGGAGTGAGGATCTGCGCGAAAGGGCCTAAGTTCGGAGCAGGCCCAAACATGACTGAAGTGACCAACCTTAGTGGTAGCGAGCAACGATATCCTCGCAGCGGCAGTCTCGTCTGCTTTGGCTGGGGGTTCGTCCTCGCCTTTAGCCTTGCTCTTGCCTTTCGCATCCTTCTTGTCCGCCTCGTCTTCACTGTCGCTGATGTCTAGGTCGTCTTCTCCGCCTGAGTCGACGTCAATCCACCCTTCAGAGACATCCGATTCTTCGGACGAGTCAGACTCAAGGTCCCAGCCTTCCCAACCAGCCTCATCATCGCCTTCCGCATCGGACGCCACGCCTTCCTCTTCACGTAGCTTCTGTAAGTGATCTTCGAGAAGCTACGGCGTATGAGTCAACTCCATGCAACATGACGCAAGACAACATGATACATACCACGAGGCCCTCGATATCCACCGCTGCATCGGTGCTGTGACCGAACGGCAGTGGTTGGCTGCCGCCAGCTACGTTCATACTGGCTTCCTTGCCACGCTGCCGCCGTTTGAGCATTCCGGGGTTGACTTCCCGGAATAGCTGAAGCACACCACGCGCTGCCGCAGTGACGGCTTTGTCCCGGCTCTTCCGATATTCAATCAAGTCTCCCAGCAGGTCCTCCTCCATAGCCCACGGCTGACGTCTGCATACCTCCCGGATCGCGTTCAGACCGGCCGCGATGACTTCGCTCCCTACACCGGGATGTACAAATTCCTGCGCGAGCTTCCGGACCACTGGTGTTAGGGCGTCAGGTGGCGTGAGGTCGTGAACGGACTGCGCGAGCGCGACCAGGATCGAAGGGATGCGCAGCTGATGGTAGGTGAGGTACTTCACGATATACGTGTAGAACCCGAGCACGCAGAGCTTGTGCGAGCCCATGACACGCGAGAGAAGATGCATGATGAGGATCTTATGGTCGAGGGAGAGACGTTTGTCGTAGCGATTGAGATTGTCGTAGAGCTTCTCGCCGAATGTCTGAGAGTCGTTGAGCAACTGGATGGCGGGGAAGTTAGGTGTTATCGCGTCCGCCTTCTTCTTTTGTTTCTGTTGACAGCGTCGTGAGTAGCGTCGTTGCCGCGGTATGATTAGCTACTCACCGACTTAATGGACTTGATCGTCTTCCTAATCTTTTTGTCTCCGCTCCTAGTCTTCTTGTTGATCTCCCTACGATGTTGTAATCCCTTCACATCAGGTTCCTGAAAATGATGGTGATGAGGCACAAGTCGATGGATAGCGAACAAGGCTTACGTCTTCCGACTCGTCGTCACTGTCCTCCTTCTCTTCGTCGCTCCCGAGGAAGAAATGCAGGGATGCACTCTGAACCTTGACAACCGGGTGGAAACATCCAAGCGCGACGATGGAGACGGTTTTCGCGTCATTCCTTCAAACATCTAGCTCAACACTGCGGTACCCGACCGATGTGAGAACGAACACACCAGATACCCTTCCTCCACAACTCCTTCGTCAGGACAATAGCCCACATAGCATCGCCGCCATTCTGCGCAGGACCCGCAGCGGCACGGAGCTTGCCCTTGTCGCCGACGACCTCCTGGTCCATGCCGCGCTCTACCATGCCGAAGAGCATCGCCTGTACGGCTCGGTTGAGCTTGTGGTTCTTCGTACGGAGGTTCGCGGTCCGAATGTCAGAGAGGATGGTTCGCCGAATGAAGGCACGGAGAGATGATGAGGTGGTACGCGGAAGCAGGGGGAAAAGGGTCTTGAGCAGTCTCAATTCCCGGTGTTGGTCAAGATGTTCATTGGAAGGAAACGAGGGTATACGCACTCAATGGAACTTATTACATCCTTGTTCCTAAGCATGACCAAGTTTTGTACAAGGGACTTCCGGGTATCGGGCGAGAGCGTGCCATAATTTTCAAGCAGCATCGTGGATAGGTGGGACGGGAACTCGGCGGTCTCTTTGGAGTAACATTGCGACACCTGCACAGGTTACATATCAGTTGCACGCAAACCAAGCAGGAAGCCTACCTGAGCGATGAAGGCTACCAACTCCCTGAAGTGTTGCGCCTGTTCATCCGGGTTTATGAGGAAGATCTGGCGAATACTATTGTAGTGGTTCCATTGCTGTAGAAACTCCTCCTTGTACGCCGTCGGGTCACGTTTGATGAGATTTTGGAGCTGAGGGAGATTGGATGTAAGCAAGACTCCGCGACCCATGGCGAGCGGTGGTAGCAGTGCAGTTGTGAACAGGCGCTTGTGGCGAAAAGTTCAGTCTGCACTGTTTGAAACTTTCCGCTTTTGGTCAGGTACGAAGCTGTTGGACAACAACACCAAACAATCAGCTCCGTACTACCGTGACCTGGCTTTACTGTTACATAACTTGAACTTAGGCATGATATGTAAACTAGTAAGACACCTTCGGAGGTGGTCGAGTTCCCCTGTGGCGGCTGTGATCATTGCTTCCTAAGGCCTCGTCCCGCATGAACATCACAATCGCCGTTCTTCAGGCTTCCAGGACGGGCATGCGTGATGCCGAATCCGCAAGTTAATAATATATCAAGATTCAAAATGTCCAGGCCTCAACGTTCAACATTTCAACCCCAGGACTTCGGCCTTGGAAGACGATACATATGTCCGCAGACAATCCGCAGAAACGTGCGGACGAACACTGGGCGAACGTAATCCTCTGAGGCAAACCTGTGTTGCAGCGCCCATGCTCGCGTCGATATTTCCGATGCTATCCCCCTGGAAGGCGAGAGGATCGAGTATAGTGGCGGTGCAATCAGGTCTGTCCGTCGAGGTAATCTTCATGCCAGTCTCTCATGTGTTGCGATCTCAGTCACCCAGAAGCGTTTGCTTTCACTATGTCGCCGCGTTGGTGAACGTGATTGTCCTACGTACATCCCGTCTTCACGAGTCCGACGTTGTGTGTAGCGCGGTTCTGGATGCCACTTGTTACTCGTGCTGTAGAGACGTTCCGCACTGTGTCGACCTGTACGGTCTGCACTGAGTTTGCTGCAGCGCATGCGGTGACGTTCAGGTGACTACTAGTAGCTCATGACATTGCATGCTAATGGTATACATCGTATGAGATCCAGAGAACAGAGCATCTGCGGGAAACATCAGGATACTATTAGAATTAGTGCATATCAGACATGGAGGTGGCCGAGCACTCACAACACAGCAGTCCTCGCGCTTTGCGAACTCGCGGTCGCGATACAGGTGGTAGCATATACACTTAGCGTTCACTTCGCGGCTTCCTGTTTGACGTCGGAATGGCATGTACCCGTTGAGAATACTGGACGACGCACAAGAATTCTTCATGCAGCGGCCGCCGGCGCTTCTGCAGCAGCGGCCGGTGTGGTTGTCGGTTCTTCAACATCCGTCTCACTCTTCTCAACTGTAGGGCTGGACGGCGCTCTTCCGCGACCACGTCCTCCGCCACCGCCACGCACAGCACCACGGATGCCGACGGAAGGACGAGATCCATTTGCCGCCTCATCGCCCTCCTCAGTCTTCTTGGACGACTTCCAGTCGCTTCGAGTCGGTTTCCCGGCATCCCACTCACGGTTCTGAATCTATCCACCCGTGAGGCTCAGTTGTCGAAGTAGAGGGCAAATAGTGCACACCTTGTCCAACTTCCGGCGAGCGTTCTGCTCGCGGGTGCGGTCGATATTCTCCTGCACTTTCTTGGTCTTTGCTGCCTTGACACGATCTACCTCCTGGGTCTTCTTGAATGCGTCTTCGTCCGCTTGTACATCCTAAGCAGAATAAGGTGGCGTCCTTTACAAAAGGCCGCCTGAACACACCATACGCCTTTGCTTAATCTTCTCGTTCTGCTCCCGAATGCGCGTCATGCGTTCTGCGAGCTCCTCCTCGCTCAACTTGTCCTATGTGACGTGAGCACATCGACTTTCTAGCTCGCCCACTTGAAGGCGACATACACGCTGGGTACCACCAGTCTTGACACGCTCTGGATTGATATACGGGTTCTTCTTCTCTCGCTGCTGAGACGGCTCGCCCTTCTCCTTCTTCTTGGGCTTAGAGGTCGGTGACTTTGTCTCCTCCTCATCCCCCCATCCGGGAGGCGCATCCCATTCGTCATACATATCCCCTGGCTTGGGATCTTCCGTCTTCTCGGAAGGTTCAGACCCAGCCTGAGACTTGTCATCTTTGGACGCTGCGGGCGAGCCAGACGATTCGGGGTCGTCCTTGATCTTGAGGGCGTCCAGATCGAGGCCGAGCGAGTTGGCTGCAGCGTCAGCTGGGTCGGTCATGACGGTGGTAGACAAGCTCAAATGACAATGTGAGGAGCCCAGTCCAGATGGATCGGTGTCTGGTCTGAGCAGAGACGCGGCGCGTGCGGCGGATGTTCGCGCCTCGGCGTGCCTGCGGGAGAGGCGCCGCTATCGATCGTAGTATATATTACAGACGGCACTCCTCCCCTCCTCATACCCCTCCTCCTCCTTACCACTGCACACCATGTCCCTCTCCAACAAGCTCTCCATCACCGACCTCGACCTCAAGGGCAAACGCGTCCTCATCCGCGTCGACTTCAATGTCCCGATGCAGGATGGCAAGGTCACAAACCCCGCGGTATGTCCGTATTCGATCATACATCGGACAATCGGTATTCACAGTCACGCAGCGTATCGTCGCGGCGTTGCCCACGATCAAGTATGCCCTGGAGAACGGTGAGCACCAGTCCAGCCCGAAGGAGGTGGGACGCGTCTCACTGCCGATGCACAGGGGCCTCCAAGGTCATCCTGATGTCACACCTCGGCCGTCCGGACGGCAAGGTCGTGGCCAAATACTCCCTCCAGCCCGTCTCGAAGGAGCTCGAAAAACAGATTGGCAAGCCCGTCATCTTCGTCAACGACTCCGTCGGGCCCGACGTCGAGAAGGCTGTCGCGGGGGCGCCGGAGGGCTCCCTCGTCCTCCTCGAGAACCTGCGGTTCCACATCGAGGAGGAAGGGTCCGCGAAGGACAAGGAAGGCAAGAAGACCAAGGCTGACCCCGCAAAGGTTGATGCCTTCCGCGTGGGCCTCACGAAGCTCGGCGATGTCTACGTGAACGACGCGTTCGGTACGGCCCACCGTGCGCACTCAAGTATGGTCGGCGTGAAGTTGCAGCAGCGTGCCGCCGGCTTCCTCATGAAGAAGGAGCTCGACTACTTCGCAAAGGCCCTTGAGCACCCCGAGCGTCCCTTCCTGGCAATCCTTGGCGGTGCGAAGGTGTCAGATAAGATCCAACTCATTGAGAATATGCTCGACAAGGTCAACTCCCTCATCATTTGTGGTGGCATGGCCTTCACCTTCAAGAAGACGCTCGAGAACATTCCGGTATGCTAACGCCACAGTGTGGAGTTAGTCCGTAGCTGACGGTGGACGTAGATCGGCAACTCGCTCTTCGACCAGGCAGGCTCAGAAAAGGTCGCTGTGCTGGTAGAGAAGGCGAAACAGCGCAACATCAAGATTGTCTTCCCGGTGGACTTCGTTACGGCTGACAAGTTCGACAAGGATGCGACGGTGAGTCCCTTGGTCGCCGACACTGAACCGTGCTCATCTCTGCTGCAGACTGGCACCGCAGACGATGTGAGCGGCATTCCCGACGGGTGGATGGGTCTCGACGCGGGCCCGAAGAGCAATGCGCTCTTCAAGACGACCGTGCTCGAGTCCAAGACAATCCTCTGGAACGGGTGAGCAGCGTCGATATGACATCATCGTTCAATTAATTGATCGGGCCGAACCCAGTCCTCCGGGCGTCTTTGAGTTCCCCAAGTTCGCGGCAGGCTCGAAGGCGCTCCTCGATGCGACCGTCGAGGCCGCGCAGAACGGCGCGACGGTCATCGTGGGGGGTGGTGATACCGCTACGGTCGTTGCCCAGCACGGCCTGGAGGACAAGCTCAGCCATGTCAGCACTGGTGGCGGTGCTAGTCTCGAGCTCCTTGAGGGCAAGGTGCGTGATACTGCAGTACACCGATTACGAGGCATGATGGTAATAGCTCTGGATTTATAGACTCTGCCTGGTGTTGCGGAGCTCAGCGAGAAGTAAGCGATCAATGCTGTGTCAAGAACGCAGAATAGAACTTGAAGGCGGCGTGTAAGTGTATCAAGCAGAAATAAATGATTTAGACTACTGTTGTTGTAGCATCCTAATGACGACCTTCACGTTGTTCACGCTTCCGTGCGCATGTGCAGGGTACTTGTGTCTGGGCCGCTGAGCCTGAAGTCGCCCAGACACTCACCGACGATTCGGCAGTCGAATCCGCGAGCTGTGCACTATGGCGCACTTTGCCTAGCGTGAGCCTCACGAAACAGGATCGGTGCGATTTGGGTGCGATACATATCCCTTGGAAGCACGACGTCGACGTGCGGGAACCTTGTGTGATTGCGACTACTTACAATACTTACTATTGATTAGTAGATACTGACAAATGTAAGCGTGCGAGAGTCTGCGTTGACACGTGAATACAAAGTTAACTTACTATGGTGATCGGGGTAAGTACAGGCATTATTAGACGGTCAGTATCATAGTAAGTACCTTCTGACACGCGCGGAGCGCGGAATCTGCTTGCTAACGTCCGTCACGCTCCTCCCGAGTTACGCACGACGTCGAGCTCACGCAGTTCGTGCATCCGAGCATCTTCGTTAAGGTCTAAGCCATGGCCCGCGCCCGCCGTCGCAATGGTAAGAAGACACCCGAGTCGGGCGCTGCAGACGAGCCAGAGGAGGGTGCTGCTGAGGCTGCCGAGACGACCGAGGAGACCGCTCAGGCCAGCGACGATTCGTGTCCTGCATGCGCCGGCCGCAGCACAGAGCAGTGGGCGGCGGCGGACAAAGAGAACTGGGTCCGCTGCGACGCCTGCAAAACATGGTACCACTGGCGCTGTGCGGGCGACGGTGGCGAACTCGAAGCGATCGACAAATGGTCAGACCCATCGTCATGTACCCTGATGAGCCTTGGCCGTGCTGACGAAGGCTGCGTAAGATAGGTTCTGCAAGGCGTGCATGGACCAGGATCCTGCGCGGACGATCACAATGAAGCCGCCGGCACGCAAGTCGGCGCGCAAGAAGACGCAGCGCGACTATGCCGGCCTGCATAATGTGGGCGCGGAGGCGGGGCCGGACAAGTGGATACGCATCCTCGAGGGCAAAAAGATCAGGGAAAACCCATTCCGGCGGATGAAGGGCTCGGAGGTGGGCGTGGAATGGCTGGAGAGCGACGAGAGCGCGATGAAGGAGCCGATTGTGATCGAGAGTCCTGAAGGTCTGGGGATGAAGATGCCGCCGAAGAGCTTCACGGTGGAGGACGTCGCAGAGGTCATAGGGAAGGACTTCCCGGTCGAGGTCATCGGTGCGTCTCTCGTCTTCGGTGGGGTTAGAGGTACATTCTCACGTGCGCGTCTTCCAGATGTCGCTACACAGTCGAACACCCCCGGGTGGACTCTGGGCAAGTGGGCAGAGTACTACGCTCAGGAGCCATCCGTCCGTGACAAGATCAGGAATGTCATCTCGCTCGAGATCTCAGGAACTGAATTGGCGGACAAGGTGCTTCCTCCGAGGCTGGTGCGTGAGCTGGATTGGGTGGAGAAGTTCTGGCCTAGTACGAAGAAGGGCAGAGGAAATGCATACCCAAAAGTGCAGCTGTATTGTCTGATGGGCGTTGCCGGTGCTTGGACTGTGAGCACTCTACTACAAGAGTCTGTTTCGTCTCGCTGATGGCCTACAGGACTGGCATGTCGATTTTGCTGGCTCTTCCGTCTACTACCATATCTTGCACGGCACCAAGGTGTGGCTAGTCATACATCGTCAACCACAGTCTGACTGACCAGCCTCGTTCTACAGGTATTCTATTTCATCCGGCCGACTCCTGCGAATCTGCATGCGTACGAAAGATGGTCTGGCACAGAGATGCAGAATCATTCGTGGTTGGGCGACCTATGTGACGAGGTATACAAGGTCGAGCTACACGATGGTAACACGATGATCATCCCGACGGGATGGATTCACGCTGTGGTAAGTCTCCGTTGATGATGAGAAATCGTTGACTAAAAGCAGTCCAGTATACACCCGAGGACACGCTCGTATTTGGGGGTAACTTCTTGCATTCATACAATGTCCCAGTCCGTGAGTAACCTGTTCGCAGTCATTATCGCCATACTGAGTTGCGAGTAGAGCTCAAGGTACGCGAAATCGAGATCACTACGCATGTACCGAAGAAGTTCAGGTTTCCTCATTTCGTCAAGTACGTTCATCACACATATCATAGCCTGTCTTACATTTTGAACATCGGATAGACTGTGTTGGTACGCTGCAGAGAAGTATCTCCGCGACCTAAAAGCCAAGGAAGAGTTCTCTCCGCGTGTACTTGAATCTGTCGAAGCACTAGTGGACTTCCTGGTCGGCGAGGCGCGGGCGATGGAGCGCGGCACGGACCACGCGAAACGCGAGGCCAAGGAGCAGGTACCAGGCGATCGTGTGAAGGACGCGCCAGCACTCGCGCGAGAGCTGCGCTGGCGCGTGCGCCTTGCGCGGGAAGAGCCCAGCGATGACGAGGGTCGTGGGCACAGAAAGTCGCTCAAGGCCAACGGCAGCGCCGATAGCCTGTCCAATGGTACGAGCGCGAAGCGGAAGCGCTCTCCTGTCGCCGAGGATGCTGGGATGTTTCGGAACTTCAAGCCCAGGCTGTGGGAGCGCGTCGTTACTGTGCCCGTCGAGCGCGAGAGCCGTGTGGTCAAGGCTCGGCGGCCAGCGCCGGGCGGCGAAGACTGGGAGGCGCGCTGGGCGGAATGGAAGGATAGTGTGGAAGGGAAGACTGAAGAAGGGACAGAGGAGGTGCAGGTAGAGCGCAGAAAGGACGTGATAGTAAAGGTGAGGAGGACGGGGAAGGGGATTGAGAGGCAGCGGGTGGAAAGGGTCCTTGAACAGTGGGTGTGGGAAGGCAGAGAGGAGAAAACGGAGGTCAAACCTCCAGTGGTGAAGGAGGACGGGGATGTGGATATGGCGGACCCATCGGCCGTCGCCATCGCAGAGGGAGCGGGGTCGACGAGCAAGGCGGGTCTAGAGGGAGGAGTCCAGGAGGATCGTCCAGAGGCTTCGGGTCTGAACGGGCATGCGATGGACATTGTGGACACCAACGACACCGTGCCCCTGGACCAGCCTCAAGCAGCAGCAACATAACGTTCGCCCTATCATTATTGTCTACACTTTGTATGGTATTCTCGTCAGTTGTCGGAACTTTGCACGCCCTCGTATGGCTTAGACTCGTCGGAGGAATATTGTCTTCAATCCGCGCAACCAAGAATAGCAGACACGCTTCTATGCGGCGCTTGTCCGGTGATCGCCTTCACTAATCGCCACTAATGAACGCTTCCTCTGAATACTTACATTCACTGTAATAACAGTAAGTAGCTGGTTATACCGCCCGTAATCGCGGGAATAAGGACGATCATCAGCGTTCTCAGAGTTGCGACCTCGTGTGTCTGCTACCTTGACCTCCACCATCTCCGTCTCTGTCCTCATACCCATCGCCGACTGCAGGTGCGGCGACAACGAAGGCCAGCGACATCATGGCCGACACACAAGCGTACCCTGCGCAGGCGCAGGCTGACCCAGGGTTCGCTCAGCACCACGCCATGCCACCAGATGGTCAGCATCGCATGCCTGTCCATCGCTATACCCAAGACGACGTCGCCGCTGCCCACCATTACCAACAACATCCCAATGGTGAGCCCTATAGTGCAGTCGTCGTCCCCATACGAGTCTCAAGCCGTCGCGCGATGCGGCTAACGCGTAGCGAACCCACTCATGCGGCATCAGAACCACTCCGTGCCTTCGCTACCATCGCAGCAACACCACCACCAAGAGCCTGCCCCGCCCATGCCGCCGCCGTACGAGGAGAACGACGTCCTCGGCAGTCTGAACAACCTCCGAATAAGTGACCCGCATGCGCGCGGGACCACGCCCCTCCAGCCTGGCTATGATCCCATACAGCGTGCAGGCACGTCCATGTCCGTTCGCTCCGCCATGTCAGTGCAGACCCATCCGCACATGGTGCCACATCAACATTACAGCCTACCGACATCGCCCGATCAGGCAGTGCGTCGGATGCCTCCCGGACGGCCACAGGATCCCAACAGACAGAACGACGTCAATTCCGTGCATTCGGTACAATCTGTGGGTAGCGGGGGCAGCGGTAGTGCGTACAACAGTGTTTACAGCGATCACACGCAGGATTCATTCGCGTACGACGGATCGGCGGAGACGGACGGTACGAGCCTGTATTCGCATGACGACTCGATGTACCAGTACCCTCAAAATGGCGGTGCATATCCGCCCCATGGCGGCCAAGGCGGGTATCCAGCGCGAAACCTCTCTCTGCACGGTCACGGTCACCCTGGGTACGCCATGCAAGGACCACCTCCCCAGCAGCAGAACTTTAATAGCTTGTATGCCGCCGCTTCCGACGTGCTGGGCATGGGGCCCCCTCCTGGTGGACCTGCTCCGCCTCCGCCTGGGGCATACATGCCGCCACAGCAATACTATGGCGGCAACGGCCCATCCCCGGTGTCACCTCAACCCCCACCGAATTTCCTCGGTGCTGCCCCGTACCAGCCCGGTGCCCCTTCGATGTATAGCGCCTCGCAAACATCGCTTACACGCGGCCCTTCGAATGCTTCCTCAATGCAACCGCCTCCTGAACCGATCGAAGAGGAGGTCGAGTTCCGCAACAGACCACCGATTGCTCGATCTGGCACAGCTGCTTCCGTCGCCTTGCGCACGCAGAAAACGAAAGCCATCGATCTCAGTGCACCGCCCTTCACAAAGGCGTACATCGACGAATACCGGACGCGTATCAAGGACGATCCGGATCCGGAGTCACACTTCTTGTACGCCAAGTACCTCATCGAGGCGGCGAAGAAGTTCGGCGCGGATGCAAAGGACCAGCGAAACGTGAAGAAGTTCCGGGACGCACTGATCGGTGAATCGCTGAAGGTCATGCGACGACTGGCGACGCAGGGTCAGGCGTACGACGAGGCGCAGTTCTTCCTGGCGAATTGTCACGGCACGGGCATGCTTGGCCTGCCTGTCGACCACGAGCGTGCATATCATCTATACCTCCAGGCGGCGAAGCAGAATCATGCGGCTGCTTGCTACCGTGTGGCAGTGTGCAACGAGATCGGGGCCGGCACGCGACGGGAGCCCCAGCGGGCGCTCGCGTTCTATCGCAAGGCGGCCTCGTTGGGCGACACTGCTGCGATGTACAAGCTTGGGTGTATACTGCTGCGAGGCAATTTGGGGGAGCAGGCAAATCCGCGCGAAGCGATCGGTTGGCTGAAGCGGGCTGCGGAGCAGGCGGACGAGGAAAACCCTCATGCGCTGCACGAACTCGCGATGCTGTACGAAGCGCCCAACAGTGGTGTCGTACCGTACGACCCGGCATATGCGAAGGAGCTCTACTCCCGCGCTGGACACCTTGGGTACACCCACTCGCAGTACAAGCTCGGGCAGTGCTACGAGTACGGCAGCTTGACGTGTCCCGTCGACCCGAGGAGGTCGATTGCATGGTACACCAAGGCTGCGGAGAAGGGCCACTCGGAGGCCGAGCTTGCGCTGAGCGGATGGTACCTGACTGGGAGCGAGGGCGTGCTCAAGCAGAGCGATTCGGAGGCGTACCTGTGGGCGAGGCGGGCGGCGAACAAGGGCTTGAGCAAGGCGGAGTACGCGGTAGGCTACTACGCTGAGGTGGGCATTGGTGTCAAACAGGACATCGAGTTTTCCAAGCGGTGGTATATGCGTGCTGCAGGTACGTTTGCGACTTGTCGGGATTGAATTGTTCTCTGATGCCTTTTTTGTCTACAGCACAAGGCAATAAACGAGCGATGAACCGTCTCACGGAGATGAAGCGCTCTGGCAACAAGCGAGCAAACATGGCGCGGCCTACTCGCCAGGAGGCAAAAGACGAATGTGTGATTGTGTAGCGACTGGGCATGCTGGGTTGACTGGGACGATTTCTTGGGGTCGCGCATTCGGTCCTTGGTTGTGAGATGTTTCCGCGTGTTATCTGTGTTCGCATTCGCTCCACGCCGTAGTCGTTGATCTTATCTAATCTCCTTACTTGTACTACTCTTAATCCTGACCTTGTACGTACACCATGGATGACAGTGATGTGAGCTGGACTCCCGCGCGCATATCCCCCTCCGAAGCCCTCTGACCAGCGCGACCAGAAATCCGTGCTTGAGCACCTCGACTTGCAGCAGCTTACGTGCCTCAATGAGGACGAGGAGCACACCTTCAAGTCCATCGTCTCCAACAGGGCGAAAAACACGAGTGGCGGCACATACCTGCTGAGCGATGTTGACGAGCAGCTGCTCCTGAACATCACAGTAAGTCTCGCCGTATCATGCGAAAGTTCCCATGACTGGATTTGCGTTTAGTTCAACCAAACCGTGCGGATACGGTCGATTGCCATCCAGGCGTCGAGTGTGGCACAGGCCCCTCGAAAAATCAAACTCTTGATCAACCGCCCTACGATCGGATTCGATGATTTTTCCGACGGCGAGTTCACCCAGGAGTTTGAGTTGACCGAGGACCAAGTGCAGGAGGGAAAGCGGGTCCCGCTGAGATACGTCCGGTTCCAGGCAGTAAATGCTCTGCATGTGCGTCAAAACGACCTGCCTCGCATTCTGTTCTCACTTGGTTTCCAGATCTTCGTTGAATCCAACCATGGAGGCGAAGACCAGACGCGGATTGACGCGATCGATGTTTACGGGACAGCTGTAATGTACGTGCACCAGTACAAGCGTTTCACGGCGATGCCTGACGTTGCCATTCACAGAGGGACGAGGGATCTCAGCGGTCTCAAGAAAGCGGACGACGAATAGAATATGGTTTACCGTAAGCATGTTGCATCTGTACGACTACAATTGCAAAGACAGTCTCCGAATAATCATTTGCACGGCGCGTTGCATTCTTGTCCATCCCTGACTCAGACCCCCGTGTGCAGCATTGACATGCCATGTCCGTTTCGTGATGTACGACGTGGACTCCATCCAGGCTGAGAGATGTGTAGACAGGGTCTTTCAATGGTACATCCAGCCCATAATTGGAAGATTGAACCCTTAAGTGGTCTCGCTCAAGCTTGAGGTCGAGGTATTAGCGTCTGGAGTCTGGATGTCGTACTAGACAGGATTACATTCGTATATTGCACTTGAATACACTCAATACAACAAACACATGCTTGCAAGACATACAATAGATGTGATCATAGAGGTATTGTAAAAACTACCGGTGCATTCGTGTGTGGGCGATTAGGTCTTAAGTCGGGAATCGGGTAAGTAACAGTATGCATGAGTACTTCAGTTAGTAATACAAGAGGGGTATATGTTTCCGCGGTCGCAGCTCCCGTTGTGAAAGCGTTGAGCAGAGGCTAAGAAACTACGAATCTTCATCCACGTCGTGTCCATTCTCGTCTACGTCCGAATCGACGAATTCGTCTGCTTCCCGGCGTACCGAATATAACCGGAAGCTACAAGAGTTGGAGTTTGGCCGCACGGAGTGCATCACATAACGAACTGGGCGTACCGAAGGAGACCTCGACTGTGTAGCTTGGGGAATAGTGCCACGAACTTGTCGTGCAACAATTCCTCGTGAACGGGATGGCCGGTGTAGTCGAAGATGTGCCACGCCACATGCTTGAGCCTGCTCATATGCGGCTGCGTGAGGATGTCGTCGATGTCCGTGCATTGTTTGCTGTTGATGCCTACGAGGAAGGCGGTGAGGATGTCGGTGGAGGCACCGATCTTCATGTGGATGTTGGCTTCGCGGAGCTGGTCGGAGCACTCGGACAACAGCGGCGCGAGCCAGCTGCAATGATATGTATCCTTGTAGAACGCATGGATCTTCAACGTGAATATTTGAAGATTGCGGTTGTCCTTAAGGCTCATGAATGCAGCTGCATGTGATCGTCAGTACGTGATCTATCCTGTGATGTGCTCTGACAACTCACCGGCACCAGCGAAGTCATCAGCGTTCTCCTCTGTGTCTACCACGGTCCCCAGACACAATTTGAGGTATCGGAGAGAGAGACCGGTGGCATGTAGAAGCTGCTTAACTCCAAGATGCTGTAGGTTGCGCAGCTCCATCCGCCCGATGGACAGCGCATCGATCCCAGCCGCCCGATCGAGGTCTGGGTTCGCGAAGAACTCGATGAGCGTTTGCGTATCCTCAAGCGACATCAGTGAAGTCTTCAGGGACACTCTGACGGGTTTGGCAATGACCCTGTGTGGGTGGATGGGTTCTTGATCATGCCGGACCCACCGCAAGTGGGAGCACGTTAACCACTCGAGGTTTGGCAACGAGTCAAGAAACTTCGCGAAGTGATTCGCAGAGCTGAAGGTGACGTCCCGCATGTAGAGGGTCGTCACAGACGTAAACTGTCCCAGAGCGGAGTAGAACAGCTCTGGCTTGACAGTGTAGAACCACGAGGGGTTCATGCAGCATATGTGGAGTTTGCGCAGTCGTGGCAGCTTCCTTGCGAAGATGAGTGGAAAAGCCGCCAAGGGACCGCTCGCCCGAGGAGGTCTCAACTCGTCTCGAGTCGCGCGACCGGACAGGTACACGGACTCTACGAGGGGTAGAAGGGTCGGGTTCGACTCCAGGAGCTTTACAAAGCCCTGAAGCAGATCCCACCTCATGATAGCGAGATGCCTGCAGAAGACCGCTCGGCTCATGGTGTAGAACGCTTTGCACACGAGCGCGCAGGCGAGGAGGGCTCTGCGCTTCCGGATGTCTTCCACGTCCGGTTCACTTGCTAGCTGCTCGATGACATTCTCGCAGATCTCCACGGGTAAAGAGGGTACGGAGTTCTTCGCGACGACCATGAGGGACCCACCCTTGACATCCATGCAGGTCAGCACGCGTACGACGTCAAGCATATGAAGACACTCGCCATGGGCTCATACGTGGTGGTGAAGCTCATGTCTTGATGACATTCGCAACGTAGTTAAAGAGCTTCGGGTGGTAGTTCAATAGGAGAAGGAAGGGGGAAGGGAGACTGAGCGGTCTGATACTTATAACACGCGCAGTCATGAGCTGACTCGGACGGAACCGGACTTGGCCTTACGCGCGGCCCAAGGAGGGGCCACTGGACAGGCGGTGCAACCGTAGTCTGTGGTTTAGACGTCGCTGCACAGCCCGGGAACAGCGTGAACTCTGTATGACAGCGCTGCGAGCTTCTGACAATGGCAACGAGCCATTGACCCAAGATTTCTGGAGGCGTCCAGGTTCAGTACCTATACTTTATGTGGACTGGTATGCTCACAAAAACAGATATACAACGTTTGGAGTTCAGCGTCCTCACAAGTCGAACAGACTCGGATCCGCGGTCACATAGCAGTTCTACCGCATTAATGGTACAGATATGTGGCTGTAACGGTACGACATCAATTGCAGCCGCCTCAGGCTGGACCAGGATACCGGTCCTGAGGGATCTCGGGCGTCTGGAGTCGGATAAGAAATACATTGCACTGTACCTAAATACATACATATGGCTCAGTACCCAAAGCAATTGTGCGGTCGACGTAAGTGTTGAGGCCGGGAGGACGTTGCCAGTGAGGACTCGGTGACAACTCGGTAAAGACCCGACGATGATTGTACTCAGCGCTCCTGCGCAGCCACTTTCTGGTCCCGAAACTTCAGACTCAGATAGCCTCGGGCAGATGGAGTTGTGACCGGCGATTATCGGAGACTCAACTAACGCCACACACGCGTCAGACGCGTCTCGCGCTTTCGGAGTCCCCCACGATCAAGTCAGACGTTCAACACGATATCCGAGTACAGTATCCTGGTCAGAAGCTTCGGTATCTCGGTAGCTACTGCAAGTCAACTCAGCAAAATGAGCTCGGAGAAGTCAATTCCCAAACGTGAGCTGAACAGACGTTATGGTTATGAGCGTGCTAGAGCCGATGACAATTGCTGCGCCACAGCGTCTGGTTCCAACAAACGGTCGTCTGATGCTCTTGAAGATGCGGAACGAAACGGACCGAGGAAGGCTTCGAAACGTAACTGCTCTCTTGTACTTTCTAATAAGGTGGTAGCTGACGAATACACGAACAGTATTCCCGATCTTCGAGAAGAAGTCGGCCGAACCGCACTCAACATTCCAGTGGCTCAAGCCAGCCCTGGGCCCGCAGCGATCCTGCCTACACGGCATCAATATGAGCCCCGAGAGCCGGCAGAGAGTGGCAGCCTTTGATCTTGACGGGTGTGTCATCCAGTCCAGTTTTCCGAAGAAAACGAAGGGCAACGCAACGCCTGAATTTCAATGGTGGCGACCGAACATACCGAAGAAATTGAAAGAGGTGCATGACTCGGGGTATGCATTTATCGCCGGTGTAGTGTATCATTGCTGACACAACGCAGGTATTCAGTCGTTATAATCACGAACCAGGCCCTCAAGAGCGCTGCCTTAGCAGACTGGAAACGGAAGGTCCCAGTAATAGCTACCGCTGTGAGTAGTCATCGTAAACGTGGCACGAACCACATTTCACATCATTTTTGACGCACAGCTCTCCGATGTGCCGTTTCGAATCCTTGCGGCCACTGCCCGCGATGGCTATCGCAAGCCAATGCCTGGCATGTGGTATGAACTAGAACGTATATTTGCCTTGGATGGTGTGGAGATAGGTCTGCAGGCAGATGTCGTATCCTCGTGGTCCTTACTGAGCCTATCTTGCGCAGATAAATCTGCCTCGATATTTGTGGGTGACGCAGCGGGTCGACAAGGCGATCATGCTTCGACCGACAGAAAATGGGCGCTGAATGTCGGTCTTCCATTCTACACTCCAGAGGTCGGTACTTATACGCTCATAGCTCATATGAGTCCACAACTCATGATACGCCCTCTAAGGAATACTTCCTCAAATTACCTGCTGCGCCATATACCCTGCCAGGTTTCCACGTCTCATCGCTGCCAACTGATTGTCGGTGTCTGAACCCTTAATACACTATACTAGTATGACTCCTGCTGATCGTATTACCAGTACCACGCGTAACGCCGACATCGACACCACTGATACCGCCTCAGCCCAAACGGGAGATCGTTGTGTTCGTCGGGTACCCTTCACTGGGGAAGTCCTCCTTCTACATGAAACACTTTCAACCAGCGGATTATGTACACGTCAATCAAGACACACTTCGCACAAGGGACAAGTGCGTGAAGGCTGTCCGGGAGGCTGTCCAGGAAGGCAACAGTTGCGTCGTAGGTATGGAGCCTACCTTGTGTACACTACCGTATCAATCACTGATACTGCACAGACAATACGAATCGCAATGCGGAGACGAGGCGGCACTACGTGGAGCTTTCCAAGCAGCTCTCCGTGCCAATAAGGTGCAGTCCGCCTTCATCGGAGACGGAAGTTACCGATACTGACACACGTCGCAGATGCATTGTATTTGAAGGGTCCTTAGAACTAGCATGGCATAACAATCTCTACAGAGCCTTCAACTTACCGCCGTCGACTGTCGAACGAGAGGTCAGTTACCTCTTACCTTCCAGTAGGCAAGACGCTTACCCGGGATTGAAGCAGCCTAAGAGGGAGCTTTTGCCGTACAACGCCTTCACCAGTTTTCGCGCGCAGTATGAAGAGCCGCAGCTGAAGGAGGGTTTTCAGGAAATTAAGAAAGTCAATTGGGTTTTCGAAGGTGACGAGGAGGAGCGGCGGCGTTGGGGCATGTGGCTACAAATCGACGGGAAGTAGCGTTCATTATACCAGGACCTTCTGCTATACTTTCCCTCTAGACCGGACATGCCGTCGAGCCAGCCGCATCTGTTCTTGAGCACGAACCATGGGGACTAGTGTCAACTAGGGACACACAACTGACAATGACTACAGAGCGTCCGGATCTACAATCGTTGACTGCCCGTCACGATTGGAATTGGATGGTGTGCTAGTTTTAATCTGACGAGGCGACGAACAGTTCAGACGCAGAAGTGAGCACCTCAGTGCCGGTGAGTATAACGTATCGTGTAGTGCCAGGGGATTCTATTAGCTACCACGGACCGCAAACGCGGGTAAGGCGGCTCCGTGACTCCAGTTAGTGCGTCCGTTGCAATCTTCGTCACCTAGCGTGGGTATACTCGCCCGGAGTGGACTTGTGGGTGCTCGTGGGCGTCATGAGGCCCCACTGGTAGCAGTTGAGTAGCAGTACACTCAACACTCGCTCCCCTTGAGTCTGAAAGGGACACAGATTTCATCAACGTAGGGTGCAAACCTTCAAAGTCACTGCAAGATAGCCGCTAGATGGTGTCGACCTGTCGACTGCCAAATTCGGCGCCACAAGGTGCAACACTACATCTCCCCAAATAAGTGGATGCAAGCCGGTATACTGGTCACGGTAGCAACGTCGCTAGTATGTTTATGTTCGAGGGCCATGTTGGGCTCAAATGTCGAATCAAGCTCACTTGAATACCAAAGGGACAGAGACTACTGATGATTCAACTCGATCCATTACATACCCTGCGGTGGACTATATATCACACTAGTGTGGTAAGAATAAATTAGACTACGCAGACTCCCTGGGACCGACGGCTTGTCGCTGCGCAAACAGCTCGTCTGCGAAGACGACCTTTTCCTGTGTCTCGATCGTGAGCGTGCCCATCGGTTTGTGGGCGTTGAGCCAGAGCCACTTGAAGCCGGCATGATACTTCACGGCATGTTGCCACCTCTGCCCGAGGCTGTTCTGCGGGTCGGACCAGCCGTCCCACTCGTAGTAATTAGGCGCGCCATCGAGGCAGTTGCTGCAAGGAAACGAACGTGAGTCCGATCAAGCCATGTGAAGAGCGGCATTACGCGACGCACAAATGAAGCATCTTCGGGAGGACCGTCTCGCCCTCCTGCGGCGTGTCCAGCGTATGCACCTGGCGCCTGCCCTCCTCCTCGAGACCCCGTGCGTCATCCCCGAGGCCCGTGCCGTACATGTCCATCAGGCAGCTCGACATCTCCCAGTCGTAGCTCAGGTGCTCGAAGACCTTCGGCATCTGCGACGTGATCGCCCACCAGTAGCCCTGGTCGCCGAGCTTCACGCCCTCGTACTTGCCGTCGTCCCCGGGCGCGCCGAACATCGCCTCGAACGCTGCGGGCGCGAGCGCGGGCGCACCGGCGGCGCGGTACGCGCTCGAGTCCATGAGGCGGAACTTCCGGAGGCGCGCGAGGTCGAGGAGCATGATGCAGGAGCAGATCCGGTTGGCGTGGTGCCACCCCTCGTTGGACTGGTCAGGATGATAGGGCATGGAGACAGCCGTGTCCGGTTTGAAGGACGAGAAGCGGTCCCATAGTAGCGCTGGATCGGTGATGAAGAACGCGTCGGTGTCGATGAAGACTGCCCGCGAGACGGACTCGGGCAGGATTTCGTGTATGAAGAGTTTCATGAGGCCCGCTAGAGGATAGAGACACGGTGAACCTCAGAAAAACGACAGGTCGTGACGAGACTTACGGGTCCCGGCAGAGTGGTCAGACACGATCGCACCCTCGCGCTCAATGCGCCTCTTCATGTCGTCGAACGTTAGACGATAGAACCGGACCAGGATATTGCGCGTCGGGCGTGTAATGAGTCGGATCCGCTTCTCGAGATAGGCTTGCGCGCCTTCATCGCAAATGACATGGAATTCGACAGGTTTGCTAGTGTACATGAGGATAGACTGCGGCGAAGAGTTCGGTCGGAACGCATAGTCCCAGAAGCACGGATACGACGGACCTTCATCAGTATAGCACCTTCATTAGCAGAATCTTCCGAGAACATGATAAGGGAGAATACGATAGGCTCCGGTGCAGGAGCAGGAGCAGCGACAGCGACAGCATCAGCATGGGTATCGGAATGATCTAGTTTGGACACGTCAACTTGGGGTCGGATAGCATGGTCCTCTATAAGCTGTGGTGTTCGGCCAGGAACGTGTTGGGGGCGGTGGTCGTGTCCGTTCTGTGGGGGCAGCGGTAGGTTGGGCTCTTGCAATGATTGAAGGGGCACGCGGCGGTCCGCGATGTCTATCCAGTCATCATACGTGTAGGAGTCGCTCTGACGGTGCCGCGAGAGATATACGAACGTGCAGAGGATCGTGAACGCGGTCAAGAGAAAGGCGGCCTGCCTCAGGCGTATCGGACGGCGGCGGATGTGTTCCGCGCGAGCCCGCCACGGTGACGGGGGTGGAGTCGACAAATCTGGGGAGGGGTCGAGGTAGCTTCGCTGGAAAGACATGATGGAGGTGCCAGCGCAGAGCTGAGGATCGATTTATCGTGGCTGCGGCTAACAGCCGACGGAAGTAAGGGAGCGGCGAGACCAGGCGGGGCCTGCAGACCGGGATGGAGACTAGACAGCGTCGTCGCCGGAAGTGCAGCTTGAGGCTCGTCGCCGAGTGAGAGCGAGTGCGCGACGCGCGACGTAAGAACGCGGGGAGACTGGGGCTGAGTGAGCGAGATGCGGGCAGATGCAGCCCGTGGCGGGTGTGGCGGGAATGCAATGCATATCGCAGGAGCAGATCTCGGAGATGGACCGTTGGGCGCGGTGGAGCATCTCCGTCGGCTAAGAGACACCCTCGAAGAACTCTCGGACGGCGCCGTCCCTCGCAACCGCGTGTCACGGAGACGCGCTTGTGGCGCTGCCCGTCTGCCGGCCCGCTGTCAGCCACAATCGCGTCTCATTAGCGCCCCGCGCGCGACCTAAACACATCTATGCTGTCGAGGTTCCCCAGAGGGACAATACGTCTGTATAGTACTCTTGGGTGAATCAGAACTCAGTGTAGCACGAGGAGCCGGAACTTTTGAGGGTGTCTAGCCCCTATCTGAACTGTACCAAACATTCCTGAGTGTGACGGCGGCAGCGAGCGCGATCCGGACGCACTCTTATCATTGGAACATTGAGATGCAATCCCGATGACAGTGGGCGGTGAGGGCGGTGAGGAGAGCTGAATGCAGTGTACGACGCCCGACGGTGACTGGAAGACACCCAAGCCTCACTCTCACCCCATGATATATCGCAAACATGTCAGACGAAGAAGTATTTCGAATATTCCAAATCCCTTCTATGTACTCCCGTCAGTCAACTCATCCCAACAGTGCACCTTTCTACTTCGCCTTGCTCACTGTAACACCAATACACACGACTCGGCGAGTCACAGATCATGCTCACACCCTTGGCCTCGGTATAGGCCACAGTATATCAAGTCTGCCCTCCTTCTCCAGGTCCTTCAGGCTCGTCGCGAGCTTGTTGGACATGTCGGCCATAGCTGCAGCATCAGAACGGATGTCGCGCAGCGGAAAGCAGATGATCGTGACATTCGGGCGCGCGGTAGCAAGCACCCCAGTGGTGAGGACGTGCGCGAGGTCGTCCAGGTCGCTCGCGGAGAGCGTCCGCGCCGAGGTCTCCAGCGTGAGGTGCTTGAGGTCGCGCGACTGGATGTGACGCAGAATGGAGGGGATGTGTTGCAGGTGCACCTTGAGCGTGAATGCCCGTAGGGAGGTCAGACCGGAGATACCGTCGTTAAAGCAGATCGCGGCTATTAGGTTTCTCAGCTCAGACAAATGCACAGACGATGGTGTTGATGACTTACGCTCGTACACGGGGGCATCCATCTTCTCGTATTCCAGCGATAAGTTCGTCAATGTATCTGCACATGACTGGGCGAAGGAGATCGCCAGGCCTTCGTCCTCCTGCGTTATCTTGGCGAGGGTAAGGTCTTCTAATGGCATCTTCGGACAGACCAACTGTAGACCTGCGAGGACTTCGCCCAAGTGACCCTTGACCGAGAGGCGAGTGAGAGGAGGCGTCACTTTAGGCATGTTGGAGTACAGGGCGACATTGAGGGGTCGCTGCGGAGGCGCCAAATTCAAACCATCCGAGTTCTCGGATGACTCGAAAGTGAACACGCGCAGCGACGGCGAGGCGAGGAGGAGTTCCACGGCGAGTACACTGCCGCCTGCCTGGATGGTGGAGCTCGAAAAGTGTTGTAGCATCGTGACATTCCGACAGAGGCGCTTGAGACTAGTGCGCGACGCCGCGGTGAGTTCATCCCATCGGATTTCGAGCAGGTCCAAGTAGCGGAGTGCCGTTAGATCGTCGACGCGGATGGTAGGGAGTATGTCATCGAGCCAAGCCAGACCCCCGAACTTTCCCATGTCGGCAGGAGAGTTGGTTGTGAGGCGATCGACCAAGCTCTTCGGCACCAAGCCCTCGACCAAGCGGATGCAGCGAACGTATGGAAGGATAGTCGACGACGGGTCGCAGAGGAGCAAGGGGGAGTTGGGCGGCGGCATTTCGGGGCTGATTTTCGAAAAGAGGTTCACCGCCATGAAACGGTATTTGCGCGCCATTGGCAGCCAAGTTCGACAGACCAGAGAGCAGTCCAACAGTGTACGCGTTTCGCAGCCGACGTGACTGAGGACTATGTCCCACAGCTCTAAGGGTAGCAAGTCTGATTCACGGACTTTGGACTCCGTCATTGTAACGACGTGCGGAGGCATTTGAGCCTCCAATTCAGGGACACCGGACGCAACTGCACACCGGTACTGTTTTAGTAACTTGAAGTCAGCGACAAGCCTTGTTATCCTCGCACTGGGAACTAGGCACGCACCTGAGCAGCCGTGGCAGGATAATACTTAGTGCCACTGCCAGCAGCAGTCCTGGGCCGACACAGTTTCGCATATGCGGTCTTGCTACTTGCCACCACACAGAGGTCCAAGACAACCGTAGCTATGTAGCAGCCTACAGACGCCCGCTGTACGCCTCGCCACAGACGGGCGCCTAAGCGATGTATCGGGCAAACGTGCGCCTGGAGACTGGTCGCTCGCCCTCCTCCAATCCAACCTCTCTCTCCGAGTCGTGAACAGCCTGCTAATCAGACTATCGGCGTCGCTCAGGCAGCATGGCGGCCGCGAACTCACGCCCCGAGTCTCCCACCTCTACCCCGACGCTGTCGCACCGCGACCTCGTCCACGTCGACGCCGCGCTCGAGATGCACACCGGCGACGGCCCTGTACCTGCGATCAACGCGCCCCCTGCCCTGTTCGGCGCAGGCGGTCCTATGTAAGCTGCACCTAGCTGTATCATCAGTGCGATCCGAGACTATCGATTTCAGGTTGAAGCGGTTCGACCAGTCGGCCGCTTCGAGTAAGATGCCCTCGCAATCCGCGACGCCGCCCATTTCGGTCGTCGGCATCGGCAACAAAGGTCAGCTGGACTACAGACGATGTCTTGAGAAAATGCTGAATACCGGGAAGTTGCGAAGCCGGACTATTCAGAAGCTAAGATCGTGGTGGCCACCGTATGTAGTGCGCATAATATAATGATTCGTGCATTAAATTTCGCTTCTCTTAGGTTGGGCTACCCGCGCGGGGCAAGTCGTACCTTAGCAACAAGCTCATGCGCTATCTCAAAGTCCGGTTTGTCCCCCTGCTCGACCATACATCCACTCACCTGCCCGATCACAGTGGCTAGAGTACGATGTCAAGGTCTGCCTGCTGCCGATCTCGAGGTCATTGTCCATACGCTCACACATGCATAGGTATTCAATGTCGGCCAGCTGCGTCGATCGCGGGCCCGGCAACGAGCCATGACGTGCGTATCCCCTACTATCGAGCTACCGCTAAACGGAACCATTTCTATATTAGGAGCGGTCAGCGAGAGGACCACACGGCAGAGTACTTCAGCCACTCGAACGAGCAGGCGACCCGGCTGCGCGACAAGCTCGCCGAGGACAGCCTGGAAATGCTCATCCAATGGCTCAAGGACGGCGGGAACGTCGGCATCCACGGTTGGTGCCATACTACGACCGTTTCTCGCCGCTAATACCATAGCAGATGCAACGAACAGCACGCACAATCGAAGGTGAGCTTCACAGCATCGAAACGCTGCGCGCTCAATCACCGCAACCAGAGAGAAGATGAAGCAGCGTGTCGCGCGCGAGAAGGGCTTCACCGTGATCTTCCTCGAGTCGATCTGCGACGACCCGGCGATCATCGCTGCCAACGTCGCGCTCAAGGTATCCTCGGGTGACCCGGACTACAAGGACATGTCGCCCGACCAGGCGAAGGCGGACTTCCTGCGGCGCATTCGCGCGTACGAGCAGGTCTACGAGACGATCACGGAGCCCCACCTCTCGTACCTCAAAATCATCAACGTCGGCAACCAGGTCGTCATGAACCACATCCGCGGGTACCTGCAGAGTCGCATCGCGTTCTACCTGATGAACTTGCACCTGAAGCCGAGGAGCATATTCATGTCGCGGGTATGATTCCGCCTATACCAGTCTGTGGAGCGATCCTAACTGGGACCGCATAGCATGGGGAGAGCCAGTACAACGTGGAGGGCAAGATCGGCGGTGACGCGCCACTGTCCGAGCGCGGGCAAGCCTACGCGAAATCATTGCCCGGTCTCATCAAGGACAACATCGGCGATGCCCCTCTCACAGTATGTCACGTTCGTCAGATCGTCGTGCCGCGAACTCAATGTCTGCAGGTCTGGACATCAACCCTGCAACGTACCATCCAAACAGCGCACTTCCTACCGTATACCAAGCTGACATGGAAGTCCCTCGACGAGCTGGATGCCGGTGTGTGTGACGGCATGACGTACGAAGAGATCGAGGTTCGTCACACGTCAGTGAATGCTCCCTGTTCACCGTACATACTCTCTTTGCAGCAAGCATACCCGGAAGACTTCGCAAATCGTGACGAAGACAAGTTCAACTACCGCTATCGAGGTCAGTTCTGTGGGCTCATCCCGTCGTATTATAGGACAGCTACTGAGTTCTCCGCGCAGGTGGCGAGTCGTACCGAGACGTCGTTGTGCGTCTCGAGTCCGTCATCATGGAATCAGAGCGACAAGAGAACATCCTCATCATCGGGCACCAGGTCTGGTTTCGAACTTCTCTCCATTGCTGCTTACGCTGATTCCGTCGACGTACAGGCCATTCTCCGTTGCTTGTGCGTGTGATGAACCCGAGACCGAGAATCTCGCATGTAGTGACATCTCCCACAGATATGCTTATTTCCACAATTTCCCCCAGGCCGACCTACCCTACATCAAGATCCCCCTGCACACCGTCATCAAGCTTACACCAAAGGCGTACGGTTGTGACGAGGAGCGGTCCGTGTCTCACCGAACGCCCGACGCTCTGCCGCTAACTGCTCACCTCAGATACACGCTCCCGATCGACGCAGTCGACACACACCGACCGAAGCCCAAGGCGGCGGTCGCGAAGCAGCCACAGCTCGACGAGGTGCCGGGGTCGACAGCGAAACGACAGTATTACGTGGAAGAGGAGACGGCATGAATCATGAATACATCAAACGGAACATTGTACAATACCGCGCATGGTTGCACATGGTTCACCCTAAACTCGTGATGGCCGGTCGAGAGAATGGTAATCTGTGGCCGGATTTGTGAGTATGTATATCCGAGTTGCAATTGCGCTTAGTTGGGCACACATAAAGGAACTACACCATAGACAGCCTCTGGTACAGATACCTGGCAGTGCGCCTTCATGCAGGCAACCAGAAGGTTCTACTGAGGTTCCATGCTGCTATGCCTGTCCTTCATCTTGTCCTCATCCTCGCTCTCCATCTTGTCCTCCTCGCGCTCCATTTCCTCGACGTCATCCGCAGAGATGTCATCCCAGTTGAAGCCCTGCGGTTGGCTAGGCAGGCTCTCCTCATCGGCTCCACCGCGCACCTTATCATCTTCCTTGATCTTCAAGCTGAGAAAACGTAGTTAGCCTGTACCACTCATCCAAAACCTGTTACTTACTTGACGTGGGTCCAGATGCCACTCTGCATGCGTTGGTATACCTCTGGGTGCACTTTGCACATCTCCTCAAGGATCGTCATGTGGTCGTTCCACCTGAGCAGACCCCTAGTTATACACTCAATAGTGAGTCGTGCTAGTGTGGACTCACTTTGGCGCATAGATCTTGTTCGAGAATTGCAAGTCCAGTGCATTGCTTGCACTGGTCTGCAGATGGTCCTTGATAGCTGCCTCCAGCTGTTTACCAGCAGCCTTAGCGTGTTCAAATGATGAATACCTGTACTCACTGCATTGCAGACCAGGGCGATGAGGTTGTCCGGGACACTGCTGAACTTCTCGCGCCGATCTCTCACCTCCTTATGCGATAAGCTGAACCAAAATGCATAGATGAGCTTGGCAATGGCAGGGTGCTGGAACAGCTTCGTGTTGGCCAGTTTGCTCTGAAGTGAATGTCAGTCGCATCCATTCAGTAGCCTATCAATAGACCACGTACCTTCTGCTCATTGACCTGACTACCACCCTTGCTCTTCTGCCCATCTGTCCAGACAACCTCCTTCACCGGGAAGGTGAAGTAAGGCACGTAGGCGTAGCCTCCCTTCACGCTCTGCTTGTAGGTCTTCAGCAGCCACATTGCCAGGGCCTCCTTCTTAGGTGCTTTCAGCCCCGCGAATCCATACGCCTCATCGACAACCTGCTTTGCCTTCTTCTTGAGGTCGTTCCTCATCTGCGACGCGCCCTGCCAGACCTGTGGATGATGTAGTGCTGTAGGGTTATGACATGTTGATCAATAAACTCACCAGGTCAAGCACCATCTTCCTCAGGGCCACCACCTTGTCTTCTTCCCCTCGCAGCTCATCCAATGCAGCTGCAAGATCCCGTGGAACACACCCGTCCTTGTTCTTGTGGGTCACCACCATTGTCATAACTGCCTTCAAGACTTCATGCCTGTCTGACAGGCGATCGTTGGTGGAGCCATCATACATTGTCCAGGCTTGCTCAAGCGTGATGTGCATCTTGAGGTACAAGGCCCCCATATTCTTGACCGGGCGGACACTGTCTGGCAAGTCCATCACCAGAGCATGGTTCCGAATGTGTTTCCGTGCAACACCGCTGGAACCCTGCCTTCTCTTTCCCATGCCCTTTGTGGTGTGTTTGCTTTTTGGGAACTGCAGGATTGTTACCTGCATGCTGTGCGTAAACTACAATAGCAACACTCACCATGATACTGCTGTTACTATCATTATCCCTTTCCTGGTCTGTGCTGCTCTCCTCCTCCTCCTCCTCCTCCTCAGTGTCAGTGCCTCTTCCCTCCTTAGCTCCGCTGTCTTCACCATCTGACGGTGGAGGAAATCGTGCCTTCTTTGAGTTTTTGGCCTTTGTGGACACCACCTTGCCTCCACTGGCACCCTACATTATTCACGCACAAATATTAGCCTATCATCCATGATCGTTGGTGTTCACTCACCTTCTTTAACTTGTCATCCTGCTCGGCCTGCATCTCCATGTCCTGATCCTCGTCTTCCACTTCAGCATCAGCATGTCGTGCAGCCTTGCCCTTGAAGTTTGGTCTGAGTCTAGCTACAAATGAGTAGATGAGTTGTTGTTGTTCGACCAAGCAAGATGAGGATACACGTACGTCGCTTGGCATGCTTCGGTTGCTTAGGCTCCTCGTCCTCTTCGTCTTCGTCCTCTGACGCGTCTTCCGCGGTCATGTTGATTGTCCTCTTGCGAAAGTCTGGTGTATCATGAACAGCAATGTTCTCAGACACTGAATACAGGAACTCACTGGCTTGGCGTGCAGCAGCCTCCTGTTTCTCAAACCTGTCCTGCTTAGCCGTCAGGTACTCCAAGACTTTCTTCTCTGTCGCCGTCAACTCGACGCATTCATCCGCATCCGGCGGCATCATTCGACGTGTGCCGTTTGTTGCCCTTCGGCGCCCTGGTCGACGCTTGCTGTTTGCCGCCTTTTGAGCTGGCTGCATTGACATTCTTGGAGCGCGTCTGCTGTGTGGGCGACATGGTGAGTGACAAGTGTAGAGAGGGGATGCAAACGTACCATACGCTGCAGTGCGCGCAGTGCGCGGTAGCGTCACCTTCCTTAAAAGGAAGAGCGCGAGCACCTCGCGCTTCTTGGAGCCAATCAGCGCGTGGCGGGCTCATCGGGCTGGCGCGCCGCATTGCCATGAGCACGTTAGCTACTGCTCTGGAATGACAGAAGTCGCGTACCCACCTTCCGCTGTACTGACAGAAGGCAGAAATCGGCCGACCTGAGGCGTGTGTCGTCCGCAAGCAGATGCGATGGGTGCAACCCAAGATGGGCGACTGGGCGACACGCGTCTGATTGCGTAGATTAGCGCCCGTAGGTCGTGACCGTCGCATTCAGAAGAGCACGGCTTATGCACAGGCCCTCACTGGGGGGCAGCAGGATCTCGCAGTCCGCTCGTACTCCGAGAGTTCAACCGCATCCATGTCTCGGCTGTTCTCCTCACTCGACGCGCGGGGCTTTCATTTCACCTACACAACGCGTCTTACGCTGCGCGACCCTGCGCGAACCGCGGACTGCACCCTACACCTCCTGCATGTCCTCCCTCCGGACGTGTACGCGGACCAGTATGAACTCGTGCAACGCCCTGGCTTCTCGGTCACTGTGCGGGGGACGTCTGACTTGGAGCTGCCTGTAGGAGCTGTGGGTTCGGAAGGATCTGTTCTACTGCTCGATGTCGAAGTGGAGGAGAGGAGAGAAGCCGAGATGGAGCTGGTTATCGATGTCCCTCTGCACGCTAGGTATGGCAATCCTAGCGCGGCCGATAAGCCAGAACTTCGATCTGTTCAGATGGACCGACCAGTTGGTTTCTGGGCGTGTCCCTCGTCAAGTGAGTCGTACACACGGGAATGTTTGCAACCTAGTCATCTCTGTTCAGGTTCGGGAAGCATGAACGTTCCCCATGAGATCGCGCCGCACATACAGCCTGATATGTTCACGACGTCCTCGCTTTCTATCATACCACATTCTCCATCCGTGCAAGCCTCAGAGCTAGTTATCCCGGTGGGCAATCTAACGGACCTGGCATTCGTCGACGTCGGCACTGCCATCACGATGCTCCTCTGTTTCCTTTACCTTGCCGTTGTTTCCGTACGCACCGCACGCCGCTTATATCAGCCTCCGAACATGCTCAAAACAGAGTGAGAGCAATCGTCAGTACAACCCCTAACGTACAAGGTCTACGATAAAGCTGATGATGATAGATAGGCCAGAGACGTGCGATGCGAGTGCGAGCAAGCAAGCAAACGAGCAGAGAGATGAGGGACGGGAGGATGTGTGTGTATGTACGCAAAGGTGATCGGTATCGTCCTAGAAGTCTCGAAGAGCGCGGCGCGCAGCGCGCCGCCAAGGGATGCGCAACAGAATGTCCACGTCCATGGGTTGGCTGCGGACGTCACGTCACGACACACCGCCGCTGCTTGACCATCTTTCCCCACTTCCCCTTCATGCTCTCCTTGAGCGCGAGCGCGAACACCTCCTGCACGTTCTGCCCGAGCTTCGCAGAGCACTCGATGTACTTCGCGCCGATCTCGCGCGCGACGGCGATGCCCTGCTCGGAGGCAACGGGCACCTGGCCCTGCGCGCTGAGCATCCGTTTTGTGCCCTCGTCTCTCCGGAGGTCAATCTTGGTGGCTACGAGGATGGTCGGCACGCCTTCACAGAAATGCGCCACTTCTGGCCACCACTGGTGGGCGCGTAGGGAAAGAGGCGAGGCGAGAGGGAAGGCAGAGTCAACGAAGAGCGGAGGGATGAGAGGAAGGATCACACACCTTATCCTGTACGTTCTGCAAGCTGGTAGGGAAGTCGACGGAGAAGACTACGAGGATCACGTCGCTCTCCGGGTAGCTCAGTGGTCGTAGTCTGTCGTACTCCTCCTGTCCTGCCGTATCCCATAGCGCGAGTTCCACAAGCTTTCCGTCGAAGTTCACGTTTGTTACGTAGTTCTCGAAGACGGTTGGAATATATGACTGTTCAGGAAGCATGCTGTCAGTTCACGGCGGCGTACAGTGGGTCAATGGCTCACCTCGGGGAATCGGTTTTCAGCATAGACAATGAGCAAACATGTCTTCCCACAACCGCCTTAGTAGCGTAAGCGTGTGCGTCATATCAAACGCGAGGGGGAGATACAAGCCGTCAAGCGCATGCGAAGAGGGTTATGAGGTCTGAACGCGTCATACCGTCTCCTACAACGACCAGCTTCCGCTTTACATCCGGTCTCCGTGGTGGTGGTCCCTGATCTTCTGGGTTCGGGGTCAAGACCATCGCGGCGCGGCTGTTGGTGGCTTCGGTTCAACAGACGAGTTGTGGGCGCGACGTGAAGGTGACTCACGATGAGGGTGGTCAGTAAGGTGTGTCTTGATACCAGAGAGTAAGAGAAGAGGAGGATACGCACAGAAGGGAGGCGAGTAGGAGGGAGTGGAGGTGGTGGATTGAGGCCTGCTGTGAGCTGCCACTGCTCGTGGTGGTTGGCCGTGTCGCACTCACGTGCTCGCGCTACCGGGCAGGGCGGGCTTGCCTTTTCTAGATTTTATATCGACCTCTGTCAGTGGCACGGTCTTGCAGCGCATCGCTTGTTCGCAGCCTTCCCGACGATACGTTGTTCCTTGTCGCAAGCATGGATTTTCTGTTCACTTCTTAACTTGGGAGGATCCGAGGACAAGGCCACCAATGCTTAGCTTGCCATTGACAAGAAGCGTAAGCTGGCTATATGCGCTGCTTCAATTACGCGTCTAACGTGGCACATGTAGTAGTGACCATTTCGACGAGACGAGAAGGTAGAGGCTTCACCCAGTCGTGACCTTCTCATTATCATAGTCTCGCATACCAAGGAGCATCCCGCAGGAAAGGGCCCCAGAGGGGCTTTCGCGCAAGTCTACGCGCTCAACAGCTTCCAGAGCATGGTCCTCTGCATTGTGCAGTCTGCAATCACGAGGAAGAAACCTGCGCTGAGGGTAACAGGCATGTCCGCTAAACGACGACGTGTCCCTCCCGGGCCACTGACCACCCTCAACCACATTCTCGCTGCCGTGCGTGCCTTTGACCATCTGCCATTTACATTGACCTCGATTGTTCATCTCGTCGCTCTGGGTCCCTGAATTGGAGTATTGTGTGACCAGTTCAAATGACGATTTTGCCTGTGCGTTCTGGGACATTGTTCATTGATTGATGACACCGTGACAATGACTCATTACTTCAGTGAGTATCTATATTTCTGGAGACACGCTCATGGTCGACGAGCTCACAGAGAACCCGCAGCACTACATGTATGCAGGGGAACCAATCGACCTGACACTCTTACATCTCGGAGGGATGATGATACCTGGGTTCTTTGTCCCGCTGCTCATGGTCAACAGGGCATCGAGCTGATTCAACTCGTTCAAACTAATGTCACGTCGATCCCAACGAGTGCGTCCTCATCTCTGATGCTCAAGAATATCCTTATCTATGACATGCCTTTCCGGTGACTATGGCGTGTTCTTGAGACTTGATGGTCTCAAGAAGGTGGCGAAGCAGGCTGGATTGAGCGGCAAGGTGGTGTACTGGACCGCAAAGACGCATCAAGGTGAGGTAATTCACAGTCTGATCTGGCAAAGCAGCAGTGTGCTGTGGTCCATATGGACGCATCTTGCGGGTGCATCCCGTCACCACAGCGAACAGTACATGAGGTGAGTTTCTGATATCACAATTGGACGCATAGTGCGCCGCGTATGCTGTAGCGCCAGCTCGATCACATGGGCGCGTCCCGAACCTGACGCGATCCCAAACCATCCTCCGGGTAGCTTATGAACGGTGTGGTCGAACCATGCGTCAGAGCGACGCATCCGAGTGTATCCGTCACTCCTATGGCAATGTGCTCATTGCTGCCATCAAATCCAACATCTCAGGCATTCAAATAGCCCGGCTTTGCACGCATGGTTTTTCGAGAGACTTGGTAGCGGCCGCCGTCGTGGCGATATATATGCTATCGACACCGCAGGTCATTCATTACCCCTGGCGCCCTGGGCGAGGCGCAGAGAAATGCATTGAGCGGCTGCAGTAACAGGTATGTCATCGCACTATCTATCCGCATACCTGCGGGACTGAGTTCTTTGTGACGAAGACACCTGTGTCGACGAGGAGCTGCACGTCGCACAATCTGCGCGTCTGGTACGCTCGACTCCGACGTCTGCGGACTGAGTGCGCCTTAAGACTCATCTCGACCCTAGGCATGACCCTAGGCACTACACTCGCCCTCGACAACTTTCTACTTATCCCCGTTCCGTATACAGGTCACTACTAATCCAACAAGTACAAGATGTCCATCTACGGCGTTCCTGTGGAGATAGGCGAGGTTATCGTATCCTATCTAGTAGCGAGGCGCGACGTCCTCCAGTTCGCCTTCACCTGTAAGGAGGCGTACGCCTGTGCGTTGCCATCCATCCTCAGAGACGTTTCTCTGAGCCACAGGACCAAAATAGAGGCCTCGGAGCAGTTGCAGGCCTTTTGCAATTATGTTCTTGCCCACCTCTCGCAGCGGGCGCCCTGCATTAGGTCGCTGACGATCGGGGCGCCAGTGTTCAAGGGCCTGCAGGTGTACTTCAAACCGGACTTCGCGTTGACAAGTGACGTTGCACGAATATTGGCCCTTGCGACTGGCTTGCGCGTGTTGACTGTCAGGGGCGCGGAACGTCTCTTCTCTAACGCGCCTTCCCAGGTCGTTGCTGCGATCACCTCGCTCAAGAACCTCGCCGAGATCCGCTTCGAGGATTATGCAGGCCCGCATGCGCTGCGCATACTCTCCGAGATGGCAAGCCGACCCGCAGTGGTTAGGCTGTCGTCCTTCGACGCCCCCAATTGCCGTCTCGTCCCTGGGCGCCATCACCTCCTGTACAACTTAACGCAGTCTCTCGTCACTCTCACACTCGTCAACAATCTCGACCTCATCCAGGTGCTCGAGCCGGGCGTAGTGTGGCCGGCTGTCAGGCACCTCACGCTCGGTGGCGTGCGCGACGTCGCGAGCCTGCCCGCCCTGGCGCGTGCGTTCCCCGAGGTCCGAAAGTTGGAGGTATACGCGCGATGCATCGACGAGAAGATCGGGCGGGACTTGTGGACGCGCCTCGAGTCTGTCTCGCTGGACAGGCCTGTTCCGATCTGCCGTCCCGTCCGAAATGTCGAGCTCGTCGGCTCCGACTGGGTGCAAGAGCAGCTCTGCCTGGCGGTCGAGATGATGATGAGCATGGCGCCGACGTCGTTGACGTGCCGAGACGCGGACTACTGGGCGGTAGCGCAGCTCGTGAAGTGCGCAGCGCGTACTGTCCGGTTCGTCAAGTTTGTGCACGCTAAGAACACCCAGTCGGAGGGGGCGTACAAGCTGGGGGGACCTTGCAGCGTCGAGGGCTGGTTAGACGTAAGCATCCCAGTCCCATTTATGTTCCGGTGCTTCACAAGTGCTTCGATTGACTTGGTTCGTGTCTCTTCAGTCACATTATTTCAACACCCTTGGACAGGCACCTCTAAACGCCCTTGTCGTTCCTGTGGATACGGTATACCTCGATGCGCTCGGCGACCAAAGCGCGATGCACTCGAGCGCCAGGAAGGCAGTAGTGATACTGGACATCGCCTGCGGAATCGCGGCGCGGATTCCCACTGTAGTGCACATCGGATTGGACTTAGGGCACCATCCCTCGGGTGGGCAGAGGTGGTACAAAGTCGTATCACGCGACGCTCACCATCTCCGCCTCGAAGCCCTGAGGGAGCGTGAGGGCAGGGAAGTTGAGAGAATTTTAGCAGGTTCTTGTGATTGGGTTTGACATGGAACTGACTAGGTGTAATATAGTCAGAGTCTCACCTAGACTTCTAGCTGACTCCGGGGAGGATGTCGACTTCGAGCTGTGGGCTTCGCTCTACAGAACGTCGTTCTGTTACACTTGACCATATCCGGGTATATCTCATCATCATACGTGCAATATTCATGCAATGTAGCCGAACCTTGTACACATCACTCGGTTCCAATGTAAAATATAATAACCTCTCTCCCTACCCCTGCGGCTATCCTCGGGATACCCTTCTCCGCGAGCCAGTCAAACGTCCGCACATGCAGCGGATGGGGCGCGATACCCAGAACGGTTGGTACGGCGTTGATGTAGTTGGCGTTGTGAAGGTGTATGGCAGCGCCTTTTGCGGGCGAGCTGCTCGCGATGGCGAAATACTCGGGGTAGGTCGGGCACCACCTGTCATGCCAGAAGAGCCGGTGAGCGGCAGTGGTGCAGGGGGATGAGACGAGACGTACCGGAAGAGCGCGCCGCCCTCGGGGAAACTCACACCTGTGACTGTGGGCTTGCCGCCTTGGAGGTCGCCCATGTCCCAGATGGCGAACCTTGAGCCGTAGACGGCGCCAACGCTGTGCGGTCCAGGGTCAATCGATTGTAGGAAGCGATGGATTGTGACGTTTGGAATATGCTCACGTATCCACTGAGTCTCGCCGCCAGGACACGGACCCTGTCCACTTAGACTTCACCCCGATGACAGGGCTTGCCAAGGCGCGTGGCTCGACGAGTTCGACGACGTTTGAGTTTCTCCAAGCGTCGTGCTCGTCTTCCTCCCATTCGGTCCGCCAGTCCGTAAGGAAGATCGAGCCGCGGCAGTCCGACACGAGCAGCTCCTTGCTCGTGGTCGGATGCGAATTGACGGACGTGAGAGGGTGTGGAAAGGCGACGACATATACGGTAGGTTGGGGGCGGCGAGAGGAACTATCTTCGTCTATTGGAGAGTGGGGGGAGGCGATGTTGATTGAGGGATTGAGGTCCCAGACCATGAGGAGTTTGTCGTCTTATAAACGGAGGGAATAAGGAGCCATCGAATAGGTCAAGCGCGGTTCGGCTTACCGGATACCGTTGCCACATATCTTGAGCTCTCTTCTCCGTGTCCTCCGCAGAACGTCATGTCGTTGATTTTGCCGTGGTGGCCGGTCATGCCCCCGCCGAATTGGAAGACATGCTCGTCGTCGGCAGAGGATTTTGACAGGATGAAGAGTTCGCGGTCGGCGCCAGCTGCTGAAAGCCTAAGAAACCGGGTGAACTCAGACATACGCGTATGTCAGTTGCTGTGGCGTACTCGATCGACCAAACGTCGCTAACGGAAGGCGAGGTGACTTTGGATGACCACGCTAGCGCGGTGATGCGTGTGCCAATATGGAAGTTCGCAATGCTCTTGCACGAGCCTTGGGTCTACCTAGATCCAATCAACGTTCGGATGCAGACCATGGACGCGTTCACTCACCACTACCAGGACCTCTACCGAGTGCGCGCCTCCTACAGCCAGTAGATCGGTACCGTCTTCATGGTAGCACGCGCGCACTACGTAGACTTCTGTCCCGTATGCATAGCGTACGTCGGCCATGGCTGGCAGTGGTCCGAGTCGAGGAGTGAGCGGGAGTACAAGGACAAACGCGTCCACGCTCGAAGTGGGCGTGCTGCACGTGCGAGCGTTATTTGTGCATATTAGGATCGCAAGGCCCTGCCACACACGCGTCAACACGCAGCCACCCGAGAACCTCTTGCGTCCTGAGCAGTGAATGCCGAACAAGGCTCCCAACCCGTTTCTCTTCGTCGGCCTCTCCCTCGCGTCCTTCGGCGCGTTCTACCTCCTCGCACGGCACCGCGCAACAACCTACCCCGCCTCTCAGCAGCCCCGCCAGCACGACAACCCCCTCGTGCCCCCGCTCCATCCTGGTGACGGTGACAAGGCGTCTAAGAATTAACGTATGCGACTAGGCGCTCTGACGATGCCCATCCTCGACAAGCTCTCGCACGCGCTGCACCTCGACAAGAACAAGAAGGACAAGAAGGACAAGAAGGCTGCTGAGAAGGCCTCTGAACCCGAGTCGTCGAAGCCTGCTACAGAGCCTCCTGCGAGCACCAGCGCGAACACGGAACCGGCACCCTCGGCGACAGCGGAACCTGCCTCAGCGACTCTCGAAGCTGCCCCCGCTACAACCGACGAACCTGTGCCTGCAATGAGCGCAGAGGAGAAGACTCGGGTGTTTGATAAGAGCGGAGTCACCGTCATCTTCGTGCTCGGCGGACCTGGTGTTGGTAAGGCTCGGACATCACAGGCTGTCAGGACTTGCTGTAACCTCTGTCGTCTACCCAAGGCAAGGGCACGCAGTGCGCCAACCTTGTGAATGACTTTGGCTTCTGCCACCTCTCCGGTGCGCGCTCTGGCTCGGCTACTCCCTGCGTGTACCTGACTGATGCGCGACACGTAGCCGGCGACCTGCTCCGAGCAGAGCAGAACCGCGAGGGATCCGAATATGGCGAGATGATCCGCACGTACATCAAGGAGGGCCAAATCGTGCCCATGGAGGTGACAATCAAACTCCTCGAGAACGCCATGAAGGCTGCGCTCGCCGAGGGCCGGTCGGGCGAAGGTTGGGCGGATGGTAAGGGCCGCTTCCTTATCGACGGGTTCCCTCGGAAGATGGACCAGGCGGAGAAGTTCGATGATGAGGTGCGCGTTAGCTTGACCAATGGAATGCAGCAGAGCTGAGTGTAGATGACAGGTGTGCGAGTGCTCGTTGGTATTGTTCTTCACAACGACAGAAGAGGAGATGTCGAAGCGGCTGCTCAAACGTGGTGAGACGAGTGGACGGGAGGATGATAACGCAGAGAGTATCAAGAAGCGTCTCCGTGCGTCTATTACCCTTGGCTGCGAGTTGTACCCCCGCTGATCTTTTTGCAGTCGTGTACCAGGAGAAGACGATGCCTGTCATCGAACACTACACCAAGCTACACAAGGTTGCCTCGGTATGTTCACGGCGTTTTCAGTCAGATCATGCATCGACTCACTTCGACCTTGCAGATCGACGCCTCCGCGACCATCGAAGAAGTGCACCAGAAAGCAAAGGCTATTGTGGAGGGAGTCCTCTCCGGCGCAGTCAGCCGCAACATCACTGCATAATGTCTTTGCGTTTTATACACTATCAGCTTGGTGGTCGGTACGCAGAAACAGGGCTAACCTCATGAACAATCTCAGAATACGTTAGACTAATACCCATCGTCGCACGTCATACACACTATCGATCTATAACTACAAATGCTCATGGCCTGTGCTTTGGTTTGAGCGCAAGCCAAACCCGTGAATCCTTGGACCGTAACCAAAATGAGGTAACTCTACATTGCCGCTTACGCGAAGACTGCGAAGCCGGACTTGTCGTCCGAGGGCGTTGCTGCTGAGCATGTTGCCTTGCCGCCCTTCTCGATCTCGTGGATGTCGCCGTCTGCGCAGACGAGATGTGCCCGGTCGTCGATGTCATCCTGCGAGCGTATACTGAGTATAGAGGCGGACAAGATCTACGCGCACTCACGGGTTCCCACATCCATCCTCCACACCTGAAGTACTCCACGACAGGCCATCCCTCGCCGTTGTCGCGCACACACCCATCGTCCGCATACGTCAGCCCGACGTGAGCGCCGTCCTGGTACGCCCCGCCCAACACGCCCTTCAGCTTCTCAGAGAACGCCTCCCTGTACTCATCCGAGTCCATCTGCACGCTCGGGTCGCGTTCCGGCCTGAGCACGACCACATCTAGCGCTGCGCCCTCGGGCTTGACGTCCCGCCACAGCGGAGCGATCCTGAACTTCGGTTCGAGGCGGTCGACGTTCACGACGGAGACGAAGTACGCGAAGGGGCCCCCGAGGTCGACGATCGGGTCGTCCTCGGTGCTGTGCTGGTGCGGCACGAACGCCCGCGTCTCGGGGTCGTACATCTGCACGACGCCCGCGGCGGCGGTGGGGAAGAGCTTGACGGACGCGTTGTACCAGCGCGTGAGGTTCTGCGCGGCCGCGCGCTGGAAGCGCTCGAGCCCCGGGAGCTCCGCGCGGAGGGCCTCCGAGTCGGCGAGGATGCTCGCGTGCAGCGCGGTCGAGGCGACGACGGCGGAGACGGCGACGCGCGGCGGGGCGCGCGTCGCGGGCGGGGAGCGCAGCGAGGTGAGGGCGAGCGTGAGGGGCGCGCTCGGGCGACCCTCGATGAGGGCGTGCACGCTGCGGAGGGCGTAGGCGGTGGGGTCCTCGTCGGGCAGCGGGGGGAAGAGGCTGGAGTAGAGCGCGTTGGCGGTGCCGCTGGGGACGAGGGCGAAGCTGAGCTTGGCGGGGGGCGCGGCGGCGCGCTGGCCCTTGGGCGGGGTGTTGGTGAGGGCCTCGATGATCTCGTGGAGGGTGCCGTCGCCGGCGGCTAGGATGACGGTGAAGGGCCCGGAGTGCTGCTCGAGGTGCGAGACGACGAACGCCCCGGCGTGGCCGGCGTGCTCAGTCGCGAGGACGACGTCGGGCGTGAGGTTCGCGTGCTCGAGGAGCGGGAGGACGTGCGTCGTGATGAGCGTCTTCGCGCCGCGGTCCCCGCAGATGGGGTTGTAGATGAGCAGCGTGGGCATTGAGTTTGTCGTCGTTGTCGTCGCTGTCGTCGTCGTCGTCGTCGTCGAGGGCGTCGTGGACGTCGAGGGCAGTGACGAGCAGTGGGGCCTCGCATGACATGCTGTATATGGGCGTCTGTGATCGCCGGGCCGATCGAATCGATGATACGATGAATCTCAGATCCGATCGCGCGCTGTGTGCAGGCGCCCGTGGTGTTCCCAGCCGACTCATGTTCCTCCCCAGCCTATCGCGCCTTGCCTCCCGAGTCCCCGCCCTCACTGCAACTACTCGACGTGCCATGTCGTCTGCTGCTCCTCCAGAGTTCAGGCCGTTCAACCTTGCGCTCATTCAGTTGGGCCAGGTTGGTGCGGATAAGGCGGGTAGGTGAAGTGTGATAAGGCTAGGCTCACAGCTCGCCGGACACGCTGACTGGACATGCCTTCTAGCCAACCTCAAGCATGCTCGTGAGATGATCATGAAGGCTGCAAGAGGAAACGGAGGATCAAAGCCCAAGCCGAACCTCGTTGTGTTGCCAGTTCGTAGCATGTTGCACTCGTTCACCGTAGCATCCCAACTCACTGCGAGAAACAGGAGTGCTTCAACTCTCCGTACGGACACACGCACTTCCCTGTCTATGCTGAGACAATTGGATACAAGCCTGGGGAGTCATACAGCGTTGAGGCGTCGGTGAGCGAGTCGGTGAAGATGTTGTCGGCTGCGGCGAAAGAGGCAGGAGTCTGGCTCATTGGAGGTACGTCCTGACTATCGCGCATACCCTCATTCTCACGGGTGCGCACGATGCAGGTTCGATACCTGAACGCGATGAGACGGACCAGAAGGTGTACAACACCTCAACGGTATATTCACCTGCAGGTAAGTGCGCGCGTTTTGAGACCAACGGCTGTTTCTGAGCCTCGGCTGTAGGAGAGCTGGTCGCTATGCACCGTAAAGTACACCTGTTCGACATCGATATTCCTGGGAAGATCACGTTCAAGGTTTGTCCGCCTTAAGGCCCGCTCAAGGTGTAATTCTCAACTCTTCACAGGAGAGCGAGACGCTCTCAGGAGGCACCAGTATCAACTACTTTGATACGGGTATGTCCATCGTCTTGTCGAGACTAGCCGCAGCGCTCACTAAGTGGCTACGGTAGAGTTCGCCCGCATTGGACTCGGCATCTGCTACGATGTGCGCTTCCCAGAGCTCGCAATGATCAGCGCACGGAAAGGTCCGCCCGTCCGCACGTCGTTGACGAACTTCGTAAAGCTAATCGTGTTTCAGGCTGCCAAGTCCTCATATACCCCGGCGCCTTCAACCTTACAACAGGTCCTCTTCATTGGGAGCTGCTGCAGCGGGCACGGTGAGCTACTGTGAATTTTAGTTGCGTTCGCACTAACGCAGTCGAATGCACAGAGCGAACGACCAACAAGTGTATTTCTCGATGTGCAGCCCCGCACGAGACCTGTCGGCTGGGTACCACGCGGTGAGTCGCAGATCCTGCGTCCGGCCGGTCGAGCCCCTCCGATGACATTTCCTGTTCACAGTGGGGCCATTCGATGGTCGTCGATCCCATGTGAGCTCTCGTCGCAGTCTCTCTGTCAGCCACCCGTACTGACGCGCTGCGCAGGGGCAAGGTGATCGCAGAGACGGAGCACGAGGAGGCCATCGTCTACGCGCACATCGGTCGGTCTCACTCTGTCTTAAATCTATACGTTCAATCTCATACTGATGTTCTGGCAGACCCGAAGACGTTCCACGACGCGCGGGCGGGGATCCCGGTGACGGTACAGCGGCGGTTCGACGTGTACGCGGACGTGAGCGAGGGCGTCGTTGTCGGGAAGTAGTAGATGTTGTGTTGTGTATAGTAGAGTGTGTATCAGTACTTGGCTGTTGTGGCGCTCGGGTGTGTGTTCGGGCACAGATGGGCGCTTATCTGTACTCAGCAAGGCGAAGGTTCCGGTGCATTCGACGCGCTTCCATCGTGTTCCCTCACCGCTTTTATCGCGCCTCCCTCGCCCTCCGCCGCCGCTCCTGCTCCCTCTCCCAGCTCCTTTTCTCCTCCCCCCACGACCCCCACCCACCCCACGCAGCGACGACGATGGTCAAGGAAACGTGAGTGGCTGCCCACAGCGGTGTGCAACCACCAGGCTGATCTGGCGCCCCCGGTGCGCGTTGCGCCACAGTAAATACTACGACCTCCTCGAGGCCTCGCCAGACGCATCCGACGCGGACCTCAAGAAGGCCTACCGCAAAAAGTGAATGCCACCTCTTGATTGGCAGCGCAGGCGCATATGCTGACGACCTCGATCCGCCTAGAGCACTACGACTGCACCCAGACAAGGGTGGTGACCCGGAGTTGTTCAAGGAGGTAACACAAGCGTGAGTATCCTTCAGAGTGCCTGGTTCTACCGGTGTGCGTGGTTTGGGCGGTGGTGGAGAGGCTTGGGGCGGCGGTGGGAAGCCTGCGCAACATCGGACACAACAGTTTTCGCGATCGGCGCCTGCATGCTCGTGGGCTGCGTGCGGCCGGTGCAGCGGCAGCGCTAAGCGGGTCGCTTAGTGCACCTGCAGCGTGCAGGTCACCGCCCGGTGGACTCCGTCGACTTCCAGCCGCCGTGGGGGCCTGGCACTCAATATTATGAACTCGAACGAAATGCTCACATCCCTTCGTGCGCAGATATCAAGTCCTCTCAGATCCACAAAAGCGAAGCATCTACGATGCACGGGGAGAGGCAGCATTGTCAGAATCAGGCGGCATGGGTGGCATGGATCCCCAGGTGCGTCACCCTTGTCTAGTTTTCTGCTGCGTCCCAACCAACGCACCTCCAGGATCTGTTCAGCCAATTGTTCGGCGGCGGAGGCTTCTTCGGCGGCGGTGGTGCATCCCGCGGGCCGCGCAAGACGAAAGACCTCGTCCACCGTGTACACGTCACGCTCGAGGACCTCTACAAGGGCAAGACGTCGAAGCTCTCGCTCACACGGAACGTTATCTGCGCCAAGTGCAGCGGCAAGGGCGGAAAGGAGGGTGCGGTGCAGACGTGTACGACGTGCCACGGGCAGGGTGTGCGCGTCACGCTGCGCCAGATGGGCCCGATGATCCAGCAGATCCAGCAGCCGTGCGACACGTGCAGCGGGACGGGCGAGATGATCAACGCGAAGGACCGCTGCAAGACGTGCAACGGCAAGAAGGTCATCAGCGAGAAGAAGATGCTCGAGGTCCACATCGACAAGGGCATGAAGGGCGGCCAGACGATCAACTTCCGCGGCGAGAGCGACCAGGCACCCGGCGTCACCCCCGGCGACGTTATCATCGTCATCGAGGAGAAGCCGCACGAGCGGTTCAAGCGCCAGGGCGACGACTTGGTTATTGACCAGGAGGTCGACCTGCTCACAGCACTCGGCGGAGGCCAGTTCGCGATCAAGCACCTCGACGACCGGGCGCTCATCGTCAAGATCAACCCCGGCGAGGTCATCAAATACGGTACGTCTTCGGATGATTGAGTTGCGTAGCTTTCCTTGCTGACGGCGGGCGGCTCCAGGCGACCTCAAGGTTATCCCCGGCCAGGGCATGCCCTCCTACCGGCATCACGAGGCAGGCGACCTTTTCGTGCACTTCACGATCAGGTTCCCCGACCGGCTCGACCCGTCGGTCATCCCGACGCTCGAGCGCGCGCTCCCGCCACGCACGCCGCTCGAGAAGTTCCCGAAGAGCATCGTACTCGACGATGTCGAGCTCGAGGAGGCGGACACCCGGCAGCGTGCACGGGCGAGCGCGGCGGACTCGATGGACGAGGACGAGGAGGGCGAGCCGAGAGTGCAGTGCGCGAACCAATGATCGGCCGGCCGCTCGGTCATAATGAGTTGGTTGCCGCCCTCTGCTGGTGCTTCGCTTGGTTGTTGGTGGCGGGTGGCCGCTGGCTGGCTTGTATCGTGTGTGCTGTTCGTTCTGGATCACCCTCTGTGCGCTCCTCTACCCGTCCTGTTCCCCTCCTCCCCCTCTTGCCCGCGCACACCGCCGCTTCCCGAGCCCGCACACCTCCCTTGGGCTCACGCATCCGCCCCCTCATCTGTTGCTTTGTTTGTTGCATGACATCCACGTATTGTACAACGCGCACTAGTTGCATCCATGACTAGAACCTCTCCTGTGACAGTATACCGCTACAATTGTACAGCTAGAGATGGACAGAGCATGCACACGGAGCGCGAGATTGTGTGTCCAGTGGCGATCTTCGCTGTTGAGTGTGGTATGCGAAGGTCTGCGTCCCAGATGCTCTTCGACCTCGATGAGCCGGTGAAGGGGCGTGGTTAGTGCGCTCGAGGTCCTGTCGGCTAAGCTGAAGATCGTCTTAGTAGGAACTTACCATAACATCGGAGCCAGCGCGTCGGAGTCTTCTTATCGTAAGTACTCTGTACAGATCGCGACCCGCTATGTCCGAGCCTCAACATGCGCTCATTCAACGAGCTCCCTCATGACCTGTAGGTGCACACAGGTACGTGTCACTTACTGCCTTTATTACTTGCTTCCAGCTGACACCACGACTACTATAGGTAGCCGTTCGTTGTGACACGTTGCCACCAAGATAGGTCAACTGGTCGTCTTGTGAGTCTGATGATACGTAGCCGAAGCTCTGACTACTTGTTATTGTCACACCGCTTTTTAGCACACAACTTCTGGATCATCGCTCAGGCCCAGGACCGAGCAGATCGCTCCGCCGGCGAGTCCGAGTCCTACATTGTGCTAACGGAGACGCAACACACTACTGGATGCGCTGACAACACTTCCGTGGTGCGTTTTGGTCACGAGGCAGTACTACTACGCCGTCGCAGTAGCCTATGTGGTAGGGGGCGAGCCAACGGACGCGTCCGAGGCGGCGGATCCGAGTCAAGCAACGACGACCTTCAATATGGATATGTGGCTCGCAACGCAATGTCTTCGGCTCCCATTCCTATGAATTCGTCGGCTCGCTGGGACGGAGTGATCATGACATGTTACAGCAGACGACTCCTAGGCTGGCGTATCAGGCATGCGAGACTGTTCCCCGCTTCTCCTGAGGCCTGAGGCCTGAGGTTTAGTGTGTCCTTTCATCAGCAGTGACGCAAGATCTCGATAGCTAGACGGTGAGCGCTGGTCATACTTTATGAGCACTGTATCGATATGACGGCTCATGACTCTCGATGGTATTTAGGGCCTCTCGGGGAATGCGTCCACAGTCGCATGAATCTGATACACCGCCAAGGAACCGCTGCTACTAGCTGTGTAAGGTATGTTTCAATCATTCCACCAGTACTGGGTCCTGCGTTGCATTGTGAGTCTCGATGGGCATGCATACAGGGTCTTCATGTTCCTCACTGTCCTGCTCACCGCCTGCGCACTACGACTGGAATCATGGAGAAATTCGATAACGATATGTCCTCGCATGTCTTGGCTGTTCGGCCGTGGTACTAATGTGCTGGTAGCTCGATGGCGCATGCTGACAGCGGCGAATCAACTTGAAGAATTCAGCGGCACTCGCAATCTGATAAGGTGGTCGCGTCTTGATTTATTCCGCTGTTCTGACCCCAGCTGTTCGCTTTCAGTGACACACATCTCAGACTCTGGATGTGGCCTTTCACAAAGGCAGGTTTACATGGCATACCTGCCACCGAGTGGGGATTGGCACCGTATGGTCCTTCGCTTGCTTCTGTGGCGCAGTGTGTCTTCAATATCAGCAGGCCAATGCTGATCATTGAAGTGCTGCCATTGAATGTGTATCTGTCGCTAAATATACGTCACACGTGCACTGCATAGAGTGAAGGTACTGTGCCTCCAACTCATCCGTTCACAACATACATTCGGTTGCCTCCAGTGAAGGTGTCGACGCTGAAGTATATTCTACTGTACATCGAATGTACGTGACGGCCTTATGACGCTACAGATATCGTAGACAGGATATGCAATCGCGTCTGCATCTGTCCGTGGTAGGCAAGGGATTATGGAAGCACTCGATTCATTCTACTCACTACTCTGACATCTCAGTTACTTTCCAGGTCTTAAACATTGCCGTCGCTCTGGTCTGACAGCACAACGGAAGAGGGAAGCGGATCGGGGTCACAATTCGTGTGGCTCCCTGTACTACCCTATGATCCACGATCAATGGTCGTACACGTACAGCTAAGCCTAGCTTTTGCGATGGACACATCGAATACAGGGCCGAACGTATTTAAAGTGCAATAGCTTCCCATTTTTCCCCATCGCACCTCAAAAGACTTCAGTACATAGTTGAATATGTCGCTCAAGCTCATCCGTGTCCTCTCCGGCCTCGTCGCTGTCGCAATGACTGCTGTCCCCGCTGCTTCTAACGAGCTAGCGGCCCGGGTGCGTCTCATATGAATGGTGATTATGTTTTATCGCTGACAGCACTGCAGCAGTCGACGGACGCTAGCACTACATGTGATACCGATTCAGCTATCCCGTTCTACCGTTGCGCTCGCCCCCAGTCGGATCACTTCTACACCGTCAATTACAACGAGATGCAAACTTCCGTTGATGAGGGAAGTGTCTTCGAAGGCAATATGGGTCTCGTCTTCAGGAGTCCGACCGCGAACACCACTCTCTTCTACCGCCTCTACAACGTTGGCGCAACCGACCACTTCTACACTACCAATCAGGGGGAGGCCGACGTGACGATCCAGCTTGACGGCTACACCACTGAAGGCACGGCAGCCTACGTTTACTCGGATCAGATCTGCGGCAGCATCCCATTGTACCGCCTGTATGCCCCGGGCGACCAGGACCATTTCTACACGACAAACGAGACGGAGAGGGACTCCGCCGTAGCTTATGCAGGGTACATCTATGAAGGGATCGCTTGCTATGTCTTGCCGAACCTCTGATGTGGTGAAGGTATGCGGAAAACTTCGCATGGGGGCTGGCACTCTCTGAACCCTCTACAGCCACATAGAAATGTGAGGTGTCTGTAGGTGTCAACACCTGGCACACTCCGTACCACATGGAAACGGATATCGACCTCTCCAATCTCCTTGCGGGGTCTCCCCGTCATCGATCTGATATTAGCCTCCTCTGTTTTCATGTGTCACGGATTCGACGTTGTCTAGAGTTGAGGCAGCGGCCGTATACATTACCATTGAACGTCGCAAATCTGAGCGTGCGTCAATCGGAGTCGTTTTCAGGGACGACTTAAGGACGGCTTCGTTCTTGTCTAAATTGAAATATCAGTACGGTAGTATGGTATCCCACCTGCGCTCAATTTTCTGAGTCTCGGCGTTCGATACATATGCGCTTCCAGAGCAACTGTAGCCGATTCGTTCATTGACGCAGCTTATTCACGCAAGAGGAATGTCACCAGCGCTCGAAGTATATTATCCATCGAAAACACACAGATGTTCAACGAACATGTCCGCCTTCGGTGATTACCGCTACCTAGTAGTGGAACAATAATCACGACGGGGGAAAGCCTGAAGGAGGATGCGATCATCAATCGCCACGCTGTACTACTGCTCGGCGACAGGAGTAAGAGTGGCCGTGTAAAGAAAAGGACCGGACAATCAAAATGAACGAATGAGACCTGATCCCAATGAAGGGTCCGACGTCTCGGTGACGCGACTGGAGTTGAAGCCAGTGTGTACAGTCTACATTCGCCGCTGCTTTAGTATATATATCATAAGGCCGTGAACAATGAGAAACCACTCACTCAGCTCGTACGTCAGAGATTGGGAAGAATGTACGCAGCAGTACCCTGCAGCACGTAGCCGTCGTTGCTGACAGCGTTATCCGCCTCGGTCTTGTTCGCGGTATAGTAGTGGTCAGTCGCGCTCGCCTTGTACAGCTGATAGAGCGGCACGCTGCCGCAGATATCCGTGGTGTAGACGTAGCCGACATAGCCCCTGTCAATGTAGCCCTGGTTCTCAATGACTTCGTCTGCGCGAGTGGAATTGACGGTGTAGAAGTGGTCATAGTTGGTCGGGTTGTAGAGGCGGAAGAAGATCGTAGAGTCGACGACGGGGTCGCGGTAGATGAACCCGAGGCGGCCTTGGACCTCGTAACCGTCAGCGCGAGAATTGTTGATCTGCGCGTAGTTGGTGGAGTAGAAGTGGTCCGTGCGGCTGCTGCTGGCTCCCCAAAACGGGGCAGCGTGTTCAATGTCGCAGACAGCCTGCACAATAAAGTGAGCACAATTGACATCAAAAAGTTCGTGTAGCACATAAACGTGTAGACAGCTGCGAGGTCGCGGGTGCAGACATCACAGCCGTCATGGCGGTGAAAGCCAAGGTGATAGCGCAGATGAGAGACTTGAAAGGCATCGCGAACTGAGGGCTGAGGATATCGTTTGCGTACAGAGCGCCTTATATACGGTTCACGGACTAGACGATCGTAGACGGATGGATCACGAGTTTCGTTTCTTGAGGCTTGCATTCTCGCAACACTCGACGTTCGTCCGCAAAGTGAACAGTCAAGAAATTCACTCACAGACATCATCACGAACGGTTTCGCGACATATGACACATTTCATGCATGGAAACCTTGGCCCTGTGGTTCAGAATCTTGGACTGCCGGCACCGCAGATCATGGAAGGAGCCGCGCGGGGTGAGAAGAGTGATGAGACCGGTGTACCATTGGCACCGGAGATTGCGTTGTTGCGTATTGACTGCCTACAGTGTCAGGGAAGTCCGTTTAGCATGAATAACGACGAGTTGATAGCAGAGCCTGAGGATGAAACATGCATAAGTGCCCCATCAATAGAGACCTCGCTGTACAGTCTGGCAAACATACCTGAATGACATCGGCAAGCCGTTGATTAGCTTAGAAGCGTGTTCCGGATTCGGTCCATTTTTGCGGACGTACAGAAGGATTTTGTTGGCACGGAGGAGTCCCGGTGACCGCGGTACTCACTAGTGTAGGAACTGCACCGCGGTCAGACGCTCAGTCGTTGGTAACACTCGACTTATATTAGAGTTACCTGCACCGCGGTCAGACGCTGTGCAGGGCGTGAGCTACTATGGTAGGTAACGGACGGGAATGTTCTCACCTCAGTCGTTGGTAACACTCGACTGAGGGAAGAAGGGGGAGGAGAGGACGAGACGACGAACCACCCCCGGCGGTCTGTCACGTGCGGTGTGGCGGGGATCGAGGTCACGCGCCGTAACCTCAACACTCCTCCTCGGCGCAGACTCGACGAGATCCTGCCCAGGAGGGGGAACAGTATCGTACGTATAGTAGGTATCGCGCATGGAGAGGGTTTCGCTCGTATGGTGAGGTCATTTGTATCGTAATCTGTCGTTGAGAGGCGTGGTGCGAACAAACGAGGGAAGAGAAAGAGAAAGAATGTGTGTCGTGAAAGAACGGGGATGTCGTGAATGAATACGGGACACCAAGAACTCCTCCTCACCGTCAAGAACTCCTCCTCACCGCACAAGCTCCTCCTCGGATGGAGGACGAAGGCCCATGCGAGTGCGAAGCGTCAGGAACGGTTTGCGCTCGAGTGGCTTGGTGAACGCGTCGGCAACGTTGAGGTGACCGGGAACGTGCTGCAAGGCGACGCGTTTGGCGGCGACTACTTCGCGGAGGTAATGCCATTTGATGTCAATGTGTTTCACGCGAGCGTGGAAGGTGGAGTCCGTGGAGAGTGACATGGCACTGGTGCTGTCGACGCGCATGAGGGAGGCCACAGGCTGGGGGAACCCGATGCCGTCGAGGAGGAAGCGCAGCCAGATTGCTTCTTTGGAGGATTCGGCAGCCGCGATGTATTCGGCTTCCGTGGTGGACGTGGAGACGGTAGGTTGTTTGCGCGCCGCCCAGGACACGATCCCAGAGCCCAGGTTCCAGCAATAGCCGCCGACGGAACGGCGAGTATCGTAGCACCCGGCATGGCTCGCGTCCGCAAAACCGTTGAGGTTCGCCGCATCGGGGCCGCCGAGCTCGAGGCGGAATGTCCGCGTACCCTTCAGGTAGCGCACGACGCGCTTCGCTGCATCCCAGTGGATAAGTGAGTAGCAGTCGAGGAATTGGCTCAACTGCTGGACAGCAAGCGCAATGTCCGGACGCGTACCGATCGCCAGATACATGAGACATCCTACTAGGGAGCGGTACGGCAGACGCGCGGCCCGGTCCTTCTCCACCTGGGTCTTGGGACTGTGCTGCGTGCGAGACAGGCGAAGGCCGGCGTCCATGGGAGTGGAGATGGGGGCGCAATCCATACCGTCGAGACGGAATTCGGCGATGATCTTGTCGATGAGCGCTGTCTGCGAGAGAGCGACAGTGCGCGTCGCGCGGTTGCGATCGATCTGGATGCCTATACAGAAGCGGGCGTCGCCAAGCTCTGCGATAGCCCATTTTCGACGGAGCTCGGGTTAGCAGGAAGTCATCGACATGCACTCCGGTGAGAACAATACCGCGCTCGTTCTTGCGGTAGTAGATGCAATGCTCGCATGAGAGCCGCGTGAAACCGAGTTCCAGCATATACTCGTTGAGCGTGTCATTCCACGTACGACCGCCCTGCTTGGTTCCATAGATTCCGCGCACCAGCTCCCATACCCAGGATTCCTTACCAGGCTCCTCGAAGCCCTTGGGCTGCTCCATGTAGAGGTGCTCGTCGTCAGGTAAGATGCCGTGAAGGAAGGCCGTCTTGACGTCGAGCTGCTCGATTTCCCAGTCCATGGAGGCTGCAATGTGCAGGAGCACCCGGAAGGACTCCATCCGCATTGTCGGGGAGGAGGTTCGGTTGTAGTCGAGGCCATACACCTGCTGGAAGCCCTTCGCGCACCAACGAGACTTGAACCGGACGGGCTCACCCTTCTCGTTCCGTTTCAGCCGGAAGACGGGCTTGCCCTTGAGTACGCGACGACCGGCGGGAACCTGAGAGCGCGGGATGAGCTTGTAGACTCCGAGGTCCTTGATGGATTTGAGCTCGTCGGACAAGGACGCCGCCCACTCGGCTTTGAACGGGCCAGACATGGCTTCCTCCAGGGTGGCGGGATCGCCCGGGTACTCCACGTCCATGGGAATGGCGTCCGACGCGGCGAGAGCCTCGAGCTGAGCGAGGATGTCGGGCTCGTCTGCCGGGGGCGGGTCATCGACGACGAAGTCCGGGGGCACCTGTGGTTCGGCGGGAGCATGCACGGCAACCACTTCAGGCACGTCGGGAGCCACCGACGCGCGGGAGGGCGCTGGCACGGCCGAGTCTGTAGCAGGACGAGGAACGTGAGCACGAATCTCGTCAACTGTACGTTGCAGGCGGGTGACGTGAGGGAGACCATCGGCCTCCGCACGACGCTGGGATGGCACGGGGATACGGGAGGATCGCCGTGGAGGTGCGGCGGCGGCGGGCGCAGGCAGGTCAGCCTCCGGGACAACCGGCACGGCGGCGTCAGGCGCGTGAACGATGACCGGAGGCACCATAAGGGGCGCGGCGGGTTCGAGGGGCGGTACCGGGTCGTCCGCTATGATCCCGCCGTGTGGGACGCCAGGCGCGACAGGTGCGGCAGGTACACTGGGAGCCAACGCAACGGGAGACGCTTCATGCGATTCGATGAAGGCCACATGAAAAGAGCTTACGACTTTGTGAGTGGCGCGATGGTAGCAGCGGTAGGTTTTGGAGTTCAGACCATAGCCGACGAGCACGCACTCGACAGATCGCTCGTAGATCTTCGGGTTGTGCTTGTTCTGAATGAGCACGAAGGCCCTACAGCCGACTTCCCGGAGATGGGAGAGGTCGGGCTTACGACCGTACCAAGCTTCGTACGGGGTGACGCCCGGAGAGAGGGAGCGTGATGGAGTGCGTACCGTTAGATAGTTGGCGGTAAGTAAGAACTCGTCCCAGCGGTTCGCGGGAACGTTCGCTGCGAGGCGCATAGCCCGAGCGCGATCCATCAGGGTACGGTGCAGGCGCTCCACGCGACCGTTGTGCGCAGACGTGTACGCTGCAGTGAGCCGGAGCGAGATACCGCGGCGTGCGAGGAAGGCCTTGAAGGTGCCAGATAGCAGTTCGCCGTTGTCAATTTGCACGGCCCCAATCTTCTCGCCAGATTCGGTCTCGACGGCGTTGGCCCAGGCCTCGAATCGCGGCTCAGCGGCGTCCTTGGACGGGACGGGGATCGTCCACGAATACGACGTGTGGTCGTCAATTATGTCTAATGAATACACATTGCCAGTCGCTGATTGAGAATCCATCTGCCCTTGTAGGTCAACGTACACCAGCCCCAATTTCCGCTTCGCCTTTTCCCCCTCCCGCACCTTAGGAACAGCTGATCTCGTCTGCTTGCCGAGGATACAGTGTTCACATTTGTTTGGTGCAGGAGAGAGGGTGATGGGCATACCTTTGGCAGAGCGAAGGCGAGCCATGTCGTAGATTGAACGGTGATTGACATGACCCAGGCGGCGGTGCCAGGTGTCAAGGGTAGGCAGGCGAGAGGACAGGAGGGCGTGTTCGGTGGAAGGCGGAGTGCCGTTGAGCGAGTAGAGACGACGACCAGTGAGAGTACCAGACGCGACGACAGCACCACTGCGTGTCAGGATGGACACCCCCTCGTCGTCGAACATAACTCTGTAGCGAGAGACGGAGCGGCACAAAGCGGAGATGCTGATGAGACGGACCGTGGCGCGAGGCACATAGAGGACGTCGTCAAGAACCAGAGAGGCACCGCGCCCGATGCGCAACTTGACCTTGCCGACACCACAGGCGTAGATGACGGATCCGTTGATGCCACGTATCCCGCGAGGCTCGATGGGACGGAGGTCGTGGAAGTCGCGCCGGTTCGGGGACAGATGCGTGGAGGCGCCCGAGTCGAAGACAAAAGGCTCAGATCCGACGGTAGACACGCGACGAGAGGCAGCGGGCAGCGGGACAACAGAGTAGGCAGATGGGTTCACAGCGTCACGAGCATGAGATACCCAGTTGAGAGATACCTTGTCCTCAGCGGCAAGCGAGACGAGAGCCTGATACTCTTGAACGTCGGCCGGCGTCGCTACAGAGTCAGCCCAGGCCGGGGTGGAGGCGACGTTGGCCAGCTCGGCAAACTCGTCAGATTCCAAGTCAGGCTGGGCGGACGAGCGAGCGGGTGGGTCCACGCTAAGAAAGTATACCTTGCCGGTAGACGTGTCGACCACGAACGGACGACCGGAGGAGTCAACGGACGCCGACTTGGCCAGGGAAGTGGGTGCCGACGACGTAGAAGCAGCGGCAGCAGTCTCCTTGGCTTTTCCTTGGCGACCACGACGGCGCGACGCCAGGTATTCGTCGCGTTTGGCCTTGTCCTCGAGACCGCCGCCCTTGGCGAAGCAGGTGTCGATGAGGTGGCCCTTCGGATTAGGACACGCAGGGTTGGAGCACATGCGCGTGGTGCGGCCGGCTTGGAAAGAGGCGGCAAGGGCGTCGGACGTACCGGGAACCGCATCGACGCCACTCATCTGTTGCTCGAAGTCCAGGCGCTTGAAGATGTCGACGGAGGTATACGGAGCGTCGGCAGTGCTGGCCGCGAGGGACGTCCCGACCTGGGACTGCATATACTTGAGATGACCGGCCATGGCGTTCAGCATAGCGACGGTCATCATGACGTCGGCAGAGGGAAGACCGATATTGTAGATGCGGTCCACAATCTCTTGCATGCGAAGGCTGGTCACGGAGTAGCGTTCGGTTGGGACGTACCGGCAGTTGAATAACTCCTGAATCAACGTCGCCTGCGCATATGCTCCGGGTTCCTTCTCGTGGCGCAGGCACAAGGCCTTCCACACGGCCGCGAGCGAGGGTCCGCTCTTTTGTATGAAGACCTGTTCCTCCTTGTTCGTCTTCGACTCGAGGAAGGCGATGGCGACCATTTCGTTACAGTCGAAGTTGTACGCGGAGGCAGAGTCGACGGCCGGATCGGGTCGCTCGATGTAGCCGGTGAAGTACGGCCACAGGTGACACATCTTGGCACTTCGCTCGACGTACGCCTTCCACTCGAACCAGTTGCTCTTCGCGCGGTCGAGGATCTCGCCGCCGGCGTGCATGGACGAGGGAATCGCTATCGACGAGATGGTTTTCGGCTGAGGGCGAATGCTCGGAAGTTTGCCGGGCTCGGACATGATGGATGAGACGCGGCCCGGTGCTTTCGGACTCGGCTGAGGGGTCTTCGTCATTAGACGCGAGAGAAGGTGGCTATATGCGGGTAGAAACGCGCTTCTGTGGGCGTTGCGATGTTACGCGGGGGTCTGCGAACGAGTAGCTAGCTCCAGGTACTGGTGCGGGGGCTCAATACCTCCGACCAGGGCTCATAACCTGTAGGAACTGCACCGCGGTCAGACGCTCAGTCGTTGGTAACACTCGACTTATATTAGAGTTACCTGCACCGCGGTCAGACGCTGTGCAGGGCGTGAGCTACTATGGTAGGTAACGGACGGGAATGTTCTCACCTCAGTCGTTGGTAACACTCGACTGAGGGAAGAAGGGGGAGGAGAGGACGAGACGACGAACCACCCCCGGCGGTCTGTCACGTGCGGTGTGGCGGGGATCGAGGTCACGCGCCGTAACCTCAACAACTAGGTGGTAACGACTCCCACTAAGCAGTGTAGCGCCGGCTCAGAACCGCCGCCACGCGTATACGCGCGTGAATGCCAACGTCACATGAGCGCGCCATTGCATTCGCAGTCTTGTCAACAAACGCCAAGGATTCAGAGTGTCCTCTGACGGCCTTGTGGTACACTTTGTTTCCGCGGAGCCAGCGTCCCAAAGGAGATGCTTCTGTCAACTGTCGTCGCGCCGTCAGTCCGTACAGTGCTAGCGGCGAAGTTGAATAATCTCGGTCGGAGGTTCGACACAACAAGCCTTTCCCATGTTCGTCGGAGCTCTTACTATTACTCAATCCTTGCATTCAGATAACGCTCTGTCATTGGCGTAGTGGAGTAGAACCAGCAGGCCACAGAATTGCAATAGCGCACTTCCGTGGACTGCCATAGTAGCAAGCAAGCAGCCAGGCGCGTTCATCCGAGGTGAGTTCCTCTACTAGTACGAAGTTGTCCAACGTCGGACACGCGGGAAGTCAACGCTCGGTGAGTGCAAATTCAACCTACTCAACGGCAATACGCTGCTCCATATGCGAGGGCGCTGCATGCAACGTGCGCTACGTTAATCTGCTCTTCCCAGACCACATTCTTCCCTGCAACTCGATCAAAGGTGCGTAAGGCTGTGTCGTGTATGTACTCGCGGACCGACGGCGCGTCGAAGAACGAATCCTAGCGATCCCCGCCATCAATTGCACGGCCGCTATATGAACTTCACCGGACGTTGGCGATTGGCTCCAACGAGGTTGACACTTGGTTCAACGACTCCGTTCACTATGGTGAATGCCCTACGTAAACGTGTGTCGTTCAATTCACCATTTTTATGGCTTCTCCTCAGACGTCATCAACCATCCGCTTCTCATCTTGATGCGATGTGATGTCCAACATCGACTCTAGTGTATTCTTGGAAGGCCAGTAGCAGACGGTGTCGTTTCACTACATCACGGCCCTGCTTCCAGGGTCGATGTTCTGTTCATGTGGTGCAACTTACCGTCATAGGCGATAAAATGGAGGGCTCCCAGCATTCTTCAGAACGCGTCGTGTTTCAATTATCTTTCGACCAATCCTTGCTCAATGACTCCGTTTGCATTCGGACAGCCATTTCCAGGTCACCTGAATGAGCTAGAAGCCATCATTCAAGCTCGAAAGGTCCGCGGACTTTACGACAAATATCACACGGGAACCTCTTGCCGTTTCGCTGAATATGCGACATCTTCGCTCCTTGCAAGTGCCGAACGTGCAGCGTGTCTCTGTGGTTCGACAGTGCGGGGATGTGCATATGCATGACGAGGCTGATACTGTACAGGCCTCCCATGGGGTGGGCCGTTCAGAGTCAATTAGACATCTGGGCCGAAAGGTGACGGGAGAAAACCAGACATATATAAAGCGCGATGCTCAATACGCTCAGCTACCCACCAAGTAGGAAGCGCAACCACACGCCGGCATGTCTCTCAAGTTCGTTGCCGCGATTGTCCTCTGCATCGTCGCCACTGCGATGGGGGCTGTTGCCGACCCGACCGCGTCACAGGACCTGACTGCCAGGGTACGTTTTTATGCCAGTTCCTCGACAATCAATTCCAGCATTGATTTATTTGCCGCAGGCCGATTGCGATGTCGACTCCGCCGTGCCGTTCTTCCGTGCTTACAGCACCTCTGCCACGGACCACTTCTACACTACTAACTACGCCGAGATGAAGAACGCCATCACCAACCTGAGCTACTCGTACGAGGGCAACATGGGTCTCATCTTCCGCATCCCCACCGTCTCCACGGCGCTGCTCTATCGCCTCTACTCCCCCAACGCTTTCGATCACTTCTACACTACCAACCAGAGCGAGGCCAACAATGCGGTACGCGAGCTGGCTTACTACGACGAAGGCGCCGCGGGCTACGTCTTCCAGACCGAGATCTGCGGTAGTGTCCCGCTGTACCGTCTGTACAGCGCCAGCGCTATGGACCACTTCTACACCACCAGCGAGACGGAGCGGGGGAATGCGATCTCCCAGCTCGGGTACTCGGACGAAGGAATCGCGTGTTATGTCATGCCTGGCCTCTGATCCCAGACGGTATGTAGGGAACAGCAGTCAAAGTGTACTTTTCTAACAGCGGCTCATCGCGCAGGTATCGGTCGGGCTTGGAGTGGGTTTCAACACCCGCCGACTTTCGCATCTGGGATGATCTTGCGGGTGTCAGAGTGTCTCGCACGCTCCTTTCTTCGTTGTTCTTCGACATTATCTATACTGTACCCAGTGGACGTGTTCCACCAATCGAGTTTAATGGTCATTTCGGCACGATTTGTGCGAGTAGGAGGATCATGAGAGCGGTTCCGCCTGCCATCCAGCCCACATGAGAGGTAGCGCATTCTGCGGCGAGCTGCGCTACATATCCCCTCAGTGAGACGGTGCCATGATCCAGCGGCCTGCAGTGACTCCGCGGGATGGGCCGCGGTGAACATTACCAGGAAGATGAATGAAGGTAGACCACAGACACCCAGCAGTTGAACTCATCCTGAGAGAATGATACAGTAGTCAGCAAAAGTACTTAGCAAGGAATCAAAGCTACAGCTGCCTGTTGGGGCGGCTGCGAGTGAGTGGCAGCGCGACGCGTCGCGAGCCCCACTGGTGTATCACGTGTGCGCGACACCGCCCGACGCGTAGTCTCCGGCACCTCAGGCTGTGGCTGCAGTGAGATGTTGTCTTCAGACGGTTGTCTCATCGTTCGGGCGGGCTCCCACCTCCTCGCCGTCGAGTCGACCACACTTTAGTCATGGCATGTCTCAGGCCAGGCATGACGCGTCCCAGTGTATTCCGAGGAGGCGCCAGAGACCTGCTCAGTACTTAAGGGGCTGCAGCTTCCTGAGTACTTCAGCAATCTCCCCACTCGTGTATAGAGTAAGTTCTCAACATGTCTCTCGAGAAGAAATCCATGCCATACGGTAAGTACGCGTTCTCAGTCCACCGTGTTCGCTTCTGACCCAAGTATTATATCGGCATACAGTCCGGCTCGGGAAGTCCGGCCTCAAGGTGTCGAAAATCATCCTAGGATGCATGTCCTACGGTAACAAAGGCTGGAGCGAGTGGGTCATCGACGAACAGGAGGAGGTAACCAAGCACATCAAATATGCGTGAGTGCGATTTTTTCTTGCGCAACGCGTCCCGCTGAAGCGCACGGCAGCTATGACCACGGCATTCAGACATTTGATACGGCAAATGTTTGTCTTACCCTCACATCTTCTGGATGCGTCGGCTGAGACCCGATCGTTTTGCAGGTATACTCCAATGGCCTCTCGGAGGTCATGCTTGGCAAGGCCATCAAGGAACTGCAGCTTCCCCGCGAGGAGCTCGTTATCCTCACCAAGGTTGATCGCCGCTCCTGACATCAGCGCCTCCGGCCATGCTGACCGACATTAGGTCTTTTGGCCAGTTGCGCCCGCCTACGATGTGCTGCTCTACGGCAAGGACCCACAAGATTTTGGGATCATTAATCAACACGGGCTGAATCGCAAGGTGCGCCCGTATCTGTTTATCAGCCCGCTAGGCGCGTATGCTGACTCCGGGCGGTCTGTAGCACATCTTTGACTCGGTGAAGAAGAGCCTCGAGCGCCTGCAGGTCGACTACATTGATGTCCTTCAGTGTGAGTATCGTAGCGGCATCTCGTGTAACGCACGGCCTAACAGGTAAATCAGGCCATCGGTTTGATTATGACACGCCGATCGAGGAGACGGTTCGTAACTGCTTTGCGACATGTTGGGAAACCGGACTAACGATGACATAGATGCAAGCCCTCCACGACATTGTGCAAGCCGGCTACGTCCGGTACATCGGCATGAGCTCTTGTCATGCCTATCAGTGTACGTGACACGACCTCCTACGATCGCATACACCGTAGAAACTGACCAAACACATCCAGTCCATGCTATGCAGAGTACGTGCCCTCGCTCAACCTGTAGGCAGAACATGAATGGATGTTGACATCCCATCTCGCCTTCCCTCGCGTTTGCCTCCGACAGACTACGCCATTCAGAACAAGCTCACGCCTTTCATCTCGATGCAGAACCACCACAGCCTCATTTACCGCGAGGAGGAGCGAGAGATGCTCCCCACGCTCAAGGTGCGATTCGTCCTTGCTACCCTCTTGTTGTCACGTTGTCATGGCTTTCGTTCTAATTCGTTTGTGCGCAGATATTCGGGGTCGGCGCGATTCCCTGGTCGCCACTCGGCCGCGGCGTCCTCACCCGCCCGCTGTCGGTGCAGACGAAGCGCGGCGAAACCGACGGGTGGGTGTCCCCTGCTCTATGCCATTAACATGTCGCTGATACGGATTGCATCAGCTGGGCGGGGCCGTATAAAGAGTGGGCGGGCACGTCCGACATCGTCAATCGGTACGATGCGTTCGCAGAGGTGGCGTGTAACTCAAGTTTGCTGACAATTGTCTGCGTACAGGGTCGAGGAAATCTCGAAGAAGAAGGGGGTCAGTATGGCTCAGGTCGCGCTCGCGTGGAGCTTCTCCAAGGACGGTACGTATCCTCGTTTGGCATGCTCGTTCAAGGATATCGGTGCTGAACGGAAGACGTTCGCAGGTGTCACCGCACCAATTGTGGGGACGACGAGCCTGAAGAACCTCGAGGACCTCATTGGTCAGTGTTGAATTGAGAGGATCTCGCGCACGGCGTATTGACTTTTGGGTTCGGCTGCTCACAGGCGCGGTAAACATCGAGTTGACACCGGACGAGATCAAGTACCTCGAGGAACCGTACAAGCCACTTGAAATCTTTGGACATTCTTGAATGTCCTTTTCGCTGCGGTGAGCCCGGGTCCAGAATGCTTGCCTCGATTTGTGACATATGTACAGGAGGCGATGAAATGTTACGATACTAGTTATGGAGAAACCCAACTCATGATACGGTCACGTAATATATCGGCCAGCAGTCGCGTGTCGGTAGTTCGTGCAATGTACTTAGCACAGCACGGCGATGTCAAGATTCAGAAGAGTACGGTACGGGGCTCCCTACCTCCCGAAGAAGGGCAGGAGACTGAATGCAGTATTGGTGCTTGCGCCGCTGCGGATCTATGCTTCAGCGGGGCGGCTCATGAGGGAACCGCATGTACTGACGAGCATCGTGACATATATACGTTGTCTTTGAGCTCGAGATCAGCACCCTTCTACCCTCACATCATGGCCCGAGTCAGTCGTCTCCTATGAAGCGCTCCAACTGGAGCCTGCCCTCCTTGTGTAGGCTTTGCAGGCCCGCGAGAAGCGCATCGCGCATATCTTCTGATGATGGTGCATTGTACCCGCGTTTTTCCATGTCAATGTCCAACGGGGAGCGGATAAGAGCGACGTGGGGGCGCGAGACAGCCAGCGACCCGGTAGTGAGGACACCGACGAGGTCGTCAACGTCACTGGGCGCAGATGTGCGAAGCGAGACCGTGATGTTGAGGTGTGCCAGATTCTTCGAGGTAATCTGGCGCAGAATGTCCGGGATGTGTTTTGGATGGGCTCCAATGGAGAACGTCTCTAGCGCCGTTAAGCACGAGACACCGCCACCGGCACAGAACGCGGCTGGTCATGATCTCAGTATAGACATGCACTGGATGGCTACTGAGACTTACGGTCGTACGTGGTTTCATTAAACATCTTGAAAGATAGTGACAGACACACCAGCGTTTCTGCGCATGAGCGCAAGAAGGAAAGCACCAGACTACCGGTACCCTCATATAGTGGTCCGAGTGAAAGCTCTTGCAAATGCAGTACCGGAAAGACCGTGTGCAGGACTGTGAGGAGAGGACCCACATCTGCCGAGATTTCGAGGGTGCGCAAGTGAGGCGCAGCCTTAGTGGACATATGGGAGTAGGGTGCGATATCGAGGGGTTGTGCAGGAGACTGCCAGTGATTGTCCTCGTGCATACACCGGAGAGCAAAGCGCTGCAGTGACGGCGATGCCCCGAGAAGCTCGACGGCAAATGGGCAGCGAGCGTCGTGGTCTGGCCATTTCGAGATGAGCCCTATTTGCGTCAGCCAGCGACAAAGGTGGATGAGGCTCGTTCGCGAGGCGGCAGAGAGCCCATCCCACCGTACGTTGGATAACCAGAGGGTCCGGAGCGCCGTCAGGTCGTTGGCACGAACCTGGGGCAGTAAATCTTCTACCCAGGCAACGTGTGGTTGGTCACGTTTCATCAGGAGTAGTTTGTGAACGTATGGAAGAACAGTTGATGATGGATCGCAGAGGAGCAGTCTACACCGATCCTGGGGGCCAAGGACTGCGACCGTCTCAAACAGGTGTCTACGCGCCATCGGCTCCCATGATCGGCAGACCAAAGAGCAGTCCGATAGCGTGCCCCGGTCTTCGCGGAGATGAGTGATAGTCACGTCCCACAGCTCAAGCGGAAGCGAGGGTGTCTCCTTGAGCAGAGTTGGCGTCATATCGTCGAAGATGTGCACCAAGCTTGCTTGAGTTGATTTTGATCTTCGCAAGGGCCAACCTATCAGGAAACAGTCAGGCTTGTACAATACTGGTACTTGTATATACTCACGACGCACATGCACAGGCCCGCGGAAGCACCGTTGGTAAGGTGAATATGGAGTGTTGTGTCCCGATGTGTATGTCCTATACGTGTCGCACGGTGTCCTGCCCAACTTGGCTGCAAAGCACAGGTGCAATAGAATGGTTGAACGCGGAGACCGTTCACTGGCAAGATTACTTGCGCGGGTGCAAGGCACTAGCCAGGCGTAGATGGTAGAGCGGCCGGTAGAGTCCTGACTAGGACTGTCAGTGTGAGACGGTGTACTGACACGGTCACGTGCCGGTGTTCATCTCGTTCCTCGTTCCTACGAGCGAGTGTTTATCCGCAGTCTGGTGCGTCAGCGCGCATTGCAGACATAATGCAATACGATGCAGTCACGATTGCACTCCAAAATGTAGTGCTTGGACGTTCTCGAGAACCATCACGCTAAGTTTAGTGCCACTCGATTCCTGGACTCCGAGCGTAGCATGATCCCTATCTTCGAGTCTCCATGCTTGAAGCTTGAGTACTGAGCAGGTTCTGTTGAAGATGAGTAGTCAACCAACCCGTAACAAGCCCACTCGCAAAAATTTCGTGCGGTTTCATTATTCCGCGCCATGCAAGTGTCGTACAGTATATCTAGAGTTGACGTGACAGCCATGGATCACAACAGTGCGACCCTGGCGCGGACGGCCGCATAGGCGAGTAATCTGTAGATCACTACAATCACGAGCAGAAGCGCAGTGAACTTCGCTGTGTTGCGGTCCTTGAAGCCGAATGTCTCAATCAATTGATCGCCCGTCGCTGACGCAGACGTCAACGCTAAGCAGGAAGCCGTGAGCACGAGGGGCACACACCTGCAAGACACTCCCCAGAGGCAAGTTGTTCTTGTGTGCAGTCGAAGACCAAGCCACTGAACTCGTTGATGAATGCAACACGTCTGAGAAACGAAGCACTATGAACATCCATGACGAGCCATGGATCAGAACGTTCACTTACGCTTGGTAGGTCAGCGCACTTCCCCATGCAATGACTGCAAGCCAGCGAGGGAGCGTCACGGAAATGATTCCACACGTCTGCGCGAGCACCGTCAAAGCACACGATACCAGAGATACGGAGAGGCCTCCATTAATCACCCAGCCTGCAAGCAGATGTCAGTAGACTGTCAACAATACTTAGCTCGTACTACGTACTGGAGAAGATGACCTGAATCCCGAAATCAACATTAGTTGTCAAACTTTTGACTAGTGTATTAACGTACTCCGATGCTCTCCCCGAAATTGATGAGACCAAAAATGCCGAAGGAGAACTCAAAGAATCTTCGAGCATCAATCTGCAAACCCATACCGGCCATCATGACGACGGAGTAGATCTGAGCGAACGCGAGATCGTCAACCGAGGATCAACACGAAGTTTGAGACAACCCAACCATGGCAGCCAAAAATTGCATCGGGACCTCTTGAATCGTGTATGAGATGATGAACGTAGCGGCGCCGTAACGGGAGGCAGGGTTCTTGTATTCCCTGTACGAATGCGTTCGGACCAACCAATCACAGCAGGAGGAAGCAATACGCACCTATAGAACGCATCCCGCTCGGCAGGATATATTGCAATAGACGCAAGCATTCCTAATAATTGGTTAACCCTTCTGCAAGATATCGAACGTCTTCTATCACTCACCAACGAAGGGCATGGCACTGTTCTCCATCAACAGACCAATCCTATCTTGTGCACTTGCTGGCCCATGCCCAAGCCGCAAGAAGAACAACCAGAAGACGAGGACGAGAAACGGCGGATTCGCGAGCCGCGCCACAAAGACATCCTGCTGCCTCCGCAGGTTCTTCCAGCTACGACTCAGAACCACCGGAAGCGCATACTCCGACGCATTCCTCTTCGGCACACCGACTACGGTACCACTCGGCACGGGCGACGCATCCGACGGCGGCGCATCCTCCTCCACCTGCTTCAGCTCATGGTCCTTCTGCCACGCCTGGACGAGCGCGTCCCGGCCCTCCCCGCACACGGCGTCGACGACCCAGTCCGCGGGGTTCCACCAGTCGGGCATCGGCACGCCGCGCACACCATCCACCCAGTCGACGACGCCCTTCTTGTCCCCGACGTACACGACGCGTCCGCCCGCGGCAAGCACGACGACGTCGTCCACCTGCGTCCACACCTCCGAGCGCGGCTGGTGCACGGAGGCCACGACCGTGCGCCCGGAGCGAGCGAGTGCGCGGAGGGCGTCGATCACGGAGAGCGCGGAGAAGGCATCCAGACCGGAGGTCGGCTCGTCGGCGAGCAGCACGGAGGGGTCCGCGAGCAGCTGGACGGCGAGCGCCAGGCGGCGTTTCTCACCACCGCTGATACCCTTCACTGTCTGAGCGGAGGCAGAACGTCAGACTGCGCCACAGACTTGATTGAACCGTTATACCTCTCCACCAACGACATGATCGGCGACAGGCGTGAGGCCCATCGCCCTCATGACCTCTTCCGCGCGTTCCCTCTTTGCAGCCTTGCTCATGCCGCGTAGCTGGAGCTCTGCAGCATAGTGCAACGTCTCGCGGATCTAGTACACACCATCTCAATCAGGTCAGACAAGATGTGCACAGGCTGACAACGTACGGTGAGTGCGGGCAACAACCACTGATCGCTCTGCTGCACGAACGCGACCTGCTCACTGTGCCTCGACGCAGCGGCCCTACCATTGAAGAGTATGGAACCTGTCACCGAGAAGCGCGACGGCGGCAGCTGTCCCGCAATCGCCTCCAGCAACGAGCTCTACACCACCCCTCATGAGCAACCGACTCGGAGGCGCACCCACCACAACCGCACGCACCTTCCCCGCACCCGACGGCCCCAGCACGACGGTCAGACGCCCCGGCCGGAACGTGACGTCCACGCCCTCCAATATGCTCTTCCGCTCGGTGCCCAGGAGGAGTCCGCCCTTGACGACGATGCCCATCTCCTTGAGCTCGACGTCGACCGGCTCGCGCTTCAGCGTCTGCGCCTCCTCGACCTTCGCGGGCTTCTTGTGCCGCTCTGAGGAGGAGAGCTTGTTCTTGGCGTGTTTGACACCGCCGGGATGGTAGAACTGTAGTAGGGCGATCTGTGTGGGGAGTGCATAGTTGGTTTAGAAAGGGGCGGGTATGTATAGATGGATGGAGGGTCACGTACGGCCATACCCATGACGACGACGACGAAGGCGACGATGCCAACTGGATAGACCCAGAGGGGCGTATTGAGGTTGAATCGAAGACCGACGAGAACGTTGTCGCCGATACATTGGTTCCTACCCTCACGCATCTCAGTTGGACAGCTCTCACAGCCAAATGGTGTACATACCGTTCCACACCTTCGATCCCAGGACATGAGAAGACTCTGCCTCGGAACTGTGTGATCGCCGTCCATCTGAAGCCGTACTGCGGGACGCAGATATAAGCGATCTGAGCAGCGGATGGCGGGAGAAGATGCATACGAAGTACGGGGACAGCCACTTCATCCAGCCAATATATGCAGGGAGGTTCACGATCAGGTAACCCGCGCTGAGGAACATGGCGATCGAGAGTCCGTTCGCAATAAGGGATGCCTGTGCGAAATTACGGTCCATCGCAGCCGCTAGAAGGGCATATGCGAATGAGCCGTGCTGTTGCAATATACACTGTTCTGGACATCAGTGGGTGTCCTGGGTGGTACATGGCCGACAGACGAACGTTTCCAATAAAGATGAATAGGTTTCTTGCGAGGTTATCGTGCCTGAAACCGCACCTAGCAAGATCGTCAGCATATGGAGAGGCCGAATCGATCGGACGGGCTTACATGAAATATAGAATTATAGCATATAGAGTCGGTACGATAATATTGATGGGCAGGAAGGCAAGAAAATGGCTGCACACCCAGGGCAGTACGTCATATAGTCGATCCTAGTGGAGCATGAGCGATCTTCGTACAGCTTGAGAAAGTTGAAGACGTACCTCGCGCTCACGGTCAAATACCACGAGCTGCCCGCAGTCTATGTAGATATAGAGAATAAATGATAAGTAGAAGAACATGACGATCCCCTGGTAGTAGACCGTCTTAAGTGTCTGTATGCCAGCAGGTGTCTCGGGCGGATTGAGAAACGTAAGACCTAAACAGTGATGCGATCGTCAGCAAACCAGCGTCATGCATCACTTGATCTCGTAAGATGTGTGCAAGACGCACCTGCCATAATGCCAATGACAGTGACCTGCAGCAGGAACCCCAGGAGCAGCCCATGGTCCCGATACACGTTCTTCAACGCCCGGTTCGTCAGCACGACGACCTGCTTGACGAAGCCCGGTCTATTCGACTTGCGCCCCTTCTCCACACCCGCGCTCACATCCTCGCCCTCGCCCTTCCTCTCCGCTTCCCCCGCCTCCGCGCGCTTCTCCCTCTCCGCCCACGCGGCCTTGAGCCTGTCCACGCGTGCCTGGCTCGCCTTCTCCGCATCCTCGTCGCGCGAGTCCACCGCGCTCACGTCGATGAGGAAGTCGAGCGGGTTCGTCTGGGGCGGGCACGCGTGCCCGAGCTCTGCGAACCACGGGAGCACGTCTGCGCGCAGCCCCGAGTAGACGACGCGGCCGCGCGAGAGCAGGCAGAGCCGGTCGAAGAGCGGGTAGGCGTCGGAGCGCGGCTGGTGGATCGACATGATCACGGTGCGGTTCCGTCGCGCGAGAGAGGAGAGGAGGGAGAGTACGGAGAAGGCGGCGGTGGTGTCGAGCCCAGTTGTCCTGTGGTTGGGTTGGGGATAGTCATGAACGAGGGATAACAAAGAGCTTACGGCTCGTCCAGGATGAGAACGCTCGGCTGTCTCACGAGCACACAACCGATCGAGAGCCTGGGGTGGACATTCGTCAATACCACAGCGCACTCGTGGCCGATCCAACAATCCGAGAGACGAAGGATGGAACTCACCTTCTCCGCTCACCACCTGAGATGCCTTTCCTACCTGACGACCCTCCACCGACGAGCGTGTCTGCTGCCTTCTGTAGACCAAGCTCCTCAATGGTCCTCTCAACAGCCTCGTTCTTTCCTCCCGCTGCAAAGCGCAGCGTCTCACGAACTGTCAGGCATGCTAGCAGCAAGTCATCCTGTGGCACGAAGCCGATCGCATCTGCGGCCTTGATCCTTGTGGTGGATGTGGGGTGGATGGTGACGGAACCAGCAAGTGTCTTGAGACCCCCGGTACGCCTGCCGACTGCGTTGAGCAGTGTAGACTTGCCGGAGCCACTTGCGCCGATTCTGCGGACGTGATGTTGATCGGTGAGTGCGAACGCGTACCGCGGAACAGGACTTACATCGCCAAGACCTCTCCGGGCTTGCACTCCAAGCTCACATCTTCCAGCAGCAATTGCGGCTCCTGCACAGACTTTGTACCGAGGACGCGTCTCGCGATGCCTGGGGGGAGTTCCACAGGAATTGGGAGAGGAAGGGGGACACCAGGCGGCGGCGCCTGGACGGTCAACGACTGCACGCGGAGGGTATACGAAACGAGGTGCACGTCGTCTGCGCGGTCTTGCTCGTCGCGCGCAGTCTGGGTGGCCTCGTCGGTCTGGCTGTCCGTCGGCATGCCCGCAAGGTGAGGGCAGAGAGGAACGTCGCGGAAGCAGAGTGGAGGAGGAGGAGGCGCCAGGGGTCTGGTCGACCGTCTCGTCGTCGAGGCTCGAAAGTCGGTTAGCTCAGGAGGCAACCGGTTCATCGTAATCGGGTAGATATACTTTCGTCCCCGATCCCGCGATGCATCGAGCCCGCGATGCCCTGCACAGGCACCCGCTGGCCGCTCGCTCGCCATTCGCCTTACTCTAGGCGCCCGACGCTCTCTCCGCCAACACTTGGGAACACAATCAGCGGGCATGCACAAAATAGAAACGGTCTGCCACACAAACGCCCCGCGCCGTCGCCCATCGCTCCCAGTTGCGACTGTCCTTCGTAGCCTCGACCGAATGCATGGTTGACGGGCGAGACGTTTGTGCCAATCTGAATTTGTGTATGTGCCAGAACTTGTCCGTGCATGGAAGTTGATGGGCCCTATGGTTTATCGGGCAAGAGCATGACAATCTGGGCCAATCATCCCGAAAGCAGGATACGTCCCCGCAGGCTAAGTAGTGCGCGTCCCCAGGCTGTCAAGCCATCGCACGTTGCATAGCATTGGCGAAGACGAGCTAGGTCGCCGGCACGGATACCCAGAGACCTGGGTAGTATGGCCAGTGCAAGTGAGGGTCAGAGACGAGGGATGAGAGCGGAGCTGAGTGGGTGTCGGTGTTATATGCACACGCTATACGGCATCCGATCTCCGTGTCTTCTTTGACGATTCTCATCCGTAGCACGAAGATACCCCCTTCCGGAAGGCGAGCCGCAGTTAGGCTCTCCGTTCTGTCACGAGGATTGAATTACGCATTCGTGCGCGGTCCGAGCTCGGGTATCGTGTACTAATCGTGTACGGCCGTTGGTGTTGTCATCCTCCACCGCTGACTGCCATCCGGGGTCGAAGACGATGTAAGAGTCGATCATTCTAAAATGGACATCTGACTTTGAGAGACGAATGACAAAGGCTCAGCGACGACGACACCCGCTCCTTTGCGTTGAATCTACATACGGAGGTAATGCAAAGTTACTATGATGGAGTGAGAGGATTGATTTTGTCATGTCAATATGATCCGGTCTCAGGCTCTCGCTCACCAGTGGCAGGGTGACACTGGCACAACGGTCATGCTTGCCGTCCTAGCCTTGCTCGTATATACATCAAAATCGTGGCCTAGTCTTATTGAGAGAGAAATAGTATGCTTCGAAGACCGTGTGTCACATCCCTGGGCCGACTCGCCAGAATTCACGCGCCAGAGGTTCATGGGGAGCCTTGCCAAACTTCCTCACATCTCATAGTCAGCTCAGTCATTTCCTGCACGTGGCTGTCATAAATATACCACAGCGTCGTAGGTTTGGCCCATTTGCCATAACCTATCTACAACATACCTTTCTCCACCGAAAGGGACGAACCACCACACCTTCCAAAAGCGGTAACACACCAGTCTCGCGGTGCCCGGTCGTCCCGGCTTGAGACGTGCTCAGGTCCGCCACTACTTACGCCTCTGAGCCAGAGTCCCTCCAGCCCGCAGCGGCCACCACCAGCACGATGGGCGCGAACCAGTCGACGCCCCAGACAGACGAGAAGGTCTTCTCCGCCGAAACACCCATCCAGGTCAGTCGCCACCTCACCTCGCCCCCGTTACAGTCTCTCCTCCCACTCACACCCGCACCGCCAGTACTGACGCACTTCCGCAGTTCTCGCAGGATGTCGTGAACCAGCTCGCGGACCACATGGCCGCGCCCGACCCGCCGCCCGAACGGCAGTCGAGCATCGACGCGCAGATCCGCGCGCGCATCCAGTCCGAGCTCGCGCGCCTCCGCACGGAAGAGGCGGACGTCAAGGAGGAAATCGAGCGTACGCTCGAGAAGGAAAACCTCGACCGCGAGCGCGCCATGGCCGGTGAGCAGGAGGAGGGCGCGGGCGCAGTGAAGAGCAGCGCGGCGCTGATGGGCGACCTGGAGGAGCTGCGGAGTAAAGTGGATAGGTTTAAGGTGAGGAGAGAGCTTGAAGGGTATGCAACGGTGGTGGAGAAGGGCAGGGCGGTCGTGTCATGTTATCAGTGAGTATGCCCTTGGTTGTGGTGGTGGCTCGTCTGACGGGGCAATATCGACGCAGAAACAACCCATCACGAGCGTTGGACTGCTCGCGACAGGTACACGAGTTCAATGCTTCCGTTGCTCAGGTAGAAGAGGTACGTTGCTTGCCTCTCTTCTGTGTTATGTTGCTCATGTCCACACAGCAATATGTGCATTCGCTACACTAGCCCGCAGATATACGTTTCGTAGACTGCATTTTCGCTACATGACATCGTCACAGCGTGAGCCCGAGAAGATTACAGCATCACATACATCATCAGCATCACTGTAAACCAAGAGAAAACGCAACATTAGTACCGCTACACGTCCGCAAAGGGTTACGCTACATCGTATCGTCAGCTCGTGAAAGGTCCAATGAACTCTACCTTATATCACCGTCATCATCCAAACGTCTATGATAGATACCTATTCTGTGGTCCGAGTCCGCTAACTCTCCGCACTCTCCTCGCCGCCATACGCATACCCGACATGCTCGTCCGCCTCCGCCTCCGCCTCCGGCTGCGAATACGCGGACGCCGCGCTCATCGTCGACAGGCGGCTCTGCTCGAGGTCGTCCGCCGCGCGGCTGCGCCGGTTCAGTGGGAGGTAGTTCCCGAGCCACGACCGCCGCGGGTCCATGTGCCCGAGCGCGGCCATGACGAGGCTCGTCGACACCCGCTTCTGCCGCTCCTCCCCACTCTCGGTCGAGTAGGCCGACATCGAGCTCGCCGCGGAGGCCTTGTGCGTCACTTGCCGGTTCGTGATTGGACGCTTGAGGAAGGGCTGCACGGGCGAGCTCGGGCTGGGTGACTGGCTGGGGCTTGGTCGCGGCGTCCGGTTAGTCTGAGTAGGCGGGGCGATCTGCGTGGGCATGGTGAGCGGTGCTGGTTTCGTGGGGAAGGGTGTCGCTGAGTCCTGAGACGGTCGACGCGCAGCCTTGGGTGGCGCAGAGTCTTGAGACCGCCGGCGGGGAAGCGTAGGTGCCGCGCTATCCTTGAAGGGGCTCTGTGGAGGGGTCGCCGGGCGTGATGAAGGCGAGCGAGACACGGGCAACAGCGGCGACTGCTCGTTCCGCGAGCTCGCGCGGCCGAGCGGGCTAGGGCGGACAGGCTTGTGTGCGTTAGTAGGGCCCTTGGACGACGGTGGCGGAGGCTCTGCATCTACCCTGTGAGCAGTCATGAGAGGGCTCGGAGCAGCCTGGCACGCACCGAAGTGGGACTGCAGCATCTTCTCGGAGGGGTCGTCGTCCTTCGGGTCGCGCACGGTGCCCTTGAGCGTGGACGCCGTCGACGAGGGCGTGCTCGCGAAGGAGACCTTCTTTTCGCGCCGCGCCGCGCGGGAGGACTTGGGGTTTGAGGTGAACGAGCCCGAAGAAGCGTTCTTCCGGGTGTTCTCCCGGACCTGCAGCCTCGCCAGCTGCTCGGACGTTGAGTGCTCGCTGCTGGGAAGACGGACGGGACACGCACCGCTTCCTGCCGCTCCTTCACCGTCTTCCGCTTTATGCACTTGCCCCACCATACCCAAGCGACTACGACCGCGACGGCGAGCACGACCCCGCCCGCTGCCCCGCCTGCGATCGGAGCGACCGGGATCGAGGATTTGGCATGTTGTGTTGCGCCTGTGGGGAGCGGGGCGCCCGAGTAGCTGGTGGTCGTGATGACCTCTACTTCGGAGTTGCTGACGGTCTGGTAGACGATGGTGGTAATGGCGGAGAGGTAGCTGCCCGTAGCTGAGGCGTTGGCGAGGCCGCCGGTGGGCGAGGCGTCCGCATCGGTGGAAGTCGCGCTCATGCGAACGAGTGACGAGAGCTAGAAGCGGATCTGCAGTGTAAAGAGGGCTACGAGGGAGTGCGGCAAGACGAGAGAGTGGAGGGCAAGACACGGTCGCTCTCACAGTTGGCCTGCCTCGTGCCGCCCGGATGCTCCTCGGCCACCGTCACCTGTTCACATGCGCAATGGCAAGCCCGCATCTCCTCTCGTCCACAACTCATTGCGCCCCATGTCGGCACAGCCAGCGCACAGCCATCTGCGCGGCCAACGTGTGTTGCTAATCTGTGCCTCGAATCCCTCTGACCCGCTGGTACTGTCTGCCTAAATAATGCATCGATGGCGTCAGCTCATCTACATTCAAGGGCAGATATAAGCCTGTTGTGAGTCTAAATTTCATGCCCACATACGCCACGCATCAGATGCAATACCTAACACGCGTTGCCATACATGTCAGTGTTGAGTGTAACTGAGCACCGCCCAACGCGTACCAGAGGCAAGATGTTGCAATGTTGTAGTGTCAGCGCAATGCCCTCGCTGCTTCAGCGAGCAAAGAACCATCCGACAACAAGTAGTTGCCCATGTAGATAGTAGAGCAAGCTGATACAAACACACAACATAGTATACACACACCTACGCAGCCGCGTCCTCCATCTCCGCCAGAGCAGCCTCGTTCAACGCCTCCGCCTCTGCCATCATCCTCTCCTCCAGCGCAGTCATGCGAGCCTGCGATTCCCTGCGCTCCGTCTCGAGCTCCGCATACCGCTCCTGCAGCAACCGCTCCTGCAGCAACCGCTCCCTCCTCTCCAGCTTCTCCACCTCCTCCTGCAGTCCGGACACGCGCACGGGGCCCATCGCGTTCTCGTTCGTCTGCAGCCGCACGAAGCTCTCGCAGTCCACCTTCGTCCGCTGCATCTCCTGGAACGCGTCCATGATTCGCTTCGTGAGCGCCTTCGACCGCGCCTGGTAGCCGCCCAGTGTGATGCTCAGCTTCTTCTCCGCCTTCGTCGCCTTGCTCGCCTCCTTCGCCATGTCCTGCCGCGCCTCGTCCAGCAGCGCAGTGTACCCCGCGATCCGCGCCGCCTCGCTGAGCTTCGATGGCTCCACCCACGTCTTGGACGAGGCGTCGTACGCGAGCTGCTGCCGGATGTGCGCCCAGGAGAGCGTCTCGTCCACCTCGTCTTGACCGGAGATGGCCAGGACGCCTTGTCTGAGTTGCTCCTCGTTCGCGCCCGGGTACCCAAGTGCCGCGGCAAGCTCGTCCCGAACAGCCGACTTTGCAATGCCCATCGCCTCGTCCGGTGGCATCTCGTACGCCGACCGCGTACTTCCGGGGTGCGCCGTGCCTGGAAGTGGGTGCGCGATCGCATCGTGCTGCAAGAGCTGCGCCAGCTCTTCGTGCACGACCTTCTCCGCGTCCGCGACCTCACTCGGCTCCTCGTCGAGCGACAAGTCCTGCAGGAGCCGCTCGACGTCGACATTCGCGGGCCGGGGCAGCCCGCGCTGTACTGCCTGCGACCTCCTCGCGAGGGCCTTCCTCTCCTCCTCTTCCCTCAGCTGCCTCAGCCGTGCGTCCCGGTCGCCTGCATCCTCCTCCGCGAGCGCACGTGCCTCAGCGTCTTCCTCCGTTTCCTCCTCATCCGGCACGAGCAGCTCGAAGTTGTTCTCCGGCTTCGGCAGGCCCATGAAGCCCGCCTTGAGCGCGCGCTTCGCGGACGTCGTGCGCATCCGCTGGTCCCGCGGCGTGTCCCCGGCGGACGAGTACCGGCCCTCGTTGATGGCGAGCGTGTCTTGCATCGGCGTGCGCATGAGTGCGGTCCCGGGCGTAGCCACTACCTCTCGTGGTGTTGCGGCGCTATCTGCGCCCCCGGCATGTATAGGCGTCGCCAGAGGGTTGGGCGTGAACGCCACTTGGTGCCGGGGCGTTGCACCCTCGAAGCCGGTCCCCCCGGTGGGGTCGGTGTGGATGGGTGTGTTCTCGTCGCCGAGCAGTGGGGTCTGGGCGGCCATCATGTTGCGCAAATTCCGCGCCTCGGACATGACATTGTCATCTGTAAAGTGAATTATCAATGTCGGCCCTCACTCAGTGACACGCTAGACGTACGCTGCGCTTGTGTTCGGGGCGTCCGAGCCATCCGGGCCCTCTCCAGACCTTCGTATTCGCTCAGCAACCGATTGCTTGCATCGCTGCCACCAGCAACCAGCGCCTTCGCCTGCTCGCCTGCCTGTCCAATCTTCACAATGTCCTCCAGCTCCGCCTCGCCCACCTGCGCCGCCGGCAGCACGAGTTTGCGTCTCCGCCCGATCGACTCGGCCTCCTTGAGCTTTTGAATTTGTGCGTCTCGCGCCGCAACGAACTTTGTTTGGTGTGGCGCGTTGCTGCCACCCTCCTTGTTGTCCTTCGCCTGACGTTGACGTTTCCGGCGCTCCTCCTCTTGGTCGTCCGCTTTGCGCTTGCCTTCAAGGCGGCGGAGGCTCTGGCCCACAGGTGCGGTCGTCTCACGGGCTTGTTCATCAGCGGTGTCGTAGAAACCAGCGGCAGGCTTCTTCTCGAACGGAATGTCCGCGTTGTAGTCCATACCCTTCTTTTTGGTCTTATGACGCATGCTACAGTGGATTGTCAGCGACCAGTCGTGTATGTCGCTTAGCATACGCACATGATTCCTGCTGCCTTCAGCTCTCGCTTCTTCTGCAGCACAGCCAACCGTCGGGCCTCCTCCAACTGACGCTCGCGAGCTTTGCGCTTTGCCTTCTTACCTTGCGTGTTGGCCAGACGCGCACGGGCTTCGGACAACATCTCCTTCTCTGAGCATGGAGTCAGTGCTGTGAACCAGAGAAATATCAGGACTCTACTCACCGTCCTCGTCCATGTCAATGGGGTCAGGCCGCGCAGGCTTCGTCTCCGGGTCAGGGTCGATCTCCCCCGGCCTCAGCCTCCGCACGTCGTCTGCACTCGGCCCCGCCTCATCTCCCGGTCCCGCCAACCCAAGCTCCTCGTTCTCCTTCGCCTCTGCCTCGTCCAGCAGCTTCTGATACCGCTCGAGGCACTGAGTCGCGGTGCGGCCAACGATCGGCGCTATTGTTCGCCATTGCGTGGGCATGAGCTTGGCGAGGTGCAACAGCTTCTCGTCCTCGGTCTTGGACCATTCTGTTTTCTTGATGGAGGGGTCGAGCCATTCGTACCACCGGGCTTTGCATTGCTTCGGGGTCTTCCGGACGAGCAGCGAGGATATCCGTGCCCTAGAGCGGGATGTGTGAGGGTGGGATAAGGTGTTATTAGTGATGGGAGCGCACCATTGGTTCTTCCCGTACTTTGCAATGGCCGCCTTGAGCACCTCATCTTCGGTGTTCTGCACAACGTTGTCAACACGCATGCACGAAGTCGAACAATGGACGTACGCACTTTCCAAACACCTACGAGTCGCAGCAGCATCGAGGTGAGTCCTTATCCCCACATGATGTTGTGTTAGTAACGCACCTCCTTTGATAATTATACGAACCATAACGAAGACTAGGATGAAAGGAAGAGCAGAGGACACCGGCAGCAACGACTTGGTCGAATGCTGGACTCGGTCAACGACCGAAGCGCTCGTCTGCGCCACGCTTCTGAGCGGAGCTCAAATTGTTTCCTTTTTGGTAAGTACGTGCTTCTTTTTTTATTTTTATTTTTATTTAGAGGGCTCTTCACGAGAACCAGCAACTGACAATTGGTCAGCCCCGGGTCTCAGCTAGCCAGCAGGTTCCCCTGCGAGTGCAATTCTAGGGATAAAATGCAATTACGCACGACCATACTCGGTCAGTGTGGGGCTCAGTTATCCTACATCCCATGTGTCATAGGTCTGAGGATCAATACCCACTAAAACCCTTCTTATTTTTGTCCAGTCGTCAGGAAGCGCAGTTTCGTTGTTAAGCGTTCCATGCCATGTGCCAAGGACCAGGTCTAGGCGTAGCGCAGATCGTCCAAATCGATGGTGCGTCATTGCTATATCGAGATGGAGACGGCGGTTCATCATGCTACCCCATCTTGCGTGAATCTCTTGTGTAGAGTGGGCCCAGTCTCTGTCGTCTGCGTGTTCGATTACTCGTTCACAGCGAAGACACCATATCAGGTAGGCAGTTTCGGAGATTATGATCCTCCACATTCTCTCCACAAAGAGGCGGCGTTTATGTTTTTAGAGTGCCATTGGCGTAGCCCAGACCCCAGTATGTCCTCAAGGGTTGGCTTTGACCAGATGGCATGTTTCTTTGCCCATAGGCGGCCGGCCATCGTCCAGAGTTCGGATTGACCGGGAGCATCACAGCCTACTAGGATATGACTCATTGAGTCAACAGTGTCGCAATATTGGCACTTCGCTCGGTCTTCATATCGCGGTATGTTTCTCCAGAATCTACCGACACGGAATGCATCATGCATGCATTTCCATAGGAAGTCAGAGATCTGAAGGCGGAAGTCGGGGTTTCGTAGGCTTGTCCAGAGGTCTTCAGCGCGGGTGAGTTCTTTTAGTTGTGAGTTAAGCGTTGCAATGACTGATGTCACTGTCGATACAGTTCGGCGTCGTTCGGCGGTATCGAGACGAGTCCTGATCAGCCGGTATGCTATGCGTTGTGTTATGAGCGACAGTTTGGCTCCTGATATGTTAAGGGTTGGGTCGATTCTTAGTGGGACTTCTCTAGCTCCACCGTCTTGCATGAGGCGAGTGGTGAGACGGCGACCTTCATCAATGATGTTCCGGTCAGTCTTGTTATCTGCCTTGTGGAATGATGTGTATGCACATCGTTGACGGAGGACATTCACTAGGTCGCGGAGCGCCAACCTGTTCCTTACTCCGAGCCAGTCGATGCCCTCCCATTTGGTTAGGTCCCTGCAGAGGGTGTCGCATAGGAGTTTGGTCTCACAGATGAATTGGATTGGTACGTCCTTTGGTACGAAACATATTGAGTATATGGCGGCTGATATCTCACCACTCGTCCTCAGGTCATCAGCGTTTGTAGACGGTTGTAGTAGCTGGGCGACGGTGTGTTGACGCTTTTTGAAGATCATTATCCCACTGCCATCGGGTACGGACTTAGGTACCTTGATTGTTTTACATCTGGCTTCAATGACATAGATTGTGACAGTGTCAGAGGTCATTTGTATTCCTCGCTTTTGTCACATTGTAGGGGGATTGGCAAGGTTACATTCGTCTACGAAGACTCGGAAAACTTCAGAGATACCGCCACGTTCGGTGATGGATGGGTTGAATATCACTGCACCGCCCTTTTCAAGTGCCGTGGCGTTTAGTTCCTTGCGTCGTGGTGTGAGAGTTAAGCCATCTTGTGTTTGTTCGATGTTCGGGTTCCACTGACTGTTGAGCGTTTGTAGGAGCCTTCTTGCTGCTTCGACACAGTTTAGCGGGTTCTTACAGCCTTTGCTTTCGGCATCTTGACAGGAATGACACGTGCATTTTGCGTCTCCAGTGGGTGCTGATATTGGGATGAAGTCATGTCGGGCCAGAACCATTATGTCGATGACATGGGCAACTCCGTGGTTGTTTCTCAGGCATTTGCTCAGGTTAGTGTTGTCGAGGCGACGTAGCTTAGTTGTCGCACTAATGTGATACCACATCGGTAGCTTGCTTTTTAGGTCGTTGTTTAACTTTATCGCTCCGAAGGATGCTTTGTGTTTCTTCGCAATCTTCAACATCTTCTTGATGTAGTCAGGCAGCTTTGAGGCAGAGTGTATGGCTGGGTGCCAGTTTTGGAGGAAAGTATTGATCTGTGCTGATGTCTGGATTGCTCCCGCCGAGCGACTGACATGTAATGCAATCAGCGCATCAGTTATAAATGCCCAGTCTGGGCGAGAGTCGGAGAGTGTAAGGTATTTACGAAGCCATGAGAGTTCAATGGCTTCATTTCTTACGTTGATATTCAGAATGTCCAGACCGCCCTCCATTCTCGGGAGGTGTAGGGTTTCCATGTTGATCAGTGGCGACTTGTTCTTTCCCCATACAAAGGTTCTTATCTTGCGGGTGAGTTCTTTTTCCACCGTGGCGGGCATTCCTTGAGCGGTGGTGAGGTATTGCGTGATGCCGCCAGGTCCCATCTGAATGATGTGCCGTTTACCTTTCATAGTCGGGTTGCATCTACCCTATCTCGCCAGGAACTTATCTACTTTCTCCAGGGTCGGCGACCAGATTGCTGCTTCATTAGTCTCGTTGCCTATCCATGCGCCGAGGATCCGGACCGCTTCACCATCTTCCGCAATGTGAACGAAGTTCGGAATGGTTCGGTCATTGCTCGTAGGATCTATTCGGCGGGTGTGTATTACTTGGCTTCTGTATCCAGGTGAGCCGATCGGGATGACCTCTGTTTTGCCTGTATTGAATCGCGCCCCGGAGGCAAGGCACCAGTCTTCAAGTATTGTCCATAGGTCGGACCATTTGTCGCATTGTGCCAGGAACACCGATGTGTCGTCGGCGAACAGCGACGTGATTATTCGTTCGGCGATCCCTGGGATCTGGAATCCTCGTAGAGTGGACCGACGCAAAGCACATGCCAGTGGTTCGATTGCTAGGTCGAAGAGTAAGCATGATAGAGGATCGCCTTGTCGTACTCCTCTGTAGACTCGGTAAGATTTACTTATCTCGCCGTTGATAATGACAACAGTGGTAGCGTTGGTGTATAGGTCTTTGATTTTGTCTATGAATGATTCCGGTATTCCCATCGATCTTAATATGTGCCATAGGTAGTCGTGTTTTATTTTGTCGTACGCTTTTTCTTGGTCGAGTGCCACAATCACGCCATTTTCTTCAGTAGCTTCCGCATAGTCGACCATGGTTCGACACAGCTGTGTCTGGTCAGCGATATGTCTTCCCGGGATGAATCCCGCCTGGTTAGGATGGATGATGGACTTGGCGACTAGCCCAAGCTTTGTTGCCATGATGCGGGTGTATATCTTATAGTCCGTGTTCAGAATTGTTATGGGCCGATAGTTACTCACGTCGCGTTTATCTTTTTTCTTGTAGATCGGACACATCCAGCCTTCAGAGAATCTGAATTCTGGGTCAATGCCATGGACCTCGACATCTTCTAGGACTTGTTGTAGGTATGATATACTGTCAAATGAATCATCACTAACGTCCTGGTCATCTGATGCTTGCAGAGCTTTCCAGAATTCATAAGGGATCCCATCGAGGCCACTCGCTTTGCCGGGTTGGGCCTTTTTTAGTGCATCACGGATGTTATCTTTGTTAATGCGTGAGTTGAGCGAGTTGCCGTCTTCCTCGCTCAGGTACTGTTGGATATTGTTAATAGCTGTGGCGACTGCCGTTTCTCTTAAAGGGTTGTCTGCGTTGTCCAAGTCGTTGCCCTGCAGGGAGTCGTGATATTGTGCAGTAAGTTCAGCCATTTCTATCGAGCGTCGTACACATACTTGTGAGTCTGGTCTGCGTAATGCATAGATGACGTCTCTAGGGCGTTTCTCTCTGTTGATGTTAGACCAGTATTTACTTAGAGTTTCAGCGTTTAGGGCGTAACGGGCCATTGTTGCTTCTCGGACATGTTGGTAACGTTTTCGTTCCAGCTCAATGACACGGTCTAACAGGGCTTCCGTTTCAGTCTGTAGGGAGGCGTCCGAATTATACATTGGATTGGATTGTAATCTGTCGATTTCTTCCGTCAGCCTGCGTATTGCCGTGGTCAACTTCGGAGCCTTCTTCTTCATGATAGTCCGCGCGGACAAGATCACCTGTGATTTGAATTCTTGGTGGATTCTCTGAGGATTGTGGTCCGGGTCACGGGTACCCCGGTTTGTTGAGTCTTTAATTTCTTTCAAGGCTTGTTTCCCTTTTTCTTTGACGTCATTCATGAAGGCCATATCGTGTATGAGGGTCAAGGGAAGTGTCCAGCGGCCTTTCCCAATGTAGGGGGCCTGCGACGTACTAAGCATAGCGGAGGCGAGGCGATGATCCGTAGGTACGCTGGTCGTTTGAATCCTCCAGACGTGAGATGATTGCATTATTCTCTCAGTGACGTAGATTCGATCAAGTCGCGATCTTGTTGTTGACGCACGTTGTGGGAAGGTGTAGTCACATTGTGTCGGGTTGGTCAATCGCCAGCCGTCTTTCATTCGCAGTCTGGATAGGAGTTTTTGTAGCGGGTCTAATGCAGGTGGTGGATCATCGCGTGGAGGCAGTCTGTCTATAGATTCTTCAACTAGATTGAAGTCGCCCAAGAGCACGTTGGGGAGTTTATGTCGTGGATTAGAGTAGAAGTCCTCTATGGTAGCCCAGAAGGTTGAGTTCGCAGGAGTGTCATTCGGAGCGTAGACGTTCAAGATTGTGAGGTTCTGGTCTTTATGCCAGTGTATAGTCGTTGACATAGCTCTCCCAGGGATAATGGTTGTGCTGTCGCAGTGGGCTGTGTCGACAATTTCACGGTTGAGAATCAGGGCTACGCCGCCCGTGTTGTGTGTGCTAGGTTCTCCTCGTATAATGGCCATGCGTCGTCCGTATAGGATGTGTAGGCGATCAGTAGTGTCAGAGTCTAAGTGTGTTTCTTGGATAGCTAGTACGCCAATCTTTTCCGTACGTAGGAGTTGATTAAGCGTATTCCATTTGTTATTTGTATTCCCAGTGAGGGATCCTTTCCCGTTCATGTTCAGGGTCGCTACGTTGAGCGTTGCTCTAGTGTTGCGACCTTTCTTAGACTTCGCTGTTACTCCTGGGTTGAGTATGCTGGAACGCGTACCATCCGCCATTTGTGGCTCTTCAGAGGAGCCATGGCGGACTGCCCTGCCGTCCGATCCTACCGACGGTTCATTGGGAGTCACTCGGGCAGGAGGCGATTTCGTCCCTTGCCGTCGGGAGGGAGATGAGCCGGTTGCCATGTTATCGACCGTTGAGTTAAGTGTGTTGTTGTAGTAATGCGCCGCTGCGATCATTCCCGCCGCTACAGCGATCCACGGCGGGCGGGGACTGTTCCTGAGCCCCTCAGGTGACATGCGAGTTCCCTTGAGAACAAGAGAATTTTGCTTAAGCCTCTCGGCGGGGCAAGTCTTCGAGTGCCCTGTGGTAAGTAGAGATTTAAGAGAGTTCGAAGTTGGTGTATTTCAACGCTAGACGGCTTTCCTGTCCCGCACATGGCGGTCAGTAAATGTGGGCTGTCGTACGTTGAAACCAACGAGTCATCCATTTGATGCAGATTTTGGGAGTTTCAGAGTTTATAAGAGATAAAATCGCGCTGGGCATTGGCATAGACGGGCAGTTCATCAGGATACGTAGATGTACGGTGAGGATATACAGTTAATCATCGCATAAGCGATAGGCGGTTCGGTAGCTAGGAGTAGTAGCGAGTCACAGGTCGGTATGGGAGGGGAGCGATCAAGGATAGGTACAAGCGATAGCAGATGGATGACGTTACAGTTTTACAGTTCTCAGAAGTTTCCTCCTCCACGACCATTGCCTCCTCGTCCACGACCATTTCCGCGGCCACGGCCGCAACCATTTCCTCGTCCACGACCACCACCATTCGTCGCGTTGTACTGCTGTTGCGGGGGCTGTATCGCTGGCGGTAGGGGGGCATCGTGCCATCCGGGCGTGTTGCGTACTCTGCAGGTCCCGGCCGTGTGTCCGAGCGAGTGGCAGTAGCCACACCAAACTCGGCTCGTGAAGGGCTCGGGGTGGCCGGCGATGTTGGAGCCGAAGCGGTGCTTCTTCAGCTGGTTGCTGAAGCGCTGCCAGTCGCGGCGGTCAGCTGTGGGAGGTTTCATATAGATAACTGCAACGGGCTCGGTCGTGTTAGCGGTGATACGGCAGTTAATAACATCAACGTCGACAGATTCGAGGACCCTGTTTAGCGCGTCCACTCGTCGTGAGTTGCGCCACATGCCACCGCGCTCCATGTCCCGCTTGAGGACCTCGTAGATGACGTCATAGAGCTCCGAGTCGACGAGCTCGCGCCGGACGAGCTCCTCGTACTCAGCCTTCGACTGCGCGCCGAATCTGTGGATTAGACGGAACATGGCACATAGATGGGGATTATTATCACGCCAGAAGTCAAAGTGTAGAGTAATTATTGAGGAGTTGAACCAACCCATAGTGACAAGAGCGACTATCACAGTCAGAGGAATACCGCGTCCAAGATACCAGAAGGGCTCAACGTTCATGCCGTGGTAGCCCGCGGGCGAGTAGCCTGGGAGGATGTACGCGCTTGGGATCAGTAGAAGTCGTCGAAGAACGTTGAGCATCATGTCAATGCGTACGTTGACTCCGGGCTCTTCAGCACCGTGGAATGGGATTTGGATCGCAAGGACCGCTTCTTCTCTGTCGAGGGCGTCCCAGGACTCCCATTGGGGCGTGGCCATGCCACGTCCTTTCCAGCTCGCGCTGTCGCCTTGCACTGGGCGCCAGGAGCCCGGGGGAGGAATGATGATGTCAGGGTCAAGTTCGTCAATGTTGAAAGGAACGGGCGGACCATCGAGCACGGAGTCGTCCGTGGAGCGGCTGTTACGGCTTGCACTGCGCGCTGCGCGCTCCGCGCGGCGACGGCGACGACGGCGAGCATGCGAGGATGTAGGCGGCGGGGTAGCGGGGCGGGTGGCGTCGATCATTTCGACCTCGGGGATGGAAGGGCTGCGCTCCGAGTATGTCGACGATTCTTCCCTGATAGTGCTGCCGTTGCTAACATCCGACCAGTGGTGTCCTCGTGGAGGTACGATAGGCGTGTCGGGTCGTCTGTTCGACTGCCGGGCAGGTGTCCTCGGGGTGCTCGCTGGGATAGAGGACGGCGGCAGCGGGAAGAGAGGAAGGATGTCTGCGAGGGAGGAGCTCTGGTCGTCAGAGTCAGACGAGAAGGACGCTGCGCGCATCTGTCGTCGGGAAGAGGAGGCCTCCTTAGAATGAAGGGACGAGGATGCAGCATTGTTACGGGATGAGGAGGCGGCGTTGCCATTGTGGGACGAGGCGGCGGTGTTGCCGCTGCGGGACGAGGGGGCGACGTTGCCTTTGCGGGATGAAGAGGCGACGTTGCCGCTGCGGGACGAGGAGGCTGGGTGACGACGAGGTGTTTCAGCCGGAGACTCACTCGAAGGTACGAGGAGCGTCTCGACGACTTCGGAGTCCGGTGCAATGGCGAACTCGATGTCGACATCGCTGCCAGCCACAGTGACATTGGTATGAGAGGGTCGTTTGCCAGCCGCGACTCCTCGTCGATCATTAGTCGAGGCGGAGGTCAAGGGGCTAGGAGAGACGTCAAGAGGAGTCATAGAGGTAGGTTGTTCTGCACGAGGTGGAGCGTTCTGGACCTTAGCGATGATAGCGTCAGAGTCCTCGTTACCGAGGTCGTCCTCGGTGCGACGACGCTTACGAGGCTCGCTGTTAGGACTGTCGAGGTCCATCTGATTATTGTCAAGGACGGCGCGACGTGCGTTGTTGGAGCGGGAGGAGTTTGCGTTAGGACGAGTGTTGGCTACAGCCGTCGCCTTGCCTTTCTTTTTGTGGGACACAACCTTCCAACCAGTCTCGTCTGCGACAGTGCTCTCGAGAGGCTGGTTGTCTAAGATGCCAGCCAGTTAGATGATTTTTAAGGTGCGTAGGTGTATGTATGCCTACCACGGCTAGAGGCGTTCTGCGAGGCTGGGGTCGGCGGCGGCGGCGCCGGGCTGGCATCAACGCTAAGGAAGGGCGTTTGTAGAGCGTAAGAACAAGGCATGTTTGAGAATGTAGACGAACTGACAGTTCAGTTGCTTTCACGTTGTTAGGCGAGCCGGTTACGGCTGACGCATAAGAGAGTCCGGGCGAGAGTCTCGCGGTCGGCGAGGACGAGGACATTGCTCGGTAGGTCGTAGGGCTCTGGGATCTAGAGTTGGTCTTCGCCACAGGTGCGTCAGCGACGGGAGAGTCGCGATGAGTTTCCATTGAGGAGGACATCAGTTCGTCGGTCGTGGTGAGTGTGAAGCGGGGCGAAGGTCTGGTCAAGCAGTAGGCGGGCAGGAGGTAGAAGCGAGGAGAGGGTAGCAATAAGGCAGTGAGACAATTTTGTTACGAGTATACGGGCAGGATAACTGGAAGGGTCACAAGAGTGATGCCGTACCGTTCTTGTTCGCGTTATTTTAACCCTGTCTACGTCGTGTTCGATTGGTGATTACTCGCGTTCGGATTGGCTGGTCGCTCATTTGCTTTCCGAGGTGCGAGGCTGGTCAGCGGCGTCGTGCATGGCGGGAGCTGTGTTCTGGATTTCATATTCATTGCCTGCTATGCCCGAATTTCGGGGCTGCTGTCAGGAGTACCGCTGTTGCGGGTACAAGAAGGCAGGGGACGTACATAATAGTGCATCAAATCGCTATTTTGGCCATCGTCTCGTTTTGCTGTCTCTCCTGTCGTCCCTGGGACGGTCTAGCATTGGGCAGAGACAATTTCTCGGGTCGCATAAGGGTCCAAGTGAATGGTGAGGTAGCATTTTTCCGTTTGTCAGATTCCGTTTGTATATGGGGCCACTAGCTGCGCTGTCACGTACGCCGTAATTTCGTGGGATGCGTACCTCGATGTCATTACGGCGGCGGGGTGAGGGCGGGCGCGTCTTCTGTAGGCCCGATGTTCGTCATGACTTCATATCGCTACGGTCTTGGTTGTTGCATTACTGCCAGGTAGGACAGTTGGTGGCAAGGTAGGGCTTTTAGTACGATTTGAGAGAGGCAGTAGCAAGGACGCAGACTCAGAGGAGAGATGCCGTGTAGCAGGTTGGCGGTTGTAAAGTTTGGTAGGCTCGGAAGCTCTTTGCTGGATCGGGTTTAGCCGGCGCTTCATTCTGGTCACCCTTCCTTCCTATTTGGGTATGTGGCGTTTAAGCTGAATGTCGATCCACTTGGTGGCGTATACAAGGGAGCAGGGAGTCGTGTGGACTGAATCAAGTGCGGGAAGATTGCCAGTTTGTCGGCTTTGAAACGTCCATATAGTGGGGTTAATCACAAAGTAGACATGGGTTCTATTAGCTAGTCTCAGTGCAGACCGACGTCTCCTTGCTAATATCAGCGCATCACGGCGTGTTTCCCATTCCAGCTACATCGTTTCCATCTCCACCAGGGAGAGCCGCCATTAGCTCCTTGGTCCGGGGGTTCTTTGCCATACGGGCGCGTAGACGCTGATGTGACCGAAAGAACCACAAAGGCCACACACAACACACCCGACGAAGGGCGAGCAACGATATGCGAGACCTAGTGGCTAGGAGGGTGTACCGAGATGGTACGATGGTCGATAGTGGAAGGAGCGAGGTCGGCAAGGCTTCGCACAGGCCCGATCTGCTTCTACGACAAGGCAGCGGACGCTTCGAGACGAGTAGACCACGGTCGCGAACCGAGCGAATCGATGACTTGACGACGAGACGAGGGACTAGACGAGGCAAGCGATGGCAGGACGAGATGTAGAGACACCACTCGGGGCGTTGACGAACTCTGACGGACTGACGATCGTACTGACTGACTTCTTGCGTACGGACTGACTGCTGACGGACGTACGACGAACGGACAAGTTGAGAGGGTAAGGGTATCTGGTATTCGAGGGGGCTCGCCCCGCAGTATATACAGGATAGAACAACGCCTACACAAACAGGAAAACACGTGCATATAAATGATCCGAGTCGAACGATACGAGCGCTGTCCAATCGTAGAGGCCAGCACACCGGCTATCGACTTGCCCGGCGAGCACACACAGAATGCGCCAGCATGGCGTAAGACTTCGGGCCCTGTTGAACGTGATTAGCCCCGGGCAACCGCCCGAACGGTACTTGGCTAGCCGTAGCACCGCGACCATACGACCGAGGCTGTCTTGCAGATTCTTCCCCAACACCACCATGCCCAACGTACGCGTCGAACCGACCGCGGAAGCTCACATCGCCCGCTACTACCGCTTGATCGAAGTCATCAAGGGTGAGGCCGCCGTAGAGCCACGTCTCCTGCCCGTATCTCGGGGCGAATGGCTGTCGTGGGCCAACTGCGTTCGTTGGATGCTCGTAGGTCTTCTGTCGCCTTCGTCGGCCAGGGATAGATCCTCACCGGCTTTTCCAGCGCGGTCTCTTCGAGTCCTACTGCAAGGCGGTCACCGATGACCCGAACTCCGTCCCATCGCCGTACTCCTTCAACGACGTCGTCGAGGTCATGAACTACATCGACGAGATCTTCCAGCGCTACAAGCTGCCTCACGACTCGTTGGGCGCACCCTATCCGACCATCGCCTGGTCCGAGGAGTCCGTCCTGCATCGCGAGGCTATTGACGAGCCTCTGGCTCCGGTCGCGTACCAACTCGACCCACTGTATGTGCCGGAGTATCGCCGCTTGCCCGACAACTTCAATCACTTGGCTAACGCCGTCCACCGCCTGAGCGAGGACCAGCAGGAGATTCGTAGGGTTCTCGGGTCGCTCTCTACGAGCGTCGCCGAACTGGGAGGGCGCGAGCGAGGCATTAACGTCGGCGAGCCTGTTCGAGACGCAGCCGGTCGTAGGGGAGGTTTCCGAGGTCGTGGTCGTAACACTGGACCCTTCGGTGGACGGGACTTCCGCTAGAGTCTTCTTAGTGTAGTCGTAGCGTGCTGGCCAATGTCGAGCAATGTCTAAGTCGGTGAACTGCGCGCGTGAGCTCGATACCCCACGAATCGGGGTGTAGTCCAGATGGGAGCGTATCAACGCGTCATAGAGCTCGGTTTGATATCGAATTCGTAAGGATTGGAGTCGGTGTTTTGGAAGGCTGGCTTGTTTAGGAAGGTATGATGCGGGGCCGGGGTCATTGGAAGAGTTCGGTAGAGGACGGTGTGCGAGTAGCCGTCAAGATCGCAGAGGTGGGCCCATGGGATGGGGACTCTGATTTGTAAGCCGGCCTTGCTTCCGGTGATTTTGAACGTGACCCAGTGGCGCATCAGAGTCACGACTTTCGAGAGGCGTCCAGACTCTATCACGTGATTTTCAGTTCGGAGGGTCACAACGTGACCTCGGGCCAGCTGCCTGTGAGGCTGGCGGTCGACTATCCATGTCTCCCGTCTGTCTTCATCGTCAGGATCCGGTGCGGGTTCGACGAAGACGTCAATTTCAACCGTGTAGGCAGGTTGGTATGTGGTGTGTGTACGCGTGGTAGGTTGTAGCGGGTTCGTAATGAAGACTGTTGTTGACGGTACGCCAGGACGTGTAGCCTGATGTCCATCGTGGTACGCCTGGATGATGGGCGATTGGGCAGGCGGACGGCATGTTTTGCCTGACGAGAAGGCGAAGAACATCAGGTAGGTGTTTGCGCGTTTATTTCATGGAGAGCCTACCCTCATTTATAGGGCGTAACGTCAATAGAACGTGACATGTCATATGGGCGTTTAGCATGAATCATATTGCCCTCCATAAGGCATAACATAGAGGCGTGTTTAAAGCATAGGAGTTTTATGTGGCATGAGGATCATGAAGTATGCATGGCTTTCGTTGGTGGGGCGGTCAACAGGGAATTGATCTCGAGTACATTGGTTTATACATGGGACGCGTTTGGTGAGCATGTGATCGTGTTTTTGGCACACAATTCGGTTGATGTCGGTCTCGGACCAGTCCCGAGTGTTCCGGATCACATGTATGTGGGGGCGTTCGCCGCACGGGTCAACTCTGTTGGCGTTCAGGTCTCGTTTGTTCGATAGAGGTAGGAGCTTTGTAGGTTATCGACCTTTCGCAGATATGTTTGGTTGTGTCGGTAGGTGCGGTGTGCGACGCTCAGGTGCGGGGTGTTCAATGGGTAGGCTTGACACGGTCGCAGGCTTATAAGGTATATCGGCAATTATCCGAGGTGGGCTAGCTTTTAGGCAGCTCAGGATGATCGACGGTTCATTGTTTACAGATTCGATATCGATTGGGTTCGCATCTGCAAGCATGCCGCATCTATCTCGGCGGTTTCGTCTCGGGTGAACGTCTGCGCTCGGTGTGTGGATCAGTTTGTTTACTGGTGATGCATTGATGTCTCATTCTGTAGTATGTACTCGACGGCATTGTTACGTCCGTTTTGTCTATGTCGGCGTGTGGATGAGATATTTGCCTTCCGGCTCATGGAGTCTATGTTTGATTCCATAGGGTTAGGAGGATCATCGGTGAGCTGTACGTGTAGACGTCGTAGCATGGATTAATTGTCTTGCAGTTCTCGCGACGGGCTTCGAGTGTGTGTAGACCGTAGGCGTCTTCAATTCAGATCATATGCATTGAATGTTCCGCAAGGATTGACTATTTCCTGCGGGCATTACGGGTTCCATTGCGGGATTCTCGAAGAGGTGCAGATAAGTTCTAGACATTCCAGTTTAAGCGCGTCTGCTATCCTCTCATCTTACTGTCATTACAGCCGTGGCATGCTTGGGCCTTAGTCGTTACCAGGGATATGTCATCCTCCGCTCCTTATGTTCTCTAGCCTGCGCCACAGGAATGGAGGGGTTTATCGGATCATTGCTGGGCCGTGATTCCCAGGTTTTTATTGGTTTCTAGCACTATCGAGATGTCTAGAGTTGACGTCGCGTATCCTGCCGGTCCGCTAGTCAACTCAGAAGCGCTCTCAAGTGATATTTCTATGGCTGATGAAGCAGTGATGCTTCAGAATTTGTGCCTTTCATCGTCCTCAAGCCTCATTTGCATCCCACTCCTACCGCAATGCCCATCTTCCCCTCTCTGCCAGTTGTCACACGTCTACTCCCAACGCCATCGGATGACTCACTGGCCTATCACAACGTTCGGGGCGAGTTTTTGACCACGGCCAAGGGCGGAGTGATGGGAGGATCCATTGTTGCCCTTGTTGATGTTCCCGCTGTTCGCCTGCAGCTGGGTTTCGCCATTGCGGTGGTGATCCTAGGGGGACGTGGGCCGTCATTCTACGGGATGATCGAGACGGTGGTTGCGGTGAACGGGGACTGGGTCCTTTTCCACGTACGCGGAGACCTTGGGGAGGACTGTTTGCTGTTGGTACCGCACCATACCGCAAGATTTCGGGTGGGAACGTACTTTCGCCGCCACGTCTGTCCGGATCTTTGGTTGGACGCTATTCCACTCGAGCCCACCTCGGGGCTCGTAGTCATTCCCCAGCTTATTCCAACTCGATCATCTACCCCTCCAATTCCGCCAGAGGCGTCCATTCCGCCACGAAGGTCGTTCTCTTTGGACGATGCAGGCGCTCTTCTAGCCCGTACCGCCAAGTTGATAGGGCTTAGGCGTGAGGAGGAGTGTTGCCCGTAGATGCGGGGTGGGTGTTCGGGGCAGGTGGGAGGCACCTCCGAACGCCTCATGCGTGCGCAGGAGATAACTGGTGTCCGCGAGGCCGCTGTGCGGGGAGCCGAGAAGGACTTGTCTTAGATGGTGCGGTCGATTGCTTGTTATTTGCATTGGTATTCTTAGGTTTATCGCTGTTCGGCTGTGGTACGAGCTTAACACCATGTTCATTTACTTTTTAGCTCATCGTTCGTTACTGTCTGTTACGCATTTGTTGTTTTTTATTTTTTTTTATTTTGGAAGGCTCTTAATGAATTATGGCAATTAACAATTGGTTAACCCCATTGGTTCAGCCAGCCAGCGGGTTCCCCCGCTAATGCGTCCAAGGATGAAAATGCAGTTTAAGCACGGCTGTCGCTGCCAGTGTGGGACTCAGTCACCCTTCGCCTCTAGCGTCGCTTACGAAGGGCGCAATACCCACTAAAACCTTATCTGTTCTCGTCCAGTCGTCCGGAAGAGCGAGTTCGTCGAATATGGTACCTCTCCACGTCCCAAGGACCAGATCTTTCTTCAAGGCTTGTCTGCCGAATCTATGGTGGGTCATCGTCATATCTAAGTGCAGTCGTCTGTTCAGTGACGTCGTCCATCTTGCGGCGATTTCTTTCTCTGAGTGTGTCCATCCTGGGTCTGGTTCGTGTCCTATCGCTCTTTCACATCTCAGGCACCAGATCAGGTAGGTCGATTCCGAGATTAGGATTCTCCAGAGCCTCTCAGCTGATGGTCTTCTTTTGTTCTTGGTTGTGCGCCATTCTCGCAGGCCTACTCCCAGAATTTCTTCATAACTCGGGCGTGTCCATTCTGCTTGTTTGGTCTTCCATAGAGACCCAGCTAGGTCCCATACTATGTCTCGTCCAGGTGCTTGGCAGTCAATTAATATGTGTTTCATTGACTCTGTCGCCCCGCAGTACGAGCATTTGGCGCGATCTTCAAGACCTGGGATGTTCTCCCAGAAGCTTCCCACTCTGTGTGCGTTGTGTACACACTTCCACATGTAGTCTGATATTGTCTTACGTATGTCTTTGGATTTGAGGCTGATCCACAGTTCCTCCGCTGATGCGTCCTTCCCATTCTGTCCTTGGATCTCAGGTATGATCGAACTTAAGGATCGTTCAGTGGATGCTCTTACTGTGTGATTTCGGAGTCTTATCATCCTATACGCTAGGCGTTGTGTGAGGCATTTCATTTTCACGCCTGACAGGTCGAAGCATTGCGCCGATTGGGGTATTACGGTGAGAAAGGTATTCAGTCTTGCTAGTTGGCGTGCTGTTGATCGACCATCTACTAGCAGTTGCTTCTCAGCTTTGCTCTTGGCTTTCCGGAAGGTCGTCACCGCACAGCGTTGTCTGAGTGCGTTTGTTAGTGCTTTCCAAGCATCTCGATTACTTATTCCTCTCCAGTCCGTATCTTCCCATCTTTCTAGTTCATCAACCAGTACGACTCTCAGAGTCTTCGATTCACATATGAAATGTAACGGGACGTCTTTCGGGACGATTTGCATGGCACGTAAGGCTGCCGATATTTCGCCACTCGTCTGTGGATCATTTGCCAGGTTCGTCTCCAACCGTGTTAGGTCATTATAGATTGTGACATGTCTCATAACAAGGAGTCCATTCCCGTCTGGCTTCAGTTTCCCTCGTCTGCTGGAAGGGTTTGGGCCGGAACTGGCAAGAATGTACGCCTTACACGCGTCTGCTGCGATCGTTAGACCTCTCCTCGGGCGAACCGCAGGTGGGTTTGTTATATTCTCTTTGTCGACAAATACACGGAAGGCCTCCGTTATCCCCCCGCGTTCAGTCACGGAGGGGTTGAACGTTACGGCATCGCCTTTTTCAACAGCCTTGGTGTTGGCTTCAAGTCGTTTCTTGGTGAGTGTTAAGCTGTCCGCCGGGGAGTCCATCATGGGGTTCCATTTATGTTCAAGGAGTAGCAGTATTCGTCCCGCTGCATCCTTGCACTTCAGTGGGTCCTTGCATCCGGACCTCTTATCGTTCTCGCAGCCAGCACATGTACAGGAGGGCTCGCTGCCGTCAGTATTCGTTGCGATAGGTGCGTCATGTCTCGCCGTCCTTGCGATATCTGCCACTGTTACGACGTGGTGTGTCAAACGTAAGCATTTACTCAGCGCTGTGTTGTCAAGACGTCTCAGTTGTTTGGATGCGCTTATATGGTACCAGGCTGGTAGTTGATTCTTCAGGGCTCTATCCAGCTTTATGGCGGCAAAGCTCGCGTTATACTTCTTTGCCGTCTTTAGCATGCTCTTCACATAGGGGGGTAGTGGGGATGAGCCATCCATCCTGGGTCTCCAGTTCTGGAGGAATGTATTAAGTTGGGTCGATCTTTGTATTGCGCCAGCGGCTTTGCTAACATTCAGTGCAATGATAGTATCCATTACGAAGGCCCACAGGGGTCTCTCGTCGTCCAGTTGGAGATACCTTTTCAGCCACATTAGGTCTATTGCTTCATTTCGTGACTGTATGTCCAGTATGTCTTGTCCGCCTTCGTTCTTAGTCTGGGATAATGTTTCCATGCTAATCGTCGGTGATTTACCTTTTCCCCATATGAAGGTCCTCATTATTTTGGTCAGCGTTATCCGTGTTGATTCAGGCATCCCTTGGACTGTGGTCAGATACTGCGTCATACCACCTGGGCCCATCTGGATGATGTGTCGTTTGCCTGTCAGTGTTGGGTTGCAGAAGCCCCATCTATTCAGGAATTTCTGTATTTTCTCGATTGTCGGCACCCATACTGCAGCGTTCTCCGTCTGGTTACCGACCCATGCTCCCAGTATCCTGACTGCTTCGCCATCTCTCGCGATGTGTATCATGTCTGGAATCTTGTCATCGTCATTGTCTGAGGACGGATCTATCTTCCTGGTGCGTAGTACTTCCTTCCTGTATTCTGTTGTCCCAATCGGTATCACTTCAGTCTTTCCAGTATTGAAGCGGGCACCCGCAGCTTCACACCATTCGGAGAGAATGGACCAGAGGTCGGTCCACCTGTCCTGTCTGGACAGGAACGTTGACGTGTCATCCGCAAACAGCGTCGTAATGAGCCGCTCGGCCACCCCGGGTATGGCAAAGCCATGTAAGTCAGAGCTGCGGAGCGCACATGCTAGAGGCTCTATGGCGAGGTCAAATAGGAGACAAGAGAGCGGGTCGCCCTGTCTTACACCGCGTACGACTTTGAAGGGGGTACTGGATTCCCCGTTGATAATCACGACGGTCGTGGCATTCTCATATAGGCTCTTGACTCGGTCAATAAACTGGCGTGGTACGCCGGCTTTGTCCAGCACTATCCATAAGTAGTCATGTTTAATCTTGTCATACGCCTTTTCTTGGTCTAATGCCACTATAACCCCGTTTTCCTCCGTAGCTTCAGCGTAGTCGACCATGGTGCGACATGTCTGCGTCTGGTCAGTTATACGCCGACCCGGAATGAAACCAGCCTGGTTCGGGTGTATTACCTTTTTGACCACTGTCGCCAGGTGCGAGGCCAGAACTTTTGTGTACAGCTTATAGTCTGAGTTCAGAACTGTGATTGGCCTATAGTTGCTGATATCGCGTCTGTCATGTTTCTTGTAGATTGGACACATCCAGCCGTTGGCAAAGCCGGATTTGGGGTCGACTCCATAAGCCTCTATGTCTTTATACGCTAGGAGGAGCAGGTTAGCACCGTTAAACCCCTCTTCGTTGTCTTCCGACGTCTCATCGTTGTCGTACATTGATTTCCAGAACTCATATGGGATGCCATCGGGCCCGCTCGCTTTCCCAGGTTTCGCTTTCTTTAGGGCGTCTGTCACATCATCCATAGATATTGATGCGCTCAGTGTCTGTTTCTCATATTCGTCTAGTCTTGTTTCCAGCTTCCCCGCAGCCTTCTGGATACGTTCCGGCCTGGCGGCATCTTCAGAGTGTAGGTCGTCGCGTTCTTGCAGCCTGTCGTGGTAGTCGCGTGCAAGTTGTGCCATTTTGTCAGATCTGGTTACCATGGCTTCGGTACCGGGCATTTTCAGTGAGTATATCACGTCCCTTGGTTTCTTCTCCTTGTTTATGCTGGACCAGTATTTGCTGATGGCTTCTGCGTTCAGAGCGTACCGCGCTGTCGTCGCTTCGCGGATATGTTGATAGCGTTTTCTTTCCAGCTGGATAACTCTGTCTAGGAGCACGTCTGCCTCTGTTAGCAGGCTAGGGTCTTCAGTATATGAAGGTAGGCTTTGTATTCTATTTATGTCTTCGTTCAGCCTCTTAATAGCTGCGTCTAGCTTCGGGGCCTTTTTCTTCATAATATTCCTTGCTAGCGCGACAATGTCTTTCTTGTATGTGCTGAGTATTAGCTGGGGGTTGTTATGCGCATCACGGCAGCCGTCTTCTAGGCAACCTTTTGCTTTCTTTAGGGCGCGATTCCCCATCGTTTTGGCGTCTCGCTGGAAGTTGACATCGTTCATCAGATGCAGTGGGATCGTCCATCTACCTTTCCCCACGTAGGGGGCCTGGGCGGTACTTATCTTCGCCATGACTAGCTTATGGTCGGTCGGGACTGCTGTCGCCTTTATGGACCATGATTGCGACGCTTTTAGGATATTGTCAGTGACGTATATGCGATCGATCCTCGATTTCGAGGCCGCGGCCCTCTGCGGATAGGAGTAGTCGCGTTGGTTCGGTTCAGACATCCTCCAGCCGTCCTTGAGTTGGAGGTTCATGAGCAGCGAGCTTAGTGCTGTTACTGTGCCGACATTGTCTTCTCGAGGTGGTAAGCGGTCGATCGTGTCTACTGTAACGTTAAAGTCTCCCAAGATCACGTCTGGGCGATTCAGTCTGTGGTTGTCGTAGTATTCAGCTAGTGATTCCCAGAAGGCTCTGTTCCGTGTAGCATCGTTCGGTGCGTATACGTTAAGGATTGTTATCTTGTGTTCTTTGTGCCACTTGGTCGTGATAGAGAAAGCTCTGCCCGGTATCACGTTCTTCACTTGTATGCAGGATGTGTCTACTAGTTCTCTGTTCAGTACGAAGGCCGTTCCTTGGACACCCTCTCTGTCAGAGTCGCCTCTGATGACGTGTATTCGTCTTCCATAGAGTGCATGTATCGCGTCGGTTAGTTCGGCATTCAGATGCGACTCTTGGATCGCCATTATGCCTATCCGTTCCTCTCGTAGTAGGTGGTTAATGGCATTCCACTTGTTGTTTGTGTTTCCTGCTAGGCGTCCTTTCCCGTTGACATTCAGGGAGGCAACCGTCATGGTTGCTCTCGTGTTCCGGCCCTTCCTACGTGTTGACGGTGAATTTCTATTCGTGTCAACGTCGTTGGTGCTGGGTGCGTTTACGCCGCCCTCCGCTTCCAGCGGTCTCAGTGAGTTACGGAGGGTCGCCCTGCCGTCCGTGCCTGCCGGGGGGTCATTGGAGCTTCCATGGGCAGGGGGGATATCAGCTCCTATCCGCCCGGAAGGTTGATGGCCGTTTGACAGTAAGTCGTCCGTAGTTATATGTTGTGTTTCTTGTGGCGCCATTGCTATTCGATCTCGCCGCTACAACGATCCACGGCGAGAGGGGGCTGCTCCTGAGCCCCTCAGGTGACATGCTAGTCCTCAGCGTACTGAGAACGTAGCTTAAGCCTCTCGGCGGGGCAAGTCTAGGTAGTGCCCCTGTTTTGTGAGGGTGCGTCGGGGTTGGCACACACGACAGCTTTCCTGTCCCGCGTGAGCGGTCAGTAAGTGTGGGCTAGTCGTTAGGCGTGTGTTCCTCGACATAGAGGGCGTTCCTGCGTTGCACACATTGTCGTTAGTGCTTGCTGCTTGGAGGACTCGGATCTCGAGTAGTACAACTCTTTTTATAGCACGACGATGAGCGCGGATGTAATAGTACAGGCAAGAACAGTAGTACACAGATACTCAAGCAGCATTCAGAGGCCGTCGCAGTCGGCTACTGCCAGGTCGGGGGTTTTGACGTTAGAGGCCTCGCCTCGCGCCGCCGCGGCCTCGGCCAGCACCACGCCCACGGCCGCCACGATTCCCGCCTCGGCCCGTGCTCGTCGACGGCTGCTGGTGCTGCGGTTGGGTCGTCTCCGGCGGGAAGAAGAATTTCTTGGCCGGGCAGTGTCCACAGGGATGTCCTAGAGAGTGGCAGAAGGTGCAGTACACGCGACCTTTGAAGGCGATAGGGTGCCCGGCCGCCGGCGATCCAAATCCATAGTTCTGGATCGCGTCGCGGAAGCGAGTCCAGTCGTTCCAGTCAGCGGTAGGGGGAGTAATGTAGATGAAGGCGACTGGCTCAGAGGTATGTTCGGAGACGCGGCAGGAGATAACCTGGACGTCAACAGAGTCTAGGACCTCACCAAACGCGTCGTCGCGCAGCGATCGTTTCCAGCGTCCACCTCTCTCGATGTCCCTCAGAAGGACCTCCAGGACGACCTTCTTGACGGCGTCGCTGAGGAGTGCGCGGCGTACGATTGCGATGTACTGCTCTTTGGACTTAGCGCGGAAGCGGAAGGTGTAGCGGAAGGCGGCGCAGAGGGATGGGATCGAGTTCCCCCAGAGGGCGAAGTTCAGAGTGTGGCCGGCAGTGTGGAGCCAAGCGGCGCGTACGAAGGCAATGCACCATTCTTCGCTGAGGCCCTCGATGCTGTACCAGACAGGCTCCCGGTTGGCGGGCGAGAAGACGCCGACACGCTGTGTTCGTGCCTCCAGTGGTCCGTGCGCAGGGGTGACGAGGACGTCGTCGTTGGATGAGAGGCGGGCAGTGAGGTTGTGAAGGAAGGAGACGCGTTCATCGACCCCTGCCTCTCCTGTACCGTGTTCTGCGAACTGTGCGACGATCAGCGGCCGTTTTCTCCCGTAGTCGTTCCACGCCTTCGCCTGACCAGGGTCCATGCCTGTTTTCTTCCAGTCGATGCAGTCGCCCTGCACCTTCTTCATAGAGCCCTCCGGGGTGATGATGATGTCAGGATCGGCTCTGATGATATCGTAGGGGGTTGGCTCGGGGGACGGAGAGGGCTGGAAGGGCGGGTTGCCTATGGCAGCGACGGAGTAGCGTCCGCGTCCGCCACGGCGCTGCTGCGGGCGACGAGGGGGAGGGGGAGTAGCGCTCCGAGCCGTAGAGGAGGAGCGGGCAGACTCGCCATCGCTCAACAGCATCTCAACGTCGCTGGAGGACTTCTGCGCGCGTGAGGAGGACGGGGTTGGGGACCTGTCTACGTTACGTTTCTTGAACGATCTGGTTGGTATGCGTGACGGTGCGGCCGGCGTCGCCGTCCGAGCGCGATTACCGCGCGACTGCCTAGGAGTCTGCGGCGGTGTTATAGAGAAGGATGGCTGTCGCGACGGGATGGGGGATTTGTCTGTGGGTGATATTCGTCATTTTTAGGTCGCAGGTCACAGAGTTTGGTCATACCTGACGAGGGTATGCGTTCACTGCGAGCGGCATCGCTCCTGCGACCTCCGTCCCGCTTGTTGCTCGGCCCAGGCGCGTCAGGTTCAAGGTGTTCGAACCTGTTGCTCTGTGACCCGTTCCAGCTGGCCGTCGTGTGGTGAGTGAAGTCCGGCTGGCCGAAGATGGAGCCCGGCTCCACTTCAAGGTCGATGCTCATGTTGTCCGCGCCGTTAAGAGCCTCGTTATCACCGGGGTCAGTAGACGCTAGGTACGAGGGGGACGGAGAGCTCTGTGTGAAGAGGATGGGCGACTTTGACGCAAGAGAGAGGTTACGGGGAGCCTCCTGACGTCTCACGCTGGATCGTTCGTCGACTCCGTAGTCTTCGTCCACGCGCCTGCGCTTCCTCGGTTCCACGCTCTTTGGCGAGGCATCGGGTGCGGGAGGCTCTGGGGCTTGGACGATCATCGGCGTCGCTGGGGCGGTCTCCTTTCCTTTCCCTTTGTTCTTCTTGGTCTTTGACTTCTTCGATTTCTTCGGTGTCGCGACCGTGGTCCATCCCAGGTCGTCGTCCTCGTTAGGAGCGGTCTCGCGTTCTGGGGGTATCCACGGCGTCATTAGTGCGCTTCAGTCTTATCGAGCTGTTACGCACGAGTGAAGGGAGCCGCGAGCGGGCTTTCCTCAGACTGTGGCGTCGGAGGAGGCGCGGCAGGGCCTGTTTCATCAGCAGCGCTGCCAGTGCATTAGCTTTGGTACTGTTGGCGGTGGGCATTGCAGTACAACGTACGTGGAGTTGCCGCTCATCTTCGGGGACAGCGTTCGCGCTGCGATCTGCGCGTACGTGGGCGAGGCGGCTCTTTCACCGCTTCCTGGCGCGCCGGTATTGCTCGCGTTCAAGGGAGTTCCTTGGAAGTCGGGCTGGATCGGAGTGGATTCGTAGTTGACAGTGGTAGAGGACATAGCGGAGATTGAGACAGGAGGCGGGGTGCTTTACTGACAGAGGCTGAGCGTGCTACATCAGGAAAAACACTTCTAACTTCAGCAGTCTTGAATGAAGAACACCTGATCTTATTCAATCTTTCACAACTTGTGTTCCTCAATTAAGTGCACCATGTGCATGAAGACTGCTGAAGTTAATTATAGTACCTTTGAGAAATTTGTCTTGTGCCCAAGTTGGAAGATATGCAACTTTAGTTCTGCAGATTAAGACACATAAGTACACATTAGTTGGAAAATGACCTCTTAACTAGAAAATATGCATGATGAGATGTCAGATTGCTCAATATGAAGACTTCACCAAGATTTCACCTGACAAGTTAACACCTACTATATCTGGCAACAGTAATGGGGTACAAATAAAGATTATTTGTTTTTCCCTGTGATTATGAGTATATTACCCTACTTACAACAGATGCTGTGGTCAAAGTCATATTGTCAGGGATTTGGACATATTTGACCTGTTAAGGTTGAGAGACAGCAAAAGAACACTTAAGCATGCAAAGTGAGACAAGAAGCCTGCCCTTGAGCAAATTATGAGTCTACACAAGGTCTGCAAGGCAACAGATAGTGCCAAGAAGAAATGAGGCCAGTCTGAGAGCCCAGGGATGCACAGGGGCTGGGCTAACAGGGGGCAGCAATTGCAGATTTCTCTAAGTCCAGAAAGATAGTCAATATAGGTTATTGTAGAAGGGAAGAAGCACAGGGACCTATGGTGTAGTGGTCACAAGTTTGTGCTGAGAGTGTGGGAAATTAGGTTAGCAGGTCAGGGGTTCAATTCTGGGAAATGGCAGATTATTTTGGGCGACATTTTTGCATCTGGGATGCCTGTTATGACAGCATATGCACAAACACAGCAGAATCATGAGAGAAGTCACCCCAGTAATGATGAAAAAACATCATTCTTGCTTGGAATGAGTGTTTACTTTGGTTACTTAATGGAACTTAAGTAAGACAATTTAAGAAATCGACTTACCTTAAGGCTCTTGTGGCACATAGTGATACATAATGTCACTTTTGGCTCTCCACAAGACCACTTAAGACACGAACGTTTTTCCTGATGCTAGGGTGCGGCTAAGTACTGCTGGTTGGGCGAGGGGTTCGTGCGTCGTTCGTCTCGTATTTATGGAGCCTTTCGTTACGCGTTTCCGGGTCATCGTGGACGCTGGTTGTCAGCTGGGTCGCTTCAGCCTGCCTTCGCTGTCGTTCGTCCCGTACCTTTGGGCAGTGAATTTTCATTTCACCTTTCATGAGGCCCGAAAACGTTAGCCTCGCGTTGTTTGTGAGGCCATCGGTCACCTATTGGGTAGGATTACGGCCTCGCGTCGTGCAGTATTCCTCTTCCAGTGCGGCGGTGGATTGAGTTCTGTCGACGCTCGCTCGGGCTCATGGTGTCCGTTATATTGTCGCTGGACAGCCTGGGTTCCGTCAGGGTTCGTGTCTGCTTCTTCTCTGTGATGGTTGGCCGGGACGCTATCGCTGCTTGACACTCTCGTACATCGTGTCGTTAGGATCGTTCCTAGTGTCAGTCATTTGATTATACGACGCACAAGTATGGGGCGCATCGCGCCCGCTTTTGCCTTCCCGCCGTCTCGCACCGTCTCCATGTAGTGGGTTGTATTTCGGTGGTTGCCTCTGCTCGCCTTATTGGACGCGGTCCGAGGTAGGGAGCAGACTGTCTTGAGGGTATGTTACAGAGGCTGGGGCGATGGACGGTCGGTGAGCGCCTGTCAGCGCTTACTGTTCGCACAGCAACTCCGTTACCCTTGTTTGGGCTCGGCACGGTCGCTCCGTTCGCTAAATGGGGATGCGGGCGCGGTCAGGGCGCACCGTGCTAGGCGACAATCTCCTTATGGTGGGCCGATTCTCGTATTGGTCTATGCATTATCTTCCCCAATCAGTGATGCGGCATTGGGCATATTGGGTCATTTGGTCTCTAGATTTGTTTACAGAGCGGCGTGGTCTAGTACGTGTGGATTGGGAGGGATGCGTGTCATGTTTAGTTCTGTACGGGTTCCTCCATCGGCTCCTCCCTGTGTGTTGACGCTTCCAGTTTGGCACGTAGCCTGATCTCCTTCCCGCACGTAAGTTCGAATTGGTACGGGTTGGACTCCGGATCTGCGAAGGGCGGGGTGTCTTTGAATAGCACGTGGGGCTCGGGGATCGGCGAGAGCATGTGGTATTGTGACGTGTGAGTGTGCGATGCGTACCCGCTGAGGCCGGCCCAGGGCACGGGGACTCGGACCCGCAGCCCGTCACGTGCCCCGGCGAGGCGGAACGTGACCCAGTGGCGGGAGAGACCGTCCACTTTGGAGATACGACCAGATCCTATCACGTGATCGTCCCGCCACATGGTCAGGATGTGGCCTCGCGCGAGTGATCTCTCTGGCTCCTTGTCCACTATCCACGTCTCTGTGCCATTCTCCTTGTCTACCTCGGGCTCCTCGTCGACTGTGATGTCGACAGCTACGGCGTAGCTGGGAGGGTTGGGTCGGTGCGTACGTATACGTCGGTCTTGTTTGGGTCTGTTCAGTGTCTAATGTGGGACATCAGGAAAAACGTTTGTGTCTTAAGTGGTCTTGTGGAGAGCCAAAAGTGACATTATGTGTCACTATGTGCCACAAGAGCCTTAAGGTAAGTCGATTTCTTAAATTGTCTTACTTAAGTTCCATTAAGTAACCAAAGTAAACACTCATTCCAAGCAAGAATGATGTTTTTTCATCATTACTGGGGTGACTTCTCTCATGATTCTGCTGTGTTTGTGCATATGCTGTCATAACAGGCATCCCAGATGCAAAAATGTCGCCCAAAATAATCTGCCATTTCCCAGAATTGAACCCCTGACCTGCTAAACTAATTTCCCACACTCTCAGCACAAACTTGTGACCACTACACCATAGGTCCCTGTGCTTGTTCCCTTCTACAATAACCTATATTGACTATCTTTCTGGACTTAGAGAAATCTGCAATTGCTGCCCCCTGTTAGCCCAGCCCCTGTGCATCCCTGGGCTCTCAGACTGGCCTCATTTCTTCTTGGCACTATCTGTTGCCTTGCAGACCTTGTGTAGACTCATAATTTGCTCAAGGGCAGGCTTCTTGTCTCACTTTGCATGCTTAAGTGTTCTTTTGCTGTCTCTCAACCTTAACAGGTCAAATATGTCCAAATCCCTGACAATATGACTTTGACCACAGCATCTGTTGTAAGTAGGGTAATATACTCATAATCACAGGGAAAAACAAATAATCTTTATTTGTACCCCATTACTGTTGCCAGATATAGTATGTGTTAACTTGTCAGGTGAAATCTTGGTGAAGTCTTCATATTGAGCAATCTGACATCTCATCATGCATATTTTCTAGTTAAGAGGTCATTTTCCAACTAATGTGTACTTATGTGTCTTAATCTGCAGAACTAAAGTTGCATATCTTCCAACTTGGGCACAAGACAAATTTCTCAAAGGTACTATAATTAACTTCAGCAGTCTTCATGCACATGGTGCACTTAATTGAGGAACACAAGTTGTGAAAGATTGAATAAGATCAGGTGTTCTTCATTCAAGACTGCTGAAGTTAGAAGTGTTTTTCCTGATGGACGCAGCAGGAGTCATACCATTAGGAGGCTTCAAGGCCTTTCCTGAGGGGGCTATTGGCTTCTTCTTGCCAGCTGAGAAGGTGAGGAACATTGTACAAGCGTTGCGCGTCTTTCTCTGGTGGTTCGTCCTGAGTTATATCTTCAGACTCCGTCGTAACGTGACGTGACGTACGGGCGTTTATGTCTTTATTATGCCTATGTTGAGTGAGGGGAGGACATAATTGGGCAGCATACGGGCATAGCTTGGGGCATTTTGGGTTGTCTACTCGCCGTCCTGCTCCTGTCCTTTATAAGATTGTTATGTAGGGCTGTCGCTTCGACGCGGATTGATCACAGTCGCGGTTACGATCACGTGTTCCGGTTGCTGAATCCCGTGGTTGTGTTCCTTGTCGGCTCCCGGTTGTTCTATGGTGACGCGACTGCTGCTTGGTTCAGCCCACGGGTCGGGTCGGTTGGTCCGGCTATTCCAACGCGTGATACTAATATCGCCGTCTTGTCGGTAGTCTCGGGATACGGGCCGGTTACCGGCGTCTAATACACCGCCTCCGTAGTTACGTTGGGCGTCGCCGTTGTTATGCTCGGCGTCGAGCAGGGGTTGTTTTGTGGGATCATGGGTGGCCCCTGTGGGGTGCACCTCCGTTGTGTAGGGTGGCCAGCTTTCTTCGCATACTATGATATATCAACACGGCTCTTTCCATTCTTCCTCAGCTACTGCCGCGCCGCTGGACGTTGACTCTCTGTACTGGACAGTATGGTAGCTATGTTGTGTTCCTTCTCATCCTCAGAGATCCGGTGGATTCTCTGGAGGTTCGTCTAGTTTGGACTACTCCTGACTAGCGTTCGGGCCAGTTTAGACAACTGTTGCGGAACAGTCTTCCAGCCCGCGGCCTCTGATCTGGTGTCCACCAGAGGTCGTTATAGTGCAGTTCGTTTCACCTCCTAAGAGGCTACTTACCCCCCGGACCACGAGAAGGTCTGCACAGGACTCGACAACGTCGAGCCCTCCCGGGGGCGCATTTGTTGTTCAGCTTGCGCGATCTATCCTAGTTTCGCAGGACTTGGTTCTCTCGTGTGATTGTATGTTCGTTGTGGCGTTTTGGCTACCTTATTGAGACTTCGACGTTCTTATCAGTGGTCTAATATGGCGCGCAGAGTCTTTTAGCGGTTGTACAGTGTCAATAGTTCGTGAAGGTTCTTCCGTTTTTGAGGCTCGCAGTTCGCTGTTGTATCGTGTGGATCATTCAGATCATATGGTCCGGGGCGGTAACGGCCGGACTATAGGCGTCTGTGTCGGGTGTAGCCGAAGGTCGTCCCGCACAGCCTTAGTTGCTATGTGAGCTCGTCGAACCTGGCTGCCCGCTCGTGTTGGGAGGTGGGTTCTGATTTGGACAGTGTCGTTGTTCTTCTGTGTGGTGAGTGCACTGTGTTGTTTTCAAGGCTGGTCGGGAGGGTAACGTTCGCGGTGTCCAGGATATGGGTCGACATCTCGTCAGGATTGGATGCTCTCAGCTGCTCGGGGCATGGTGACATGGTTGGTTAGACGGGAGAGGGGTATGTACATGTACCAGAGGACGGCGAAGGACAGCCAGTGCGCGATGAGCTGCTGTGTGCTCAAGAAGACGTTGTGGTTTATCCCAACGGGACTATAGACCGCCAGTGGGGTCTGATTCATCGTACTGGTACAAGAATCGCGCCTCTGTGTGATAGTACGCGAGGACTTCGGTCATTTGTGTTTGAACACATCGACGAATTGTCATTGTCGATGTTCGGGCCAGTGCAGACGACTGTTGTGGAAGAGAACTTTCCAGCCCGCAACCTCTGATCTGATGTCCATCAGAGGTCGTTATAGTGCAGTTGGTTTCGCCTCGTGTGAGGTTACTTATCCCCCGGACCACGTAAAGGTCTGCACAGGACTCGACGACGTCGAGCCCTCCCGAGGGAAGTACGTGCTTCCCTTGCTCGCGGAGCGAGGCTTGGTTGGGAACTACAAGCTGTATAATTAAAAGACGAAGACCACCTTCAGCTTGACGCGAAGGTGATGGGCGACTTGGTGTAGAGAGACTGAAAATTTCTGATATTCAAGGCATTGCTGATACGACATAAAACGAGTAGCAAAGACAAGAAACGACAGACGACAGATTGAGAAGGACGAGTGGGCAGCCCAAGTCGACGTTTAATGGGAATCCCGCGAGGACTGTGATCCCTCGTTCGAAGGTTGATAGCTTTCATCACTTTCGTGACCTCCATCGCTGACTTTATGCGAGCTGTTACCCTCCGAGCTCTGGTAAACCGCGAGTTGCTGCACATGAGGACCGCCCTCGATGCTCGAGATATTTTCGTCGGGGGCCAATGCATCTGCGTTTAGCAGTGTCTCTGTCGTCTTCGACGGTGGTGCCCATATATGTGTTCAACATCTGGTAGTCGCCGAGGAGCGCCAAAGCCCCTGGATAACGTTCAAGCTGAGACTCTACGCGCGTACGCGAGGTACTTCGTGACGTGCACCGTGACATCCTCGTCCGAGTCAACGTTCTCACCGGAAGAGTCGTCAGCACCAGCTTTTCCATCACCATCTTCACCATCATCGCTGCTGTCGTCACTGACTTTTCGTTTCTTCCGTTCAAGAGCTGTAGCCTGGCCGTTTCCTTCATACCACGTAACAATTCAAAGCAAATTTGCGTGAGGAGGCCGTTAGAGAACGGAGTGTCGTGGTCGATCGGAGTGTCGAACGGCAGTTGACCGTGAGTTTGGGGGTAGAAGATCTTGCGCCGATCATGGACATACTCTGCCCATTTCTGCATTTCGCGCTGAGCGCCTTGTACGCAATCTGCCACTTGGCCATGAACGAACGGACGACCACAGCATCTCCTCAGCGTGGATATCGCCGTAATTGTAATCGAGCGGCTGCGCACCGAAGTCAAATACAGTCACGATGCTCATATGGCAGACCTACCACACATAATCTTGTCTGCGCGGGGACGTCCTCCGCAATGAAGCGTTTGATGAATGATTTCTTGACGAGGGCTTCTAGAATTATGTCGTGATCGGTTTTGCCTTTGATAAGGTACACATAGGCACGCGAAGGGTTGAAGTACACCTGCGTGCCGAACGCATACCCCCAGTGAAATAGTCAGCAGCATGTGAGTGTTGAGTAGAAACGGGAGGGATCGGGAGCTCGGGCAAGCCATTCGTACCATTTGAAGCAAGTTTATCCGCGGTTACAGTGTGAGGATCCTCCTCTATAACAGTGATAGAGTGGGCGATAGGCAGGTTTAGACGTATCTGTCGATCCATACTTATCGATTGGGACAAGGGGAATTGTGGATCGTCTGCCCAGCTACCGGAACCCTTGCCATTGACAGCCTCGGGTAACTGCCGCTTCAGCCAGCTAGCGCGGTGACGGAACACTGCTATTTCTTCGTCCCTCTTGTGCTGAGTGCTCGCTGGTGGTACACAACGTCGCAGATGATTTAGTGACGCTGTGATTGACCTAGTACAATATCAGTATGCGCGAAAATAGCATTCTCAGCATGTCTTGTTCGCTTTCTGTGGTAGTATGGATACATACAGATTCTGTTGCGAGTCCGAGCGAGTCGCGACGTCATAGGAAGTAAGTCCCCATGCCCGCGTGTCATTACTATTAGCTACACACCTCTTTTCGTACCTTTACGAACCATAGTGAAGATTAGGATGAGGAGAAGAGCAGCGGACACCGGCAGCAACAATTTGGTCGAACGCTGGAAGTCGGTCAGCCATCGAAGCGCTCGTATGCGGCGCCGCCTTCCTAAGCGGAGCTCGAAATGTTTCCTTTCTAATATGTGCTTGCGTAAGTGATCAGATTGAGATCTGCGGTAGATCCGTATTCAACGTTACCGCTCCTCCACGGTTGACGTTGAGCCATTGAACTTGAACCCTCGAGCCATACATCCTTCATGGTACGGAAAAACACTTCTGTGTTATCGGTCAAATTGGCTTGCCTGTCCTCTCCACTCTGTTGACCTGACCCTGCCACGGAGCACAGCCTTGTCAAGCCTCAGATTGTGGCAGTCGAGTTGTCACGGTAGGCGTGGGTAGACATAGTACTACCCTCATCAAGCTGGTACGCCCGTTGTATACTCGTGAATAAGTTTTCATTTCCTATACGCGCAAGAAGTCAACCGCTTGGTTGATATGTACGCAGATCTGATGCAGTGAGGACGCTCCGAGCACTCGCTAAGCCGACCCGCCCCATGCCCAGATGGCTCATGATCTGCTTCCGATACGTTCTCTTGCGATACGTGGACAAACAGGCGCAAGGCCATACCACACTTCGACGAGTGCATTGCCAACGGGTCCGAGTCAGCGTCTTGATCGTCCAGCAGTCAAAAGGATCTACACAACTGACGAACATCGGGGCGAGATGCCTCAGGCTCAGTGGCACGTGGTTGGCAGACCGATATTTTTTTCAGCAGTTCTACCTGCCTGCGCATTGCGTCCGTCCCCTTGATGCTACGCCGCAGCGCCTTCCCATCCCAAAGTTTCAAGATCCCGAACACCGAGCAAAATCGCAGACACTTACTATTCGGACCAAGCAGCTTTGAGTAAGCACTTCCGCAGCAACGGACAAGTGCCCGCGAACGTACGTTTCACTTCCGTTTCGCACACCGGCGCGGGGGAGTACCCCGGTCCAGCATGTTGAAATGACAAGCTTCAGGGGTGCATTCCGCACTGGCCGTCTTCTCCCTCGACGCAGTGTGGTTCTGATGACCGGTGAGCGTCCGTATTTGTGTCCCGAACGGCGAGGCTCGGACGCACTGCCAGTGGCGAGGTGCTACTAGTAAGCTACCACACGGCCTCAAGTTGGTTGGTGCTGACAACATCTCCGCTCATACCGATAGGGTCTGTAGATAGAACGGCCAGTAGTGCGTGTGCGGCTCCGAAGCCCAGGCTGTGGTTCCATTCCACCTTGACTGCTGTGTCGCTGAACCTAAGCCTCCGAGCTCTCAATACAACTTCCGAGCGGACAACGACTTGACACTGAGGCCTTCGCCGGTTCACTAGCTATGGCAAAGCGATCGCCCAAGCACAGCCCGACAACTATCTAGGTTAATCGGTAAGTTGCTCATATCTGTAAGCATGCCCTACCCCGTGATAACTCAACTTTCTGTTACGAAGGACATGATTCGCCGTTCCTCCAGCGTGTGACAATCAGCCCTTAGAGTTTCGTGCGGAAGGGCTTGGGCCTTGTAATCGCCCTGGACAACCGTCTATCAAGTTGTCTTTCAGCCTCAAGCGCTGTGGAACGTGGGGAGATGCCAGACTGCGTCCGGCACTGCTTCAGGCGGTGAGTACGATATGCTCTGCTCGGGTGAGAGAAGACCTGTAATGAGTATGCTTTCGCTACAAAACAAACCACTCTTCTGAGCTTTGTTCGTGAGCCGCGTGCATCATGCAGTCTACTTTCGCGCGCTCCCTAAAGCGTGCCTATCTGTATGTCATAATCCAGAGTATCTGGGTATTGACAATTCGGCGAAAGCCATCCTCTGATTGCCAGGGCTCCTGGCGACCATTAACGCCTAGTAGCTATCAGCAAGCGTCGCTCCCCTCGTGATGGTTTGAAATATCCGCTCTATTCCGTGTGGTGTTTTGACTGCCGTGGATGCAGATACAGCGCTGAAGGTGGTGAACGATGTTGCGAACGGCCGCCTCTGATTTGTCCGCCTTGACTAAGGTAGATGAACCGCGGAGTCACCTGTGCAACCCCTAGAATCTCATCAAACTATCCAAAGACGCGGATGCACTACGGTGGTGAGCGTGTCCAGAGACTGGGCCCTCTCATATGCCTGCATCGGAAACAAACGTGGTCATAGCCACCTTGCGCTGACCAGACACTCTGGACATCTTCGTTGGGCGAGGGCATGATACATGATGACCGGTACGCGCCAGTGTCCGGTCTGTCCTTCTGCGTCCATGATCTTCGTGAGGCGTACAGCGTGCGGTGTGGGACACCGCAGTTCACGGCCATTGTGCAACTGGGTTCGCCATGGGATCCGTTCCCGCCGCTATGACGCCCTGTGCGTTTTCCAATGCACTCAGATCCGGCGGCAGGAGCGCTGGGCTGTTCCTGCCGGTGCGCACGCGGCAAACGCATCGCGCAGACGTGCACAACGTGCGAGCCATCAGCCACATCTCCATTCTACTTGCACCGTTTTGGGCCATATACGGACAGGCTTGGGAACGCTGCGCGCTCGCGTGGTTCTATCTCCAGGAAGTGCGCCATTGCCACAACGATGAACTCTATTAGGACATGCGGCCCATGTGTCCGCCTCGCCGCAGGGCTGGCCGTGCGCCGGGGGTGGCCCGCGAGCCCGCAGGAGGCTCGGGTTATCTCACGAATTCAGTTGGCCAGAGTCTAGCCAGATAGAACCCGGAGTCTATGTTGGCCAGACTGTCATGACTGCATCAGCGTGGACCACAGAGACGGGGGTGCGAGCGATGGGGCGATAGAAGTTAATACCGGGAGTAACTACCTGGGCGGCAAGCCTTCGTTGAGTGCGGATTAACGGTGCGAGGGTTTCCGCAGCTATTCTGGCCTTGAGCTTTACGAGATACGCTCGTCATCGGAGGGTGTTGTTGTTCGGCTGGCCGTTGAAGACGTTCGGGGTGAATTCGGTGAGGGGGGGACGGAGTCTGTTGTGTATGGTGCTAGACTGCACCTGCACTGTGCGGAATAATAACAACGTTGTTGGACAGCTGCCGTTCGAGCGCCGTCTCGGCACCATCATCCGCCCAAACTCAAACCAGGGGCTAGTCCCCGCTGGCATCTTCATGCATCAGACCCTGACGGCACTCCCGCCTCTGCCAGTGAGAGCAAGAGTCGCACGCACGCGGGGCGATATCCACGACGGCAGGAGAGACGAGCGGACAGGATGCGGAGAGGCGGGGCGGGGCGGAGCGGGAGGGAGCAGACAAACGACGGTCGACAGAAGCTGAGTTACCGGAAGTCGCCGGAGAGACGGGGCCGCCAATATCGTGGGAACTGGGCATTGTAAATGGAACTCCGGCATGTCAATCTGTCAGATCCCGACTCCGGGAATCAACCATGTTCCCGCGCCTCCTGCCGGCACTTGCGCCCAGGGCGCATGCCAAGCCCGGTTACATTGCACTGGTTTGCCCGCGCCTTGGCCCGAGCCCGTCGCGCGCGTTGTCTGTGCAGCCGCCGTGCGACTGGCATCGCCGGTGGAGCGTCGGATGGCATGCGTGGGGTCATGGTGCACACCGCGAGCATTCGCGCGGACGAGCTTGGGCGCGACGGCGACAGAAAGCGAGCTGGATTTGACTGGGGACGGACGGGCGTCAGCGGGCTGGCGTGGGGCGCGCTTGTGTGTGTGCGAGGGCGAGCAGTGGCTGGAATGAACGGGGGCACTGTCAGCTGGTGTGTGCATTAGAGTTGCGAACGGAGGCAGCTGCCACCCGGAGGCGAAGTAGCCGGAGATTCCCCGATGAGGCAATTCCCCGGCGGCACGCTCGCCAAACGCGGCTTTGTTGGCCGGCGCCTGCGTGGGGAGGCCTATAGAAATAGCCGGGGCCGGCCGGAGTGCCCGGATAGCTCCTTAGAGCAAGCCTACTTCCGCCTCTCATCCGTCCATCACCCTTCTTCCTCTCACCACCGCGCCCATCCTCAAAACCCCACACACATCTCCCCTCCGAGCCCCTTTCTCCCCTCCTCACCGCACCAGCTCCTGCCGACGCCCTCCGCGACGACCAGCCCGCTTCATATCGCATTCTGGTCATCGCCGGCGGTCATTGATTACCGTTAGCCTCGCGTCGGCCTTCATACCATCCACATGGACCAGCCACCGCCGTCCCCTCATCAGCAAGCCGCCCCCGGCGAGCAGACTGTCTCATTGTCCGATGACAAGCCTCCGTAGGTATCGCCACTGCTATTGCACGCACTTGCTCACCGCAAGGGACACGCCGGTCTGAACAGTGCCAAGCCTCCCGTTGTCAGAGGCGCTCGGGCTTGCACAGTATGCAGAGCCGCAAAGGTAACCACCAGCGAGCCTTCTCTGAGTGTGCGTTGACCACAATGCTGTAAAGATGAAGTGTGTGGGTGCCGATGACGGCAACAATATTCCTTGTCAGCGCTGCAAGCGCTCTGGTGCAGAGTGAGTCTTATAACAGCGCGTCAATCGTTCCGGGTGCCAACACGTTGCAGATGTGTTTTCGAGAAGCATCGTCGCGGTCGAAAGCCCGGTTCAAGGTGGGTTCACGTTGGATATATGCGCCCATTTACTAAGATGCCGTTTACGTAGACTGTCGGAGGCGTCCAAAATGCTCCGACGCCTAGAAAAGGGCCTGAACAGCGCAAAACAGAAGTCGAACATGAACGATAGCCTGACTCTTCCCCCGCTCGTCGGGACTTCATCAGCTGACGGTCGCTTCCGAGATAATGGCGGCCCCAGCGGTTCGCATTACACGGGGCCGGAATTGCCTCCGTTGAACCTTCCCTCTCATATGCAAGAGGGCTATGCCAGGTCGAACCAAACCTCTGACTCCGAGATGGACGAAGACGAAGAAGACGACCAAAAGGACGGCGGCATGTATCCTGCCCGCGTCATCAAGCAGAACTCGCGCAATTCGTCGTTCTTCAAGACCATTCTCAACCCTGCGGACGAGGCTCCGGTAGCTCGGTCATCGGGCGCCTCCGAGCGTTCGTTTTCACAGAACCCACCGTCGCCACACACGTCGGCACAACCGTCTACCTCGGTAGCTTCTCTCTTTGCAGACGGTCAGACACTGAAGGACCCCGTTGAGGCGGGTCTCCTTGCCGAGGACGAAGTCATCAACCTCTGGGACATGTTCTACCTCCGTCTCAACCCCTTCATCAACCTGTTCGACCCTGCTCTACACACCTACTCGTATGTGCGCAGCAAGTGCCCATTCCTCTTCACGGCCTTCATCATGGCGTGCTGCAAGTTCTTCAAACCGGAGATGTACCAACCGGTGCTGCGGCTCGCGCATCAGTTCGCCGTGCGTGCCTTCGCCGAGAACTGGAAACGTGTTGAGGTCGTGCAGGCTTTCGCGTGCATGACGTACTGGAAGGAGCCCGACGACACGCGCACGTGGACGTACATCGGGTACGCGTGTCGCATGGCCATCGAACTCGGGCTCAACCGCTACGCCGGGCGGCGACCCGCGGGCGAGAGCGAGCCGCAAATGCTCGAGCGCCGTAACCGCGAGCGGACGTACCTGGTGCTGTGGGTGCATGACCGCAGTTTGAGCATGCAGACGGGAAAGCATTGGATGCTCCCGAAGGACGACGAGCTCGTGAGGCGTTCAGGGACGTGGCACGAAGAGGGCGGCGCCCAGGTCCGCCAGGAGGACGTCATCGTGTCGGCCTTCACGCAGCTGCGGGGTATTGCAGCGAATACGACCGACATATTCAACATGGCGCAGGGCGGGTCGATGTCGAGTGGAGACGACGTTGATTACGAAGTCCTCCTGCGCGACTGTAACAGCAAGCTCAATCAATGGGTGCAGACGTGGCGAGAGGAGATGAAGCGAGGTACGCATGTTCTTTCCGAACATCCCGAGATGACGCTGATACTGGTTACAGCGGGTGGTTCGGTGTTCCACATCTCGATGTTGATGTTCTTCCAACTGCACGTGCGGCTTTTCCTCAACACGTTCGGCATACACTCCAACAGCTCGTCGCCGTCCTGCAACGTCGAGGCGTTGAATGCATGCTATCACTCTGCGATTTCGAACCTCAAGCTCGTAGCACACGAGTTCGTCGATCTGCAGATGCTGCGGTACGGACAGGACTCGATAACGGTCATGACGGCGTATTCTGCTGTCGTCCTGCTCAAGGTTGGTGTCTGCGATCCGCTTCTCCTTCACAACGCTGACTGACATTGCTGTAACACAGCTCCTTCGTGCTGACATCTCGCCGTCGTTGTTGCAGAGGAAGCCGGATGCAATGAGTGAGATCCACAGCGTGATCACCATGACGGCGAAGGCGTATAACGACGCCGCGCACCTGAGCCACCAGTCGTACTCCGCTGCGTACCACGCGCGCTTCCTGCAGTCGCTCATCGCCAATGACGTCCAGAAGGAGCGTCAGCGGCAAGCTGAGCGCGAGCGGTACGCTGGCGTCAACGGGCGCGCGGCGTCGTCGCCGTACACGCCTGTCGGCCACTCGGCGAACGGGTATGGTCAGCAGATGTATGGGGCGCCCGTCGTGCAGGCCAATGGCGTTGATCATCCACACGCCCACCAGCACAACGGCTACTACGCGCAGTCGCCCACTGCCCCTTCGTCTACACTGTCGTCGAGCGCGGCCTCGTCCTCGTCCTCCCCGTACTCCCACCCCGCGCCCTCGTCATCGTACATTCCCCATCGCGAGCAAGACTACGCGATGTCGGACTCGACGCAGCGCGGGGGCGGCATGGGCAGCTTCAGTCTGGCGGGGATTTCGACGACGTACGCGCAGTACCAGGCTCAGCCGATGGCGGAGCACGACGCGTTGTACTGGCGGAACATGTTCAAGGACCTTGGGTTCGACGGCGGCGCGGAGCCGCAGCAGGCGCACCCGCAGCCCCAGGCGCCGACGCACGCGTACGCGAACGGTGCGGGGTATGTGGCGCCAGCGGGTGCATTGGCTGAGGCGGGCGCGAGCGCGGTGCATATGCAGCAGCCCCCGGCGCATCCGGCGCAGCAGCAGCAGCAGCCGTATGGAGGAGTGACGTATCGCGAGGCCCCCGCTGAGCATGCACATCCCGGGTACCAGAGCCATGGCGGGTACACTGGGTATGTGACTGGGTACACGGCCAGCTATGGTCGGTAACGTCCCCGGTCTTGTCTCGTGCCGTCGTCTTCATTGCATGAACGTTCTTGAACTCTTCCCCATCCTCGAGCCGTTGTACATACTTGCAAGCATCACCATCTTCTTGTCCCCACTCTATACACCACGATCTAGTCGCATTCGCCTTCGCACCCGGCCCTCATCTTCTCTCGACCGCCCCCTCGCCTCCTACGTCCGTACGCTTGGTGCTCCGACTACCCTCATGCATCCCCCTCGTCGCGCGTGTCCGCCGTGTAAGATAGGCTCCATGCCGCCCGATATCCCCCGATACTGTGTGTTACGTAGTGTAGTGACTTGATCCCCCGTACTCTAGATTCCGAGTCTGCGCAGGCTCCGCCGTATGTAGTTAGTGTAATTTATAATGTATGAAGGGTGTTTGATCTTGTACCATTCGGGATGTGTTGACGTGGATCCTGTTTACAGCGGGGTGTCGTCGTTGGATGTATTATTACGTGAATGCCAAGTTGTACAACAAGCCGTAATTAGTGGATGGGTGAGGATGCACGCCGCCGCCACCCGCACGCGGGCTGTCCGTCGGCCCATTCCACGGGTGACTGGGATCTGATCCACATCTGGCCGCTCCGTCGGTCGATCAAGGCTTGTTTGGGATCGGCGCGTGGACTTGATCGCCGCGTCTGTGTCACGGTGTGTGGGGCTGCGTCACGTCTCCGCTCCGGGGACTTGCGGCTATATGATGTGCGACGACGGCCTCTTGGGGCTTCCGTCCGTCGGCTACCTGACCGCACGTAAGTGGGGCTTAGATGCCGGTACGGGTCTGTGGCTCTGGCTTCGGTGGAGGGCTGCCCTAGGCGAGTGGCTGCAGCGGATGCTACTCATCATACACGTCCGAGTCCGACTCGGAGCTCGGAGGGAATTTGGGCGGGAGGTGGACAGGCGGTGAACTTCATCACGCTCTTGCTAGTTGTTTTGCTGTCGTTGTACGGAGTGGCTCACCGGAAGGGTTCTGCAGCTCTCGCCGTCATCTCCGTTGGCGTGTGGCTGGGAATCTGAGTGCATGGCTTGGAGCGGCTCGTTGGTCGGGTCGAGGTATGGATGATGAGTCTGCACTGTTCGTACGGATCTGACGGGCGTACATCCTTACGTGCTGAAGCTTCTGTAGATCTTGGTCTAATTGCGACACTGGGCTTTTAGTGAGGTACCGGGAGATGGGCTACCTCACACGAGTCAACCACGGACGCCGCAGAGACATAAATCCCCGTGTGTACGTACTAATCAGTGAGTGGATGGCGGGGCCGCCACGGAAATGTGCGTATCGTGTCTGTCCTGTCTGGAGCTCTCTGGGTGCGTTACACCTGCATACAGAATACTATCCTGTCAATACATTGTCTCAACTCGGAATTTGTTAAGAATCGAAATTCTGGAGCAACTGCGCGCGTCAGCAATCGTTCGACTCGAACGCGCGACGGAAGTGGCTGGTTGCCCGCAATACTTTCCCCGGACGTCGAGGTAAATCCAGTAATGTGCATGTGTACCAGTAGCCGGCCCTTGCACATTGAAGTTTAAGCCTAAACTAGTAGTGGCAGACTGGCAGTGACTGAACAGAAAGGAAGTCAACAATGGTCCTCGCTCAACTCCTAGCCTTGTCTGCACAAAAATGTCAAGGTCTGTAGCAGCGATGTGCATGGATGAGTAGAATCAACTTGCGCCCGCGGAATGAATCCATGTCTTGCGCGATCCCGCTCCGGGGTGCACTCAAATTCAAGTCAAAATCGGGACGAGTCAAGCCACAATGGGCGCTCGGGAGTCAGCGAGGTCGCCGATAGCCGGTCCGGCTTTCTTGGTCGCCGTACATGTCCACCCGCATGCTCACACCGCGCACGGAGTGAGCAGGTATTGCATGGTCTATATCCGCGACAACAGCAACATCGTGATATTCCTGCCAATTGCAGGGCTTCTCCGACTCGGTGAGGATCAGATTCAGTATTTGGCATCGTGTCTACACAACTTCCCGTTATTGAATGTTTTGAACCTTGACCAGAGCCTGTGAAGTTCAACAGCATTGGCCACTAATTAGCGGCACTATAGGATAGCCCTGGTCGAGGGTGAAGTCACTGGCGCCCGGGATTGTCGCGGCGTGTCAACGAGGTGCGTTTGTGGGTGCACCCATCACCAGTGGCAGAAGCGCACGGAGTCACTTGCGCCGTTTCAGTGCTAGCTTGGCCGCCCAGCACGTATGTTATAGTGCGACTAGCCGATGCCCGTGCTACGCTACGGACGTACAAACCTTTCATTGTGCCCATAGCTTAATGCTGAACTGCCACTCAGCTATATATACATTCAGCAGGCATTCCGGGGCAACAACTCAGAGTCAGCAAGATCCTTCGCACATTCTTGTCAGCGTTCAAGTAAGTCCATACCTACTTAGGTCAATGAGGCCTCCGGGAGTCCGAGTCGGCTTCGTGGGCCCGTCTCAGTGACGGCCCGGCCTTCGTAAGTTGCTGAGTTCAACATCCTACGATTAAAGCGGAAAGCTCCAGTCACTTGCATATATGTACATGTCCTCGAGGATGCACCAGCGCAGTCGCAAGCTACAACATCATAAAGAGTTCACCTGCCTCTGGTTGGCGCACTGGCACTTGCGCCTGCACCCGCTCTGCTCTCGCCCCCTCTTCCCCACTTGCTCGCACTCGCACTCGCCGATTGCTGATTTGCCCACTCACTCGCCCTCGCGCCCGCCCGTTGCCACCAATATTTGCTCGCCCTTGCTCTTGCCCGTGCCCTCGCCCTCACCTGCACTGTACTCGGTTGTGATTCACTCGCCGGCTGCGCTTGCACACCGGACATCTGTCCTGCGTGCTCGCCATCGCCGTGTGTTGCATTGCCGCGGCGCTCCCACCACCGCTGACTCGTCTTCGTCCACTGACCTCCGCTCGCCCTCGCCCGTTCTTTCCTTGCGCGCTCGCAGTCCATTCGTTGGTCGTGTTTGCGCTCGCGATCGCTATGCGTCTTGTCGCCCGCGGTGTGTGACCACCCACTGCCGTCTCGCTCGCCCGCCTGTGTGCATGCTGGGCCCGCATTTAGCTCGCTTGCTTGCACGCATCTGCACTCATCTTCCTTTGCTTACCTCTCCTTTGCTAGGCAGCTTTCTCATGTTCCTTTCTCGCTGGTCCAAACCTTTTCCCAGATCATCACTTCCGAGTCAAAGCAGAACAAATTGCATACGTACAGCACGTTCCGGCATCAGCAAGTCGTCGAGCACTGTCTCGTCGCCCGGGCCATTAGATGACGACGGTACCACGGGTCAAGCTTTCAAGCTTCAAGCTTCAAGGACTATCGTGTCCGAATCGAGGCAGATGAGCTGTGAATGAATTCGATCAGTGAACCTTCCCTGTCGCGCTCACAATGCTCGCCGGGCTCTTCCTGAGCGTCTCCTCCCCTTCCCGGTCGTGCAGGACACTCGGAGATATTGAGAAGCAGAGCCCGCTAGGCCCCGTCACCAGCCATTCAAATCCAGAAATGATCATCGAGGTAAACAACGAAGAGACGCGACGATGACCTTTCTCGCAGCGCGCGCGGTGAAAGAGCGCTCGGGGCTCGGGCAGCGCTCGGTGTCCGTCTCTCAGCCAATCAGATGCTCTCTTTGTCTCCCGTGCGAATTCCACGCCTCTTGTATTATAGATGGGTATATACCATCGATCGGAGAACGCTGCACTTGTCAGTACGTCCGTGAGTCGAGCAGTTCATCTTTGCACAAGCAGTGCCCCGCAAAGAACGGTGGACTGTGAGCCCGCAGACCTTCCTATAACTGCGACGAAATTGCTCATATGTGTGGTCAGGTGCTCAAGAATTCGACGACGGCAATGCCCCTGTATACATGCGATTACTCTGGCTGCAAGCGACCAGCTGTGCGCGGGCGCGCCTTTGTTCTGTGTAATCGCCACATCTGCGCCACGCATCTAGAATCGGAGGAACATCACAAATGCCCTCTTGCTGCTGTGATTCCATCGCGGCATGTTACTGCTGCCGCGACTTATAGCGTCTTTTCAGAAGGATTACGAGCATTGGGCGCAAGAAAGCGCGCGAGCTGCGCGGGAAGAGATGGCAGCCATTACAGGCTAGAGCGAGTGCCCTCAGAGGGGGGATCGCATGCGTTATCCCCGCCGACGCTTGCTCAGCGGAGGTCCTCCAAAATAGGATGGGTGGGCAGAACTACCACATCGAAGTCTCGTTCACCGACGGGATATCCTGGCTGTGCCGCGTTCAGCGCCAAAACGCCGAATCTCCGCCCCTCGAAATCCCCAATCGGGTCCTTCTGAGCGAAGCGGCGACGTTGCAGTTCCTCTCGACGACTTCCGTATCCGTTCCGAAGGTGTATGATGTTCTGCCCCAAGGTCCGGGAAACGAGGTCGGGGCTGGGTATATGCTCGTGGAGAAAATCGACGGCCATCCTCTGGATTGGTATAGTCTCGATGACGCGGGAAAACGAAAGGTCTTGAAACAATTCGCCACTATACAGGCGGAACTGGCTAAGCACCCTCTCCCTGCCATTGGGTGCCTGAAGCAGCCTGGTTCGGTTCAGATCGGACCCCTCGTCCACGAAAGGACGGCTACGAAGAGCGAGAGCGGGGAACTAATCCTGCTGGGCCCATTCAAGTCTGCGCTCGACATGTACACGGCGTTCGCGAAGCGACAAATCGAGAATATCCTGAACGAAGAACTCTACGTCGACAATCCCACCACTCCCCTGCTTGTCTACCGATACCTTCTCGACATCATGCCCGCGATCCTGCCCAAGAGACCCGGAGGTAATGGCGAGTTTTACGTCAAGCACATGGATGACAAAGGCGATCACATCTTCGTCGACGAATCGCTCAACATCGTCAGCATAATCGACTGGGAATGGGCCCAGACGATGCCCAAGGAGCTCGCGTTCTGCGCACCTCTATTCCTGTTAGGCGTCGGGGAGTTCTACGGTGGCAATAACAACCTCTCTCCGGACGAGGCTCTGTTGATTTCTGCACTGGAGACCTCCAGGAGCGAAGACCTTGCTATCTGCGTCCGCAATGGGCGTATTTATCACCGTCTTGTCTTCTGTCTAGAGGAGAACGTTGAGAATGAAGAGACCTACGCACCGTTGGTATGTGGTCTTCGCAAGATGATAGGACTCTCAGAACATGATAATCCATCGGATTGGGCGGCGTGGAAGAAAAAGGCCGAGCTCACTTATGCACATGATAGGGACTTCAGGGCACTGCAGCGCCATTTGGAGAAGAGCGGCAGGCGCAGGACGGGTACCATTGATAGCTGATGACTAGTAATTTACTGTACGATTCACTACGGAGTAGTTAATCGTTTTGAATGCCTTGTAACGACCGGATGACTACTACACGAATCACAACATCGGCTGGCGAATCTCACAGTTCCATAGACACTGCCGATGGGTGTCGTTCCGACCCTATCCTATCCACCTTTGCATCAACTTCGTCACCACACTCATGGTATCTCCGGTCACCTCCGACCCTGCACTCCAGGTTTCAGAATCCCAGGCCTCGCCAATAGCCAGCATATCCTCATGCAGTGTCGTATTGTCATACACCGCCCCACTTTCAGTGACGTTCACGAGGTAGCCAATGAAGGTCTCCCACCGCTGGTAGTAATACGTCCCCACCAGACCTGCCCACTGCTTCGACGCGTAGTCTGTAAGCTCCCCGTTCGGCCCCCAGAGCGTGATCTGGTTCCGCGCGTTGTACTCAAGGTAGTCTGCGTACGTGCTGTTGCTCCCGGCCCAGCTCCGCGCGTCCGCGATCCAGTTAGCGAGCAGGAAGTTGTCGTTCGTCCAGAGCAGCGTGTCGACGTCGCTGAGGATCGTGAGGAGGGGCGCGCCCGCGGCGGTGATGGCGGCTGACGTCGCGTCGGAGGAGTTGTACGTTGCTACGAGCGTGGTATATGCATCGATGAAGCGGTTGGCGAGCAGCTGACGGGTGACGTCGACGAGGTCGTACAGGAACTCTGGCACCGCGAGCAGAGAGGAATTTTCTGCAGCCGCAGCGACGAGGTTTTGCAGTGCGGGGACGATGGTCGTGTTCGTGTCATATGGAACAGTGGTGAAGAACCCATCCGTGAGACCCGATATGGCGGGCTCCAACTCAAATATGCTTTTGATCGTCGCGTCGCTAACCGAGTCACTGTAAACGGTCGTGCTGAGGATCGCCCAGGCTTCCTGAGCGGCGGACGGCAGCGGTTTCACAATGTAGCGACGCGCTACCCAGAACTCGACGTAGGCGGTGATGTTGAGCGAGGTGGCTGACCATGCCTGGTCGAGGACAATGTCGTAGACGATCTCGTTGCCCTCCTGTCCCTCCATGGTCAGGCCCATGCCTTTCATGCTCGGGGAGGCGGAGTGAGCCTCGATGAGGCGGGAGACGAGTTCAGGGAGGTTCCCTTCGAGGCCCATGTTCCCGCCAAAATCGTGCAGCTCGCACCAGACCCACTGCTTGCCGTAGTAAGACTCGGTCCGCTGCCACTGCGGGAACACGTCCGAGATGAGGTCGAGGATGATCATGCTGTCGTCGCCGGGGACGCCGCCGAGGTAAGCGGAGATGCGGTCTGTCGTCCAGAAAGCCTCCTGCTCGAAGAAGAGCCACCCCTGCATCATCCAGACTGCCTCTGGATCGGCGGCTCGGAGTGCTGCGAAGGTCCCGCTGGATATGTTCGCAAGATAAGCCGTGTCGCCGCTATAGGGGCTGTTCTCGTTGTACTGGTCCAGCGTGTAGACATGCGACACGTTGGCACCATATGCGGCCTGCTGCTTGACTATGAACGATTTCTGCATCGTCGCGAAGAGGTCGTTCGACGGTTCGAGGAAGGTAACGTTGGTCAGGGCGGGTGAGAAAGTATTCCACTGGCTACCGTTCACGATGGCTGCGTCAGGATACAAGTCTGCCATCGCGCGAGGTACGAAGCCTGTAAAAGCAGGCAGCACGGGTGTCATGCCCAGCTCGTACATTCTTGCGACGATCTGTTGCTGGAGAGCGTACTGGCTGTCGATCCATTCTGCAGGCAACGGGCCGCCCCAATTGCCCTGGATGTTTCCGAAGCGGTTCCATGCTTGAAACGCTGGTCCTGAGAGGAACGAAGCGATGTCTTCGTCTGAAAGGCCGACCTCTTGGAACACCTGGACGAGGAAATATTCATAACCAACCCATGCGAGAGGAAGGTTGACGCCGCGCAGAGCAAGCCAATCAAGCTGAGACTGCCATTGATCCCAGTCCCACCAAGCGGCGGTATAATCAAAGGTGACGGTGTTGAAATGATATCTACACAATTATATGAGTATTGCCCATCAAAATGACACAGAAGACCATAATGGGGATATACCGGTAAGGTACGATGGCTGTTCCGTTGACTGGAGTCCCTACAGCGGGTAGGGGCGTTGGCAGTAAACTGAGGCGAGAGCCGGTCCACCAAATGTCGACACCACCGAACTGCGTCAGGTATCTTGAAGAATGGGTCAACTTGACACGTTCTCAGTGGAAGTAATCAATGTGTGATTGCTCACGTATATAGTCCCCTTGCACAGGCACTGACAGTCGAGCACTGTATATCGACAATTGTTGCTTCCGTAGAATCACTGATCACGAAGGTATCTCCATCACCTTGAATGAGCGAAAACGTGAACGAATCGGCATGTTCAGGAATCTGGCGCTGAACGAGTGAGTAGATCCCATCTAGACTGGTTGTAGCTGCATGTGCAAGAAGCGCGCTGCACGCGAGCAACGACAGGGAGGCTCGCATGGATGCGAACGCTCAGCACAGACGCGGCACTCGCAATGACAAGAACAGCTATATATACCTCCTCGCCGAGAACGGGGTTTATAAGTCTGTCGAGGACGCGGAGACGCAGTGTTTGCATCAGCATCAGAAAGTCGCCCAGACTAGCACGCCGTCATTACCATTGATTGTTGAGCTTGTCGCATGGATAAGTACTTGATAAGTACCCGTTCCTGTGAGTGTCACATTGCCGATGTTCGCTCATGCCGGTGTCAAATCGCCGTTTACGTATGCCATTTTCGCCGGACCAAGCCGTACACACACACCTGCGCGCATTGCGATTACTATCCTTGCCATGTAGCGGAGCCAACCATGGATACTGAGACTGGTATAGAGTCGTAGACACGTCTGGGTCTCGGAGGGGTGTCAGGAATAGCTGTGGGGGTCGATGAATTCAAAGACAGGCTTGGGGCCGTAGGTGCACCTGCAATGACATCCGATCGAGTGTCAGGAAGTCAAGAGAAGATCCGGAACGTCCTTACTACATAGCCATACATCTGGAAGCGCTCCTAGTGGTAATCGCATTGGGATCGTTCGTGCGTCGACGGGAAGACTCCAGCTCAATTCGGCATGATGAATGTCCATGAGACCATGATAGTACTGAGACACTACGAGGATACACTTGCACCAGTCCGTTTGTCGTAATATTTGTGTCCATACTCGAGAAGCCTATGAAAAGGATTGGTAGGTCAACGAGCTGCTATGATTAGTTGACAGGCGTGCGTACCAGTCCGGTTCTATCTCGGTCAGAATGCGTATCCTATCAAAGTAAGGTTATCGATAGCGACATCTGACAAAGGGCAGACAAGACGCACTGAGTCTTCTTCGTTTCTTCCATCTCGTGGAATATGACCCAGCCCGAGCGAGGTTTGCGCGTGAACAAGACAGAGTTTGGGTGGACGTGCAGGGTCTGGAGCTCACAGTTTGAGTTCATGGCGTTGCTCCACGTCAAGGGATATCACTTACCGCATTGCCTCGGACAGAGCGATATGTCCCGTCTGCAACCCAGCGTGCGCCGTTTCGCCAGTAGCCGCTGACGAGGCACTTCCGCAAGCGCTTCGCGTCACCCTCACAGCTGTCGAGTGGCAGGTTGAAGCGCTGCATGTATTTCTTGAGTTGCGAGCGGATGGACACGGCTCGAGACACGGCCCGGAAGGAGAGTGCGTGAGACTTGCACCAGGAAGACGAACGACCGTAGCGAGTGAAAGCGTTGTATGCTATGCAGGGTTATGAGTCAAGGCGTGCCGACGTGGATGGGGGGACGTACCATTCAGCAATGTTAAGTGATCCTAGATCAATGAGGGCAAACATGAGTGAATGTTGACTAGCGGCGTTTAGCTGAGCGTACCCCTTCTTCAGCCGTGAACTTCCTCCGCTCCAACTCAGCCAGGGCACCTGGTGCGCCGTCAGGAATGATAAACACGTCCTGTACTGCAGTCATTGCAGCAATGGTGAGGATCTCCTCGCCACATTTGTGTTCCTTCGACATGAAGAGCTTGTATAGGGACTGTGAGCTTTCTGGGACCGCAGACAGAATGCTGATGCTCACCATGCGCGCGATGTTAACTTCGACTGGACACTCCGCGACTTTCTCTCCCATTACAGTGAGCCGACCATCCTCTCCGATCATCCCAGCCGCGTACAGCCCTTCCAAAGCCCGCAAGACACTCTCAGCCGGCGGGCTCGAGACCCATTCGAACTTCATGAGATCGTCGATGCCCAGGCTCTTCAGCTGAAGTATAGGCGTCGTCAAATCAGTACGGGTGATTTCTGGAGGCGTCGTGAGTGGGAGCTTTTCGTATGCGCTTTCGGGGTAGAGCCTGTAACAGATCCCGGAGGAGGTACGACCTGCACGACCGGCGCGCTGAGTGGCGGATGCTTGCGAGACGGGGACGGGGACGAGGGAGGAGAGGGAAGTTGTGGGGTTGTAGGTGCGAATCTTGAGAATGGTGGGCACCCAGTTAGGTATAGAGTCAATGGGAGAAGCATACCTTGACGAAGCCAGAATCGACGACAAATTTGATACCGTCGATGGTGACACTAGCCTGTGGATCGTTAGTGGTATGAATTGGACGACTGCACGAAGTAAGCCTACTTCTGCAATGTTAGTGGAAACGATGACTTTTCGACTCCCCCGTTCCGCAGGTTCGAAGACTGCAAGTTGTTCATCCGTTGTGAGACCGGCATGTAACGCCAATAACCGGAGCCGCATGAAATTTCGAGGCAAGCTGATGCAGGCTTGATTATCGTCCTACATGGGTTACACAACAGACTTACCTGGGAAGCATCTCGGCGAGTTCTTCTAAGCAACGATCGATTTCTTCTCGACCCGTCAAGAAGACCAGGATGTCCCCGCTCCCTTGCTAACAAATCATCGCGGTTGGGAACATGTCGCATACGCGATGCAGCGCACAGGCTTACCTGTAAGTGGATATTCCAGACTACTTCTGCCGCCTTCCGTACATAGTCCGCAACAGGCTCCGCCAAGTACGCTGTCTGAACAGGATACATGCGACCTTCGAGACTGACGATGATCGCCTCGTCAGGGCTGTTACCCGCGGTGAAGTAATCGAGGAAGGAGGTAGCATCAAGCGTCGCGGAGGAGACTATGAGGCGTAGAGAGGGTCGTTTGCGGCGAATCCTAGAGCGTAAGGTTAGCAACGACGGAGGGCAGGAAACCGGACGGCTTACTTCTTCAGTATCCCAAGCATCAGGTCTGTGTATACGCTTCGCTCGTGCGCTTCGTCAATCTTAGGACCTCTGAGTCAGGATGAGTTCTCGAGGCTGCGTCGGAGAGAAGGATGCGCACCATGATGACGCTATAGCGGCTGAGGAGAGGGTCTAGCAAAGTCTCTCTAAAGAGCATGCCGTCCGTCATATACAAGATTCGCGTGCGCTCCTTGTCGCTGACGTCCTCGAAGCGGATCGTGTAGCCCACTTCGTCTCCGATAGTGGACCCGACCTCTTGGGCGACGCGTCCGGCGACGGACGTCGCGGCAACGCGACGAGGTTGTGTGCATGCTATGATGTTCCCATCTGCAGACCAGCCTGCCTCATGGAGATATTGGGGAAGCTCTGTTTGATGGTCAGAGGCGAGCGGAGGGTGCGGTGAATAGATACTGACGAGTAGTTTTCCCGCATCCCGTTTGTCCGACTACTATGACCACCCCGTATTTCTCCAAGCAATAGAGTAGCTTCTCGCCTGCACATTTCGATGAATGGTCAAGTGTGTGAAAGCGAGGAGGAACAACGCACGGTGCTTGAAGATCGGCAGCCTCTCCCTGGCACCCTGGATGCCCATGTAGGACGCAGAAGGGGCGCTTTGAACGACATTCCCCTCTGTCTCCGTTGCGCGGTCGAGACTGCTGCCTGGCCCGGCTGTGCCGGGCTTCCAGAATTGGAGGGACGTCATTTGTCGGTGGCGGGGATGGACGAGCAGCCGAATCGGGAAGCGGTTGTTTGGCCCAGAGGCCTTTGCACGCGGAGCCAAGCAGGCACAAGCAAATCTCGGTGGCGCGCGATCATACATAGTAGGCGCTCTGTAAGCCTGGCTGTACTTGACACTTGTTCCCTGACCACTACCCTCCCTGTATACCGCCCGGCTAGCCCACCATGTCTGAGCGTAAAGGTGCGTCATTACAGTCTGTATTGCTCTCGTTCTTTTGCTAACACATCCTCTGCAGTTCTCAACAAGTACTTCCCCCCGGATTTCGATCCGTCTCTCATTCCCCGCAGGAAACAGCCCAAGAACTCACAGCAGGTGGTCCGTTTGATGGCTCCTTTCTCTATGTGCGTGCGCTTCTGACACGCATCTGCTCTCATTCTCTGACCTCACAATTTGTCTAGGCGATGTAACACCTGCGGAGAGTACATCTACAAGGGGAAGAAGTTCAATGCTCGGAAGGAGACGGTAGACGGAGAGGACTACTATGGGATCAAGATCTTCCGCTTTTACATCAAATGGTATGTCTGATCCACTTCCTATTTTACCGCAGTGTTTAACGGTGCATCGCAGTACATTATGCTCCGCCGAAATCACGTTCAAGACAGACCCGAAGAACACTGACTACTCGGCCGAGCATGGTGCATCGCGGAACTTTGAGCCATGGAGAGAAGAGAAGGCCGTGGAGGAGGAGGACCGGCTGGCCAAGCTCGAGGAAGAAGAGAACAACCCCATGAAGGCGCTCGAGAACCGTACGGTGGACTCGAAGCGCGAGATGGACATCCTCGATGCGCTGCAGGATATCCGTGCGCGTAATGCCCGTAACGAGCGGGTAGGACAGTCGGTGGATCTGGTAGAGAGGCTGGGTGCGGAGGAGATTGAAACTATGGAGGATCGGCGGCGGAAACTCGAGGAGGAGGAAGACGAGAAGCTGGTGCGGGAGGTGTTCCAGAAGATCCCTGCGGCGGGCCCGTCGTCAGCCAGCGGGTCATCGGGACATACATCTCAGTCGCCGGAGGAGGAGGCACCGACACCAGTGGTAACGCTGAAGCGCAAGGCCGAGGGCGCAGAGCCGGACCTCCACAGTCTGCTGCCTGAAGAGACGCGTGCCCTTCTCTCGGCCAAGGCCTTCGCGCCTGCACCACCAGTGAAGAAGAAGAAGACGAACTTGATGGGCATCAAGATCAACAAGGGCAAGGGTGTTGCCAAACCGAAGCCCGTTGCGGCATAGGACGTCGGACTTGCATTGTAGTCTACTGTAGCATTGTATTCACTGTCTGTTTACGGGTCATTGTGTTTTGTTACATGGGATCAGTGTGGATTGAATGGAGCATATATCGCAAAATGATGTCAGGCGCGAGCCGCGTGCGCTCGACGCGACCCCTGTACGACCGTCTTCCTCCACGACCACCTCCACGTCCGCGACACCCTGCCCGCACGACATCCCCACGCCCACGAACGTCGACTACACCTCGCGGTATGGCCAACCTCGGCTACGCGCAAGCCGCGGTATCGACCGCATTCCGCGCAGTTGCCTATGTCTTCCTCGAAGTGGTCAGTCCGTGATCTCCGCACATTGAGCGAGCAACGGTCTTATGACGTGCCTCTAGATCCCCCATTCTGCAGCAAAATACGTGCTCTCGGTCTTGTATGTAGCTTACCTTGTGTTGTACTCCCTCCAACCACCACCCGCCCTCGAGCCAACGACGAAAGAGGAACATTCGAACGGCGAGGCCAAGGTCCCCTTCCCCACCGAGGACACAACCAAAGAACTCGTAGAAACGAAGACAGAGTCTGAAGACTCGAAGCCCTTGCCCTCGGTGAGTGTCACGTCGCTATCATTCCTCGCAGTGGCAACTAACCGTACCGCAGATCCCCACCCCTGCTGAAGAGTCTAGCAGCCTCACTGCCCTGTTGTTGTCTCTGCCTACCCCGTCACGCCCGCTACGACTAGCGAACCTCTTTATCAACACCCTGCTCGCCGCCGCCGCACTAGAGTTCATCACATACCCGTACTTTGACGACGCTGCAGGCGTGGTCTACACCCGCGTCGGCGCGGTATACCCGGATGCTGCCAAAATTGTCGTCCGCTACCCCGGACTTGTCGGGTTCAACCAGACGAACGCCACTGTGCAGCTTGCCTGGAGGCAGGTGCCGAAATCGGGAGCGGTCGAGTCGGACGTGTGGAAGGATGGTCCTTCTGCGCTCCTTAGTGAAGAGCTGGACTGGGTGAACACTGTCAAGTTGTCGAGTCTGTGGCCGAGCACTACCTATGAATGTGAGTTGCACGCGACGAACGGCGACTCCGCTCATGCTAATCTTGTTTGTGTCTAGACACGCTTCGCGACGCCAACAAGACCCAGCTCCCCTACCCCTCGTCACCCATTCGCTTCCGCACCTTCCCGGACCCTTACCTCAACAGCGGCGTCAACTTCCGCTTCTTGGCCTCATCTTGCATCGTGCCCAACTTCCCCTACACCCCGCTCCAGGGCCGCACAATTAAAGGCTTCGACCTGCTAGCGGACTACCTCTGGCCGAAGAACACGCCCGGCAAGTTCACGATGCCGCCTCCTAGCACGAGCACGCCCACGCCTGCAGAGACGGAGTCTGCCGACGAGAGTGCCGCTGGGACGTCGGCGTTGGATCAGCCGGAGCCCACCGCTGCACCTGTGTTCTCAGTGAATGCTCAGACGGTGGAGCCGGTGGCTAGCAAGGCGCCGACGGAGTTCATGATCTTTATGGGCGACTTCATCTATGCGGATGTGCCGATCTACTATGGAGACGATAAGGAGGCGTACCGTCGTTTATACAGAAGGAACTATCAGAGCCCCAGCTTTAGAAAGGTTTACGAACGGCTTCGTGAGTCGAGACAATCGCGCTTCATGACTCTTCATTGACGCGTATATCTATCAGCGTTCATTCACACTTACGACGACCACGAGGTGAGTTTAGCTGGATCATGTCCAAGCTGTTGTACTGACTGGGTGGCCTCTTCAGATCATCAACAACTACGCTGGGCATTCCAATGACTCTTCCCCACCATTTGCGAACGCGAACGACGCCTTCGCGCTGTACAACGCTCAAGGCAACTACGATTCTTCCCAGCAGGGCGAGCACTACTATGACTTCCGCCATGGCGACGTAGCGTTCTTCGTCATGGACACGCGGAGGCACAGGTCCATCATTGAGGAAACCGACGAGCCCAGCAGGACCATGCTCGGGGAACAGCAGTTGACGGCGCTGTACGACTGGCTCGGAAGGGTACGCACTATCTCAGCGTAATCTGTCCTGAGCGTGAGCTGACAGTGTACAGGTCAACAACACCGCGACGTTCAAGTTCATCGTCAGTTCCGTGCCATTTACCGGCCTCTGGACGTACGAAGGGGAGTACGAGACCTGGAACGGCTTCCAATATGAGAAGGCGTCGCTCCTCAACGCGTTGCACACCGTTCCGAACGTCATCCTCCTCTCCGGTGACAGACACGAGTTCGCCGCCATCGAGTTCCCGAGCGCGAACCCCGCGCGGACGGTGTACGAGATTTCGACGAGCCCGCTGAGCATGTTCTACATACCGCTGATCAGGACGCTCAAGAAGCAGAGCGAGGATGTAATCAATAGGACGAAGGAGGTTGTGAATGTGCTTGAAGATGGAACCACGGAGACGGTGATCGTGACGGAGGAGGTGCCGCAGGAAAAGGTCTTGAAGTATATTGCCGACGGGAACTACAAATGGTGAGTGGAGGCGCTGGCTGAAACTTGGCAGTATGGTTAACGACGGGATACTCCAATTCAGGTCCTCAATTGAGGTTGACACCAGGGACCGACAGAACCCTGTGGCCAACATAGACATCATCATTGATGGAAAGAATGCCTATTCGTGAGTAGACCTGAGTCTTCACATTTGCGTACGCCCCTGACAAACCTTCTGCACAGGTTGACCATTCGCGGAGAACCCGTGAAACTGTCGCCCTCGATGGCATTGGGCGCATATGTGCCTCAAAGTTTCAAGGGAGTGCTTGGAAAGATCGGGCTAAACCCTAGCAGTTGGTTCTGAAGATGCGAGTGTTGGATATAGCAAAGTATGTAGTACAGTGACCCATAATTCCGTAATGCTATTCATGATACCTGGAATAATCCAAACGGTGTTGGCAATGAAGAATTGGTCATGCTGCCGCATTTATCGTCTCCTTGGAGAATCGCTGCTGGACTTGTGCGTAGTGCTCCATCTCGGCTTGGCTGACACTCGGGACCAGCTCTTTGAGCGCGGCAGTGAAGTCTTGTTGCATGACAAGGACCTCCATTTCTGCGGGTGTTGCGAGTTCTGCGAGATAGTACTGAGGGGTGAGAGGATATGGGTGCCGCGGATCTGGGGGCTGGCTGTTTAGTTCGGCTGTCAAGAAATTGCGTAAGACTCGAGCATAATGACACTGGCAGAGTGCATACCAATAGTTGCCTCCAGCTCCTCTGCCTTTCGTGACATGGCCTTGAGCAAGGCGTCTGCACACAAGGCGTAGAAGTCGGCGCCCGTGTAGTGGAAGGGACATTGTTCTGCGATGTCTTCCAGTCTGAGCTCCGGGTGGAGCCGAAACTTCCGCGTGAGGGCTTGCAGGATGTTCAGCTGCGCGGCATGTGTGTTGCTCACGCCGAGATAAAGCATGCGGTCAAATCTGTCAGTACAAGGTAAGCACATAAGTGATTGAGCGGCGGTGAGGTGTCTGACCTGCCAGGTCGTAGCAAAGCGGGATCCAGCAAGTCGGGCCGATTCGTCGCACCGATGACGAACACGTCAGCGCCCGCCTTCCCGCCAGAAAGCCCATCCAGCTCGGCCAATATCTGACTGACAATCCGATCCATCACCCCTCCAGAATCACCGTGACTGCCGCGCTTGGGTGCTACGGAGTCCAACTCGTCAAAGAAGATCACGCATGGACGTGCATCGCGAGCACGCTGGAACACACGGCGGACGTTCGCTTCAGACTCGCCGATGTACATGTTGAGCAGCTCGGGGCCCTTGACCGAGAAGAAGTTGAGCGCGCAGGACGTCGCAACGGCTTTCGCGAGGAGCGTCTTTCCCGTACCCGGCGGTCCGTACAAGAGGATACCTATACGTCGATCAATGTCCATTGACGCTTCTCCGTCGGGACGTGCACATACCAGATCGTTTTTTGAGCCCGTCTGCGAAGAATTCGGGGTGCTCCAGTGGTAGCTGGATAGTGTCCAGAATATCCGCCTTCACATGGGCGAGACCTCCGACATCGTCCCATGTCACTGAAGGTATCTTGGGTGCACCGATGTTCTCCGAGTACGCAGCTCGCGACTCCTTCAAGGAAGCATCGAAGTCGGCCGCAGTTAACGGTATCCCTGCATAGAACAGGTCTGCACCTGATGCTGAGCTGCACCGGAGCGTTAGCGAACAGACGACAATAAGAGTGCTGCACTTACGTGTCCTTGGCGGCGCGCTCGGCAGCCGCAGCCTGTGCGCGCGATACGAGGTTGACGAGATCTGCTGCGACGAGTGCTGCAGTTTGCACGGCCACGTCCTTGACAGACACGTCGGGGGCCACGATATGGCTCCGTAGTAATGAGTTCAGGATTTCGTGACGTTCAGCTTCGCCAGGTGCCTAAAGTTCGGGTTAGCAATAGCTTCCGCAGCGTCGAGGACGACGGACCTCAAGAGTGATCTCGTGCTTGAAGCTAGACAGGACCCGCGAGGGGACCTTGTCAGGATCACTGGTCGTGCCAACAACAAGGACCGGATATCCTGTCAAGTTCCACCCTTGTTGCAGGCTAGATATGCACTCTTGCAATGCGTTCGCGATGCTAGGCTCTTCGAACCATTAGTATCAACGGACTTCAAGGAAAGAAGATGTCTCCACCTTTTCCTGGCTCGAGGCCCTGAGTCGTCTGGGCAAAGGCATCGATGTTCCTCAGAAGGAGGATACAGGGCGAACATGACGCCGCCCGCTCAAAACGTGCCCGAAGGGTCCCCTCAGTTTTGGCATCGTTCTCGCCCAGAACCTCGTAACAGTTGACCTGCAGAGACGCTGAGCGACGGCTCCCCTTTCTAGACAAACAGCTCATACCTCAAAGAGATGAATGCCGAGATGTTGTACCACCCAACTCGCCGTCGTGAATTTTCCAGACCCCTTTGGGCCCTTCAGCAACACGGTCAACTGCAGCTGATACTCCACAGCGTGTGGTTTCAATGCGGCCGCTGTCAGCGCGAGCAGCTTGCTATATGCACTGTTGGGCCCGAGGAGATTCGACGCTTCGGTCTCTACGGGCGCAAAGGGTACAGAGCCCTCTGCGAGAAGATGAGCGACTGCTGCTTTGGTTAAACATATAAGCGACGGCCTCACGGATGTTTAGGTAGCGGGCCATGTCAGGCACCCTCGCGTGTTCCACACCAGTCTGTATCATGCGAGTGACTGATGGGTCCACCCAGCACCCAAGCTCGCCAACGGCCGAGCCCAAATAAACATCCGACGCCGGCATGGACGCGTCGCCGTTACTCGACACGACGTGGTGCTCTATGTTCGTCACGGTGAAGAATGCCAACTCGTCTGCAGCGTCAGCGGCGTTCATGAACCTTCTCCCCGTCGGGCATAAGTAAATATATTGTTTGCTCGAGCTACGGGGAAACCTAACTTGTACTCGAGCGCCGCCTCGTTCTCCCCGCTCAGCGCCTCATCCTTCGGATCGACGTCCGTCTGCCAGAGGACCTCGTCGGTGTTGATCTTGACGGTGATGATGTCGCCCTGCTTGACGAGGCGTGTCGTATCTTTGAAGTAGTCTTGCAGTGCTCTGAGGAAGAGCGGCTGGTATGCGCGATCGGTGGATATGGGAGATGCGACGCGCGCTATTGTAACGGAGCGGGCTGTCGGGATAGAGGGCTTTTGCGAACCAAACGGACTAGGGCGCAGACAGACTTCATGGCTCGTTGGAGCTGTGCCCGAAGTAATATTGTGCAGAAGTTGAGGGGACAGGCGAACGGGTCCACTGTATAACCTTGAGATGAAAATGCAGTATGGCAGCGTGGCACAGACAACGCACCTTGAATCTGCGTCGCTGTCTTCGGCGCATACACGCGCGAGCCGAGATGAAGACCCCTTGCTCGAGCGGACGACAGCCTGTTACGCTGAAGGTGAACGACGAATAGAGTGAAATAGAAGTTACATACCCAATCTCCACTCAGCACGCCGACGTGGCTGAGGTCGGCAGTCGAGATGTAGACCGTGCAGTCGTCTTCCACTGATGACCTCGGTGAAGCAAGCTGTTCTGCAACACGTGTGTACCCAGCAGAGTGAATACGAGCTCTATCGATACTACTATCAGGAGGGCCATCGAGTGCGTCGGCCTCGTCCGGAGGGGTTCCATTAGCAGGCATAGAGTGCAACACAGAACCAGCCAAGAAAGCCTCGTTGATCTCAAAGCCATCCTCGGACTCCTGGAATTCATCCTCGTCGGACGGGATTTCCTGTAAATCATCGAGGGTATGTGCAGAATGCCCGTTCGAGGTCGGCGCAGGTTCCGGAGCCAGCGTGACATAGAACCGAGTAACTCCCCTTTTGGCGTAACCCTGCAGGACGGGACCAGCCATGACTAGTCGGTAGTGGTGCCCAGACGAGGGAAAGCCATCACCGTCGCCACCAGAGATGTCGAGGTCGCGTGCATGAAGGGTGTACACCTCGTCCTGCCGCAGTGTTCGCTGCGTGTCAAAGAAGTGTGCCTCGAAGGCTGCGCGATGAGCCAGAGCTAGGGTGTATGCATCGTGTGAGTGTGCTGTGAGTATTATCTCCGAGAGCACAACGGGCTGGACAGCAATGAGATGATGAGTTGCTTCCTTCGACTGCGAGCTGATGTCCCCCTGAACGAAGGCGCGGTACTGCTGGAGCCATTGCTTGGGTACGACGACACCAGAGTCCTGCTATATGCGCCTTTATTACACGAGTCCTCACGGATACAAATATTCACTCACGTTCGCGTCGAGCCGTGCCCATGCTACCAGAGACGCAATAGGCGACGCCTTCCCCGCACTTGCAGTCGGACGAGGGGCGACCCGCGATATAGACACGGCCGCTCTGCCCTCTTGCGCGCCAGCCAAATTCAACGCGTCCCACAGACCCTGCGAGAGGAGTACTGCGCCGTCGTCCGCGCTGTCGCTGACGGGGGAGAGGGCGGCGGGGACGGGGCGGGGGTGGTCGAAGAGGTAGTCCATGCGAGCGACCAGCGTGGGAATCCCGACCCCGCCCTTCGTCTTCGCCACAATTTTGGCAAAGCGGCTTATTTCCGCCTGCGCTCTCGGAGTCCTCGCTGAAAACATACGCTCGCACACGCCGCTTACATCTCGCGGCTTCAGTGATACTTGCGAGGCTCCCTGCGCTGTTTGAAGTCAGCGCCACACTTTTTTGAAGACCCACTAAACTTGCGAAAATGAGTAGAGGAGGCAGAGGAGGAGGGTTCGGAGGCCGTGGCTTCGGAGGTGCGTTCACTCGATGGTCGATTGCTGGTTGTGGTGCTCAGTATGCTGCAGGAAGAGGGGGAGGCAGGGGTGGCTACGGTCAGCGGGATGTAGGACCTCCAGACACAGTCCTCGGTGTGCACACATGCCCCTACTTTTCACGGACTCGTATCTGACCATGCGATCCTTCGTACAGAGATGGGCTCCTTCTTGCACGCAGTCGAAGAGGAGATGCTCTGCCAGTCCGTCATGCCGGACAAGGTCCCTTACTTCAATGCGCCCATCTATCTCGCGAACAAGTCCGTCATCGGCAAGGTCGACGAGATCCTCGGCCCGATCAATGAGGTCTACTTCTCCGTCAAGATGGAGCAGGGCATGGTCGCGAGCAGCTTCAAGAAGGGCGACAAGGTATTTATCGGAGGAGACAAGCTCTTGCCAGTGGAAAGGTTCTTGCCAAAACCGAAGATTGCTGGTATGTGCTATGTTTTTCTTGCGGGTGTCATTGTGAACTCACGATTCGCAGGTGTAACAAGTACGCATAACATCAGTCCTAGAATCCTTCATCGTGCTGACGATCTCTGCAGAACGAGGTCGTGGGGGACGCGGCGGCGCAGGTGGACGAGGACGAGGCGCACCAGGCGGACGGGGTGGCTTTTCACGAGGAGGCCCCAGAGGCGGCGGACGGGGCGGCTTCCAACCAAGAGGTGGGTTCAGCGGCGGCCGCGGTGGTGGTCGAGGTGGGCCAAGTCGGGGGCGTGGTGGTGGCTTCGGTGGCGGCGGCTTTGGCGGTGGTGGTTTTGGCGGTGGAGGCGGACGAGGCGGCAGGGGTGGTTTCCGTGGTTCATAGTATCTGTTGGCACGTTGCGCGTGTTGCGTTTCGTTACTGTGCTATATGTATATCATTCCTTTCTCCTCTGCTCTGTTGATGCATTAAGGTCAGACGTGTGGTACATGGTGTTGTATCGATACAGGAATTAAGACAAGTGAACGGTGGGTGGTGGAATGAGATCAAGATTTCAGAGCTTTGATTTCGGCTGCGACGACCTGAACACGCTCTGAGCGCTCGGATTGTAGGGGGATGGACTGTAGGAGTGTCAACTTCGCAGGCATGTGGAAGCAATCAAATGGCACCGACCTGTTTGAGCTCTTCCGCTATTGCATTGACCTGCATAGCGACCTGATGTATGTTCTCATACGTCGCAGGTAATACTAGCAAACCGTTAGTTCACTCCGGCAAAGTGCCGACACGGACGCAACTCACAGTCTCGCGCAGTGGGGTACTCCCTTCCGCCATCGCGGGAGTCTTCGGCGGCAGCCTCCTGGTCGAGCTCCCGCTGACGCTGAAAGAGTTCCTCCATCTGTGCCTCAATCTCTTTGGGGTGCTTCCGGCGCCGCGCAGCAATCTCGGAGTCCCATTGGAGAGACTGGTGCGCGAGGGCCCAGATGTGCCGGTCGAAACCCTCGTCGAATGGTTCCTCCTCTGCAACAAGGTAACGAGCGGGTAAGAAGAGGTCGTAGGAGAAGGGTGGCCAGCGACGCACCTTCCTCAGCGATGTCCAATTCCTCGAAGTTACGCCCATTGATGCGGATGTTGGGGCGCGTCATGTCGAATGTCCTGTCGATGAACTGAGCGACGCGTATAGTTTTACATCAACACCTCGCATGAGAACGTACTTGTTGTAGGTGCTTCATGAGGACGTCGCGTTCGGCGGTAGATCGCACAGACGAGAGCTCCTCCTCGAACGCACTCATGGCGGCGGAGGTGTAGTTGGCTTTGAGGCGGTGCCAGTCTTGGATGGAGTCGAGCGAGATGCGGGCCATGTCGTCAGCGTGTTGAGGGTCCATGACTGGGTGTTTCGTGAGATGTGACGAGGGTGTGGAACAGGAGGAGGGAAGTGGGTGTTAGGAACAAAGCTAAAGAGACGCGACGGAGACGCGCGGGACGCGTCGCGACAGCGGTCACGCGACTCGCGTCGAAGATCGCTTCAAGTTCACCATCCACCCTCAGGTTGAGCTTGACATCTCAGGCATGAAATGTTCTCTATATATCCCTCATGGATGTTCGCGGAGATTACAAGCCTATTTCACAATCCGTTCCATATAAAACCCGTTTTTAGCACAAACGAGCCCTGCAGAACCATGTCCGCGCTGCTCTTCCCAACAAACACTCCATATGTCCCAGGCACCGCCCTCCACGCGCCCGCAACCTCGTCCCAGAACGACACGGCATACTTGTCTAGCGTCACGCTCACCGCCTTTGAGCTCCCGGGCGCGACGTCGCGCGCCTTCGCGAACCCGCGCAGCTGCAGCTTCGGCGTCGTGAGGCCCATCTCCGGCAGCGCGATGTACACCTGCACGACCTCCGAGCCGGCGACAGGGCCGTCGTTCGTCACCGTCACGGAGACACCGAGGCTGAACGCGGCATCGTGCGCGTACGGCCCGGAGAGTGCCAAGTTGGAGAAAGTGAACGTCGTATATGACAAGCCGTGCCTGCGTCCCGGTCGATTAGCATGCTTTCACGAAGCAGCAAACCGCGAACATACCCGAAGGGGAACAGAGGCGCCACGCCCTTCGCCTGGTAGTACTTGTACCCGACGAAGATATCCTCGCGGTAGTGTATCTTGCCGTTCTCGCTGCGCATATTCAGGTATGCTGGGATATCCCGCTCCGTGACAGGCAACGTCAACGAGAGGCGGCCGCTCGGGTTGATGAGCCCGTACACGACGTCCGCCAGAGCGTTCCCGACTTCGTTGCCTGAGTACCATGCCTGGATGATGCCGTTCACGCCGTGCACCCACGGCATCGACACCGCGGAGCCCTGCAGGTCCCTTGAGTACAGTTCCCAGACACTGCTGAACGACGTACCGCCTGCAAACAGACGACGGTGTTCGCGTTCGCCTTGCCCACGCGCGCAATGAGCTCGTTCGTCCGCTTCGGCATGTCCAGCGTCGGCCTGTCGAAGCCCTCGCTCTCCCAGTCCGGAGACAGCCCAGCGACGAGCACGACGACGTCCGACTTTGCGGCCAGCTTCTCCGCCCTCGCCATCGCCTCGTCTGGGTCTATCTTCTCGCATCCACCCAGTCGCTAGTGGGGGAATCAGCAATGAATGGTGCTTACGAGACCACTTGCATACCAAACCGCGCATCAGCGCTGGCTGTGACCTGTCGGATTCCGGGCCTTCTGGCGCCCGAGTGTTTGTGTACTCGACCATGATCTCGACGGGCTTGCCCGCTTCGAGATCCACCTCGCCGATCTCCTCCACTGTCCCTTGTCTTCGCTGCGACTCAGTTGTCTGTGGTAAGTCACGCAGGACGCAACCCACCCGTAGAAGAACTCCCCGGGCCTCTGCTTCGTCCAATTGTCCACAGTCAGCTTGCCGTTGACGAACAGCTTGCCCCGCCCCGCGACCGTGAGCCCGAGCTCATACGTCGCTGTCTTCTCCATTGCGAGCAGGCCTTTGAGCTTGATTGTCCATGTCGGGGTTAGCCCCGCGGGCAGGAAGTCGTTCAGTCGGATCCGCGTGTCCGTGAGCACGAACTCCGCGACGGGGTCTTCGATCGGGCTCCCGTTGACATCGTGTTTGTAGAACGTGCATGTCCAGCCGCGTTCACCGGACAGCGTCTTCAGGTAGTTCTCCAGCGTCGGGCGGTACTTGAAGGCTGGACAGCGCGATCAGCAGAGCCGTCGCACATCATGCTGAGGGACGCATACCGTAGGTCCCGACTTCGTACTCAAACTCGACTCCCTCTGGCGCGTTCGCAACCAGTCCGTCGTGAGGCGTGACCACGTAGCTCGGCTTCAGCGCCGCGCTCCCGCCCCCGCTGACCACCCTCTCCTTCATGTTCGGACCGATTAGCGCCACCCTCACCTTCCTCCCTCCCTTGATGGGCAACACGCTTCCTTCGTTCTTCAGCACGACCATGCCCTCCGCGGCGAGCCTCCGGCAGAAGCGCCGCCGCGCGGGCGTGTCGAGCGTGCGCTCGACGCCGTCGCCGTACACGACGTCGGGGTTGCGCCGCGCCTGGCGCTGGACGAACTCGAGCATGCGCGTGACGCACGCGTCGAGCGCGCCGTCGGACGTCTTCTGCGACGAGAGCATGTGCGTCACGAGCATGGGCGTCCGCCAGCGCGGCGGGCCGGGCATTTCGAGGTCGAGCCCGGCGTTGATCGCGAGGTCGACGCTGTACGTGCCGTACCTACGCGTTCGGGCAGCTGTGAGAAGGGCGGGGCGCGTAGGTCTCTGGGAAGTCTTACCAGTCGCTCATGACGATCCCGTCGAAGCCCCATTCTTTGCGGAGGATTTCCTGGAGGAGCTGTGGGTTCTCGGAGCAGTGGACGCCTTCGATGCGTCCGTACCTGGTTGTGGTATGAGAAGATCACACACAGGGGTGGTGCATGTTAGAGCCTCACGAGGTCATGAACGACCACGGCTTCGCGGTCTTCTGCGCGAGCATGAAACTGGAGTCCGAGTTTTGTTAGCGGCATGATCGATCGGCACCAAGTGCGTGTATGCGCACGGATACAGGTACACTTCGCGGAGTGCACGTTCGGACATGACAGAGTCCGCGGCGGTGCGCTCGTGCTCCTGGTCGTTAGCTACGAAGTGTTTGATGGTGGAAGCGACGTTTTGAGACTGCAGCCCGTTCACATACGCGGCGGCCATTGTCCCTTTCGGAGCATGTCTCAACAGATGGTACTCGTGAGCGCTGGCAGATGAGCGCACCCGAGAGGTGGGGGTCCTCGGAGAAGGACTCGAAGGCACGTCCGCCGAGCGGGTTGCGCTGGATGTTGCAGGTGGGCGCGAGGAGGACGACGGAGGACTTGACCTTTGTCTCTTCCGCGAGGAAGACACCGACGTCGTGGATCAGCTCAGGGTCAAACGTGGACGCCATGGACGTCGCGCACTGAAGTGAAGGGCTCGGTACGCGGTGTAGGCTGAGTGAACAGGAAACATACGGGTATACATTGCGCGGGCACAGATACGAAGTGAGACGAGCCTCGGACCCCCTGCGGCACGTTAGGGGCTGTTCACAGGCAGGAAGGAGGACACACGTTGGGACCGTCGCTCATGCGAATGCCGGGGATCTCGAGCCGTTCGAGGGCATGGGTGTTCCACCAGTTGGGTGCCCCGAGGAGCATGATCTTCTCGTCGGTGGAGAGCCTCTTGACGAGATCGGGGACAGAGGCGTCCAGGAGTGAGCGCGACATGGCGGACATTGTGTCGACTGAGGCAGACAGGGCCGGCGGGGGGCTGCTGGGAGTGGGACATATATACGAGAGGATGCGGGGAAACGTCGGCATACGCAGTCATGGGCCATGGTCACTGCTGCCAGCTGCGGCGACGCTGGGCGAACGGCGCGGGGGTCCGTGAGCAAAGTCTTGAGGGACACGGCGGTCGTACTACATACAGGATGAGCGTGGACGCGCGGGTCGAAGCGCGCCTCCTGCCCTCGACCCTCCAGCCCGCCCATATGCACTCGCCCTAGCACACGCACCCCTGCAATCGACCATGTCTGACGCCTCTGACCTGCCCGTCAATCTCGCCCTGCCCAAGACAAGTGCCACCCTCACCGTGCGCATCATCAAGTCTTTCGAGTTCCGCACAGAAAAGAGTCTCGTCCTCCACAACATCAACCTCGAGTCTACCACTGTCGGTCAGCTCAAAGACATGGCGCGTCAAGGTATGCTTGCTGCCCAGCGTTGCAGCAGCGGTCTGAGCTGATGCCGTACTTAGCTGCGCAGACCCAGGCCGGATGGAAGCCATACCGTAATCTCGTCCTCGGTATGTTCTACGTTCCATCTCGCTGCCGGTCCTCTCATACCCGCCCCAGACACTTTGAAGCTCTACACAAAGGCCCACGGTGCCAAGGTGCGCTCGGCATCTGCACTGCCGTTGAGCAGTCGACTCATATCGTGCAGACTACGAACCTCATCATCAATCTCGATCACGATGACTGGATATTGAGTGACGACTCGAGGACACTCGCCGATTGTGGCTTCGGTGAGTGGCGATTGCCTTGACACCGCGCAACGTACTCATGGTGCACATGGAGGACAGAGAACGAGACGGAGGTTAGCTTCTTCAACCGCGAGATGTTCGAGAAGTTCAAGGCGAATCCCGAGGTACGTCTCCCTCTTGCCAGATGACTGCACGCCGCTGACCCGGCACGCTTTCTGCAGACGAAGTGGGAGAGTTGATTTCTGCCGGAGGAGCGGTGTATCCGTTATGAGTCTCACTTGCAACATGCCCATCACGAACTATCACGCCTGTTAGGATAATGTAGCCTTACGTAGTGCCAATGTACACCTATCGCTGGTCAATCGAATTGTGTTCCCGAGCGAGGATCTGAGATGCAGGGAGGGCACGTGGGCGGTACGCGTCCGGAAAGCTGTTCGGCGCAGGGTGACAACGCCCGTTCCTCTCCTCCTGGCCCAATGGCCGAAAACATCTACAGCAAGGGGACCAGAGTCTGGTTCGCCGACAAGGATCAGGGATGGATTTCCGGAGAGGTCTCGTCCGTCATCAGGAATCCCGACGACTCCATCAAGCTCTTCTTCGTTGACGAGCGCGGCAAGGTCTGTCCCTCCTCTTCGCCCCCGCCCCAGCGCTGACCGCCACGCATCCAGGAAACCAAGATAGACACCTCGGTGCAGGACATCAAGGATGCAAAAGAGGGCTTGCCTCCATTACGCAACCCCCCGCTCCTCGAGACGGCCGATGACTTGGCTACGCTCTCACACCTTAACGAGCCCTCCGGTGCGTCCATGCCAGCTTCGCTCGCCGGATCTATCTGACATGGCGGACAGTTCTGCATACCATCCGGATGCGATACGCGCAACATAGCATCTACACCTACTCCGGCATTGTCCTCATCGCCATGAACCCCTTCCAGCGCGTCACGCTCTACGGCCCGGAGATCATCCAGGCGTACAACGGGCGACGGCGCGGAGAGCTGGAGCCGCATTTGTTCGCCATCGCAGAGGATGCGTATACGGCCATGTCGAAAGATAGCATGGGACAGACGATCATTGTCTCCGGAGAGAGGTGCGTTGTTGTGTTCGGCTGCCCGAGTGTCTGCTAACGCGCCTCCAGTGGTGCCGGAAAGACGGAATCCGTAAGTCGAGCTGCTTGCGCCCAGGCGAGCTGATCCTCAGCGTCCGTTGCCTAGGCCAAATACATCATGAGGTACCTCGCCTCCGTGAACCCTCCAAACTCCAAGAGCAGGGGCAAGACAAAGATATCCCTGGACGAGTCGAGTGAAGTCGAGCGGCAGATCCTGGCGACTAACCCTGTACTGGAAGCGTTTGGTAACGCGAAAACGACACGAAACGACAACTCATCCCGGTTCGGCAAGTACATCCAGGTGCGTATATCACCGTCGCAAGCAGCTCTCTCTGACATCGGCTGTAGATTCTCTTCGACGGGCAGCAAGAGATCGTCGGCGCACGGATACGGACATACCTCCTGGAGCGGTCAAGAGTGGTCTTCCAGCCGCTCACCGAGCGCAACTACCATATCTTCTACCAGCTGTGTGCCGGTGTCCCGACGAAGGAGAGGAAGGACCTTGCTCTCGATACGGATGTCTCCAAGTTCCAGTATCTCAGCCAGGGAGGTTCCCACTCCACGCCTATACCCGGAGTCGACGATGCGGAGGAGTTCCGGCAAACGCAGACGGCGCTGTCGACTATTGGGATCAGTATCGACAAGCAGTGGGCGGTGTTCAAGCTCCTCGCTGCTCTCCTCCACCTCGGCAACATCAAGGTCACCCAGACTCGCTCGGACGCCGTCATCGACGACGCGGACCCCGCCTTGCAGCTCGCCACGCGCTTCTTGGGAGTCCCGCTCGCGGACTTCAAGAAGTGGACGATCAAGAAGCAGATCACTACACGGTCGGAGAAGATCGTCTCCGCGCTGAATGCTTCGCAGGGTACGGGAGTGCGGGACAGTGTGGCGAAGTTCGTGTATGCGTGCCTCTTCGAGTGGCTGGTCGCGATCGTCAACGAGAGTCTGGCTGGCGAGAACGGAGAGGCGGCGAGCCGCGCGGAGATGTTCATCGGTGTGCTGGATATCTACGGGTTCGAGCACTTCAAGAAGGTGAGCGTACGGTGCGTACTGATTCGGTATGCCACACTTACACTCGACGCAGAACTCCTTCGAACAATTCAGCATCAACTACGCGAACGAGAAGCTGCAGCAACAGGTATGTCGGCCTGATCGGCTTCGGGATGTCGTGTCGCTCATGGCTGGTTCAGTTCAACGCGCATGTCTTCAAACTCGAACAAGAGGAGTATGTCCGCGAGAAGATCAACTGGACGTTCATCCAGTTCTCGGACAACCAGCCTTGCATCGACGTCATCGAAGGCAAGCTGGGTGTCATGGCGCTGCTCGACGAGGAATCTCGTTTGCCGTCCGGTACGGACGCGTCCTTCTTGCAGAAGCTGCACAACCAACTGCTCAAGCCGGACAACGCGAAGGTCTTCAAGAAGCCGCGCTTCGGCAACTCAGCCTTCACGATCGCTCACTACGCCCTGGACGTCACGTACGAAGTCGAAGGGTTCCTCGAGAAGAACCGCGACACTGTACCCGACGAGCATATGGCCCTCCTCATGTCCACGAAGAACGCCTTCCTAAAGGAGGTCCTCGACGCTGCCTTCGCTGCCACGAAGGGCTCCGACTCCGCGCCGCCTGCGTCGCCGACGCCCTCCGACTCGGCTAGCGGCGGTTCGCGTCGCTCCTCCGTCATCCCAGACCCGGGACGTCAGTCCCTTATGTCCGCTGCTGTGTCCGCGGCGGGTGGCAAGCGGCCAGGAGCCGTCGCGAAGAAGCAGACGCAAGCATCCATCTTCAAGGCCTCGCTCATCAGCCTCATGGATACGCTCAGTCAGACGAACGTGCATTACATCCGGTGCATCAAGCCGAACGAGGCGAAGAAGGCCTGGGAGTTCACGCCGCAACAGGTGCTCGGCCAGCTGAGGGCTTGTGGTGTTTTGGAGACTATCCGGATCAGTTGCGCTGGATATCCTTCGCGTTGGACGTACGAGGAGTTTGTCGAGCGGTATGTCACTTATTTGTTGGCAGGATTGTGCGACGTAGCTCACGGCACTACAGATACTACATGCTCGCGCATTCGTCTGAGTGGGGCCCGATGATCCAAAACCTCGAGTTGAAGTCCCTGTGCACGCTCGTCCTCGATCGCACGCTGAATGACTCGGACAAGTACCAGACGGGTCTGACCAAGATCTTCTTCCGTGCCGGCATCCTCGCTGCCCTGGAGTCTATGCGAGGCGAAAAGCTGAACTCTCTGGCCACGGTTATCCAGAAGAACATGCGGAGGAGGGTGGCCGTCAGGCGTTATCGGGAGCTGCGGGCGGCGACGGTCAAGATCCAGACATGGTGGCGCGGCATCCTTGCTCGCAAGTTCGTCGAGGGTGTCCGCCGCGAGGTCGCGGCTATCCGCCTGCAGGCTGTTGCGCGCCGGTTCGTCCAGAGGCGCAAGTTCTTGCAAGTGCGGAATGGGGTTATCCGCTTGCAGAGTCGTAGGTGTTCGGCGTCGTCCATATGATGTCTGATATTGACCCATATTGCAGAGGTTCGCGGCGCTCAAGCTCGGCGACTATTCGCCAACTCTCGGCGCAACAATGCAGTCGTCCTTCTGCAAAGTCTCTCCCGTGGAATGTGCGTAACCATGTTGCTACGAACGTGACAGCCTTGCTCACTCAAGCCGCAGCCTTGTACGACGGGCTCACCACGAGGACGTCCAGAACGTTGTTCTCATCCAGTCTTGCATCCGTCGTAGACTGGCACGTAAGGAGCTTAAGGCTCTTCGCCAGGAAGCACGATCAGTCTCGAAGTTCAAGGAGATCTCGTATCGACTAGAGAACAAGGTCGTGGAGCTCACGCAGACGCTGCAGAAGCGCACGGAGGAGAAGAAGGAGCTCCAGACCAAGGTTACGCAACTCGAGCAGCAGCTCCAGGTGATGACCTCGCGGCACGAGGAGTCGGATTCGCGTGTGAAGCAGTTCCAGTCCGAGCTGCACTCAACACAACAGGAGATCAGCCGGCGCGACGAGCTGTTGCTTGCGAAGGAGGACGTTGAGCGGCGTTTGGAGGAGGCGCTTGCAAAGGCTGCCGAGAAGGAAGACGCGATACAGAAGCTCACGGAGGACTTGGCACAACAAGCTGCACAGCTGGAGAGCCAACAGCGAGCTATCGACAGCGTGCCCCCTCGAAACGAAGACGACAGCTCGATCATACTCACACTCAAGAGCGAGGTCAGCAACCTGCGAGAGCAGCTTAACCGTGCGAACGCTCTCAACGTCCTCACGAGAGGCCCCAGAGCGGAGCCCTCATCGCCCACTTTTGCCACGGCCTTGCGCCTCGGAGACGTTCCCAATGGCAACGTGAACGGGAATGGTGCCGCGCTGCCTAATGCTGCTCGCAGTCACCAACGACGACATAGCTCGGCTGGTGTATACGCAATCAACCCCATTGACAACCGGACATCTGCAGACGAGCTCATGATCATGGCGAAGCGTAGCCAGGCGAACAATCCCCGCGCAGTCTCTGTGGCATATAACGGCGAGGACGGTCTTCCTCGCTTCAGAGCCCCGAATGGCTTGTCGGACATGTACGATCCCGCGGAGGAGAAGATCAGACTTATGCAGGACGTCAAGCGTCTCGACGAAGACGTACTCGACGGTCTTATCCGTGGCTTGAAGATTCCGGCTCCGAGTACGACGAACCCTTCTGCCGTCAAAGAAATCCTGTTCCCGGCCAACCTCATCAGTCTCATTACCAACGAGATGTGGAAGTATGGCCTTATCCCGGAGAGCGAGCGATTCTTGGCCAATGTCATGCAAACCATCCAGTCGCATGTTATGGTGAGTTCTGCCGGCTGCGAGCCCGGCGATATTGCTGACCTTCGGCCTAGTCGTTCGGAGGAGAGGATGCGATCATCCCCGGTATCTTCTGGCTCTCGAACGTCCACGAGATGCTGTCTTTCATATGCGTAGCTGAGAGCGACATGTTGCAGGGAATTGGGCCTGGCGAGGAGAACGCCGTTCGCCCATTCGAATGGTCGGATTATGAGCGGCTCGTCTCCGTCGTCAAGCACGATCTCGACAGTCTCGAGTACAACATCTATCACACTTGGATGTTGGAGACGAAGAAGAAGCTGTCCAAGATGGTCATCCCTGCACTGATAGAGAGTCAATCTCTTCCAGGATTCACGACCACTGACGGAGGTGGCCGGTTATTCAACCGGTTGCTCAACTCAAATGCGCAACCGGCCTACAGCATGGACGACATCTTGAACCTTTTGAATAAAGTGTGGAAGAGCTTGAAGAGCTACTACATGGAGGATTCCGTCGTCCAGCAGGTTGTGACAGAGCTTCTCAAGTTGATCGGTGTAACTAGCTTCAACGATCTCCTCATGCGTCGTAACTTCTCGTCATGGAAGAGGGGTACGCTCTGGTTTCTATTTGACACTCGACGATCAAGTTGTTGATCATTTGCATCGCAGCCATGCAGATCCAGTACAACATAACGAGGATCGAAGAGTGGTGCAAGTCTCATGATATGCCAGAAGGTACTCTTCAACTAGAGCATCTCATGCAGGCAACGAAGTTGCTCCAACTCAAGAAGGTGAGGCTGCGTGGTTCCGTTTGCGATGTGAAGCTCACGTTCGTTGCAGTCGACTCCCGCCGACATTGAGATCATCTACGACGTCTGCTGGATGTTGACGCCAACACAAATTCAGCGGATGTGCACGAACTATTATGTCGCCGACTACGAGGTAAGTGACCGATACCGACATGCGTCGCGGCCACTGATGATGTTCCAGAATCCTATCTCTCCCGAGATCCTCCGGGTAGTCGCATCGCGAGTAGTCGCTAATGACCGCAATGACCATCTGCTCCTCGCACCCGAAACAGAGGAGGTTGGACCTTATGAACTCCCACTTCCGCGAGAGGTATCAGGCCTAGAGACTTATGTCCCTGCATATCTTAACGTACCACATCTCCGTCGACTAGCTGCTCTGGTAGCGTGACCTCGTACTGCGTGACTGCTCTGCTTTCTTGTGTCTGGGCTCCATGTAAATTGCTATCATTCATACCCGCATTTAGTTCTTATAATTCTGCTGATTCATGAATTTGGATGGAGCCATCAGTGTGCTCAATCTGATGCATACATCGCCCAATTTTCGGGAGCTGTCGCTGACCCTAAAGGTGTCAGATTACGCCCGCGTTTGCGTCAGGATGGGGGCGGTCCCGATCAGCCCGCGGTAAGACCGAAATCAAGTACTATATATCAGGCCGGGATCTCGGCCACCTTAGCACTCGACGAGCCCTCCCCACTGTATGTTTGCCACATTGACCCCAATCCATGCATACAATGATGTTAAAACATCTCTGGAACATGAGAAAAATATCAGAAAAAATCTGGACTCACTCAGTAGAGATCTGTGCAGCATTTCCGTGAGGAGGGTAGGGTGAGCCGGCCGACTAGGATGTAAGCCATGCTGTCAATACCAGCTCTGTACATCACCGGGACCCATCTTCACAGTCTGTAATCCTATACTGATGCCGGCTGGGATCTTGGCCACCTTAGCTGTTGATGAGCCCTCCTAGGCCTACATGAGCTTTGACTATCTGGGTGAGTGTGTAGCATCATGCTAGAATGTCCTAGGTATATGGCAAAAATGTCAAACAGGATCATGGGTCATCTGCATAGTCATAGGAAGTAGTTTCATTGTGAGAGTACTGGAAGCTGGATTGACTACCAAGTCGGCCACACAATCATAAATGGCCTCATATGAGGTTGGGGAGAAGCTACATCAGGAAAAACTTCCCCTGGGAATACCCAGTAATACTCTGTCATGCGCGGTAATCACAGGTATTGTCGCGCTTTCCTACGATTGTGGTACAACGTGATATTAGCCAGTCCAACCTCTTCCCCTGTGAATTACCAAGTAATTCCGGAGCATTGATCAGTTGTAGTGTGATTTCATGACGGTTTGTGACAATAGACTTCGTGGTTTACTTGGTCATTCCGTGTGGTTTACTTGGTCGTTCCATAGGTTATGAGCAACATTAGATCCATTGGGTGCTGTATACTAAGAGTCATAGAGAACGAGTGAATCACGACTACGATTAGTGTTCAGTCGAATCGGAACGTAGCAAAAGTCCACTAGCGGCAGGGGTATGTATGCTAGATGATCCGTGCAGTCCGCCAAAAGGTCCAGATGACTCTGAGAGTCTATGTACTACGTGCAGGAAGCTGTACTCTACTCATCATCATCGGGTACATCGTCCCAATTGATGCCTGTGCCATGCGTGCCCGAATGCAGTGTATGACCAGCTCTGTAACACAGGATAAGTTGTTTGAACCCCCATTATGAAGAAGAGGTGAAGGGCGTACGTCACGGCCTTGAATATGTCGTGCATGACGCGGTGATACCGCTTCGGCTTCTGCTGTCGGAAATCTGCCAATCGTATCCTATGCTCATGGTATGCGGGTGCATTGGCTGCTCCGAATTCAATTGGCTTGCTGATACGAAGGCTATGTTCGTGTATCACAGCCTCGACCTGACAACGTCATAGATAGTGAGCATTTGCGTAGACAGAAACCACTGGGCTTACTGCTGTCATGGCAAGTGCGACCATCTCCAGTGGCACTTCGAACTCTGATGGTTTGTTCTCCAGCGAAGACGTGCAGAGCGCGATGTTCTGGAGCCCGATTCCGACATATACCACATTAGTGAAGAATCCCAAGCGCACCGCCGACTTGATCACCAGACTTTCGTAAGGTGCGCGCCGATCGAATCCTCCCTTCAGTCAATACACATGGCTCGTCATTCCACATGAGCATAGGACATGTTCCGTACTCACCGCCGACGTCCACGGATAGATATAGTTCATTTCCTTGAGGAGTAGTGTCTTGTCGGGCACTGTCCCAGCGTCCTCCGCCGGAACCGTGAGCTTGAACTCGTGTTCCACGACTGAAGCGATCGCTTTGCGAATCCCAGTTCAAGCCATGGACACACGATGAGCGACCTGCAGAACCAAAACATCAGCGATCAGGACTACAAGAACACAATGTACTCACATAACCCGTGAGCGGTTTGATATAGTGCTCGTACGACCCGCGTTCCAGGCGGTCAGCAATGTCCCCCTCGCCGGTGTACCAAGCACATCTGCCGACTGAATAAGGGCCTCTAACCCAATGCGATCGATGCCGGCCTTGTCCATTGGCGTGAGCATGGTATTGAGGGCATCGCTGGTGACGTTGAGCCCGCGATCCTCTTCTCGGCCAAAAACCATCATTCGATCACCTAGCACATAGGCATGCGACATGACTTGCTGGACGTTCGCGTTCTGAGCTTTCTTCACCATCTTGACGCTCTTCGGGTTCTGGACGATCTTGATTCTAGTCCGCGGCAGCCATTTGATACCGTCATGCATCTTGTTGCTGACGGAGACCAAACCCGAGTGGTGCGTCTTTGCCTGCTTCTTTGCCTGTGGAGTAACCTGCGCAGGACGAATCTCTGGCATCTGATGATGTGCTATTAGTCAGTGTTCACATAGATGAGTTCGTCCATACCTCAGACCTCAACTTATCTTGCTGTTTCTTCGTGAGCTGCATGCATGAATCCAGATTAGCTACATCGCACGACTGTATATATTATCGCCAGCACACCTGCCGTTGCCCACGCAATATAACAGCCGGTACCTCCTCTTCATCCAGATCATCATCGCCGAGCATAGGATCCGAGTCGTTTGCAGTTGGATCATCCTGCACCTCGTAGTCAGAGCCTTGAGTATATGGTACCTCATCGTCACTGGCTCTCTGTTCAGCCACGAAACCGTCATCGGTCGTCATTGGCTCCGTGGCGTAAGACACAACGCTTGATGAACGCGAGCTCTTGGAGCGTAAATGCGGAGGACGAGAGCTTGGTGTATCACGATCCGAGTCAGGAGCCCGAGAGCCTACTATACACGCGTGTTGTAGCGAGCTAACATCGAGTATAGGGCAGGTTCTACTCACCAGATCCCATAACAACCACGCACTATGACGGTGGTTGACATTTCTTAAGATCAGCAGCAAGCAGAGCAAGTAGAAGGCTTCTGTGCCGTACCTCTGCGTCGAAGTCGACACATCGCTCGCGTGACTCGGCCTCTTCATCGCTCGCGTGACTCGGCCTCTTCATCGCTCACATCCTCGGCCTCCTCCTCATGATCGGCCTCCTCACCATCCATGCCTTCGCCATCGTCATTGAATTTGTCTTCAATTCCTTGAGGCGTAGCTGCACTAGGTCGCGATTGACTTGGGGTCGCTTGAGATGGCCGAGAAGTGCGGTGTCGTGGCGGTGGTGGCGGTGGCACTGGCGAGTCCGAGTCCGAGTCGTTGAAGTTGATGACAGCTGCTCGGTGAGGTCTCTCTGCGCGCCGTGCCATGTCAGTCAACGCAGAGGGTGGTGTGGGACAGACTCACTCTGGAATGCCTGCCTGCCGCTGAACTTTGCGGGCCACAAAACGCCGACCTTAACCTTCTTCTGCGGTTGACGCTCTGGGCTTGAGTCGACCTCACTATCGACGCGCGACTGTGGCGCTCTCCTCCCTTCGTCCACGCTTGGCTTTCTGGTACTGTTTGCGCCAACTGAGGGCTCCCGCTTGCGCTTCTCCTTGTGAGTCTTCAATTGACCGCTGCGGCCATCAGTGGTTGCTGGATGCAGTAAGTCAGACCCGCCGTGACGATACCAATCAGGTCCGAGTCATGCACCGACTCACCTTGTATCTGTGGGTTTCTGCTGCCCGTCTTCACCGTATTTGAGCTGACCTTTGCTTCCGTCACCTTTGCCTTTGCACTCCCGCGACCCTTTGGGACCATCCCAGCCCATGCTGTGTAGCACGAAGCGAGTCTACAAGTCAATGCTATCAGACACAACACGAACGACATAAGGGCACTTTACCCTGAGAAGCAGCCTGAGAAGCAACACACTTCGGACGTTCACTTGGAGCAGCTACATACGTGTGAGTAACTTCCATGTTTTCAGCGCAGACGGACACGTACTAAGGTTGTCATCAGATTCCTCAATGGTAGCACGCTGACCATGATGTTGATGCACGTCTTGAAGTTCACCTACGTCAATCCTCGATTTTTGACCAACGTGGGTACTATTGGTACGCCTAGCCGCTGACATCTTTCGTGGTCACAGAACGTTGGACTCAATTTTCAAGAAGTACCGCTGACAATGAGGTGGGTGGTGTTATTGTTAATCGTAGCGCGATGTTGACTTGGATGAATACCAGAATAGACACAGTTAAACTCGAATACTCACTCAGGGAATGTCAGAGCGGAGAAGGTGTCGATTAAAAGTGAGGATTAGATTATCTATGGTGAGTTTCCCTGTTCGATTATGTACGAGAGTTTGACTTGATTATAGGGAGTGTGTATGCGATGATGTGCGAGAGAGCAAGAGAACAACAGCAAGAGAGCAAGAGCGCGACAGCGAGAGAGAGAGAGAGGGAGAGGGAGAGGGAGAGGGAGAGGGAGGGGGAGAGAGGGAGTCCCGCTGGCACCATGTGACAGGTGTCTGTGAACGTCTACGCGAGTAGCTCGGCAAGCCGTGACCACCACCGCCTCTGACTCTGACGAAGCTGTACGTCCAGCTTGTCACGAACTTACGCTCTCACACTCACCAGTGACTCGGACTTGCGCTCTACTCGCCCAGAAGCTGCCTGCACAACTCGTCCATCTCGCAGGCACATAGACTCTGTACTTCGTAAGTCTCTCATGCACTCCAACCCTTTGTACCGTTGTTAATGTGCGTCTAGTCTCACTGTAGTATATCAATCATATCCTTGTCGCTATGTCGTTCAAATGCAACGGATGTGCTCGTGGCTTCCCGCATCACGGTGCGCTCGTGCAACATCTCCAGACCAGTCCAGACGCTGCTTGTCAGCTCGCACGTAGGCAACACGAAGAAGCTATGAGAGGTCCATCTCGTCGCGCCAACCATAGGCGTGCAACACGGTCTCGCTCGCCAAGAGCTCCTGAAGCTTCCCAAGCAGACCCCGGTGATCATTCACCAATGCAAGAAGACGATCATGATGATGTCGTCCCATTCAAGGGCGATTTCTTCGGTGCTGCGGAGGAGTATGCTAGCGGCGACCTCCCATTCGACGAGGATCGTGATGACCGGTTCGACGATCAGGCCCGCCAGCAGGACGAAGTAGACGAGTTGAGTGATGACAAACTCTCCGATGACGATGCGGTGGGACGTGATATCCTCCAGCCCAGCCCTGAAGTTCAGCGCGATGGACACAAGCTTCCACCTCCACCAATCCCTTCCATTCCAGGCAGTCCTGCCCAGCATGGCGCCGACCTTGAACAGGGTGCCATAGATATTCCGGCTGATGCTTCAGCTGAGCCACCAGCACGACCGCCGCCGCCGAGTAATGCACCTGGTGGGGTGCACCCGGATAGTCATGAACAAATCTGTCGGCCGCCTGCGTACATTGTCGCCTTTGGAGGTAAAGCCGGTGCTCCCGTCCCTGCCGAGCCCGCTGCCGGGCGTTCGTCGCAGTCACGCTACACGTCATATGCCGTCTTCGTCATTTAAGAAGGGTTAATTATAGTTCATTAGTGAACCTAATCAGGATTAAAATGAGTTCCTTAAGAACTATGATTAGGTATTCATTCTGTTAATCATGGGCTTAGGGTGGTATGATTACCTCCATTAATCCATGTTGGCATGAAACCATATTATGATCCCAAATGAAGGCACTAGCCCTGACACAAAGGGCTAATTCTCTGCAAATCCCAGTCAATTTACACTGAATCATGGCATAATCCCAGTCATGATCATGCTTGACCAATTCATGACTCTTAATCCTAAGATAATCCCATTATTTGGATATCATAATCATGGCATAACCTCAGTGTTGATCCTGCTGAAATGGGCATAATCATGACATATGTACAATCCTAAACATTCATTATCAAGCCCTAACCTCAGAGCTAATCTATGGCAGGCATCATGAATGTAATCATTAATTCAATGCTAATCCTGGCTGCTGATCCTGATATATTGATGTCAGATTAGTGCTGATTAGCCAGATAATCTGCAGAACAAATCACAGTGATCAGATCAATTAAAAAAATGTTGTGCAGAAGCCAGGACTGAACCAGCGACTTTTTGAAGCATTACATAATCACCTTATTGGGCAAAGAAGCATACACTATAACCACTGCACCATACTGTCTTGTTATGTCTGAGATGTTATTGATCTATGTCATGTTCTTCGATTGCTGGACTTAGACACATTTCTAGTGCCCTCCCATGATGCAGTCTAATCCTGATCAACCTGAGATTAGCAACCAATCAATCCTCACTAACCCATGAGGATTTGCAAAGATTTATTTCCAATATAATCGGCTGTTTCAATGATGATTTCAATGTGCTGTACTTGGTACTTTTAATCATGATTCAGTAATGTGGAACCCTAATCCTGTTTGAACACTGCAGATTAGCAGTAAGTTAATCAGATTGAAGACTATCTAATCCCACCTCTAATCTGGACTTGATCTGTTCACAGTCTTATGTGGCAAAGAAGCATTACCTCAGGATTAATCTCTGCAAATCCTCATGGGTTAGTGAGGATTGATTGGTTGCTAATCTCAGGTTGATCAGGATTAGACTGCATCATGGGAGGGCACTAGAAATGTGTCTAAGTCCAGCAATCGAAGAACATGACATAGATCAATAACATCTCAGACATAACAAGACAGTATGGTGCAGTGGTTATAGTGTATGCTTCTTTGCCCAATAAGGTGATTATGTAATGCTTCAAAAAGTCGCTGGTTCAGTCCTGGCTTCTGCACAACATTTTTTTAATTGATCTGATCACTGTGATTTGTTCTGCAGATTATCTGGCTAATCAGCACTAATCTGACATCAATATATCAGGATCAGCAGCCAGGATTAGCATTGAATTAATGATTACATTCATGATGCCTGCCATAGATTAGCTCTGAGGTTAGGGCTTGATAATGAATGTTTAGGATTGTACATATGTCATGATTATGCCCATTTCAGCAGGATCAACACTGAGGTTATGCCATGATTATGATATCCAAATAATGGGATTATCTTAGGATTAAGAGTCATGAATTGGTCAAGCATGATCATGACTGGGATTATGCCATGATTCAGTGTAAATTGACTGGGATTTGCAGAGAATTAGCCCTTTGTGTCAGGGCTAGTGCCTTCATTTGGGATCATAATATGGTTTCATGCCAACATGGATTAATGGAGGTAATCATACCACCCTAAGCCCATGATTAACAGAATGAATACCTAATCATAGTTCTTAAGGAACTCATTTTAATCCTGATTAGGTTCACTAATGAACTATAATTAACCCTTCTTAGATGACATCCCTGCATATGCGGAGATGGTCGACCCCAACTCTCAGAATCCTTACGCTCCATTTGCGTCACGGCTCGATTGGGAGATGGCGCGCTGGGCAAAATTGCGTGGGTCCGGGTCAACAGCATTCTCCAACTTGCTTGCAATACCAGAGGTTCGTCCAAGTCTTTCCTGTTGCTCGATTCGTGATGGCTCAAGATGTACTGCTTATGTAGGTCCGCGAGCGCTTGGGCCTGTCATTCAAGAACTCGGATGAATTGAACAAGATCATTGACAAAGAACTGCCAACCCGCCGTCCAATGTTCCGTCGCTTCGAAGTTTGCATCGGTGGCGAGCGGTTTGATATGTTCAACCGCGACGTCATAGAGTGCGCACGAGCACTCTGGGGCGATGGCGAACATATGCCGTACTTGTGTTTCGGCCCGGAGCGCCACTATGCTGATGCCGACCACACACTCCGTCTCTACCACGATATGAACACAGGAGAGTGGTGGTGGGCGACACAGGTACATCATTCCCTTGCGATTTGAATACAGTGTCACTAAATCCCTGCAACAGAAGATGCTTGAGAAGCAGAGACCGGGCGCGACTGTTATGCCCATTATCATCTCGTCAGACAAGACGCAGCTGACGCAGTTCCGTAACAAGACAGCATATCCAGTCTACCTTACGATCGGTAACCTACCAAAGGAGATCCGCCGCAAGCCATCACATCGCGGACAGATACTCCTCGCCTACCTGCCAGCAAGCCGACTACAGCATATCAAGAACAAAGCAGCTCGCCGTCGGACGCTGGCCAATGTCTTCCACGCTTGCCTTTCCGAAATCCTCAAACCGCTGCGCCGCGCAGGTGTTGACGGTATCCAGATGACGAGCGGTGACGGGATTGTGCGCCGCTGCCACCCTATCCTCGCCGTGTATGTTGGGGACTATCCCGAGCAGGTCCTCGTTACAGGGACGTACACTGGGGATTGTTAAATATGCAAGTGCCCACATGACGAGCTAGGGACTTACCCTTGCGAGTCGGCCTTCCGTGACGTCAACGAGGCCCTCGATGCCCTAGATCTCTTTGGTACCGCGGACTATAACCGCGCCTGCGAGGCCGCGGGCATCAAACCGATCCAACATCCGTTCTGGGAACATCTCCCGTATGTCAACATCTTTCAGTCGATTACCCCGGACGTGCTGCACCAGTTGCACCAAGGCGTTATCAAGCATGTTCTTGCATGGATCACTGATATCGTTGGCAAGGACGAGGTTGACGCGCATGTCAAACGACTGCCGCCCAATCATTGTATCCACAGCTTTCACAAAGGCATCACTGGCCTGTCGCGCGTCACGGGCACCGAGCACAAACAGATGTCCCGGTTCATTCTCGGGCTCCTTGTCGATGTTCCCTTACCTCGTGCGGAGTCTTCAGAGCTTGTCGGCGCTACAAAAGCCCTGCTCGACTTCCTCTACATGTCCCAGTACTTGGTTCACTCGGACACCACTCTTGAGGCACTCGAGGGCTCGCTTGCTGACTTCCACGCCAAGAAAGACGTCTTCATCAGACTTGGTGCTCGCGGTAACTTCCTGATACCAAAACTCCACATGCTGACCCATTATGTCCGGGCCATCAAACTCTACAGAACGACCGACAATTACAACACCGAGTCGACCGAGCGCCTCCATATCGACTTCGCGAAAGAGGCCTATCGTGCGACGAACCGCAAGGACGAATTCCCGCAGATGACGAAGTGGCTCGAGCGTCGTGAGAAAGTGCTACAACATGCCGACTACGTCCAATGGCACCTATTGTGCGCAGACGGCAGTCGTGACACCGTGATTGCTTCACGTCAAGGTGTACGTTGGCGGCCACCGGACATGGCATGTACTCTCTATCACCTGATGACGAAGTACCCAAGCCGCAAGGCTGTTCCTGTCGCGCAGCTTGTATCTCCGGACGGCTATGGCGCGACCCATCTGATGCCGGCACTCACTCGCTTTCTCGTGGAGCACAATAACCCAGGTCTCTCACGGAACGCAGTAGAACCTCAATCTTCTTTTGTTCGGTTTCCCTTCACTTTGCTCCCAGTTTTCCACAAGATCAAATTCCGCAATGTTGAGTACCACGGCAAGGAAACACTTGACGCAATACACGCACGACCACGGAAACTCAGCGCTAATAGTGACATCCTCATACCTTCTCGGTTCGACACCGCCCTTGTGCGCGTGCGGCAGCCTGAGGATCAAGCCATGCCTCGTATTGGCCTCTCAGGTAGGTACTTATCAATGATGGTGCAGTACGAGATTGTATGACTGATTTGCTTCACAGACACGCGTATAGGTCGAGTCCGTGCGATCTTCTTGATCCCAGAGAAAGTTCGCCATCAGTTGATCCCTTCGGCCCCGAATTTACGATATCCACGTCACCTCGTATATGTGGAATGGTTCTCTAAGTTCGCGCGCACTCCAGATGCTCACTATCAAATGTGCAAGGTCACAGCACTGACAGGTCGCAAGCAGATCGCATCAGTGGTACCTCTCGCATCACTTGAACGCAGTGCCCACCTTCATCCGAAATGGGGTGGTCCTGCTCCTGCGCATTGGACGAGTGAGAATGTGTTGGATGAGTGTAGGACATTTTACTTGAATCTGTACAAGAGCCCACACGACTTCTACAATCTGTACTAGCCCTGAATATATTCGTACATTTGTCATGATTCATGAAATTCTCTGGTGGTTCGTCGCAACATAGAAAATCAGCAGATTAGTAGGATATCATCAACGACTACTCTATAATTAGCTACCCAGTCTACACGACCTGGAGAATGATGTACAAATACCGGAAAACATGACGTTTCGGGGTTTTACCACTAATGTTGATACATCTGTGCTATTTCACAGGGAAGGTTTTTCCTGATGTATTGTTGAACTTTGACTATTCTAGGTGTTATCACATGGGATAGGACTTATCCTTACCCATTATGTTCTTATGTTCTACTATGCTACATATTACGTACTTTCTTTTCAAATTTGATCCAGACCTGTATGTAGCACATGATTAGATCTAGACTCTCATGGAACTTTCCATCACTTTCCAGCATGTTCTAGCACATTCCTTGCACCTGCCGTTCCCACACTTGATTACTAATTAGTTGTGTTGACGCGTGTTGTTGACGGGTTCTAAGATAGGCCGCAACCAAACCCTGGCCTTCCAGCGCTTTGCATGCCACACGTGATTGGTCTACCCTCAAATGGTATTCATGTAGGTGCTTGTGCGATCCTCAAGGCTCGAGGTCGCCGCTGTTGATGTTCTGCTGCTCTGTAGTGTCACCTCCTCACCGATATGTATTATATGCATGTATTTAGTACACTCAATTGCTCTGTTTCTGCCGCCCAGCCTCAACGCATGTTCTTCTCGTCAAGATCTGCAAAGATCAACTCTGGGATAACACGGTGACCCCAATACTTCTTTCCCGCACATGCAGCCTGCTGGCCGTTCAAGCCTTTGCGGTACAGACATAAACCCCCCGGTGGGTCGGTACCCCCCGATGGGTCGCCTTCCAAAATCGGACGGGTACCTTCCGTATATGGAAATATGCTCCACACCAGCGACAAGCCTGGCGACGGCATAGCCTCTCGAGCCTTCAGGTTCCGCGGACGACCAACTATGTGCAGAGCACTGTACAATAGTACATTATATACATAATAAAGTTACAAACAAAGCTCAGTCCTCGTCGCTAGATACTGAGTCACTGTCAGAATCAGATGGCGAGTTCTGCAAGGTCTCCCAGATTATACCATCCTGCTCCTCTTTCTCTTCCACATCTGCAATCGCGCGGCGTAGCTCCTCCAAGGAATTGCGCCTGATATTCTTCGCCTTCTCGACAGCATGTGTGAACTGATCGGGGGTCCGATCTCTTGGGACAAGACGCGGCGCGCGCGGTCGCTTCGTTCCGTCAGCATCGCAATCCTTGCATGCTGCCCCGTACTCCTTCTTCTTCTTCTCATTCTCAACCTTCCTCGCCTCCTTCCTCTCGCGCCGCCACTTGGCTCGCTGACTTCGGGCTACCCGGCTGGCTGAACCCTTCAGTTTTTCAAGCTCTGCCTGGTCTGACTGGGCTGCCTTTGCCGCCTGCGCAGCACGGAAGCCTGGGTCGGTGTACACCCGACCTGTGCGGCCCCGCGCGTACTCCTTATTCAGGTATGTTGCAATATGCGACTTTTTCTTCTTCTTCTTCTGATTCAAACGTGCCTGCGTGCCTATTTGGTGCTCATTCTGCAGGATAAGCTGCGCGCGTTGACCGACTATCACATGTGACTGTTCCGCAACAGTCGCCTGCGATGCTGCGGCATTCGCGCGCAATGCTACAACCTCGGCCTCAAGTTCATCCCGTGACAAACGGCTCAGGGGAGGCGGCGGCGATGGAGCATGGAAGTCGGGCGCAGGGAGAGGGGGACCAGCATCGAGGAGGGGAGCGACAATGGGTGAGTCATCTGTGATCATGCTACGAAGTGGTATGTTCTGCACAGAGTCATTGATATGATGCGCAATCGCGGCATTGCGTTTGCGTGGCGTGAATTCGCTCGGATGGAGGTGGAGGGAGGATGGACTGATGATGGTTGTAGCAGCAGTACGAACAGCGTCGCGAGGTGGCGTACAGGGTGGCGTCGATGGTGGGTTACGCAGTTTGTCAACGAGGCCAAAGAGATTTACCACCTCGTTAACAGGGGTGGGCTGACGCTGCGGGAAGGAGCTCGTGGTGGATGTGTTCTCTGCAGGGATAACAGCGCGGGGCGGGATGGCGTCTGGATTGATAGTAGCATGCGACGTAGCCACATCACTTTCGCCGACAGTGTACGCCAGGCCTGTCACCGCGAAGGCCTGTCTATTGTTGTGTGGAGTAAAGATGTCCTTCCAGACTTCTTCGATTGCAGTCAGCAGTTTGCCCTGATCGATCCCGTCTTCATACTCCTGCACCTTCGCCGGCCACCGCTTCTTGACCTGTGCAAAATGAACTTTGTCGAGGCCTTGGAGGCGGTCTGTTGTCCTCGATGGGTAGCCAATAACGTGTACGTTGTGCTTGCATGCGTGCTCGATAAGGTTGGGTGCAATATGGGTGACGTGGCTATCGACATGAAGGACGCGTGGCTCGCCAGCAGCCTTCTCGCGAGTCTGCTCCTCGAACCACAGGAACCATTCGAACGCGAGTTCACTGTCTATCCATCCAGACGACGAATGACCCATGCTGTCCCATCCTTCAATTGACAGTTGGTCTCTGTATCAACATAGAATGGACTTACAGCGCGTGGCAAGGATTCCTCTCACCCCATTCCTGCCGGAACTGTTCGCCCTTGAATATGACAAATGGTGGGATACAATCCCCATCTGCACAGACAGTCGCCATGACAGACGTGAGCTCCCGGTTCCCACTCTGTTGCACATTCTCGCGCTTGAGACCCTGTCTCCCAACAACCCAGTCAGATGCTCCGACATCGTCGTGCAGGCCGGTCTCATCTGCGGCCCATACGTTACGGATCCTGATGGCATTCTTCTCGTAGCATTCTTTTACAGTCTCCATATGCGCAGTGAGCATCCCCGGAGTCAGGGCTGCGGCATGGGAACTGCTGTAGCTCGACCCCTTGATGGTCTTCAAGCGATCCCAATGGCGATGTTTGAACTTTACAACCCATTGCTTGCCAACCGTGGCTGGCAGCTTGCCAGGCGGACGTGGCTGTGCTGCAAGAATCTCGTTCGCGACCTTCGTAATTCTGCGATTCGTGGGTGGGCGCGCATGGTCCGAGCAGCCCTCGATCCATTCGACAATCTTCTCTTCCGCATCTGCTGGGACACGAAGTGCACGTTTTGCCCGGTGTTCTCGTGATGGCAGACCATGTGCTCGGCGGCGGATTGTTTCTCGAGGCACCCCGGTCGCCGCCTCAAGCTTCCGGAGCCCTCGAGGCTTCTCCGCTAGAGTTTGTTCCGCATTGTATGTGGCGGCGGCAGCATTGCGTCGTGTATACGTCCGCTTAGCAGCTTCATGGTTCCGAGTGTACTGGGAAAGTGCTGTGTTAACCATAGTGAGCCATAGTGCATGAAAATGTGAGGAAAGCGTGTCTATTTCCGACTCGTCAGAACTTGCGAATGGCCCGTAGCCGAGCTCCACATAATGATAGTAGTTCATGTAGTTCATAGACGTCATGCCTTATATTTTAGATATACATATGGTCGACACAGAGTATATTGACTACGCTACTGGCAAACCGTGAGCAGGAAGTAAGTACTCACCTGGAAGCGCGAGGCTTGTCGCTGGTGTGGAGCATATTTCCATATACGGAAGGTACCCGTCCGATTTTGGAAGGCGACCCATCGGGGGGGTACCGACCCACCGGGGGGTTTATGTCTGTACGCGTCCATGAAGCAGAATGAGCGGGTAGAATGTTGAACTAGGAAGGCGCCTACCGGTGTAAGAGTTCGTGGGCTTGGAACCCTTGATTGGGGGGCCGGGCTGCCCGTGAACCTGACGTTTGGTGGTCGCGGCGCGACCGGGGAGAATGTCGTGAGGTCTTGATGTTGTTAGCGAGGCGAGGAGCTCCCGCTATAGTCGTAGCTGGGCGAGGAGCCTAGCTGTGGTGTAGTGTGGCCTAGGACGGGCGAGGAGCCAGGCCGAGGGCGTGTCCTAGACGAGGGCGAGGAGCCGTGTCGAGGGGGACTCCTGGACGCAGGCGAGGAGGCTTGTCTAGGATTGGTCCTAGGCGTGGCGAGGAGCGCAGGCTGAGAAGGGCTGAATGTACTCGGATGGCGCGGGGTTCGCACACAGACGATGTGGTAGTTCAGGTGTAAGAATAGATTACTTCCCAATTAGGAAGGCAGATGGCTAAGTATGGACAATCTAATCTAATCTACACTATACAGTTCATAATCTTATCTACTAGGGCAGGCATAGTATTGCCTACCCATCACAACCGGGCTGCCGGGTTCAATCACAGGCCGGACCGGTTCTATGGGAAGCTCCGGGTCCGTGATGTCATCCATGATGTCATCTGTGTGTTATCACATGGCTACACCACCTACCTTGTATGTCGTGGGAACGTACTATACAGTAGCTTAGATAAGCGGTCTCCTCATGTATATAAGGACCCCAGTAGCGTAGCTCAATCCTCAGTACCTTCAGTCGAAGTACTTGCGTGTGCATCAAGCATCAGCAACCTTTCAGGTAAGTTGTGAGGGCGCACCACTGCGTGGAGCTGCCTGCTCAACATGGAAAAGCTGATATGAAAGGACTTCCGTGAGTACTCTGTTGTATTTCTCAGAATCAAATCAGTGCATGTAGAAGCTAGACTAGCGTTAGCGCTCTCACTCGTGTACGACAACCGAGTGAGGAAAGAGGGAGAGAGGGAGAGCAAGATGGACATACCCCCGGCGGTATGTCACGTGCCAGAGGCGGGAGATCGCGGTGTGTTCCCAACACTCCTCCTCAACGCGAACTTGAGGGAGAGAGCGAGGGGGGATGTGAGTATTGTAAGAATGAGAAAAGAAAGAGAGGTGTCCGTGAGGTAACGTGAGAGGACGTATCGCTGGTGTGTGTCGTGATGTAACATCAATGTATTGTAAAGATTTGTGAATCTGCAGAGACCGTGGTGTGTAACGAACGAACAGTGAACAAACGAGAAAATGACCGTTATGAACAGAAATGTGAATGAGACTCAGCGTGACAGAACTCCTCCTCACCTCCAACACTCCTCCTCGGATGGAGGCCGCAGACCCATGAGTGTCCGAAGACTCTGAAAGGCTTTGCGCTCCAGCGGTTTAGTGAAGGCGTTGGCAACATTGAGATGCGAGGGAACATGATTGATCGAGAGGTGACCGTCCGCAACGACTTCACGTAAGTAATGCC